TGATGTCAGGCGCCATGCAAGCCGCTATTACCGAGACGATGGATGGTCGGCACGGGATCGCAGGTTGGCGGTGGCTGTTTATCATCAACGCAATCATCACCATCATCTGGGGTATTTTGGGTGTTTTCATGATGCCCGACGTCCCCAACAAACCCAACCCGCTCGCATTCTGGTTCAGAAAGGGTGATGGCGAGCTGGCCATGCTGCGTCTCGCTCGCCATGGTCGCGCCGAGTCCAAGAGGGTCACCTTTGCCGGAATCAAGCGTACCTTTTCTGGCTGGGTCGTGTACTTCATCGCCATCTTGTACGTCGCCAGCGTGCTGGGAACCTACGGAAACGTCTACTTCTCCCTTTTCCTCAAGTCGCTCAAGAATGCAGATGGGACGGCAAGGTGGACTACCTCCCAGGTCAACGCCATCCCCATCGGCGCATATGGCATCAATGTGGTGTTTGTGTGGATTTGGGCACTCCTGTCAGATTTCATCCGGTCCCGGTGGACACTCATCATCGTGCAGGCTTGCATTGGTATCATCACATGCATTATCATGAGCGTCTGGACCTCCCATCCCGAATCCACTGGCCTGGCTGCGGCTTACGCCTCATATTTCCTCGCCTTCACCTGTTTGGGTACCGCGCCCCTTATCTTCTCGTGGCTCTCTGATCTGATCCCTCAGGATCCGGAAGCTCGAACTCTTACTGTCGGTGTAGCTGTTGCGGCCTACTACGCCATTTCATCCTGGTCCCAGGTTTTGACCTGGCCAGCCTCCCAGGCCCCGCATTATAAGTATGGATGGCAGTCAGCCCTGGCTTTGCTAGTTCTTCTAATCATCATGACATGCACGTTGCGATTCATTGATGTCAAGTACCTTTCCCCCAAGCGAGAGGAATTCCTTCAACAGTTGGAAGCCGAAAGAGAGGCCGAGGCTGCGGACAACGCCTCTATCATTTCTGGAGAGAAGGAGCCCAGAGTTGAAGAGACGGCGCAAAAGAATTCTTAAAATGGGCATATCATGTAACCTGAACAATTAGGGAATGCGCATCCTTGCTTGGCTATTTTGGGGATTGTATGAATACAAAACTACTTAAAAAGAGCCCTCGTACAAGCTGTGGCCTGATAAACCATCAATCTACTTTGACTTGCCCCTCGTGATGATTTTACCATACTTTTGTTTTGTCTTCGTGTGTTCAATTCGCCCTCATTACTGTTATAAAAAACTGTGGTCTCGATTTGATAACTTTTTGGAGGATAAGAGGGCTAATGCATCGGATCGCTCTCGTTGTTCCTCTCTCTTGAGATGCCCGTAGCCTGCCCTTCATGCCTCTCTTGCGGGTAACTCTGGGCTCCGCAGGACGGGTGCGGGTGAGAGAGTTTGAGTAGCTTAACTCGCACAGTTAAAATCATTAATAGAAGATGCTAGACCGTGACATGCTCCTACTAGAGATTGTTGTCTCGAAACCAAACTATGGCCGTCCCTATTTACTCTTGCAATGGATACACATAACGGAAGGCCAGTTCAAAGAATACTGTGAGACAATAAATCAATTACATCGCCCCGTGTACATCGTAGTCAAAGTGTCAGTTACGATCTTAGATGCAAGTTGCCGAAGATTGTTAGTAACGTAGGTGGTTCCCGGAACCCATCAGGGCTCTTTACAATCGCAGCGTAGAGAGCCTACGCTTTTCGCGCAAAAGGCATAGCCCAGAATCTTCTTCACAGCTCCAAGGGGAATATGGTGTAATGAATTTATTGTATCAATGCATGAAATCATGTTCAATTATGTGAACATCTCAGTGCTACAGAAAGCAAGCATGGTATCCCAACCACCATGAGGAGGACATCGGGAAGGCGCAAAGATAGACCGGCGTATTAGGAGAGCAAGTCTCATCCGTGATTATAAACTTACGCATACCACTTGACCATTTCTACTCAACTCTCAGAGCAGAAAATACCCTCTAGCAAAGAGGGCAATTACACAGCAGCTCTTCTAGCGCTGCACATCACCCTAGCACAATTCACCCCGTATGGTGAGATTGCATATTCACCATGACGTAGCTCATCCCATGGTCAGACGGAGTCATCTTTTTCGTTTCAAAATACGCACTGGCCTATCATCATTCATGATGACAGTGGGGTCGAGATTTTTCTCGACAACACAATCCTCCAAGATCCGGCTGATGTCCTGACGACCTAACTGATCAAAGCCAGTATCTATCGTTGATTCGACAGTATCAAGCCAATTTAACTAGCAGTCTTCGCCGTTTAAATGTCTATCGATAAAGAGCCGCAAACATCCCGACGCGCCTGCAGCGACCCAGTTGGGAACGGGCCATACACCGCGCCGGTCAACGGCAAAGGCTGCGGCTGGTGCGACAATCAAGACAAGTATGGCTACGGCTCTAGTGTGTGTGGACACTGCGGTAGGTGTCATGGCTGTGGGAGTACCAATAACGGCATTGGGCCGATCCAGTCCATCTACTTTGGTGGAAAGTGGGCACTTGGCAAGCTGTTGAATAAAGAAAATGAGGGGGAGAAGGAGAAGGAAAATCCAAAGAGAGAGAGAAACTAGTGTTGGGGGCTGTGATCTCCAACGAGCTGAGTATGTCAGAAGTAGAATATTGCTTTCCCTTTTGGCTAACTATTTGGTCACAGCAATACGCATTGAGCGAATTATAAGCATCTGAATTGAGGAATGGATAACATGTTCAATTGATATCTAGTACCATTGAGTTGGTGTTCAGTGCTTACAAACTCATCCACAGCAACACGCCTTGTTGAGCCTGACTGAAATAATCATGTCGTTCACATGCACGTTCCGACTGCTATACATCGGATATCCGAATAGATTAGGATAACATAAGCTGTCGCATTAAAAAAGTCGGATTCATGCATCTGTTTTCGTTTCTGGTCATCTATTTCCGTGGTGTGTTGCGTACAACTCTGGTTAGTTAAGGCTGTTAGTTACAGACCCATCTCTCTACCGCGGTTTCTACTTTAAATTCGATTCAAAGCATGTGCCAGAGCTCGTAATCGCCGGACAAATGGAATGGTGTGACCGGGGGCCGATACTGGAATAGATGAGTCGTTGGCAGTTTAGTTTCGCTCAGCAACATTCTAAGCGGGCTGTGTTGCTCGTACCCCCTCTTAAGTCAACATCTCTAGACCCGCACCTATTATTTTTTTTCAATTCTAGATTCAAGGTTATTACTAAGGGAGAGGAAGTATCTCTAAGGCCGAACATACAGAACGAACATGAAGGCATAGGTTTCGGCCATATCGTACAACAATGGTTCATTTCGGACCAACGGAGGGTATAGTTCAACGACAATACCTTACGAGATCTTATGAAGATCGTCGCTTCGGATTCGTATTCCTGACCCTGGTCTTCGTACCTTGGGGAAAAGACAGGGACGGTTCATGGGTCTACGGGACACGCCGAGCATGTATGCGTCCCCCTCCTTTTCGGCAGACTCCAAAGATCCCCAAATGTTCCACCAAATAAAATCGATCAGTCACACTGCCAAGCAGAGCTAGTGCCCAACACCGAGGCTCATAAAGGGGAGAGATCGATCTAAGACATGTGCTAAAGGGAACGGCAACGGTAAAGACTACCCGTAAGGTGCTAATATGGGCTAGTTCAGGGGCTATATTGGCACCTCAGGAACGTTCCTGTTCCTGTCAACAAATCAGCGATGAAATTAACTGTCAGATGGTCTATTTGGTGGTGTGGAAGGTGTCAAAAAGGGGCTTGGGATCGCCGGAATGGGGGCACACGTCCGAATTAGAGCTGAGTTATCAACCCAAATCAGCTCATCTTGGATATCCGTCTGTGTAAGCCCCATCCTATTCACGAGGAAAATTTTGCAAAAAACCGAGGCATGAATGACGGGCTTTCTAAAGTGCCGCTAGCGGCGCTTGTCTAATTCTCATTCTGTTCACACGACGAATAAGCCCTTGGCAATGACACGACACCGACACTTGCGTCGTATCTTGGGGGCCATCTATCCCCACGGGGGGCTGCATCTTGGCGCGGGGTAACACCCTGGCTGCCATGAGATCCTGTGCCATTAGGAATGGGGCTTGAGTGCGGTGGCTTTACAAAGCGGGAGCACGAAATAATGAAGAGAAACATAGTGTACCTCTTTGGATGGCAGGAAAGATATAAATTAGAACAATACCGCATGTAAATCCATGGTTGTGAGCCAGCTCAACCAGCCAGGCTGAGGAGAAGCCCAGAGTAGACCCAGAATCACAACCTCTACCCCCCAGCTACAGTCTGAGATTCCTGCCCACCATGATCGCCTCCCACCTTGTGCATCTCTTCCTCCTTGTAGCAGTCCAGGTGTCTGCCGTCCCTACTGCTGTTCTTGAAGGGCGGGCCAAAGTCGCCACCGCGACCATCAGCTCCCCCTCGGCCACGCTCCTGGGCAACGTCGACAATGGCGTTGAGCAGTTCGGCGGGGTCCCCTTTGCGGAGGGGAACCAGAGACTGCAGCGCCCCAAGAGATTGACGTCGCCGCTTGGCACGGTTGACGCGACGGGCGCTGCAGGGGCGTGCCCCCAGATGATTGCGACAACGGACGACAAGAACTTTCTCCTAAATCTTCTTGGCACAATTGGTAATCTCCCATTCGTCCAAGAGGCTACTGGACAGAGTGAGGACTGTCTCTCTATTACGGTGGCCCGCCCTGAGGGGACGAAGGCGGGTGATAATCTCCCGGTCCTATTCTGGATCTTTGGTGGAGGATTTCAGGTGAGTGGCCGGGGTGGCTTCATACCTCTCGATCCGAAATGGAGTAGAGTACGAGGCTAACATATCTTTGTTTCCAGCTCGGATGGTCTTCCATGTATGACGGCGAAGGTCTAGTCAACTACGCCAAGAGCATCGGCAAACCCATCGTCTTCGTGGCAGTCAACTACCGTGTCGCTGGCTACGGCTTCCTGGGAGGCAAGGAGGTCAAGGCGGCAGGCGTGGGCAATCTCGGTCTGCTCGACCAGCGCATGGGCCTCGAGTGGGTTGCTGACAATATTGCGGCATTTGGCGGCGACCCAGAGAAGGTCACCATCTGGGGCGAGTCCGCTGGCGCCATCTCCGTCTATGCCCAAATGGCGCTGTACGATGGTGATCACACCTACAAGGGCAAGCCGCTCTTCAGGGGTGCCATTATGAACTCGGGCAGCGTCATCCCGGTAGAACCCATCGACGGGAAGAAGGCCCAGGTTGTGTATGATCAGGTGGTCAAGGCGGGAGGATGCTCAGGCAAGGCGGATACGCTCAACTGCCTGCGCGGTCTGAGTTATACCGCCTTCCTGAATGCTGTGACTTCGGTTCCTGGCATCCTGTCGTACAACTCCCTCGCGCTGTCCTATCTCCCACGGCCTGATGGGGACAGTCTCACGGACTCCCCCGACGCGCTGGTCGCTGCTGGCAAGTATGCCGCCGTCCCCATGATCATTGGTGACCAGGAGGACGAGGGCACGCTGTTCGCGCTCTTCCAGTCAAACCTCACCACCAACGATCGCCTCGTCAACTACCTCAAGAGCTACTTCTTCGACAGTGCCACCACGAGCCAGCTCAACGACCTCGTCAACGCGTACGGGAATGGCCTGAGCGCCGTCATCGACGGCAGCCCATTCAACACGGGGATCCTAAACGAGATATTCATCGGCTTCAAGCGCCGCGCCGCCATCATGGGCGACCTCGTGTTCACGCTCGCCCGCCGCCTCTTCCTCCAGTCGGCCAACAGCGCCAACCCCAACGTGCCATCCTGGTCCTACCTGGCCTCGTACGACCAGGGCACGCCAGTCCTCGGCACCCTCCACGGCTCCGACCTGCTGCAGGTCTTCTTCGGCATCAAGGACAACTACGCCGCCAAGGGGATCCGCGCGTACTACATCAACTTCGTGTACTCGCTCGACCCCAACGAGGGGAGGGGGTCGTACCCCGAGTGGCCGCGCTGGTCGGAGACGAACAAGCTCCTCCACTTCTTCGCAAACAAGTTCGAGCAGCTGGATGACAATTTCCGCACCGCCGGGTACAACTGGCTGGTGAAGAACGTCAACTCACTGCGGTACTAGGAGGGGGGGATGGATCATCTCATCTGGGTAGGGGGAACGTGACTGATGGGTTGGGGTTCTGGGGTTCTGGGGGGGGCTGGGGTAGACGAAATCTACGTAGTAATGCCGATAATTACCTTGACTCGCGACCCACGCAGGCAGGTCACCTGCAGCCTTGGAGTCCTGGCCCATGCAAAATTGCCGTAGCGGTGTGTGCAAGATGGGATTTCCGGCGGGGGTTACACTGCTCGCGCTGGCTGAGGGACTTTTCGCCCGTCCGGTCGTAGTCGATCTGACATGGAAATCGTCCAAGCATCCGCCGTCGCATTGCATCCCGTTGCCGAGGTTTTTGGAAATCCGTCAACATGTGAAGCTTATCATCTCGTGTCCCGTCGTTTTCGCTTTGGGCCCCCTGTTCGCGAGCCCGCATCTGATGGCGTCATGAGATGTGGAGGAGCCAATAAGGCAGTCATCTTCATCATCCTTCGGGGGAGACTGTCGTTTCAGGCACGAACTCCGCGGGGTAGATCTCTGTGTGAGTTGCGAGATGCAGCCACGGCCCCAAGGAGCTGGTGGGCTGGATGGGCGATAAAAGACGTGAGACATCGGAATAGTCGTCTTGCAGAGCACTTTCTGGAATATGGAGAACCGTATAGCAATATGACATGAAATAAAATTGACCGTTTTTCCTAAATTGGATGCTTATTGTTAGCTCTGAGTAATATGACAATTACCAGTCACAAAGCCGAGAATCCAGCGGGACAATGTTTGGATGTATCAATTTTCAGCGTCACCAGTTGCCAGCCTGTTCATCAACTTGAGTGACCTCTCCCATGAGGGTGGTGTGGGTGTCGCCAAAGCTAGTGTTCATGCATGCAAAGTGCACGCATTGCATGCCTAGAAGCAACTTTAATTCCACATGCGAGGGAGCACCACAGGGCGATGTACGCAGTAGCACAATCGTCTGATCGTCACTCTTATGAACCCAAGTTCGGCAACAGGCTTGGGAATACTGCATACTGAATTGTCCCACGTCGATCGCTTTGGACACCCAGATCACCAAGTAACGGCTACAGGGCCTTTAACCAAGAATAGAGGAGCAAGATAACTCAGTCTACCCTTCAGTTACCGTTCTTGAACTCGTCTGAGTTACTCTCTGACTCTTTGTATCACAATGAACGTAAGGGCCGTCACTGAGGATCATCGCTCGCCGCTGCCATGCTCATCCGGTTTAAAGCAAAGTCAAGTGAGTTTGTCTTTATGTCGTATACGTTTCAATGAAGCTTTGTATTTACGTTTGAGTGCATAGAGATCAGTATGGGTAAGATATCGTTCCTGGCGTGGTGAATATTCTGGTAGGGCCATCAAAGCGCGGCATTCATTGCAAGAGTGCCAGCTGCCTGTGCGCTCAAGCTAACTGTACCATTCTCCTCGGTGGGTTGATTTTTCGCCTTTCAATCTCTAGTATGACCTTCTTTAGTAAGATATCTAGACATGGTCTCACTCAACGGCAGCCATTTCTCTGCAGCTTGGGAGTGAAGGAGCAGGAGGCAAAGAAAAATTGGTCAAATCTAACACAACTGTCCAGTAATCGGCCTAGTTCATTGACAAACGCGCATGGCGCAAATGAAAATTCACATTATGTGGTAAGGCTGACGTTCTTCCCATTCCCATCTCATCATTACCATTGGCTCATTATCAGTATTTGTTCAACGCGCAAAGGCGCCTTCCAAACATATCCCCAACCCAGCACCGGACCCAATTTCTTTCAACTCCTAGTGAATCAAAGGCATGTCCGTCTCACAACTACAAAGTTGCGAAAAATCCGAGTGTGACGGTGAGTCCCACCAAAACGAGAGACTTTGGCACTCCAGTAAAGTTGCCATGTCCTTTCGGTGCATCGGTGCCGGTCGAGCTGGGGGATGTCGGGCTGCTGGTCTGAGATGTCCCGTCTGCCCCGGCAGAGGCTGTATCAGAAATGGTTGTCGCGGAGTTTGGCTGCTCGTTGCCAGCTGTTTGAGTTGATTCAACTGAGGTGGTTGCACTGGTCGCTGTGGGCGAAGACGGACAATGCATGGATGAGAACGCTGAGCTTTGAATCGATGGCCAGTCATCAGCGTCCCCTCCGTCATCGTAGAAGTCGGCGGAGTATGTGTATGGCTTGTCCGTACCGCCCGTGATGACAACCATGACGGAGTGAGACTGCATATAGCAGGTATCCATGGCCCCCGATTGTGTGGGCAGCTCGGCGCTGGACTCATCAGCCTTGACCGTGGTCATGGCACATTGCTGCTCCGCCAAGTTGCAGTCCCAGGACGTTCGCGACCCTGAGATAACGTGGTTTCCAGCCCATGACGATCCGGAGATGTGTGTGATGGTCTGTTCCGGGAAATCGGTCGAGGCACAGGACGAGGCGCAAGTAAGGGCGTAGACTTGGGTGGCGGTATTCGCAGTTACGAGAGATGCCTTGAACGAGCTGGGGAAAGTGGCGTAGGGGAGGAACATTTGCCGGTGAGGCGTGTAGGCCCCAGTCCGCGTGGAGCTGTGTCGCGATGGCATTGTTCGCGCGCGTCTGTGTTGTTTTTCGGGGACTTCATGCGAGGAGGGTATCATCAAGGGGAGCACAAACAGAAGAGGGGACATTTTCCGTATAACATACCATTTCCTACTTTAGTATGTGAGCTCCGGGGCTCTTGAGCGTGGCCCAGAGCCGCACGTCGTTTATTTCCATGTGGTTGAATCTGCCTTGCCATCAAAGGCCTGTCCGTCCAGGGTAAATACGAAGAAGGATCCGCCCATTTTGCTTGTACGCCGCTACCTTGACGCAAAACACCGGACCTTACGCGCTGACCAAGGAAAGGCCTCCCTAGTCTATATGGGCTAATTTTACATATTCTAGAAATAGAGGGGAGGCCATTCAGGATCAACTGTTTTGTTCTCCATTAATGTTATAGAATAACGAACAAGAGTCACCTGGTGCATGCATCCGAAACAGTTCATCAAAAAGTAAGCACTGTGGTCTAAATGTCTTTGTATAATTACTCGAAAATAGCTTGTCTTCGCCAACATAACTCAGGATCGAACAAGCCCAGAAAATTGTGTTTTTGTTAAGAAAGAGAAATGTTTTTCATTTAGTTGATATGGAGATCAACAAAAGCTTCAAGCTCAAATACAGGACGGGGCTCTGTGCAAGAAAGAGATGAATCTAGGATGTAAAATAACACCTCTTACACCTCGAATCAACTTTTCCTTCCTGCAATGCAAGATGTGAGTTGGAGTGGTGGTCGCGTTGTGTGAGGATGGTGGAGGATAATTGCACCGAGGTGCTACCATGAATGCGGGCCTGATGCTATCATGAAGCTACATGTAAACGTCACCTTCAATTTCTACTCAAATAACAGTTTCATATTGGTTATCTTCATCTGCTTGTGTCGTGTGAAGAAAGCAGACTGGAACTCATTCTAAACAAATCGCCGTCAAGGCTTGTTTGCATCTCAGGCACGCTTGTTTTGAACCTGGCCACAAGGATGCAAGAAATGACGAGTTCAAGCAGGCATCGAATGCGAGTTAACATTTTAATGCCCTGGAGTTTAATCAAGTCACGGTTTGTTTACTTGGTTGCTGTGTAACTTTGAAGTCACAAGGCTTATCTTATCGCTACACGCGTCGCTGTTGATTGCTCCTTCCTCAGCGAAAGTGGCGTGCAGCAGCCACTTACTTCACCTTCATCCACTCTTCAACAGCTGCATTTCTTCACTTCTCCATCTTCATTCTCCACCTCCCTTTCTCACCTCATCCGCTTACTCCATCCGCTCCTCTAGACGTCCGGATCGAGTGCAACTTCCCATGACTTCCCGATCACGCTCTTCGCGGTCCTCGCGATCGCGAACCAGCCAGCGAAAACACCAACGAAAACACCACGACCTGGAGAAGAACGACCCCGAGCACACTTGGCGATGCAACCAGTATCTTCTTGTGCGCCGTTTGCAGTCTGAAGTGGAAGAGCGCTACAAGATGGTCAGGTATACTGAGGCAGACCTTGTTGCTCTAGGCTGCAAACTCGGTGCACCCCTCGATGTCGATGACCCCAAGCCGCTCGACTTTGATTCCAGATTTTTTGTTCCCTCTACCCGTCAACAGGCTAGAAAGGCGCTTCGAAGCTATGCGAAGGGACGCTGGACATCTCGCCAGCCTCTGAAAATCCCACACAGAGCAACATTTCATGGGCCGGATGCGAAGAAGAAGTTTGAGAGCAAGATTTTGAGCTTTTACGCCGCTCGTTCCACCGAAGCGGATGGCAACTTGCACTACTTTACGCAGGCAGCAATGATGTCCGAGCCCAAGGGCTGGTCTTGGGATTATAATTCGTATGTTCCTCTTTCCCATCTCCTTCAAACCGCCTATGATGAGAAGCCAGCTCCCTAATTAAACCATTTCTAGGCAACCTTGCAGGAAAGGAAACCCGGTATACATGCAGAAAGCTTGGTTCAACAGCTCTGGAGAACCTGTTTCTCATGAATGTGGATGGGAAAAGTGGACGTACTCTGAAGATGACTACAGCAATCCTGTCTCAACCATTCCACATGCTCTTGGCGCTATTTACGACAATATGCCAGCCAAGGAACAACAAGTCCAAAAGAGCGAACTCTACTTGCTTCTGATGCTCATCAGAGGTCAATTAAAGAATGCAAGAACCTGGCCTCGGCATCGAATCATCCCGGTACGCCCGCCACGTCCCCAGCGATCGTTCCAAAACTCGCTAACCACAATAACTACAGGCACTTGCAGTCAGCTTCCATTCACGCTTTACCGCCCGGATCGTTCAGGCCCATCTCGAACATGGCCAGGTTGTGTTACGCCTTTCACGACTTTTGAATCTACATACTGCCAAGCTCCCAGTCGATGGGAAAATCATCATAAAATGGCTGGGAAGTCGGCCGATGGGCGAGACGAGAGCGGCACTGCCTCCTAGTATTCAGTATGACGACAGAGACGAGGAAACTGTAGAGGACAAGGTCAATCCGGCACAAAGCATAGCTGTTGTAGGTTGAAGGGGTGGTAGCTCAGTTGTCCCAAGATGAGTCTTCGTGCTCTCCATGTTGTTGGCTCGATTTTTTTGATTTTCTTTTTCCTTTGCGAATTACCTGAAAACACCAAGTAATTCCACGACTTTTCATCGAGACGAAAACTAAGGATGGACAAAGGTTCGACTTGAAGCTATAGCACGGACACTCAATGGTTAACTGCTCCGGGTACAAGGGGTGGATCTGTATGTTTCTTCTGTAGAATGAGATCAATCAAATCGATCGACCAAGATAACATGGCATATTTCGTCCAAAAACAGCCAGTATTCCGTCGAAATAACCCAGTTATAATCAGTTACCGGGGCATCACCAAACCTGGGTACAACGGCCATCCTCTTTGAGCCAGCTGACACCTCAACAGAATTGTTGTGGCAGTCAGTCGGATAATAATGTTTCCTACTGTGTCATAGTAAGCAGATTAAACTACCTAATAATTACGCTTTGTTATTATTATTAACTATTGTCTATCAGTATCGTGGCCTGTATTGAAAAGTTGGGATTAAAACACGCTTGCAGTCCCTGTTATCTACTTGCCACTTCACTGTAACTTCTGTTGACGCGGAGTACAAAGGACAAGTAACTTTCTTTCGCCGTTGCTGTGGGCGGAGGGAGTTGCCGTGAGCCTCCTGGCCAAACAATAACAATGACCCACACCCACACGAGAAACTCCTCCTCACAACCCATCTCTTTTCCTCTTTCCGCTTTCCTCTCCTCCACCCTCCTCACCTCACTTCACCTCCCTTTTCCCCTCTTCACTCCTGCACCTCACTCGTACACTTCACTCCTGTCTTCGCTTCCGTCATCCTCATTTTGATATATCACTCAATCATATATTCACTCGATTCAACCAGTTGCTTGCTTCAGCTCCGCACACGACAATGGGGGGGGAAGAGAAACTTCCCCGAACCCGCCTCCAATGGGCTAAATTCATGAAGAGGCACCGCCGTTTGCCTCCAAACGTCTCTCCATACAACGTTTCGCTTGATGGTGTGAAGAGACTGGCCTCCGCCTCCGTGCTTGGGTTCGATGACTGGCTCCTACTCAGAATCCTACCAGTTTTTGACAAACGAGAGCCAACTCCGACCCTTATCCTTGGCTCAATAGTTGGGCCTAAGATAGAGAAGGAATGTCTCAAGTATCTACAGAAACAGAGGTGGTGGTCAGCTGTAGAGTCATCCAGCGATGAGCCGAGAGATTGGGTTGAGATGGCCATTTAGAAAAAGGCAGATCTTGACATCGCCGCTCGAAGCAAAATCATCCAATACGAGCCTCCGGAGTATGACTGGGACAATCTTTTCGCATACAAGATTTCCGTTGAGCCTGCGTCAGGATCAGCGCCCGACTTCACTCCTGAGCCAGTCCCTCACCCAAGGCCAACCGCGATCGCGGGCCAGAACACGAGACGTACCAGCGACGTGACAGGTGCCCGATCTGCAGAGGCACACGACTTCGAAATTGATGTCGCCAGTCCCACCGGGAGCTCGAAATACTCCCCAGGCAACGTCTCCGTATCGAGTCTCACCTATCGTCTATCCAAACGTCCACCTGATGAGGCACTGGTGAACAAGTCGGTGATTGATCTTTTGCAGGGGATCAGCATGTATCACCCGGCCATTAAGAACAAATACAACTGGACCATCATTCACCAGACGTTTCATGTGCTCCAGCAGCGGGAGAGGAAGGAACAAATCATGACCAGCCAAACCGACGGCTGTCTCCAGGTTGAGAGAAATGACGAACTTCTAGAGAATTGCCCCACCCTTGCCATCGTCGAAGCAAAGCCCGTACGCCGGAAGATGAAGGCAATTCCCATTGCGAGGCAAGAGGGTGCCGAGATGGCTGCCTGGATTTCGACGGAGTCCCTTCGTGGACTACTGCCAGGGTCCAAACCAAACGGAATCATGAGGTAAGTTCACCCCACAAACATCACAGGTATCTTGTTGTTTTATTGTTAATCCCTTTTTTAATTGTAGAAGAGTTCTCATTGCGCAGGACCTCGACGAAATTTGCATCACAGTTGCCGAGTACGACCAAAAATACGTCGATTACATCACCAACGGGTTTAAGAGCGCAGAAATGAACTCTACACAAGGCTCGCCTACAACTGACGTACAGTCGCGGCAGAAGAGGCCGCAGCAACAGGCTCAGCAACAGGCGCAACAGGGGAGGGAGAAGAAGCATAAGGGTGACGAAGGTGACGGTGACAAACGTGACGATGACGAAAGCGACGATGACGAAAGCGACGACGACGACCACTAGCAACGGTTCCCCGCCGATCTCGAAGACCAAGGTAGCACAGGGTCAAGTGGCTTTCTTACCATGAGGAGATTTGCTCCCATTCAGATCACCGACGACACCATTGGCAAAATCATGGTGCTTTTGCTGTCGATCACTGTTTGGCTCTGTGACCAAGACAGCCGAAGCACGGGGAGGCTAATCGTCCAAGGTCCTCTGCTTTCTGCTGGTGATGGATGATGATTATGTAGTCAGGATTAGACGAGAGTGTGTAATGTACATGTATGAACGACAGGGTCATAATCAATGGTTCTGACCGTGCTAAAATCCTAAGATAGAATAATCACCCTAATAACGAGCTCAATAAACAAACGAAATACCAAGATCCCATGTTTCTGCCCATGCAAGTGACTAACATAAAACCGGCCACATCTAGAGCGTCCAGCGCCCAATATCAACACAATCAAAACAATAAAGTCAGTCATCAAGGCAATATCAAGCTAGATATCGTAAAATAAGCGTTTCTTTTCTTGTTATCACATTCAATAAGAAGACAACGTCCCTGCCGTGAGTGAAATGAGTTTTGGTGTGTGAGATCTTTGACTAGTATGAACAAAACATTCCATCGCCCAGACCCAGGAGGCTTGTGACTTGCGGTAATAACTTCCTCACTCTACTCTTGCTTCTACTGAGAAAAAGGTACGTCACTCACACTGAACTGTCGGCACGAAGAACGGGCAGCTCGAGTTTCTCAGGCGACCAAAAACAAACACCCAACGCGCCGACCCACATTGGACTCTTCACTTTTCTACCTCTGTTTTCCTTCTCTCTTGTGCAACTTACGCGTCATCACCTTCTTCAAAACCCCGATCCGTTACCTTCCTCCCACTTCTTCCAAACTCACCTCTCTTCTTCACTCAGTCATCTTCATCTGTTTTCATCAATCCCTTTCATTCTCTTTGTCTGTCGACAGACTTTCTACTGCTGCTGGCATGATTGCTCCTTCTTGAACCTACTTTCCAGCCCATCAATCACGAAATGGCTCCTCCAAAGCCATTAGTTATTCTTCCCAATCATGAGAAGTCATGGGCTAGAACTATCAGACAAAACCGCCGTTCACTTCCCGGGACGAACCCCTCCACCGTGTCCCTCAACAACCTTCAGCAGCATCTAAACTTGGCTTCAAAGGTCACGCTCCCGGACTGGTTGTTGCTGAAGGCTCTGTTCATCAAGGAAGGCAAAAGCCCAACCCCCACCAACCTCTTTGGCGAGGAAATCGGGGCCTCTCTTGAAAAGGAATGCCGTCTGCATCTTCAAGGTCAACGTTGGTGGCCAGCACTTGAGTCAAAGAACGGAGACGCTGAAGCCTGGTATATCATGGGGCCGTGGAGGATGTCCCAGCTTGATTTTCAGGAAGAGGCGGATATTCGGCTCAACAAACCTTCAACTGGTGGCCGGCACGACGCTTTTGGCATCGAGCCCACCGACGCCTACATCGAACCCGCCGAGAGCTCAGGTGGTAAATTGAGAATTAAGAACGATACTCGCGTCCCGAGGCGTATTTCACCATATAAGACCATTGTAAACGCAGCGCTTGTGCACCTGTTGCAGGGAATCAGCCTCAACCACCCCGATGTTGATCCCGAATTCAAATGGACAATTATTCACCGAGATTTTGAAGTTTCCCAGCTCCGACATAGCGACAACGAGGACAAACGCAAGAACATCATGACGGCAAATGTGCACGGCTTTCTCCATGTCATCGAACCAGACAAACGTGCAACACATTGTGACACCTTGTGTATCCTCGAGACGAAGCCTGTCCGCCGGAAGGTAGAGCCCGTTTCCATCGCAATGGCGGAGGCTGTCAAAATGGCAGCCTGGATTTCAACTGAACACGAGCTTGGCCTGTTGCCAAGCTTCCAATCGGACGATTCGAGCCAAGTGAAACGGTACGTTTATTCGATCCCCAAACTCACGATATTATTGTGACTCCTGATATTGTTTCGGTTACAGACTAACCTTTTTACATCTACAGGAGGCTTCTCGTCTCCCAGAATTTAGACGAGATCTGTATAACAGTTGCTGAGTACGATGAGGAATACGTTCGCTACATCGCCAACAAATCGTCTTCGAACGCGAGCTCAGTCAGAGCGCGGCGCAACAACCAACGGGGGCAACACGGGCAGAGGGAATATGAGCATGAGGTGGAAAGTCCGAATGATGAGCACGACCCTCAGAGCCGGGTTCGCGATACTCAGAACGATGATGCGACCGGGCGTGATGAGACCAACGAAACGAACAAATACCCACGACACAATAAGGAGGATGCTATTGAGCAGGCGAATATTGGTGACAATACCCTTGAAGATGATGAGAGCAATGGGCTTGAAAGCTTTGAGTATAACGAGCACGGCGAAGATGACGGCTCTGAACCGTACGACCCCGATACGTTTACGCCAGGCTTCCTCACGATGAGGCAATTTCCTCCCATCCGGATCATCGACGACGACAATATTGGTGACCTTATGGTCCTTTTGCTGTCCATCACAGTCTGGCTCTGTAGAGAGCACAAGCGCTCCGTTGCACCCCAGTAACAATTTTATTTGTACCAGGTTGAGACTAGATGTTTCTACCCAGATTAGATTGTTTCTACGAGGGTTTTTTTGAGACTGGTTTGTTTTTAATGTAGTGTATTTGCTGCCATCAATAGTTTCAGCCAGGCACTGTTGATCCAAGTCACCGCCACTGCCCCGAAAGCAGAGGAAGACTTCAGGCAACAGTAGCCCCAGACAGAGTGAATGAAAAGTCCAGTCCTTGCTTCACCTCGCTCGACAAACTGAATGGGTCATACAAATACAGCGAGGAGGGTGTGTTCGCCACTACCAGGGTGGCCTCCTCGCCGCTGGCCAGAGTGACTGATCCAGACCCCTGGACTGCCACGTACCGCGTCCCCGAGCTTTTGTACACGGCGAGGGTGGCGGTGTATGCCCGGTTGGCCGTGATGCTGACGGAGATGGTGCTTCCCGAGGCGCGCAGAGGGATGATGCTGGCGCCCATGTAGAGCGGCTGGCGAGCGCTCTTCACCTTGTACGTGCCAGTCCCCGTCTGGTCGACATTGTTGAAGTTGATCGAGCCGCGCTGGTTGAAGAAGACCTGCTGGGCCTGCGGGTGCCCAATGTCTGCGTAGGCCATCCGTGCCCAATACTTTCCAACAATGGTGGCCATGCTCGTGCTGCCAGCAACACGCTGAAGGGTATGGAATGGTGTTTCATTACTGTTGGGAGAGTATCGGAGCATCATTTGTCGGAGTGTGTCGGTACCCAGACCGCTATAACCATCTGGGTTGTTGGTGATGTAGGTAAAGAACGGCCAGGCCTGGTAATAGTTGCCAGTATTGACAGAACCATCAACGAGAACCTGGAAGGAGTCTCCAAGGACCTTGGCGAGCTCAATCTCCGTCGTTCCAGTCGGCTGATTGTACTTGGTCCTCGAAGCGCTGCACAGGTTGGAGGTCTTGTAGGTGTCGGCAAACCAGTTGGCAAATGTCTCCCACCAGGCCCCGGTCCGTCCCTGGTCGACCCATGTCTTCTGGTGATAATGCACTCCGTGGCCGAACTCGTGAACGACAACACCGGACACGGTAATATAGTTCTGCTGCACCTCGAGCCAAGCCATGCCGGTGCCAGCGTCGGAATGCATCACGCCCGCTGCTCCTGGGAGGGAGGCGACCGAGTATACATTCACCTTCACCCATGGCCCAGCATTGGACGCATCATTGTAGGACAACCCGGTGGATCTAAAGCCCAAGGTCGTGACAAAACAGTCGTATGCACCTTCAAGCATAGCAATCGCTTGGTCGGCAGGGCTGCCATTGTTGCCGTAGATGCGGAAGTGCGCCGAGTCTTTGTAGACACTTCCACCTGGGCCAATGTTTGGATTCGCTGTGAAGGTTGCCGGCGGAGCCGCGACAGCGAGATCCGGAGTAGGAGCCGCCCAGGTCGTTAAGGCGGCCTGAGAGAGGATGAGAAGTGTAACTGAAAGGGAGGAAAACATGGTGAAGGATAACCAGGTCAGCTATTCAGTGGCGAGAAGTTTCAACAACCGGTGAAGGCTGAGTGGGAAAATCCCATTTACCCCGTTACCAAGCCCATCGGAAGGACATTTATATGTCTTCATGTACACAAGGATGATTGATAGCCGTTAAAGACTTCCGAATCCTGCCAACACATGCGCCAGTCCCGTGATACCAAATAAGCATTCAGTTGTTCACATTACAATAATCGCTCGAATCAGATCTAGCCAAGACTCTAGGGAGGCCTGCTCTTTCGATAACTCTGATACAATGGAGGAGTGTCGGGGCCTGCTACCGCGGATCACACTGACAATCGACCGTTTTCAGAACAGTCATGGAGCCGGTGGTGAGCCCGATTGGCACCGGCAGGCGATCCCGATCAGTAGGATCATCATCGGTGACACTTAAATAGTCTGTCATTCTCTATTGATAGCGTGATTTAATTGAAACGCTCTTAGGGATGTAACTTCGGACATTTTATACGCTGTCGTCCAAGTCGCTCGTGGTTGTCAGCCTACCCTATACCCATGATGCTTGCTGGCTACGGCATTCTCGATCACTTCCAGACGAGAAATTTCATAAAATTTGAAACCTTTATCCTTTCCTGTGCTATCTCTCTTAGACTTCGTATTCAGATGAGATAGAATCCCACGTTGGTGTGCTTTGATACGTGGAAATCAACTGCTCTTGCTAGGGTGTGTATCGGGATGTGGTGGTGACAACAACTCGCATCTCGAATGGGAGGATCGGAGAATGCTACTGATAAAGTCTGTCCCGGATTGGAAGGTCATTAATTTTCCAACGGGCGGGCGAATTGCTACTACGCTGTATTGAGCAGGTTCAAGAGAATGACGGAGGGCTGCCCGGTAATGATCTAATGCTTGCCGAGAGCCTGAGACCACATTCCACGGATCGTGAACTGAAACGGGCTCGAGAGCGTGCTTGTATTGCATCAGCAATCGCCAGGGTGGCATAATCTATTGTGTTGTTTACACAAGCATCCACCCCTGAGCTGAGTGAGTGCCGCAATGCAGCTTAGTGCTGCCACTGTGCAGTTCCGTCTAAATTATATTGGGTATCATAGTATAAATAATAAGTCACACTGTTGATCAAATTACGTTTGTCATTTCATCATCCTCCCTGCAAGTGGCCTAATCAAGCAGCCAATCCAACACCGCGCTCAGGGACTTGGGCTAACTGGTTTCCGTCGTGGAAACGCTGAATAAGCTTCCCCCTGATCCAATCACGAATTTCTCGGTCTCGAACTGAGTCAGGCCGCATCCTCTGGCTTGGCTTGGCTGTCGCTCCTTTCCTCACCGGTCGACGGGGCAGGGAATGATCCCATCGTGGTCGCGGAGTCGTCATCCCGGATGCCGTTGACAGGGAGCAATCCTCAGTGCCCCAGCTCCGTACTCTGACTTTCTTAACGGTGAAATATAGCCAAGTTGAGACGCTTGAGCTGGTAGGGAATTACGGTCAAAAGCGTCTGGGCTTAAGCGTATTATTTGCCACCAGTGTTGGACCTCATTCTTCATGGGTGGGTTTGAATTTGTTTTGCGCGTTTCTGCTAAAGCGGTCTTTGTTGTGCCTGAAGCGGTGATTAATCGCAGAGTGCGCATTTGACCATGAGACAGCAATTCGGAAATTCGAGTGTAATGGCGAGGGTAAAGCAGACATCTCCGCGACATCGTGAGGGGAGGCTAAATGCGGATTTTGATATCCATCAACGCGCATGTTTCGTCTCCAAAGGGATGTTCAAATCCTGGAGGCAATTATTGTTCAGTGAATGTGTAGTCGGTTGTCATTGCTGAAATTGCCGGTGACTGCGACCTGTAATTGCAAGCATCACGTCATGATGGAGAAGACGTGATCTGGTCTTCGTCATGGTCTTTCCAACTTGGCAGTCGAATGTTTCTCCCCAGGCAGATCAGCCAGAGCAAAATGGCTGAAGGAAAGGGAATGCCTTGCCAACCTGCTCCCCCCAGCGCCAATTGTTGGGATTCTGAAGATGTGCCTCAAAGACCGGATGCAGCAGCATGGTCTGCTTGTCAGGAGACTCAATAAAGGCGGTTGAGTCTTCGTACGGCCAGCTCACAGTCAGCGAAGCCCCGGACAGCGTTCTCAACTCCTCAAACCGGCCCCAGTCCATATCTTTGATGATAACATTCCGCGCTTCAGGCCACACAATGACGTCTATCCATGCTGGGTGGGGTACCTTGAGCTGCAGCTCCGTCGGTCGTAACATCGCGGGCATCTTTTCGTATGTCTCCCTGGAGCGGCACACCAGCCAGCGGATCAAGTGTGAGAGCGTATACATGAACCCGATCCGCTCAGCCAGGGTCTTGACGGTTGAACGGAAAACTTGAGCTGCAACAGCGTTGGAGAAAGACCGGGCCCAGTCGCGTTCCAGGTCATCGGGGCGGTTCAGCAGGGAGCTGATGCTGGGGAAGACGGATGCGCTGAACTCGGCCTGTTTGCCAGACTTCTGGTAGCGCGAGTTCCATGCCTCGGTGATATTCTTGATAACTTCATCGAGTTTCGTCGTAGGAGCCAGATGGGGAGGCACTCTTTGCCAGTCGGGAACGAAATCGGACGTCAGGGATTTTTCGTCTGCCGCTAGACTTGTACTCGTAGGGTTCTGGGATATGGTGGCACTGTCGTTCAGCTTCCCCGAGTTGAAATCTCCAAAGCCATCGCCGAGGCCCAAGTCCAGAAGCCTGATGTCCTGACCGGGGCTGATTGTGTTGATCGTAATACCCGTACCGAACTCAAGAGGTAGGCTGTAAAGAGCCCGTTGGTCGGTGGGAGCTGCTCGCGCCGTGTGCATGCCTGTAGAGAGCTCGCTGTGCTCGAGGTCCAAGGAGGGTGGCGGCGAGAGCGTCGTTGACCAGTACGGCCCCGATACCCCCTTGCCATTGTCCGCCTTTTCACTTTCGTAATGGTCGATGAGTGACTCAGCCTCGCGGAGCTGGCCGGTGAGCTCTAGAATCTTCTGCTCCAGGGACCGGATGTAGGCCTTGTTCTTCGCCCGGTGGTGCCGCTGGTTGTCGCGGTCAATCGCGCGCTTCTTCTCGGCCTGCTCGGCTGTGAGGTTCGAGATGCGGCGGGCGGCGTTGACGCTGCTCATGGCCGAGCTGCTGTCCGACGATCGCCTCTCCATTTGAGAAGCGCCGGGCAATGGGTGTCAATTAAATCGTTTCGTCCGCGCTGAGTGTCCCTTGAGCTCCTGAGAGCCGTCAAGAGTTCAGGCAATGGATGTCAAACGTGTCATGTTAGCAAGCGATGTGGGCGGCTCCCTCGACTCTGTGTATTTAAGGATGGGCGGTGCGATCTCTCCACTTTTTGGGCAATGATGGCATGCTTGTGCGTGCGAATGACACCATCGCCAATCTGATGCTGTGTCATGTTAGTGGTCCCACCCGGCGAGCAGGCTCTGATCGAGGGCTGAACCGCGATGGGAAGCCTGGTGAATGCTGCTCCCGCGAGCCAGTCATCAGTCTGGTATTATAAGCCGGGGAGTCTGGCGTAAGGGCAGAAGGCTTCACGACGGAGGTGTATAAAGGGGTTGACCGTCCTGCACCGCTCATCACCGACATCAGGATGGCCGTGTCTCACCGGCTCTCGCCAATTTGACTCAGACTACCCCGCCCTTGCGAAAAGCACATCATTAGTGAGCAAATTGACACAAGTTGCCCAATCTCCAAGTGGCAGTTGAGAGCTGAGCCTTGCTTTGCGCGATGTCTGCCTTCTCGGCCGGCTATTTTCAATTGGGCAACGCAACCAACCAACAAACTAATTCTTCTTTGCATTGGATTAGACTATGCAATCTCAAACCTTCATCAAGCAAGCTTTATTATTATTACTGACCATAATAGTAATCGTTGTGCACGATGGGAGATTGCACTATTTCCATAATACGCACTCGAGGGGACGCAGACCTGAGCCGGCAATTGTGAGGAGAAAGGAGTTTGCCACCTACAACCAGACTGGGACCAACGGAGTTTTGTAGTAGAAGTTTGGACGAGGCAGAAAACATGATAATGGTGCTGCCCCATTCATTTTTACCTTGATGGACACTCCACTCCCTCGTGCTTATTTTTCCAGGTTCATGTTGGCTGGAACCTAATCAACGATGAAATGAGTGTCCCAACCCCAAATCCTTGTAAGAGAGTTGTTATTCGCAGTTGTTCTTGCAATTGCTACACCCGCATCAATCCCCACGTTTTCATCGCGGTATTGCAACACGATTCAGGCCGAAACTGTGGGTGTATAGATGAGGCAACGGCTCAATCGGGTTCTGTCGGCAATTTGGGTGGTCCCTGCATTGGGGATCGAGGAGATCAGGCGCGATAGGTTAAAGATACCACATGTTGCATCGTGCATTAATCTACAAAGCCCCAATTTTGGGTGGATTATGCTTCTCAGTTCTCTCTCCTCAGGGTCGGGCCTGCATGGCCAACAGACTTGGCAACAGTTGACCGACTGAAGCTCACGATAGGGGAAGGCTGCAGGGTTTTGAAAACTACCGGCGGCCAGCATCGCCCAATGGTGCTGTTTTAATTAGAAATCAGCGGCGAATCCGTAACATGCATGGACACTGTCCCCGAATAAGCAGGTGCTGTAGCACAATTGCCGGGAGTCTCGGTAATGCACCTGTCAGCGACCCTACCTAAAATATTCGACTCAACATGCGCGTCGTCACAGCTAACAGAGAGAACGGCCAGTTTGCCAGGCGTCTGATGGATTGTTAATAACTCATACTCAATAAGCGTATAGTAATGCTGTAAAAATTGAGGCAAAGATGATTGGCAATATCGATCTATGTGCGTATTTGTGCGTATACACCCCTGTCCGATCCCTGAGCACGGTGCACTTTGCCACAATCTCAGAAATGCAAGCACTTCGCTAATTACGTCTGTTCCGTTCCTGGAATGGATTACCGTTCCTGAACAAGTTAGTTGAGTACGATCTTGCCAGGAACATGTCGGCACCGAGCGCGTTTGACAGGTGGTGGCCGTGCGTGATGAAGCGGACATCCTGGCTCTTGGCTCTTGTGAAAGCTGCAAAACTCTTGTCTGAGAAAAATGTATCATGTATGAGACCGTTTGAGACGGCTTCTCCTGTTAGTCGCCACCATATCCCGCGAATCTCTGGTCAACTAGCGTTCAAAACGGCCTTACCGAGTATCAGATATGTCTGCGAACGGGCCCTGGGCACATGGGGCAAGGATTCTTAATTTTACCTTTTACCAAGAAAAGAATGCCCATGCGCGAAGGAATTCTGAGTCAGATTTTAGCTGTCTTATGCCTATTTTGCCTTGGGATATATAGATCTTGGATAGCCACTGAGTATCGCGAAACTTGTTCTCCCCATTGCACCAGGAACCAACAGTCTCAGCCGCCAAAACGCTACAGTAGCCATGGTCCTCTCCAGCACTCTTCTGCTCTGCGCAGCCGCGCCGGCTGTGATGGCTTTGTCCGTCGGCAAACGCCAAGCTGCAGGAGCCTACTCATTGCCGAGCTCAAGTGCCAACTCAACCGCGCGAGCAGCAGCACTCAGCGTTAAGCGGGCTGGCTGGGAGTATGGTCCGTTCCTGGATACAGCCGCGCCGTTTTACCCCAAGGGAGAATTGGGCGATGCTGCCACTTACCAAGTGAGACACGAGTAAGTTTGAGATAACTCCTATAAACAACCATCAGATGGCCAGGGACTGACTTGTGTAACTAGTTGGAACACCACTCAGCAGGACCCTCAAAGTGCAAAGTCCTCGGCTGATGCCCAGGCCAATATGGTTTCCATTGTCTCGGTAAGTATTGCATCACTACGGTCCTAGCTAGGCGTTTACTCACCAAAAATAGACGGGCGGTCTCACGAAGCTGGAAGATTATAATAAGCTGTACGACAATTCATGGACGAATTCCGCACCCAATGGACCTTGGAAAGGCATGATGCAAAACTACACGAGCGACTTGCTCTTCGGTATGGAGCGTCTCTCCACCAGCCCCTACAGCGTTAAGAGACTGCAACCTACCGACAGCCTGCCCTTCACAGTCGATAACGCTGCAAGCATCAGCGGACAGTCTCTGGAGGAATTGCTGGCAGGCAATCGCCTATTCATCGTCGACTACTCTAGCTTCAAGGACCTGGCCCTGTCTGCGGGCAAATACGCAGCCGCTTGCCAGGCTTACTTCTACATCCACCCCCAGAGTGGCGAGTTCCTCCCTCTGGCGATCAAGACTAACGTGGGCTCCGATTTGACCTACACGCCCGAGGACAGTGAGAACGACTGGCTTCTGGCAAAGATGCTCTTCAACATCAACGATGGTTTCAACCAGGAGTTCGAGCATTTCGCAGCATCCCACTGGGTCGCCGAGATTGCATACCTGGCCGCGATCCGAACGCTTAGCGAGGACCACCCTGTTATGCCCATTGTGCACAGGTGTAAGTATCTACATGTGTTCCAATTAACAGAAAATTGTTGTTAGCTAACCTCTAAAACTGATGAAGCTGGCTTGGGCGATGCGTCCTGCCGCCGCCGAGAGACTCCTTTTCGCCGGCGGTCCCGTTGAACGGCTGTACCCTTGGTCTGGTACCATGGCCCTTAACTACGCCACTGATCTCTATCTGTCTGGAGTCTCGGGATCCTTCACTGGAGGCTACTTCGAAACTGATCTTGAGAAGCGTGGCCTCCTCGGCAAAGACGGCGTTCCCAAGTTCAAGACCTTCCCTTACTATGAGGATGCTTCCGTTATCGTGTCGAGCATCCAGGGCTTCATGAACACCCTCGTTGATTCGTACTACTCCAATGACAAGGCAATTCAACAAGATACTGAGCTCCAAGCCTGGATCTCGGAGGCTGCCGAGGCCGAAATTATTGATTTCCCTGCCTCGCCACTCGGTACCAAGAAGGATCTCGTCAAGCTTTTGACTCACATCGCCTACCTTGTCTCCGTCAAGCACGGCGTCTCAAACACCAACAGTGTTGTCGCTACCTTGTCCCTGCCATTCCACCCATTTGCCCTGTGGGCTCCTCTCCCCACTGAGAAGGGAGTGACCAACGTGGTGCCCTTCCTCCCAGGCGTGGAGGCATCCGTCGGACAGCTCTTGCTCGAGGTTTCATTCAACCGACCTACCTGGGCCAACTCGGACGAGAACATCATCCACATGTTCGCCGACTCCGAGGTTCTGGGCAAGATGGACACGAAGGTGCAGGACGCCGCCACCAAGTTTTCCAGCGAGATGACTGCCTTCAGCGGAAAGGTTTCCTCGCGCACCTTCGATAAAGACGGGCTCTCCCAGGGAATGCCTTTTGTCTGGCAGGCTCTGGATCCCAACCTGGCTGGATATTGGCTTGCTGTTTAGACTTTCCTTGCTTTGACCCTAAAAGTGTAATAATATTGACTGGTAGTTCGAGCATTCCAGCTCAAATCATAGAGTAGACAACTGGTTTCTTAGAATAATTTTCTTTTTCAAAATCTCTCAACAGGCAAATTGATGTCTTTTATCCCATTATCGTAGTAGGGAGGTTTCTTCTACTATCAAAGTGCAAGAATCAGTTGAAAGAAGTGATATGAACACATGATCTATTCATGGTGTTGAAATGTCGGGTCTGACATCTTCTATTATTGTTTTTAACTTTATACTCAAACTCTCTCCTGTATATGAACAGATGATTTCGCTTGAAATACGTACTGGGATAGGCACACAGCTTGGTAAGCAGGATAGATTCATTCAAGCACTTATACTGTCATAACTGAAGTGCATAACATTTCATAATAATGAAATCTTCTGGGTTACATCATTGTAATGGAGGTCTATTTATCTAACAAAATCAAGCTCCCATACCTAAACAGGAATCAATAGAGGATTGGATCTGCCCCCTGGCATAGCATTGGAAGTCCATCTCATCTCTGAGTGATGCTCATTGATCATGATGTGTCTCGACCAGTGAACGTCAAACAGCTCAAAGGCTAACCACAACCTTCTGCGCAGAAACGCCCTTGAAGAGATGGTCGATAGCCCCTTGAATACTCTCGAGACCCTTGCCAAAAACAAACGGCGTTGGAGCGGGAACATAGGCGCCGCTCTTGAGTGCCTGCGGCAGGAACTCTTCAAAAACTGCCTTGGCGCTGGGCGTGCTGTTCAGAGCAGGGGCATAGATCTTCTTGGCATACACGCCCTCGGGTGGATTGAGTTCACCTGGGAACACAGTCGCAACTCTCTTCGCACCCTGTGACTTATCTGCGAGCTCAAAGCAGTGCTGGTAGGCATCCCTTCCTACGGCATCAAGCACACCGGCGACTTCCCGACCTGCGACGGCACCAAGAACGTCTGCGATAACTGTGGGACTCTTGTAGTCAAAAACATGGGCTGCTCCAAGCTTTTTCACAAGATCAAAGTTGCCCGGAGATGCAGTGGCAATAGTCTCGTAGCCAGCATGGCGCAAAAGCTGGATCGCATTGCACCCGACGCTGCTGGCGCCTCCCCAGACCAAAACAACTTTGCCGGTAGAATCTTGTGCTGGAAGCTTGGGCAGTTGAACACCTAGCCACTCAGGAAGGAAGAGGGCCGAGGCGGCGGTGGAAATGCAGAGAGGCAGAACAACAGCGGTTTCGAAGGACATGTCATCCGGGATCTCGGTGGTGGTGTCTACACTCACGACGGTGTAAGCCTGGAAGCCAGCCTCCTCTGCCTTTCCAGTAGAGAAGGCCGATGCCGTGGCGAGAACCCGATCACCCTTCTTGAAACGAGTCACATTGGGCCCGACCTCAACCACCTCGCCTGCGATGTCTTCTCCGAGGATGGTTGGGTAGCGAAGAGGATAGACTGCTAGTTTTTGGAGCTTGGCGTCGATTGGGTTCATTGCCAGGGCGCGGTTCTTGATGAGGACTTGGTTCTCCCCTGGGGCACCCAACGTCGATTCCTTGACATTGAAAGGATAAGCCTTCGCGGCGTCAAGCCAAGCTGCTGTGTTGGTAGCCATTTTGAGAGTGATAAAACTTGAATTGAGATTGGTGCTTCTGAAGATTTGGATGTAGGAGATTGCTTGTGATAGTTCGATTCTATCTTCAACCGAGAGGATCAAGTCCAGACTTTATACTCTTGGAACATCCAGACCGACCGACTTGGTGTAAGTTGAGAAGCATACAAATTCGAAGGAGGTGGAGTCATCGCGGTACACTAACCCAATGGGACAGGATGGCGTCTGATCGGTTTGGCATTACAGGGATCACTTGCGCCTCCGTTTCTTTTAGAGGGTGGACAAACGGGGTATTCGATTTCCGAGCTGTCTTTATCCCCGTGAATAGAAATAATACGGCATTCTGTCTTGCAAGTCGGACTTCGGGATTTCCAGAACAAGCTAGCCTTGAGCGCTTGACATCGTCACAGAAGACCTCATATCGCAAAGGCGTAGTTAGATTTGAACATTTACATGTATCAATCACACGTCTCCGCATGATTTATAATCTACGAACCCGAATCCATCATCATTCTCATCTATTCAATAAATCCCGACCAAATGATTATACAGGCACACGTCAAATGATGTCTATCAATGTTGTCGACCTATCAGTAGAAGTTAGCAAGGAGTGAATCGAGGCTGGCCATAAGTACCTACCGTTGCAAGCACTGTCGCCATCCCGATGCCCATATCAGACCCAATCCACCTCAGACACCTGCGGAAATAGCTACGGATTGCCTCTGGAAGATAGCTCGTCTGGCATGCCGTGTACAAAGGATACATGAGTAGAAAACCGCCAAGAAACCGCCCAGGATGTTTTATACCTGAAGTGGTATCTTTCTCCAACAAACTTGACTGAGGGTTATCCGCAAGATGGAATAGGATAGACCCAGCCATGTCTTCAGCTACTTGAGTCCCCCGAGTGATGTATTGCTGTACGCACTGTTTATCGTCTCCCAAATTGGATGAGAGGTCTATAATCATAGAAATGAGTAGCAGTCTCGCCCCTCGAAAGGTGTTCCAAACCCCAGACACGTAGAGATCAAAGTAGGAATCCACCTTTCCCGGCCACCTCCCCACTGCAGGCTCGTCAGAATTTGCAGCAGGGGCAACATGGCCAGCCGTGGAAGGCCGGAACTCAGGGCTCCGCGAAGACTCCCAATCCTTAAACCGGTCTTCTAGCTCAATTGCTTCTGCTACAAGCAACCTCAGGTGGTCTAGAGACTGGCAGGCATTGACCCTCGCGGATAGGATGTGGAAGTCGACTAATAGGCAGTCAAACGCACCCCCAATATTTAAAGCTGGGGGCGAGAAAACACCAAGAAACTGAATAGTTAGCTCAAGCACACTGCCGGAAAGAACACGGTATGTTCAAGGAGAAGCTTTTGACGACAGGCATGAACATGGAGACCTACCTTGTTATCTGGATTAAACGTTACTGAACCGGCTGACTTTCCGACGTTCACCAAGGCCAGGAATCCGTCAGCATGGGCGTCTATTGACGAATAATTCGTCTCATCTGCCATGATCATCTTGAGTTTCTAGTTAGACTTCCATCTCTAAGGCTTGTGTAGTGTACCAGATGCAAGGGATATGGAATACCTGATACAGCCCAAGTAACATGACGACTCGTTTGAGCTCGGCTGCATTATTAGCGTTGGAGTATGCGATTATCTTGGCTAATGACGTGAGAATCTCCTGGTGCGCCCTTTCACCCTGGGAAATAAAGGCTGGTCTGTTCAACCCCTTCCCGCGGCTGGCAAAGGAAACAGCTCGACAAGCCTTGGCAAGGTCAGAATTAAATCCAACCTGCCGGAACAGGGCGTCCAAATCAGGGAGATAGCTACGCGAGAGGTTCTGATTAGTCGACACCATGCCGTAGTCGAACAGGAAACACCGGAATCCAAGCATTTCACTTTCAGCTTGGGATGTCTCCAAGGGGATTAGATCATCCGGGAGTATGTTGGTACCAGGCAGGGGAACCCGTTTGGGTAACGAACACTGCCGGGCCCAGGACATGATTGTGGGCTGTGGAGTTGGGCCCTGCGCCTCATATTGTCGATATATCATCTTGTCCCCGTGCTCATACCCACCGCAAGGGCGGTTCGCCTTGATACACCGCATGCATGACTGAAAATAAAGGTTAGCGTTGCGCGGATCTAGAACCCCGGGATCGTGCATGGTAGAATCTCAGCCGAGCGACACGGAACCTCAAGAATCAGATGATACATACCGGGCGTCCTTCATCACACTGGAATCAAAGAGCACATGCATTAGCACTTCTACAGTCAAACAGTTGGGACACAAGATGCGTTCGCGTATTAGTTCATACAAACCTTTTTCCGCCGCACCCTACACGAGTTGCATCCTTTGGAAGGGCCGTGGTACACCATTGGAATGAAGAATCTCGTGCTTATCAATCTTGCTGATGTGGGTTGTTCTGGGGCCGCTATGTGACGCGAAGGGTTATGGCGCCAAGGGCCAGGGGGATCGTATCTTGTGGCAAAGGCAGGTCGAGGAGCCCAAGACACTCTGTGTGGAAAACGATACAGATGAGATGGGCTGATGATGTAGGGGCGGAGTGTCAACGGGATGAGTGGAAATGCAATCGGGACGAAGAGGCTGGATCTCCGAGGATGCTCCCGAGTGGCATCACACTTGATCAGATGCAGTTAGTCTTGCGCGTCCAGCCCCATCCTTTGACAGGGGTTCGGATCTGGGTCTCGGTTCTCGATTGTGTGAGAAAGAAGCTGAATTGGATACATATACTGCGTAATCCCATTTCACACTCTAATGACATAGGTCTTTGTATTCGAGACTCTTCTTCCATGGCAAATCTGAATGAATTACTCCAATGAGTTAATCATCTCAAGATAAATCTCACAAATGACGTCTCGAAGGATTGAATGTTGGAGGGCCTCATATGTATGTTGTGCAACACCCGTTCCCTCACGTTTCTCTACTTAGGTCGTAGGCCATAAGGTATCATGCCATTTCAAACATGACTCTTTTTCATAAATTGATTATTCTATGTATTATGGTAAATACCGTCATATGTCCTTGGAGTTCATGCTGTGGACTAGTGCCCTTTGGTATTGACGCCTCTACCCAGAAGTGTTATTACTCATCCCTTATTGTAACTTTCTCGTATCGCATACAAGAAAATGAGTTTCAGTGTGCGTCGAAAAGTTAGTTAAATAATCACACACTTACCCCGGATTCTCTAGGCAGAACTGTTGTGAATGTGCCGGCAACCTTGCTTTTCTCGAGACTAACACGAGAGAAACTATTGCAAGATTAGGAGCAAATAAAAAGAAAGAAACCTAGACACTAGAATGAAAAGAGGAATAGATGAAAAAGATAAGACAGGGCATGCTTTCTCTTCACTTCGACGCAAAAGTTTCTACAGTGCATATCCAATGCAGCTTTGAGACCGGGTTAAACGAGGGTATTCGTTCTCCCAAACAGTCCAGTCTGAATCTTAACTTTTCATGTTCCAGGTACCTGTTTTATCACATTGACGGAGAAATAGCAATGCGCCAACAAAAATCGTGTAGGATGATAATGTAAGGTAGCTACAAGTTGTCTATTATTGATATCTGCACATGAAAAGATTTCAATGCAAGTCCGCAGGCTTCACAATTACCCAATTTTTATCTGCCGTGACCTCCAAACCCTCCTTTCTCTGGGCCTCTGAGTGTTCTTTTATCATCCCATTTAATTCATTCATCGCACTCTCTTTGCGGTTCACCCACAAGTGGATGCCCCCTCGAGCGACATCGACGCCATGAAATAGCATTGGTCCATCGCTATCCGGGGTATCACCGCCGACAAGAATAGGCTTCTTCCATTCGTCAATATACGTGAGGATGGCAGCCCACTTGCCCGCCTTCCAGGTCGCTGGCGTCCACAGGAAAGGAGTCATCACCGAGTCCAGGTTCAGACTTTCATCATAGTCGCCTTCTGCAATCTGCTTGCGAGCAGTGGAAAGTCCTCCCGTGGCATTCTTCATGAGCAAAGTCACACCGATGACGTTTTCGGGCTTGACATTGTAGCCATACTTTGGGTCTGATGCCACCATGCGGACAAGCTCTTCGGAGGCAGCGCTGACTACGTAGACCTCGATCCCGTTCGCCATCAGCTTATTGTACAGCTCCACCTGGCCGGCGAAAACTTTTGGCGGCGAGATTTGCGTGGATACCAGTTCGTCACCGTCATAGTATTTTGCAGGGACAGTGCTGTTGAGCGACATGAGCTCGTCAACGTAGCCTTTGAGATGGCGCAGAGAGATACCGCTAAAGATTTGCGCAACCCATGGGTAGCAGACCGCGTCATCAAGTTCGCAAAGGCGGTTATAGTAGCTGTACAGCGACTCAGTGTGGTTGCTGCTGTCCTTGAACGGGATCAGCTTCAGCGATGGGTCCATTGTGTCTCGAGTGAGGATGCCTTTGTTTTCGAGGAACGGCAGAAGCGACTCTTCCAAATCAAACTGATAGCTTGTATTGTCCATGTCGAATGCGGCGTAACGTCCTGCATGAGCGTTCTTAGCAATCATTTCGTTGAGCGACCGGGCTGCATCCGCGGGCCAATGTTTGAGTTCAGGGCCAGCGACATGGTTCTTGGGTGCAGCAAGGGCGGAAGGTGCCAGGAGCGATAGAACCGCGGTGAAAGTATCTGCGTGGACTCTCATTCTGGACCGATGGGGTTTTCCCTTAGATCGCGGGAGATCGGAACACTGTCTTCAGCGGATTCCAAGTGGCGCTGCGCACCCTTAAGAACTCAATTTGAAAATGGGGCTGCTAATCAATGATGAGTCCGAAAACCTGGGGGTTGGGTGAGGCTTTTAGCAGGTTTCAGAACATTGCCCTTCCCACAACGATCTTCGCTTTTAGTGAGACACCCATGTCCTTTGAGCAAAAAGGCGCAAGCGTGTGGTATAAACCACGTTGATAAAGGTGCAGATAAACGGGGAGGAGACAAACTGTCATGTAAAATGATGTAATGTATGTCATCCAGTTCGTTTAGCACACGACCACTTTCCTTTTTCAGCTAACCGAAATTGATTTCCTTCAATGACCCTTGTCCTGCTCCATGAATGCGGGTATTGCGTCCGTATTGAATACTGAGCTAAAATAACCTAGTCTGAGGCTCTGATTAAGCAAGGGATTGATTGATTGATTGTGTGTGTTGAGGTGGTGGTTGACTGGCACGTGACGACACCTTCATAGCCTTGGTGATTAAGGTATCAATTGAGAAATATATTCAGCATCACAATCGCCTGGTTGGCGTTAATATCACTTACCTGAGTAGTGTTTTTATCTATAGACTACTATAGTAGTTAGCACGCCGCTTTATCCCCATACCTAACACTTTATCTCTTCAACTCTCTCTTATTGATACTACTTTTTCCTTCCACTCTATCCCCCTTATAAAATGCAAAACGTGTTCCACTCGACGTAAGCTATCAGTCCTAGAACTTATTACGCTGGGTAATTTGAGATTATCCTTGGCTTCTACCTTTAGCTAAGTCTAGATTTCAGATTTGGTTTGATAGGTCAAGATCCCTAGGAAGGAGTGGGAAGCCTTTCACGCGAGCATGAGGGAGGAACGTGTTTTAAATCAATTATTACCTAGTTTTGTATAATGCTACCCTCATCAAAAACCTCCACGAGGGAGGAAAAGAGCGGCAGTATTATTGTAATTATTCTCCCCTATATTTTAGCATTCACTCCCCCACACACAGCTCCCCTAAGAACAGCCAATATTAAGCAGATAGCCTTAGGACTTTCCATTATTGAAGAGAATGTTTGTTAAATGCCGAGTCTATGACCTTACCTGAATTTAATAGACCTTGTCGTAGGTGTAACAGAGCCGACCTCCTTTGATGTTCATTACGTCTCTAACCGTGGTAGTGATGTTGACTGTCGCACCAACGTGTATCAGAGTGTCGAGCGTGGCATTCCCCGCGACCTTATTGTCGTAGTCGAATCGCACAAGCGGGCCTGATATATCCTCCAACCTCTTCTTCAAGTCTCTTGTTTGCCAAGACCACCAAGCCCGATCCATATTGGCATGATGGAGGTAAAAAATCGGATCACCAGCTTGCCGTATTGAGTCATTCTAAGTGAACTCCTCCAAAACAAGAGGGGAGGGGGCATTTAGTACTTACGGCTCGCATAAGCGTCGGTGATGGTGCCATACAAGCCTCCGACGCCCAGATGTCCACCTCCATGAAAAGTGAGCTCCGTCGTGCGACCGAAAGTTCCAAAATCAGTGGCCGCCATTCCATCTTGCACATTATCCATTGAAGACAAGTTGAAGAACGAAGGAGAAAAGTCTCGTCGGACACAATGCGGGTTATACGCAACGCTGTCATTTGGACCTAGATGGATCACCATATCTTTGAACGGTCCATTTGGGACACAGCCACCTCCAGTTCGATCCGGGATATCGATGCCACCGGAAGTGACGAACATGCCGTCCATGGGATGGGTAGAGTTTCCTGGTATCCAGTCGCCATTGCCGCCGAAACCGGTCTTGGCATCGAAAATGGGCGAGTTGAAAAAGGCCTCTGGGGAGCTTGTGTCAAGAGTCCAGTCCCAATATGGTTGGGCTCCCTTGTAGCCGCATGCTTGAAGCTCGCTCTCGTACGCATGGAGAAGAAGGCGGTGCCACGGATAAAAAACGCCCTTGAAAAAGGCACCATTCATTAGCTTCGATTGGCCACCGAGATGATGGAATGTTATGCATACCGCAAAATGAACGTCCTCCGTCTGAGTAATGTGCGTTCCCAGAAAGTCCTCGAACCTGTTCGTCGCGCCCGGCATATCAGACTTGGGAGTGATAGCTGGTTTCTCGAGGAGGCATTGCACAGCCGAGATATATGACAGTCTCTCCGTGACACTGAGAGTGCGCCTTGATACCGGCAATCAGCTTGGAACTCTTAAGTAGGTTAAAAAAAAAGGCTTTGTACTTACCACTCCTTTCGGACTATAGGTTTAGAACATTTCGGGATTGATTGCGCGTGCAGTGGCAAGGCCAGCGAAACTAAGATGAGGAGCTTTAAGCAGAACGCCATTGGAGGCAAGAAGAACCGAATGGAGTTATTCATGGTGGCCAAGGGCAAGGCTTGCAATCATGATCAGTTAAGGATAGACTATTTGTGGTAGACAGCACCGAAATGGCTGTTATTTATACAAGATTCTTTGCCCCTGACGTCCGGACACATCCCCTTTCTTTTGCAGGGCTTGTTGATTTCATTACGTTGAGGATACAGGTGAGAACCCTGAGATGCTTGTAATTATGGCACTGCCACTTCCCTCGTATTTTGACAGAGACGTTGAAGACAATAACTGATGCTGGTTGCCTGCTTGGTTGGATTCGAGTTGGAAACACCCGATCGACTGTGGAGAATTGGCGGAAATCTCCCACGTAAGACCCGAGACGGCCACCGGGAGTTACCTAAGACCCGAAACGCCGCCCAGATGTGGACCTACACCTGAATCGGCGGTTAAGATTCTTAACACGAGGGCTGAGTTGCTCCATTGCTGCTGAATGATGTTACGCAATGAATCTCGGTGGACATGGCTTGGCTTATTGGCTCTAGAAGACGTGTATTAGCATTCTGGACTATGAACCATTCACCACTAAACATGGCTCCACATTCTGCCCCTTATACTAGCAAGTACCTAAACTCATTATTTGAAAATTCGTAGATGAAGTAGGCGAGATTATGGCTAGTTGCTGGGTGTGATTGAGAATACTACCCTCATCGGAACTCGTGGATGGTATTATGGCTTAACACTCATTCATTGAGAGCACTCACATCCGAGAAAACCACATATAAGCCACCACCATCACCATACCAATATCATCATCTCCTTTCCCTCCTTCTCCTTCTACTTCTAAAACTTGTCTTCCTCACAAGATTATCGAGATACTGCCAAAATCGCTCACCATGGCAGAGCACGCCCCCGGGAAATACCTCTACGACCCGTCACTTGCCGCTGCCGCTACCTTTGCCGCCTTGTTCGGAATATCCACTGCTTGCCATCTCTTCCAATTATGCCAGAGCAAGACTTGGTACTTCATCCCTTTCTTCATCGGGTCCATATGTGAGCTCTACTCCCTAGTCTCCAGATGTTACTGTACATCTGACGGTACTTTTCTCCATAGTTGAAGTCGCGGGCTACGCATCACGTTGCGTCAATGCAACCGAAACTCCAGATTGGTCACTGGTACCCTTTATAATCCAGACTCTTCTCCCTCTGTTAGCCCCAGCGTTATTTGCGGCCTCGATATATATGATTCTGGGGCGAATCATCAGAACTCTTGAAGCCGAACAACTGTCCCTCATTTCGACCAGGTGGTTGACCAAGATTTTCGTGTTTGGCGACGTGTTCTCATTTGCGGTCCAGTGCATCGGTAGGTTTTTATCGCTGATTTACACACGACCAGATTCTAACATCACTCAGGCGGTGGGATTCTTTCTGGCGCAGACAGCAAAAATACCCTCGAACGTGGCCAGAACGTAATACTAGTCGGTCTAGGGATCCAAATTCTCTTCTTCGCGTGCTTTATCGCCGCCATATCTCTCTTTCATGTTCGCATCATCCGCCGCCCAACGACCACCAGTCTCGGAGCTCAAGTGCCCTGGAGACAATTCATCCTCATCCTCTACTTTTGTTCTATCCTGATCCTGGTGCGGTCAGTGTTTCGGGTTGCTGAGTTTGCCGCAGGGCAGGACAGCGTGCTCCAGAAGTCCGAGGTGTACTTGTACTGCTTGGACACGGCTCTCATGCTTATATGCTCAGTGACATTCAATGTGTGGCATCCAAGCGGGGTTGTGTCATCCCGCAGCCCGAAGGCTAATTACACTGATATTGAGTTGGAAAACGGCCAGGCCCAGGGCACAGCGCCTAACAGTTAGTTAGGGCCCTTTCTTGACATCTAGCGGAGGATGGTGTGTCTAATAGTCAGTGGATGTGTGTGTTTTATCAACTACTTTCCTTGTACGAAATAGCTAGATGGAGTGATCGATTTTAGAGTAATGGACTCGGAGCATAGATACACAGCAAGAATATTAAGATGTCAGTCTAGAGTCAATTGAGCATTTCATCTGCAGATGAGACCGTGATCATGGTGCCATAGCACAAATTATGTTACAGCTAAGCAATCAGATGCATTACTCGGCACTATCAGGCGTAGTGGACCCTCAAACAGGTAGTCTCTTTCACAATAACCAGAAATACGTTTCAGGGGGGTGGCTGTGCCATGGCGCGTCTGGGTATAGGAGCTCCCGGAGCCCAAGGTCAACATCGTATCTTAGAATCTTAATCAACTTTCACTCCTTCTTGCCCGGCAAGCAGCAGACCAGAGGGATACCAATGGCCTCCCCTACAGACTCGCCGCGACAACCGGCCTGTGTTCTCTGTACACATCGGAAAATCAAATGCGATCGCGACAGTCCATGTTCAAGCTGCGTCAAGGTCAGCATACCCCGAGCTTTGTCTTCTACTTTTCCCATATCTCGGTGCTCACTATTGAATCTTTTTAGGCGGATGTACCGTGCATTCCTCGCATCAACTCGACGACGCGAAGGAGGCGACGACCGAATGCCGAATTGCAATCAAGGCTCGCACGATGCGAGGAGCTGCTGCAACATTTTGCAGATGGCCGGGGGGACCCTGAGGCCAAAGAACCACCGTCCCAGTCTCGAATACCTGCGTCCAGCTCTTCGTCCCCTCCTCGTGCGGCAGTGGGAAGGTTCGTGCCAGAAGACGGATCTGTCCGTTTCACGAGTAGTGTGCTGTGGGCTACGCTATCCGACGAGGTAAAGATTCAAAGCTGACGTGCCGAGAGAGAACTCACCATTATCTGACCGTTTTCATGACCAGCTTCGGGCGATGAAAGCCATAATGGAGAGCGATGCCAGTTTTGATGGAGCTGAAGATGGAACGTTCCCTGCACCGTCGTTCGGGAGTACTGAGAAGCTTCTCGTTGGGGATGAAGCTACCAATGAGAGCCAGTCAGAGCATCCTCCTCCGAGCCATGTGCTCTGCTTGTGGCAAGTATTTTTGGACCGAGTCAACCCTGTGACCAAGCTTGTCCACGTACCTTCAGTCCAGCCTTACTTGGCTCAAGCGACAGCGCCGTGGCCCTGGCTGCCAGGGAACATCGAGGCTTTACTCTTTGCGATATACGCCGTCGCCGTCGTTGCATTGGACGACAACGAATGCATTTGCATGCTGGGATCTCCTAAGAACACCTTATTTCAGCGCTATACCTCGGCGTTGAGGGGCGCCTTGCACCGGGCCCGATTCCTCAAGACTACCGATATTGTGATCCTTCAAGCATTGACACTTCACTTGGTATGGAAAAGGTATCGTTACAGTCGATTATTTCACTTTGGGGACTAATATATTTAGCAGTTATCGCTTCAAGGACGGCACGACACGCATGCGACCTGGGTTTTAAGCGGTGTGTGCATCCGCATCGCCCAGAAAATGGGACTTCACAAGGACGGACAGGCGCTGGGTCTGCCTCCTTTTGACACAGAGATGAGAAGACGTGTATGGTGGAACATTGTACTTCTCGACTTTCGATCCGCTATAGCATCTGGCTTCACGCCTTCGTCACTGCCCCCAGCGTGCGACTGCAAGATGCCGACCAATATGAATGACGGCGACTTCTACCCAAATGCAACTGAGAAGTTTCAGGACCGAGATGGCCCAACCGAGATGATTGTCTTTCTATTGCTTTGCGGGATGATGCAATATCTATTAACGCAGCCCGGTCTGGAGGATATCATAACCTCCATGGAGGAAAATGCTGTTTCCAGCGGCACAGAGAGTCAAAGCCGGAGTGCCAAGCTCGACAAGTTGGCAGCAGGCGTAGAGGACCATCTTGACAGACTTATGCAGCAATACTCTGATCCGACTGCAGGACCTCTGCATCAAGACGCATGGCAGATCAAATCCGCCATGACCAGCAAGATCCGCAAGATGTGCCAGCAGTCCCGGAAGCAGCTTGAAACAGGCTCACAACCCACCATGGGGAAGGATCATTTATTTCACCTTTCCGTTGACGCAATTGAGCATACCACTGGTCTGTATCAGGCTATGGCAACCAAGGACTTGCTGTGGTTTGTTTCTACACTCTTTGAGAGCGAGCTCTTTACCTACCTAGTTGGAGAGCTTCACGACCGCACCTCGGGTGTATTAGTGGAGCGAGCCTGGGAACTCATACCGGTCATATACCATTACCACCAAGACCTGTTTGATTTGTCAATTGAGTCGAATGTCATCCTGGCTTCGTTTGTTTTGAAGGCCTGGAGCAGGAGGAAGGAAACACTTAAAGCCAAATTCGGGCACGGGCTGGAAACACCGGCCTATGTGCAAAGTCTGGAGAAATCGATGCCCTTGGACAGCGTCGGTACTGGCCCCTTATCTGGCACGTTGTTCCCACCGTCTGCCATGGCCCCGGGCTTTTCGGGTCCCCAAGACATGCCGTGGGACCCCCGGTTTATGGGCTTCATGAAGGACAGCAATTTTGGTGACTCTAGATGGATGGACTTGGAATCCGACATGCGTCGCCATGTCCTCAGCTCCGGGGAAGAAACCGGCAATACCCTCCCGGGAGACTGCTCAGCGAATCCCCAAGCACCCTGGTGACAGAGTGCTCGACTAAATACCATTGCTAAATAGCAGTAAGCTACTTATTAAGGAAAAGCATTATAGAACTTTGTATATTTTAGGAAGAAACTTTAAATATTAAAAAATAAAAAACCTACTGATACTCGCGGAGATGCCTTTACTATATATAGGGAATTACCCGAGCTTCTTTGGTATATATACCGTCCGTGAGTGTCCAGTTTACCAATAAAGCTCGTAGACAGGTAAATCTATCAAGTTCCTATCCTACGATTTCCATACTCTTACTTTAGTCAAGAAATTACATCACTTTATGGGAATACATCATCTTATTAAACTCCAAAAGTTACTGTCATCTAATCGTGCCAGGTGAAAGGATCAGGCTTTCTTTGTTACCTCTTGCACAAACTGCCGGGAAAGTTTCAAACGCGGACCTTCTAGCCATGACTCCGCATTCCCTTTGACCAGGCAATACTCCATCTCCCCTTCAAGAGGTCCATTTGAGAATAGTGTCTGGCTGATAATTGGCTGTTCCGCATCACCAACATTTTCATCTTCATTGCTCTTGTTCTCATCGTCCTCATCGTCTTCTTCATCCTCTTTGTCGTCATCATCGTTCTGGTCTGTCTCGTCTTCAAGATCCTCCCACTCGTCTTCCGCAAACTCATAACTCGTAGCATTCTCAAAGGGCTCAAAAATCGGTTCATCACCCGGCTTTGGCTTCCACAGCTGTTGTCCCGTCATGCCGGGAACTTTCCACAACTCTTCAGGTGAAAGAGCCATCATGGCGGCTTGGTTGTAGTCCGTGCGGATGATATCATCCTTAGATTCGAGATGCGTAAGAGCCCAGCTGAAGTCCTCTTTTTTTCCGCTTTTCTCCCAGATGAGGCTGAGCCGAGATCGCAACGCTTCATCCACGGTATTCGAGAAAGCCATTTGATTTTTCACCCTGTCTCGGTTCAGAGCCGAATCCTGCAAGTCATATGGGAAGCCTTCCTGGTATAAAAAGGCATGCATGAGGAAGAGCGTCATGCGAGCCGCCAGAAAGTGGCCATTGGGAACTCCTGCGGACAACGTCTCGATGGTCTTCAGCAAGGCCTTCCACGCTTCAAGGAGGGCATTATCTGCCTCGACGATCGCATTTCGAGGAGGATCTTTGTTCCGTTTGTACTGCTGGAGTGTGCAAAGAGCCAGGTAGAGACGTTGCAGGAGGCTGGGCAATTGATCGTTGGTAGCTGCTGCGTCTTTGCTGCTTCTGACATTTTCAATCTCGATGAGTATGTCTTCCGCCTCCGAAACCGTCTCACTGATTACTGCTTTCTCCCTTTTCGAAGCCATGCTCTTTCGATCTTCCTCTGTTGAACGGAGGCTGGTCAGGGTAGAATCAAGTCTTTGTCCCCTTTGCTGCCTCTCCATGAAATGCGACCATCCAGGTTTATAATCTTAATCTAATTTTGCAACCCACTATGCCAAGCCTCCGTTCCATGCTTGATGTGATGCCTGGTGGGACCTACGGTTTTCTCGCGTTAATACGGTTAATTTTTACAAGCCAAATAAATCATAGTACTTCTAACGGCTTCTACGAGCAATGGGCAGGCCATAGAATGATCAAAATCAGCGTCGTAAAATACATACAATCTGTAGTTTCCAAACAAATAACCCTCGACTTAGGATCCTGCCCCCAGTCAAGTAAATCCCGCTAGCCAAATAGACCTGAAACTATTTCCCCACAGAGCTCTCGGAAACCAGCCCATAATGTTCGAACAGCTCAGCATCGCTCCCATCAAAAGCCTCCGTCTTTCCACCAGCCATGATTAGCTCCCTGCACTTCTCAGTCCTGGGACTGATGCGAAACGGAAATTCAGCCGGGCGGGAGATGACGCCTGGGAGAATGTTGAGCGGCGGTTCAACCTCATGCCCTTCCGAATCGACTTCCTTGCTGATTTTGAACGTAGCTAGGCTCTGTACAATGGCAAGGAAGAGAAAAGAATCGGCAAAGTTCTTTCCAGGGCAAATCCTCCGCCCGAAACCAAAAACGAATTCTTTCGGGTCGGGCTCATTGTACGGGGCGTCATACCTCTCCGGCTTAAAATGTGTAGGGTCGTGGTAAACGCTCGTGTCCTGGGCGAACAAGCGAAGGTTAGTCTGTATAAGAGCTCCTTTTGGGATCAGGTATCCCATGTATATCAAATCTTCATCGCTTCGATGCGGCAGGCTCAATGGAACGACTGCCTGCCACCGATACATCTCTTTGACGATGCCCTCCACGTAAGGCAACCTGGGGCGGTCATCAAAGCTCGGAAGCCTGTCTGAGCCGACCACTCTTTCAATCTCTTCATGCGCTTTTCGAAGTACCTCCGGATACAGGATCATAGCGAGGTAAAAGAAGCTCAAAGTCGCGACTGTGGTATCTGAACCACCTCCATATAATGATGCGGCCGAGAACTTGACTCTAGATTGAAATGCAGAATCGTCCGGGTCTTTCGCGTTCTCTAATGCGTTGGAAACATACGATTTCCTGTGCCGGTTGTCTTCCATCTGCCGTTGTACGAACTGGAACGGCTTCTCCGCGGCTGCCAAAACCTCACGTCTCCAAATGCGAGCCGCTCGCTTGAACCCAGCCCCGGGAAACCAGCTGGGTAGGTATTTCAGACCAGGCACGATATCAACTAGCCAGACCCCAGATGCTGCTACCTTGTTGAAGATCACCATCATGCGAGTAACAAGGTCCAGAACTGGGTCGCGACGAGTCGTATCAATAGAATATCCGTACGTCACCTTAATGATCGATGCGCCGGTTGCACTGCAAATAATTCATTGAGCCTTCTGCGTTCATCGAATGGAACAAAATAGGGAGCGGACTTACAGCTCTAGGTGGTCTAGCAACTTGCTGGGTTCATCCAATATAAGTCGAAGCATTCGTAAGACTTCAAATTGTTGGGCCTCTCGGAATCCCTCAACTGTGGTTTTTGTGCCCACATGTTGGTGCATGAGCTTTCGATCAACTCGGAAGGTTTCATTGTATGGAATTGAACTTGTGTAGTTTCCGAAGCCGCATCTAGACAATGAGGCTTGTGTGAGTAATCAAAGCACAGTGAATCTTTGTACTGAGTGGTATGTCTTACAATCCAAAAGCGAACTCAAGCCACGGTCTGGAAGATGTTTTGAGAGACTTCTTATCCAATATGTCGACAGCGATCTGTTTGTCATTGAGGATGACAATGCATTGCCCCAACACAGTCACAGAACTGACCGGGCCATAGTTCTCTCTGTGCTTCGACCAATGCTCATATTCTGGGATTTTGCCGGTCGGCAGATCAAACATGTTCCCAAGCAGCGGCAGTGGGCGAGGCCCAGGAGGAAGAGGAACCGCTGACCTCTTGCGCCTCCACTGTTGGAAAACCAGCAATGATCCCAAGGTCACGGCAATTCCAACCAACAGAAGGCTGCTTGTAGCTTCCATGGTAGTGCTTTGGTGCTATCAATTAGGAGGGGACAGTACGCTCAAAATAATAGTTGGATGGATACCTTGTTTGAACCACTATCTCATGGTACTCGACTGGCATGAAAAGCGTTGATGATGAGACTACTGGAAGAAAATGCCCAACTATTATGCATCGGTGCCCAGGCCAGTTACAACCGACACAAGACCATCAATGCTGGACCACGAAAGGTCGTAAAATTGCAGATCCAGGCTGGAATGGTGTCTTACTGCATTGTGATACCACATGCCAACATGCAAATACTACCTGGTTCCCTGTATTTTGGTGGGTATCCAGCCGTGTGATGCACGTTTGTTCACTCTTCACATCCAATGCTACAGCAGCCCCGATGAGGATCTTAGCCGAGGAAGAATGTCTGGTTTGTCACTGCATGTAAATTCCCGGGGAAGTGGCTGCTTACGATCACGGTGTGGCTGATTGGCTTCACAGAGATATCGTGATAATGCTCCTTCTAGACTCCTTGGCAGGATGGCTCTGATGTTACAGGTAGGGCTATCTTTGAAGTCACTGTATGACCATCCTCCTCGGTGGGATTTGAAAAGCCTCAAACTTAGATCGTATGCTCTCATGTCGATATCATGCTTCTAATATGATTATGGACCTCAAAAGCTAATGCAGACTCAAAGTAGTTATTGTCACATGCTGTGACGAAATGCCTGACAATTGAATACTTAACCCGCACTTGGCTTCCCTTTTGCATGATACTCCTTACATGTGTCCACCTGCATGAGTTGTTGCACACAAGTTTCTTCTGTTATCATGCCTTGGCTTACTCCTCGCACTTGATACTCACTATACCCAAATAGTCCAATCGGGTGTGCGTCTACACAATGTTAGCGGTTATTTGCATCCCTGAAAAAACGATGAGGCTGAAAGGAAAGTAATTACCCTCAAATCAAAAGTGCTCCCCGCTGGGTCGTACCCGAATGGTTCACTCCAGGCATGGATCAGCCCGGCCAGTGCCTCGTGACCATCGGGAACGGTGATGAATCTCCAGCCATCGCCGACGTCGCTCTGGGCCTTCCATATGAACTCTCGCCCTCGATTCGTACGTAGCTTTTCCTCCAGAATTAGCACTTGCGTCTACCTGAGACAAATGTCCAAGGGGGGCGACTTACCTTGAAAGCATCAAGATACAAACCCATTCGAGCAGAGAGCTCGATGATACGCTCTCCACCCGGTCCATCAATTTCAAAAGTCTCAACCATGTCGTCAGGGATCGGCGTTCCATTCACCTCTGAGGATCTAGCAAACACCGGATCAAGGCCACTGGCATCGTCAAAATCCGCTCGCATATTGCCTACAGCCTTTGTGATCTCGGTTTTCTTGAAGAAACCACCTGTCTCCCTCGTTCCGGTTTGCACGTTGTAAACGGTGAGCTTCTTCAAAGCTTTTAGTTGAGAACGGTTCTGAGCCCAGAGAAATGCTTCATGCGGAACAATATCGTCATGAAAATAACTGCCTGGCTGCATTGCGAGGCCCCCTTCGAAAATTCGTAAACCGAGCTGGTCACTCTCCCATAAAGCGCGCCCTTGGACTTTAGAGGCGCTTTGTGTCCAGAGGAACGTCTCTGCGAGGGGCGGATTTGGGATTTCAGGTCGGGACAGCAGTGAGTCCGTAGACAGTGATCTTGAGCAGAGAAGGAGTCCCGCCCGAATGATTCTTGGCTTCCCTTGGACGATCTAGCGCATAGGTTAGTATGAAGGATAGTAAACCCATTTTGTGTGAGATACACTCACGCCAACGTTACCCGCCATTCCCACCACGGTCTGGCCAGAAGGAGCCAGGAGCGGTCGCTGGCAGTGGCCGACAGCAGTTTCGCCCACGGAAAGGGTGGCCCCGGTTGAGGTTCGAATCTTTTCCAATCAGCACCAATTTGTAGTTCGAGGGAAACCACTTACCGAAATGCCCTTTGGTGCCGTGAAGGTGTTTGGTGGCTTCGGATATGTTGGTGACACGCTTGGGGCCAAGGGGTCTATGGGCGGAATATGCAGGAGGATCCCAGCGATCCATTCATGTTTCTGGAACTGAAGTGTCCGCTGCTGAACATCATGTTCTGTGTTGTCGAACCCGAAAAGCCTTTTCTGGCTATTGATAGTGACTGCAATACCGGTTAAGTAGCCTTCACTATCCCAGAATGTGTCCAAAGTCCTGGAGGAATAGAGGTCGTCCCATGAACATATCCAAAAGGAGTGGGCGAAAACTTGGTCGGAAGAGGCGATGGGCCACGAAACTATGGAGGTATAGGGAGACGCTGCATTTTCTTGGATAGATTCATCAACCTCGCCCTTCGAAACGGCAATCTTCGCTCGATAGCACTGGGCAATCTGCCCACAGGCGAACCATATCCGACGGCGGTTCGCCACGCCCATGTACTTACCCTTACACCCGAATCTTGGTTTGCTCTTGACATTTGCCCACAGATAGACAGTTTTCGCGCTAGAAATTCTATCTGAGAAATCGGGTGATTGGAGAACTTCATGGAGCTCGAAAAAACATTCCAATTCGTCCCTGATTCTCCTCATCCAGAAGTCATGGTTATTGTGATGCGTAGAGTGGAGCGCCCAGGATGCCTTAAAGAGATCCATGAGCGAGCTGTCGTCAAGAGCCGACATAATCTGGTCTGTGATTTCGGGTGGGAGGCGAGAGAATGGGTCCGATTTCACTTTATTGCCCAGGACTTGGTCAAGGGACGCAACGCCGGTGCCACGCTGCAGCTTTTCAATCTCTGTTGTCGAGAGAGGTGCCATCCGTAACGGGGAGACAACAAATAGCTCTTCTCTAGGAATGCAGTCCCAAAATTGTTCAGGTGAAGGTTCGGCATCCGTGCCAGGTAAGGCGTAATTCAGGTTCAAGCAAGCCGAACCGGCCAGAGAGCGCACGACGCCATACATCAGGTCCTTGTCGATGAGATCAGTGTCGTCTGAGCCTGTCAGGTATCGACACAGGAGCTTGAAGCAATCCATGTGGAATGGGAACACGGGGTCTTCACTGTTGTTGTAGTCGAAATAGCAGGGCATTGCCTCGACATCGACGTCGTCACAATTGGGATCATCACCCTGGCCGCAAGACATGCCTCCAAGGTCATCATAGGATCCCTGCCCAGATATGAAGGCCCTGAATAATTAAGAGTGAGTCTAAATGCATATCGGAGAGATGACCTGAAATATATCTGGAGGTGGCAGCATACTTGCTCAAACGAGTGCAGTGGGCGTTAATCCCAAGCACCCGACAGTTTTCAGTCCAATCGATATCGGCCGGCTGGAGAACTTTGGGGTCATACCCACGGTCATCATCTGCCTGTTCCTCTTCCTCTTCTCGTTGATCATGGTCTCCTTCGGCCTGGTCGTCTTCTTCTCTCACGGTCCGGGGGCCAGCGTTTGGGTCTTTGCTGTAGTTCTCATTGCCACGAATAAAGACACTAGCCATAGGCCCACAATAAACCATGCAGTAGCAGTCCCAGGAACCCATCTTTTATTTTGCGGTAAGTCAAGCGAAAAAACAATGGCACGTTCCGATTGAGAAGAGGGAAGCATTGTGTGTGCGTGAATCGTCGTGAATTTCGTGACTTAGGCAGTTCCCAAAGCTGAAATCACGTGTTGCCTTGAGCACTTCCAGATGCCAAGACGGCCACCTTAAATTAAATTATAAACTGCAGTATCGCTGTATTTCACTGTTTTTCGACAGAATACGACTGCTGTCCAGCACTCCAGTCACTCCAATTCTTAAACTAGCTCCTCTCGTACTGACATTTGCCAAAGGGTCTAGTCTATGTAGGGGCCACGGTGTGGACTCACCACCTGAGGCTCCTTTGAAGGCGCATTGATGGAATGACTAAATAGTAAAAAGAATAGAAGAAGATTTTGCTCTCGACAACCCCATCGAGACATGCTGGAGCAATGATAGCTTCGATAAGTTGAGTGCGTGTTGTTGGAAAGCAAATGGCTATAGGGTAACCGCTCAAGGTGTGCGGTACGATGACTAATCATTACCGCGCCACGACATTTCGTGATCGCGTCGCGTCTGCACATCTTCACCAGCACCAGGGAGGATGAAGTTACAGCCCCGCCTACGATCAAGGCGTGCCTAAGCCGGCTCCTTTCTTGTGACCAACCCGAGACGCTTGTAAGGTACGTGACTGCCCCTTGCCCCTGTCCTCTTCTTGGGTGTAATTAGCTAACAATTGTCGTGTAGCTAGGAAACACGAAACACGACCCCGCGACCACCTCCTCCCATCGCCGACAGTGTGACCGAGAATTAAATTTCTGATGGTCTAGATCCATGTACTCGGCTCTAGCAGCGCTTCACAATATTCTCAGTTCCATCTCGAAACCCCGATAAGCCTAACCCGCGGTCGATACCCACGATCTCCTCGATATGCGACCCCTCGAGAACGATGCTCGTCCGCGATGACCTCATTGTTCTCCCCAACTTGAAGTATCACTTCCTGACGCTGGAAGACGCTTTAAGATTTCTTCAGTGTGAGTTAGGGCATCGAGCCTTAACCACGATCACTAGAGAGAGCGCACCACATCCGTCAGCGACGCGATATCTGCTGCAGTTATGCCGTGCCTTGGTGCATGCCGAGACCGCCGAGAACGACTACGCCACACAGAACAAAGGCTGTAGAGCTCTTGCGGTCCCCCGTGTGCCCTGTCCGCGATGTCCGAACCCGAGATATACACGTATACTTGCCTGTAGTGTGATGTTCGCTGCAAGAAGGACGCGCCAATCTGCGAACTACTGCGCTCTCGTCACTCCTAGGCTGCTCTGAATCCTGGTGGAGCGCTGAAATGTGTCTTCACGCCCGCCAACTCTCCATTTGTGTGCATCCACGGCATAGAGAGGAAACCCGACAGTGGTACATCCTTATTTGAGAAAACAGCACCACGAGGCCCCGTTTGTGAAGTCATTTCTGAATATCCCTTCGCATCACCAGTGACATATTCCCGGCAATAGATTGGCCCTTGCATTCGTACAGTGATTGTTGAGCCTTCGTCAAAATAATTACCCGAAGACGACACCCGAAATCGGCATGTTCCGTGAGTCTCCACGATGGTACAATGTCCATGCAGGCGGGAGTCCCAAGTCACACCTACATGCAATGCCGCTCCAGCTGAAAGATCATCCAATTCTTAGCTGGCTTTCGCATCATTCACTCAAGAATCGGGACGAGAGAACACGACAGTCTCACCAGGCTTTCCCCCTTCCAGAGCTTACCGCAGAAGACCGTTCTGCCGATCCATCCAGCAGCCACTAGACAATTGATTGAATCAGAGCAGCCGACTGTCAACGCGACTGCCCCTCTTCGTCCGTGATGAATTAATACCGCAGGTGCCGAGGAGGGCCGGGGCTGAACAAAATTAGGCACGAAATAAGAAAGACGCACATGAGACTATGCGCTCTAGACTGGATGGTACAGGGGTTTGGAACCGTCTCAAAGCTCTTAGCTGTAGGGCAAGGTGGGGGAGCTGAAATCCGGTTATCAGATCAGATCAAAGTTTTTTATCTGATCATCAGATAATTCTGCTTCTCCACGGCTGGCCGGTCCCGCATCAAGCTCGCACCATCCTTCCTTCATCCATCCACCCACACACCTCTTCATTGTGACCCTCTGGCTGTTCCCTGCCAACAAGAAATCACTCAATTCTGATTATCACATGTCTTGATGCTGCTTTAGCATTAGAGAGGCGCATGTAGGGGTGGGATCTACCACACTGCACCGGCCATCTTACCAAGTCTGCGATATCCGGTTAAGGGGGGTTGCTTTACGCGAGCTGGCACTTACTCGATTGGTTAGCTGCCCATCCTTGTTGATATGGAAGGCGTCTCGTGCGGTTGCCAAGCAAAGAAAATATGCATTGCCGGAAGCTTAGTGCCGAAGTGAAGCACTCAGACCTGCCACACTGAACATGCTCAACCCGTAGCTTGCCGCCAGTTACTGGGTGTTTCCCCGCAAGAGTCTTACTAGATTTTTACATAAAGAGGCTGCTTGGCCTCGCTTGCGCCCCCATGCTGATTTCAAGTGATGCATTCTTTTTTCTCCCCGGCGCATGTGAGCGAGCAGCCACGCTAACATGTTCGCGCGCTGGCACTTGGTCCTTGTGGCCTCCGTGGGTGTAATATGGGTGGCACGGAAGGTGGTTAAGCTCATCATTGTGCGACGATGGTTCAAGAATCTGGTGAGTGCTGATAATGGATGAACATTACTCGAACAAGGACTGTCACTCACGAACGGCAGCCTCAACCGCCTGGCCACAATTTCCTCTCTGGCCACCTGGCGGCCATGACCGAAGCCTCGCAGGCTTTCCCGCCTGGAACACATCCACAGTACTATTATACCTACCTGGCGCACAAGTACAAGCTGCCTGGAATTTTCTACATTGACCTCTGGCCGCTGGCCGTGCCGCAGATCGTCATCACCGATCCTGATATCGCTATGCAGGTGCTCACCGTAAACCCATTCCCAAAGCACCCACAGATCGAGGTCTTTCTCCAACCATTCACTGGGAAAGGAAGCATAGCAGCATCGAATGGGGACCGCTGGAAGTATAACCATCGCATGGTCGGTGGCGGTTTCACTGCGAGCCACATCAAGTCCATGATAACCATGATCTCGGAGGAAGGCTTCACCTTCCACAATCGCTTCAAGGAAATGGCCGAGCGCGGGGATGCAATTGCCCTCGAGGAAGAGACGTCAAAGGCCATCTTTGATGTCGTTGGGAAGATCGTGTTCGGATTTTCGCTCGAGGCTCAGAAGACAGGGTCGCCTCTCCTCGAGGATCTAAGGGCGACGATCGACCCTGCCACGGCTGTCTTGTCAAGCTTCAACCCCATCGCTAGATACAAGAGCTGGCGCAAGCTGCGCGACATTAGAAAGCGCGTCCACGACTCTCTCAGCGCCGAGATCAGGAAGCGCGGCGCTATCATGAAAGACGAGAAGGAGCTCCCGTCCCGACGCAAGGCGAAGAGTATCATGGACCGGATTATTCTTGATCGCATGCAGGATGAGCCCAACGCGCCCTTGAATCAAGAATTTCTTGACGATGTCATCACAAAGTATGAACTTCTTCCGTGACTCACCTACATAGGGTTAAATATCTAACATGCCTGCAGTCTCAAGGCTCTCCTACTCGGCGGCCACGGCACCACTACCAGCACATTCACATTTGCCATCATGTTCTTGAGCCTCCACCCAGACATTTTGGCTCGGCTGCGCCAAGAGCATGACGAGATTTTCGACCCGGGCTTCGAAACTACCATCGAAATCATTAACTCAGATCCCTCCCGAACAAACAAGTTGGACCTGACAAACGCAGTGATCAAAGAAACCCTTCGCTTCTACCCAATCGGATTCACCATCCGCTCCGCCCCGACCGGCGTCAAGTTCATCGAGCACAATGGAAACAAATGGCCCGTGGAACACGGCGCGATGGTGATCCCCTCAGCCCACAGCACCCAGATGGACGTCTCCTTATGGAAAGACCCCAACTGCTTCAGGCCAGACCGATTTCTCGGGGAGGAGGGGGCGAGCCAGCACCGGTTTGCCTGGCGCCCCTTTGAGCGGGGTCCCAGGGCGTGCATCGCCCAGGACCTGGCCATGGACGAGCTGAGGGTGATGCTGCTGCTGGTGGTACGATGGTTTGACTTTGAGCTCGTCAACGAGACCCAGAACAAGAAGCCGCGTGTTGGGTTCATGGATCTGGATGAGAGGATTGGCGATCTGGCGTTCCAGGTTGTCGGGATGGAGGCGAAGCCGAACAAGGCCATGCGGTTCAAGGTCCGGCTTAGTGGAAGATCTTGATATCGTTGTAGCTTTCAAGTATGTCGCATGTGTAAGAACCAAATCTACTGAAAAGAAGAACAATTATATGCTCAATTCAGAACAGGAAGCTCTGTGAACCGGTATACTATTGCTCATCATCCCACGGGTGAGGTCGTTTCTTGAGCAGAATTTTGGCTCCGGTAGGAATTCGAAGGTTGCTCAAGAGAAGGGAGAGTTGGACTGCTGGGATTTCTCCTTATCCGAGGCTATATGATGGTGTATTATGATGCCAGTCCAATTATCGCAACAAAACGATGATAGTTCCACCATTCGTATTTTATGATAAAGATGCTTCTGAGTGATGGCACTGTAAGAAGTCGTCAGCTTACCCTGTTAGCATCTTTCAGGGGATGGTTCCTCAATCTTACTGCTAATTTCGCGTGCCCGAGTTGGCCAAGCTTGAAAATTCTCCAGGTGACAATGGGTCTCAATTCGTAAATTCCTTCACGACCAAAAAACTCCCACGTTATGATCAACCTACACTTTCTTTCTTAAATTACGGCAACATCCTGCGAAACGCCATGGCGCTCGTCCCGTCTCTTCTTCGTATGATGGCCGTCCTGGCACATTCTCTAGCCCTCCTCATCGTGTTCTCGCCAAGAGCTCAGGCCATTGGCGTCAGCGCACCGAGCACCATCACAGCCGGCCAGAACGCCACCATCTCAATCACCGAGACGATAGACCAAGACTCGGAGCTCCGGGATAAATACGATGGCTATCGTCTGTATCTGGCGTTGACGCCGCCGGGTTGGGGCACGGGTCCGGAGTGCTGGCTCGCGAACAATCTGGACCTTGGCCCGCAGACCGTGAGCATCGTATTTCCGACAGACGTGGCGCCAAATAACACCGAGGTTCGCATCGCAGATAGCTTGATCAAGAAGGGGAGCGAAAGAGAAAGTGGTTACTCGTACAGCAGCAGCGTCACGTTTCTTGGTGGCAATGGCACCTGGAGCCAGCGGGAGCTGAATGGGCGGACCATGACCAGCGCGAGCAGGCTGCCTTGCTTTCTTTTGGGGTGTGTGCGGCAATGTAATGATCGCTACTACACAGGGGAGAAATCCAGCGAGAAGGCAGCTGACGACTGTTCCGAGCAGTGTCTCAAGGACTCTAGAGCATCGCCAATGAGGCATCTATCCATGGTCGCTGTGCTGATGGGAATCGTAACTTGTGGACTTGCTCAGTTAGTATCATAATTCATCATTCAACCCCATGCAATACACTCATTGGTGGACGTGTAGAAAGTGAGGGGTGGTGGGATATTGACTAAGGCTTTGGGATGGGTATATATAAATGATTAGTGGTACCGACGTCACCAATCCACTACAGCAACTGAACACAGTTGATCATCTTCCGTAGTATAGTGGTCAGTATGCAAGCTTGTCACGCTTGAGACCCGGGTTCAATTCCCGGCGGGAGAGTCCGCCACCAGCATTAGCTGGTTTCTTTTTTTTCTTATCCGTAATAAATTTATTTAATTCTATGGGTGATTTTCTTCTTTTTGTTTCTGCTTCTTGTTTTAGAATCAAGACAGGTCGTAGGTTAGTGAGTACAGGTTGATCATTTGGGGTGTGCTGGCATGACGGGTTACCTAGCTTGCTGTTTACGACTTCTGTTACTGCCTGCCTACCTAGGTACCTTGTGATAGCAATAAACCAGATCATTGCAAGTGATCTCTGCTGGATTTGGTGCATTGTGAAAGTCGCTCGTATCCACCCCAGCTTGCATCTGGTGGCTAAATATCATGCATGACTTTGATCACTTCGGCCAGGTGAAGTTGCGTACCTACTGTCCAATAGATCCCATCGCAAAGTGAGGTGCGCACTGAGCTTCCTCAGTCAGATTTTGGGGTGAAACGGCTCAGGTGACAATCCTACACCCAGCTGCACCCCAATATCCCCGGCCATTCATTGGCTACACTCTGAATCCTGCAGCTTACATACCACAAGTGTGCCTTGTGCGGCTGAGCTCAAGAGAAAGATAAAGGGAAGATCATCCCCGCTGTAATAAAACCTCAGACTATTCCCCAAGTTCCCACGCCTTGCACTGGCGCGACATGTTATCCAGAATGAGGTCCCAAGCTACCTTGGCCCTGGCTGAGTCAACGTCATCTACAGACTTGGTTCTTAGAGGAACGATACTCGAAGAAAGTCAAGTTCTTGCTGTCGTTAACGCCTGGGCTGGCACTCGAAAAGTGTCTGGCAGTCAGCTCGTAAGTCGGGACTACGACAAAGAAAATTACTATAATATCTCAATACCTCGCAGAACTCATAGTTCTCATGGAGAGTCTCCGTCCAAAGTACCCGCCGACATCGATGGCCAGTCGGTCCGGATGCCCATGAGCCAATTTGAATTGATGACCGCAGCTAAGGACATCTTGTCTGCTCTCGTACAATTGGAACGAGAGTGCATCCAAATCACACGCACTCCAGGCAAAGTCGCAGGGCCCAACAATGATGTGAATAAGCCCCGATTGAAGGCTATCGGCTCCGAACGTGATCGTCTCCTAGTCAAGATTCATGACCAGCTTATTAACAACCCTCACCCAGCTGCACGTTCTGCTCAAAAGAAACTGGCGGCGAAATACGATATGACGCGGATGAGAATACGAGCCAAAAGGTATGATCGGAACAATGCCCTAGAGACAACCGAGCTCGGTGAGTTGTGTCAGTTTCTAGTGAATTTACGGGGAAGTGATACTGACTTCAAACTCCCACGATCTTTTTACTAGAGACACCGAAGAAGTCACTTAATGAGCCACTTAATGAGCCATTCCCTGAATTGGACGAGATATTCAAGATGATATTTGAAGTCTGGGAGAGACTCAATAACTACTTCGACAAAGCGTCTGATGAGCCTAGTTACCCTACCATTCTGGATGAATTGTGCCTCGAATTTCCCCACGCCGTACGGCACTTATGTACAACCATGCCGTGGACGATTTGGCCAGCTCTGATAGTACTATGGGGTGTCTGTTGGATGTTTAAGCCATCCGTGACGGAAACCATGATGTACAGTAGTCGTTCGTATACCCCGGCGTACCTCTCAAGCTCAGAGTGGGATTTTGAATCCTCACAACGTAAGTGTTCTGACGTTCCCCTACAATTTTCGGCTTTCGCTAATTCAAGTCCCTTAAGCGGAGCCCAACAGTATTTTTGACCATCAGGATCCGCACCTGCTTGATTTCGACCCCAATCCATCCTGGTTCGAAAGTGATAGCATGGGATATGGATATGAGCCTCCGAAGATTGATGACTTTGGGTCACACAGTAGTGACAGGGTTATGGAGACATCCGATCATATTGCTGTCCCTGATGCCACCCTGCTTCAAGATTCCTCCCCGGACTACCGTCAAGGCTCTACCCAAGATGAGAACACATCGTCCGAAAATTATTCTAGTTGTGAAGGAGAGAGCAGCAACCCCTCGGCTTCTGACATGTACAATATGGCACCAAGCCATCCTTCAAGGTAGGCTTACCTATTAAGGCTTGTGTCCTGGTGATGCATGGGAAATTTGTAACTGACTCGATGAAAAGCAACGAAGAGGATCCCTCATTGATCTGCGAGCAATGCAAAGAGACTTTCTCGAACGTTTTCACTCTACAGCGACACCAGGCGGAGCAACATGCTGGTGGCCCGAACAGATTCCCTTGCCCCCATCCACCCTGCAAAAGATCCCAGGCCGGGCATGCTTTCAAACGAGAAGCTCATTTGAGAAGACATCTCGAATCCCGGAAGCATCGATCTCCCGCTAGGAAGGTTTTAGCCAAGGTTGCAATCAGCCCAAGCTTGACTTCCAACCTGAGACCCATCAGCTCAAACGAGAGTAGAGAGATGTGTTCTCGCCCAACACAGGTAGATCGTTCGAAAATCGCAGAACAGAGTGAAGAGTGCAAGAGTGATGACTTAGTTTATAAGTGGAAGAAGGAATATGAGACTGGGATGGAAGCTCTCCAGGCAAAGGAGCAAGAATGCGAGCAAATAAGAGAGTTACTGAAAGCCAAGGAATTGGAATGTCAGAGGGAGCGGCAGTTATTGGATGGACTCGCGAGACTTGTGCAAAATTGATCATCTAGGCAGGGGCTTTGAGCCATTATATGTTGGATTTTCTTTGATTTCTCACGAGGATATGGTAGCGACGGGCCTGAGAAATGACCTCAAACTGACTTGACAAAACTGCGGACTGGTTCATTGCGTCCCATAAACAACCATCCCATACTCATTCTCTGGGTACTCTGGACGAGGAATTATTGGGACATCGAACCCAATTCTATGTTCCAAGCCTCGCCTCCTGATATGTGAAGCTGATAAAATGTAGTCCATCTCCGACGCAGAATTCCTTCACCCAAAACACGGTTGCGCTACTGATTACCGCAGAAGACAACAAGAAAATGTAGAGGAGCCACCAAATACTCCTAGCCTATCTGGTAGTTGATCTCTCTCCATCTCCCTCTCCCTCTCTTTCATCCTTGGAATTTCTTCTTCTCTTCTTCTTCAGTTTTGGACGAAGATAACATGTGGCGGCTGATAGAAGGGCAACAAATGCTAGGACGCCGATGACAATGCCAGCGATTGCGCCTCTTGATAGTTTATTTCCTTTTTCGTCGTCATCGTCGTCATCCTCTCGGAACGATAACGAGGGCTGATTTTGAATTGTAGAGATGTGCGGTAGAGCGGCGGACAGTACCAGGGGCAACGCTGCTACAAAGAGGAAAAGTTGAGTAAAATTTCTGGAGATATTCATCTCGCCGGATAGAGTTTTCATCAAAACATTGAGGATAAAAAGAATCATACTCCCCTATTCAAGAGTTCTATGCGTCGTTTATAATGTATAATGCCAATGGGCATCGTCGCGAATGCTTTGTTTGATGTGGGCCGGAGACACGACGCGCATAAACTTGGCAGCGGCTTATGCAAGCTACGCCTCCTTGACGACGTAATCCCATCCCCAAGAAACCGGGACCGTCTTTCAAATCGCATTAAAGGTTAAAGGGGAACAAATTCAATTATAAGTTGCCTCACAATGGGTGTAATTCTCATATGAAGATTGAGTCTTTGCTATTTCCTTCATTTTTCTCTGTTCAGTATTTGACTATGAATATAGAGAGATGTTACTGGCTGTGATTGCCTTCAACCCATAATTTATAGGAAATGTACCGTATAATATACCATGCTATAGATCGACTCGGGTTTACTAACCGAAAAGGCTTACGTACCACGGCGAAACAGCATCTTGTTGTGCTGGCACCGTAGGGAAAGCCCACCTCCATGGATCCCCATATGCTAGGAGGAAATCTTGATTTCGAGTCTAGAGCCCTCAGCTTTTAATAATGTGTGACGAGGTTGATATCTGGGAGTAGAGTTGTTTTGCCTTCACCTCCCTCCTCTCCGCCGCAGCTCTCTTTTCTTCTATTTTTCGCTCTACCCACTCTTCACTTTGAGCTAGAGCAGCATCGGCGTCGTTCTTGTGCATCAACAGAAAAGAGATAATCTCCGCCTGGCTGAACGTTGCTGGCGGAACTATTGATGCAAACTTGGCGGCTTTTGCTTCCATTGTATCCTGTTCTTTGCTTATCACGCTGCCGTCTTTTAATCCACTATCTCGATTGACTGGACCAAGAAGAAAGATGAAAAGATCAGCAATGACCTTGCAGTCGGCGACAGGCAGCTCTATCTGCATGTCGACGCGACCGGGGCGGATCAGCGCCTCGTCAAGGTCCTCGCGGTGATTTGTGGTCATGACAACCATCCGGCCGTCTTGGGATGTAACGCCGTCCAAAGTGTTCAAGAGTCCTGATAGTGTCACCGAGCCCCGAGTCCGGCGTGAGACTCTTGTCGGTGCCACATCCTCAGCGTTCTCAGGATCCGCGGTTCTCGACACACCAACAGCGTCAATGTCTTCTAGAAGCACGATGCAGGTTTCGGGCAGAGTCTCAAATAGGTTCTTGAGAATAGTGTTGCTACAGTCTGGGACGTTGATCACATAGACGTCCAGGTCAAGCTCACCTGCCATGGCGAGGCTTAGACTAGATTTCCCAGTGCCGGGTGGGCCGTAGAGAAGATACCCACGGCGGTACGGGAGTGCACGCTGAGTATACCAAAGTCGTGTCTCCTCGCTTAGAAAACCTTGTATGTCGCTGAGGAATTGCTGCTTCCGTTCATAGTCGATGATGACGGTTGACAACGGGCGTGCGTCCTTATCCTTGAGCTTCTTCCAGGTCGAACCTTGATTTTCAAATATTGATGTCTTCCCCCTGACTTGCTCAAGATACTCCTTGCGGCACTCCTGCATCAATTGCTTGAGGATACTGTTGGACCAGCCTAGGCAGCTGAGCGTTGTCTGTTCCTCGGTCACGCGAGTCGCTCCCTTTTCGACAGTTTGGTTCTTGTATGATATCATGGAACCCTTGTACCAAAAAGTAAAAGATGTCCGCCAGGGCTTATACTCGAGAGCCTTCTTGCCGCCGTTTCTGGAAACATCGCCGGGATGTCCCTTCTTCAAGACGCTGACAGAACACGCCCCGGCCGAGCCATCCAACCCACGCCGCTTCAACCAGGCGAAGAGCATCTCGTATGCCTCGTCCGGCTGACTGATGTGTATAGTCATAGCTTAAATATTACGGTTAGCTTGTTGATTAGAAAATAAATTAGGAGGGGGAATGACAAACCAAAATGCGGCTTCAACATATTAAGAAGACGATTAATATAGGTTTGCACAAATCCGATCATGCCCAGAGCACATGCGATATAAGCAAACATATTCAAATCACCTGCAAGAACTGCGGATAGTCCCCCGAGCGCGCGAGAGATGCCGGGGAGGAAGACTTCGAGGGCCGAGACATGCTGGAAGGGGGTCGAAGACCGTCCTGCCGAGAATGTTGAGTTTGCTTTATCCATTTCTGGGATCTAAGCGAGAAAGAGTTATTCTGAAAGATTTGAGATGGATAGGATTGAGAGATCTGATGCGAAATCGAGATTTTATATTTATATGTAGGTTGCATTTCAAGTGGGAGAGATTTGCATCGTGTTTGGCCCCGTTGGGTAACACATCGCGAGCATTTAGGCAACAGCTCGCTGCATAGCCCCATCGCTTATTGGCTGGTTGCTGATCGGTCGATCATTACTCTGCCTAGAATTTAGAAATAATAAAAGAGTCTGAGAGATCATACAATCCGTATAGGCCTATCGCTGACTTGCTACACTGGATTTTCGTGTGTCGAGGTTTATTTGACTATTGCTCGGGATTGGCACTCGACACTCCATTGTCCATTCATGGTTGAGTGGCTTGAGTATATATCATCTCGATACGCCAAAGACTGATAAACGTGCAAAATAAATGTCTAATATTCCAACATGCATGAGCCAGAACACATCACGAATATTCATTCACGAAGCCAGTTCTGAGGTAGAGTTTTGCACAGCGAAGCCTCTATCCTATAAGAGCCCAAAATCACACTCTATAATATTAATAGTTTTTACAGAGTTTTCCATCTGCATGGGTGTAGCCTTGGGCCAGCAGAGCTTATTTTTTTTGCCTTTCGTATTCATTGTGTTTAGATGCCGGGTCTGGCAATTTCCATTGCTGCTTTTTATTGTGTGTGAGTCAAGCCACTCAAACTCCCTCACCCGTATAATATTGATAGCTTCGACATTTCCCTAACAATAATGTATCCTGGTTTGAGTAAAAGAGTTGTTTGAGCACTTATAAATAGCTTAAAATTTGTTATATTGTCATAATTTCAACAAGGCCCTTTCATCTCGCAACATAATCCGACTCCAATCGAACTCCAGTTGCTAGGTCCCCCCCCAAAGAAAACACGAAAACCATAGCTAGAAAGGAACTCTGAAAAGAATATCTACAAAGAAAAGAAAATATAACAACGGCGCATTCAAGAGCCGGCTGCAAACTGTATTCCATTAATTGTATTGCGTCGCTTGTTGCATTTCTGGCTGGGCCGCTCTGCTTGGCTGAGGCGGGCTGAATACCTGCACCGCCCCGTCATATGTTCGAAACGCGACTTTTTGATTGCAATTGGTGCAATAGTATTCGGTATTCTCGCACCAGTGCAGGATGCAGGGCAGGCATGTAAGGCAGACACAGAACAGGCAGAGGACAGCACCGACAACACTGCGAAACAATTAGACGAATGACTTGTAAAGGCTTAAGAGCCGTTCGGTATATATAATGTGGTTTCGTACATTTGCATAGAACCACCCTTCTTGTTCAGTCTCGTTTGGGCCCGGCGGTTGCAGAAGGGGCAATCGATGAATTGCGGATGATCGCCAAGTGAGGCCAAGGGGGTGACCATTTGCTGAGCCTGAATAGGATGGCCATTGGATGGACTACAAACCAATCACTGTTAACATCGTTCAATTGTTTACCTGAGCTGATTGCCCGTCGATGTGAAAAAGTTGGGAGATTCAGAAACGTACTCAACATGAACTGGTGCATTAACACCTCCTTTAGGTGATTGAGTTTCGTATGTCGGCGGCGGAACTGGCAAGACTTGGTCTTGGGTGGCCATGGCTGGTGGAGGGTGACTATTAAGCCCAGCAGGTATGGGTTGCTCTGAATTTGGCTGTTGTTGATACATGCTGGGTGAAGTGCCTTTACTGTGCAAAGAGAATGGAACACTGAAACCAGCCAGAAAACGGCGGACAGGATACGTATTCCTGATATTAATACTGCAAGCCCCTTCCCCAGTGGGCAAATAGGACAGCCCAATGAACATACCAGCCAGTTTGGGCCACGGAAGGCGCCGCACTGCGTGGTGCCTTGCCCATTCCGCAGCAGGGACTTCTGCCACTGCAAGCAACAGCAGTGTAACAGTCGGTGCTACGTATCAACGGATATACCAAGTGCCATTCGGGACTAAGGAGTCTAGTGTGGCGCCTAGGATCTGGCATGATCTTGGCGAGACTGGAACCTTGATTTAGCCCCCTGTTAACTCGTGACCACACAGACATTGAAGGGAACTAACTACTTCAAGAGCAACTGCAAATTGAGTTAATACCACCATTGAGCCAGACGCCTTTCAGGCCGCCTGGGTCCTAGTCTTCGGGCGGACCATGTTGCCCAGGACAGCCACGCTGTGGACAATGAACCCGGTATTCTCCCCATATTGCCACCCTCCATCTTGGCGGTATCTGATAATCACTTCTGGCTGGTAAGCCTACCAACAAAAGATCTTTTCTATGTCAAGGATTGAGTAGCATTGGCCAAGCCTTCGAAATGAAATCATGCGAGCCTCCCCGTAGACCTGTTTTCTGACATCCCTCCTTACATATCTCATTGGATGTGGTTAGATGTGGCTTGTACAAATCTGGCTAGGGGCAAGATGAATGGCTTCATGGATATCACCAAACAAAAACAAAAATCCAGCCAATCTCACCTGATATTCGCTGCTACTAACAGTCGGATTGAGTTTAAATACAAGCGGAGGACGCGTATGGGGGTGGCGCATGTAGGATTCCGAGGCTTGGGAAACATTCTACTCGTCCATAACCCCACTAATTATGACGATTCCGCCCCCTAATGAGTGGCAGGGATCGGCAGAGCTGACAAGGCGTGGATATGTGGCTGTGCCGCCATTGAACTTTGGAGCTCAGTACGCGCCAGCACTCATGTAACACGAAGTCAGCTTGGAAGCTGAAATAAGAGGGTTTCAGCTCTGGTGAATTAACTTTCACTTGCCCTAACTTGGCTCAATTGAGCAACCACTACAGGCTTGGGGTGGGCTTTCCCGACTCTAGAGTCCCAATACATAACTGTATATGTACAGTTTCTTTCAGCCAATCTATTATCCCTCTCCACAAGATCTATGACATCTATTTCCGGAGGACTCGGCTGGTATATATGGCCGGGGTCTGCTACTGTACGAGTCTTCGGAAACAGTGGAACTCTCTCCCGTTCAGATCCCTATAGATCGCGTGAAATTCCACGGCGCGGATGGGAGACAAAGGCTGGTATCCTACCTAATGCAAGATATATGTAATCAGCTTACCATCAATTTGAGGTTCGTCACGAATAGAAGCTTAGGCAATAGAAAATTTATTGCTTAACTGGCACGATAATTGGATTTGGCAAGCATTAGGAAGATGTAATAGCAACAACAATTGCCTTATCTCTCTTGATTAGTTCCATACCAAAATATGTTGCCAGTTAATAGAGCCTATCATCCCCCAACAAAATAGTACCCTTACAGAATTCCCGGGTACCTCTCCCACCTTCTAGCATTCTAGCCGTTTTGTGGCATACCAAGCTCCCCTTCACCCAACTTAAAGGGTGTACTTGAAAAGAGGCGAGCGGTCTCCCATCTTCTCCAGCTCTTCATCATTATACTTGGCCCTGATTTCCTCCTCGGTCATTTGCGACCTCTTTTGGTTAATGTTCCAGTAGACAAACTCGAGAAGTAGACAAGAAACAATACCAAGCCCAGCGAAGGCAAAAGATGCTCCAAAGCCAGTGGGGTATGTTGGTTTCTCATCTTCGATATAGATGTAGCTGCCAATAATACCACCGATGTTCCCGAGGCAGATCATGAACGCAATACCCTGTGCGCGCTTGGTCGGGCCAGCGAGGTTTCCAATGGTCCATGCGTTGCCGCCGGGGTTGATGGGGTAGAAGCCGACTGAGCAGAGAAAGATGGCGAAGTAGCAGACTGCCGTGTTGTCCTTGACTTTGGCCGAAAGAGAAAACAGGATAGCAAAGGCGATCACAACCAGCAACTGAGCTCCAACGATGAAGGGCATCCTCCACTTGAACTTGTCGGAGAAGACGGCAGAGACGTATGCTGAGATGGCACCCAGAACGTATGGTGGGATCGTGAGAAGCTGCGCGTTGCTGTTTGAGTACCCCATGTTCTTGATGATCTGGGGCATCGTGAACTTCATACCGTAGTTTGGCACGGTGTTTGACCAGTATACGAGAGCTTGGAGGTAGATCTGCCAGTCGGTCAAGACAGAGCGGAGAATCTCCCACTTTCGACTCTTCTCTGCCTCCCTGGCCCGCATGCTATTGCCCTGAACGGCTAGCTGTCGGAGCTCGAGATATTTCTTCTCGTCCGGTGTGAGCCATGGCGAAAGAGATGGCGTATCAATGAGGAAGAAGAACGTCATGATGCCGGCGATAACGGAAGCAATTCCCTCCAGGATGAAGATCCATCGCCATCCTTCCAAGTTTCCTAGGCCGTCCAGCTTGGCAATCCCGAAAGCGAGAAGGCCAGAGAAAGCACCAGCGAGGGCACTTGCTGAATAGAAGAGGGCGATGCGGACTTGCGACTCGTGGGGGAGGTACCATCTCGAGATGAGGTACACGGCACCGGGGAAAAAGCCAGCCCTGTTCACAAACGAAAATATGTTAGCAGTCAACTCCATGTATGTGATAAAATGATCTCTTGTTCTTGGATACTTACTCAAAAACTCCCAAGAGTAATCTACAAACCACAAGGCCAGCGAAATTCTGGACGATCCCAGTCAGGGTGATGACAACGCCCCATGTAGTAACTAATATTGAGAGATAGGTGGAAGGCCTTTTGAACTTGAGGAGGAGTGTGTTGCTTGGAACCTCTATTTTGATCCGCAGTTAGTTTACCTCCCCAAATATGCACTGATGATTACCCATACCGAGCAGAATGTACGGGACAAAGAAAATGGACAGAGCAATATTGTACTTTGTTCCGTCGAGTTTGAGGTCTTCCATCAAGCCTTCGATCTTCGCATTACCTAGAACAGAAGAGATGTCAGATACTTCCTCTGTTGCAGTTCAATGGATATTGTAATGCTTCCAGCGATACATACCAATATTGGCTCGATCGAGAAAGGAGATCAAGTACAGAAAAGCGAGCATGGGAATGAGGCGAATATCAACCTGTTTTGCTTACCCGTTAGCATAACGTTTCTTTTCTTTCTTGTTAGATTTAGGTGCATCTCACCTTCCTCAGAACCTTTTTCCTGGCATCTTCTGAAAAGTTATCAACGAATGCACGATCCTCTCCCGACAGTTCGCCCAGACGCTCAGTATGACTGGACTTTTCGGGCTGTTTCTCATTCTGAGAGACGATCGAGCCACGGTTGCTGGTAGTCTCGATATTCTGAGCCATGGCTTTCTCGCAGGAGCCAGAGACTCTTTGTTAACAGAATTGGAGGTAGCTTCGAAGTTGCCGTTGATGAGGTTATCCAAAGAACTGCTTTTCGATCTCCGGTTGATAACTTGAAACGGTTCGTCGAGAGGGTTTCGGAATGCGGATTGTATTGCGATCTTATACGTTGTCGAAGGAGGTCACCGACAGTCCAGATGGTTCGAGATACATGCAAGTCCATGCACGATACAGCAATGCTCAGGGAAGTTGCTACGACTGAGCAACCCCAGAACCTTGCCAGAGTCATTGCCTGCCACCATTGCTGGGGCTAGTAAGCATACAGTTTGGCGCTGCAAAAATCGTCGCCCCATGATTCTCCCCGTGGGGCAAGTGTGCTTGGTTGAGAGTGTGTTCTAGCATTTGTCTGGGGTCGGAATTCCTAGAAGGGTGAAGCTGGTGAAGTAATTCCGACAGTGGAGTGTCGGCATTTCAGAGATTCCGACATAACATAACCCACAGGCGAGTCAACCAGACAAATCCCGACCCAAAAGCCGACACTCAACCATGCTTACTCTGTAGTTAGTTATTATTTTTGAGTCAGGTATTATTGAGTAATAAGGAGAGTAGCACGCATCTCCGACAGAGGGGGGTGCTTCAGAACCAGAAGTAATTCCGACCATGTGGTTATGCGCATCAATCTAGGTACACAGTAATGCCGACCTCTCAGGCAAACCAAGCCGACAGCGAGCGGCTCTCTGAGCATGAACCAGTATCCGAATCCTGCTCGGATTTCACTAGGAAGCGGAGAGTATTGATGTTCTAGTAAGAAACTGCCGTAGAATATACCCGCCGCACTTGAGAATGTTGCCGGCTACAGCTGCTTAAAAGGAAAACACAAGAATACATATCTTGTATGAAGATATCCTCACCCAGAGTAAAACTTCATACCTGATCCTCAAGAGAGACACACTCTATCATTAGCCAAGAAGTTTACTCATATTACTCACATTGTCTTCTCAACAACGCCCAAAATGGTTGGGAGCACAAATGGTAGTGCCAACGGCAACCATGTCACCCTTGAGGAGCCTAGCTTCGCGACTTACCCAGATCTCAATGGCAAAGTTGTTTTCTGTATGTATTTCAGAATCCCTGGCCCTCTTTCAGAATGGAGGGGGAAGATCGAGCAGACAATAGATCGCCCGCTAACATTGCTTAGTAACTGGTATTGGCCAGACCGGCGACCAGCATATGTGGGGGAATGGTGCTGCCACTGCCCGTATTCTGGCCAAGCAAGGGGCCAAGATTTTCGGATGTGACCTGTACCTCGAAGCTGCTGAGCACACTCGAAAGCGCATTGCCGCCGAGGGTGGTGACATTACTGTCGTATCTGCCGATGTCACCAGCGACGAGAGTGTGAAGAAGGCTGTTGATGCCTGCATCGAGAAATATGGCCGCATTGATATTCTCGTAAAGTAAGTCTGAACCGATACTCAACTCAACACTCAATGCATTCAGCTTATACTAATACTTCTCCTACCAAAAAGCAATGTTGGTCGCTCTGAGCCCGGTGGCCCCGCTGAGATGACAGAGAAGGTCTGGGACGCCCAGACCAGTGTCAACCTCAAGTCCGTCTACCTCTGCTGTCATCATGTGTTGCCGTTGATGGAGGCGCAGGGCGGAGGCGCCGTGGTCAACGTTGCCTCCATTGCTGGCCTGCGTTACATTGGCAAGCCCCAGGTTGCATATGCCGCTACCAAGGCTGCTGTGATCCAGTTCACCAAGGCTACAGCCGTCATCTACGCCCCCAAGAATATCCGAATGAATGTTGTAGTACCTGGTCTGATGCACACACCGCTGGTCGGCATGCTGGCGGACAAGTATGCAGCAGGAGACTTGCAAGGGTTCATTGCTAAGCGAAACAAGGCCGTGCCCATGGGAAAGATGGGCGACTCGTTCGATGTGGCCATGACGGCTGTCTTCTTGGCTTCTCAGCAGGCTAGATATATCACCGGACAGAAGATTGTGGTTGATGGCGGTATCACCTCATCGACTGGCTAATAGATTATGGATTGTCATGTAACAAAATAGACAGCTTTGATTCTTAATACAATAAAAAAATTGAAGATCAAGACAGAAATCGTAATCTTTCAATGTTCCTTCGTCAATTATATTGTTGAAATAGATCGATACCCTCTATCCCAAAGTTTTCAGGCAAGGCAGCGCTGTCGAATCCAATATCCATGATCACGTCAAGACCATTGTTCAAACCGAACGTTTCCATTGCATGCTGCTCCTACAGGATAAATGAGAACATGTTCTGAGATTAGAGGGAGAGCGATCTGACTTACAAACGCGGAATATGGCCCGGGAGCCGCTCTCTCCGCTTCATCATGAGGAGCCAATTGGAGAATCGGTAGCTCTGTATCATCATTCCCCAGTAGTGGCCCATGAGGGGATGAAGCATCGGGGAAACCTTGTTGACCTGGAACTTCTGCCCAATCCGGTGTTGGGCCATGTGCTGCCACGGTATTACTGGGGGAGTTGAGGGTCCGAAGAACCTCGACCCTTGCGCGGGATTCCTGCATTACAGCATGGTCAGTATGCTGACGTGGAGGTCATATATATCAAGTCCAAGCAAGTATTTCGGCCTGGGGGAAGATTTAGAATGACGGGAGTCTTACATCAAGTAGTTTCTGGGCGTAGATGTTGACACTGTTATCAAGTTTACGATGAACCTTCATCGCCCTCTCAACCGCAGACTCAATGCTATTCCAGTCGTCCGACTCCTGGTACAACGCCAAGTAGACCAAGAGAATTGAAATCGCGCAAAATATGAAGTGAGAGGTCATCTGGACATTCATCATCAGCAAGCTTTTATGCAGTCATAATGTCTTTGATGTACCTACCCAGAAGGTCGCATTATACTTGAACTCATCGGCTCCAAAGTCTGCAGCAAGAGCAATCATAGCCATGGCGTTGTCGACGCATTTTCTGACACGCTCGGGGCACTGGCCTGAACGCGGGGTGCTAGGAGCCTGCTGAAGAAACTCTCTGAGCAGGAAATGACGATAAATAAGCATATTGGTAAAGAAGAAAGCAGCTCGTATGGTTCTTTGCTGGCGCCGAAAGATCCAAGGAACGTCGTAAAATCCCTGTTCGCGGGAGCTGAGCTCGTTTTGAACAGGATGAAAGAACTCCGGAACGTCACCAAGCCAGTCGGCGAGTTCTTTCTCTAACCCGGCCACGGTAGCTTCTGTAGGCGCAGTGTTATTTCTGGCGGCTGGATATAGCTGTGTGACTATGTGGCCCATTATCATAGTAAGTCTATCTCATTGGGTATCAGTTTGAGAACAAACAGATTGTGGAACTAGTTCATAGACAGACCTAAAATGAGCTACGACGCCTACCCATAATTTCTCCTCAAGACTACCAAGTCGAGACTTGATGGCAGGATCAAGTTCCATGGAGAGCGTGATGGTAATATCATGCTCCTGAATCGATATGGGTCTGCCCAAGGCAATGGCCAGATATCTAAGAGAATGAGCATCAAAAACGCGCACCAAGTAATAATCGCGGAATGATATAGCTTACCGATCAACCATGAACATAGCGTACAATATGGACTTCCTGAAATGGGCTTCTTGAGCTGTGCACGCGGTGGGCTCTCTTTGAATATCAATCATCTGACCCAAGCGGATTGTCAATCCCAATGTCATCCAGGCACTGTTGTATTGGCTCGAAGCGATCTCCAATTGACACTGTACGCAGAAGGTAAGCCTAATGAGCATACAAAAAACGAAGAAGCTGATGGATCGCCTTGTTCCAGTACCTTGAGTAGTTGAGCTTGTAAAATGGCAAGGGTTGGGGGAAACGTGTTTCGAGATTTTTCGAGCCTGAGTTCAGCAGCTTGTAGAAAGCGTTCTCTGGAATTGTGTCAATTATTGATCGAAGGTCGCCCGTGATATGGATGCATCTTACGATTTTCTTTTCCAAGGTGGCAAAGGCTCGTTTCTCCATGATGCCGTCCATATGCATCTATCAGGTTAGCTTCTCATACCAGGAACCCGGCGGAAAGCTGACATACCCAATGCCCATAATCAGGAGCACAATAGCCATCTCCGTATGGTCGCTCAGTACGGTTTCATTCTCCGCATAGACTTGCCTCAGCAGCTCGAACATCTCTGCTTTGGGCACATACCGGTAGGTAGTGTTTGCGTGGTCAAAGAAGCAGTCGAAATAACCTTTAGCGGTCTCAATGCTTGGTAGAACAAAGGTGATGGCCTGATTATTGGGGTGGAAGCCACCTTGTTCCTTGCTGAACAGATTCCGAGGAAGACCGCGACCGACCTGTGCTAGATGCCCCGAGACCTTTTGTAGAAAGGCGTGGACGCTCGCATCACCTGTTACTCCAATCAGTTCATACAATTCAGGGAGAAGGGAGAGTGTGATACAACGCGAGACTAGTTATCACGTACCCGAATCATGCTCAATCCGGACGGCGCTCATATCGTCGCTGTTGGCGTTTGAAGGAGCAGTCACGTGAGAAGGCGACGCCGGTACGACTGACGTATCATCGCCGGCTATATTCAAAGGTGCTTGGTTCTGAGCCAAGCTGCGAGTCTACAATCGGTTAGCTTTCTGTCATTCCTCATGTAGACCAATTTTGTAGGTAGTTGTCTTACTGTCCTACGTCTGGCTCCACGTTTGTAGTCTGAATTATAAGCACAGCCTATATTCAAGATGTCAGTGATATACGATAGGTGGTGCTGGGCTTGTGAGGGGATGAGAGCACATACGGAGCCCGGAACCAAGGCAACGCTGGCAGGGCTCACAGCCATCACATTTGGATTTTCTTTTTTTGCATCCATCGCAGGCCCTGTTTCCACCGGTCAGTTCAAGCCGGGGTGGGATTGACTGGTTACGTCAACTTGAGGCGCGTAGCGAGGTGGTAACGAACCTCGTGACGTATTTCTTCTTCGGCACGGGGCTTGGGATTGATGCCATTGAGTCAGATAGTAGTACGCCCCGGAATTTGGCAGGAATGTCGATCGGATAATACTGGGCAAGAAGCTCGAGCTTGCATCTGTCGTGAGAATCCAACACCGCCTGGACTTGGATGATTGGGGTAAGTCGTCGAATGTGGAGGCAGGCTCGTGTTTTCAGTGAGGGGCCTCAAAAGCCTGTCGAGTCATCTACCAGGGATCTAAAAGGTCTAGGCTTGGGGTTCGTCTGTGGGGGACTGGGGCTTTCATCTCCGCACTCCATCCCGAGCCACCCTTCCTCCCCCCTTTCCTCCTCACTCAGTAGCACACCTCATTGAGGAGTCAGTTTGTAGGCGGAGCAGATTCAATGGGGCGAGTTCATTTATATTTTATAAGTTTCTAAGCTTTGCCCGCCGAACTAAACACTTCTACCATGAGTCTCTCAACCCCTTTTGAATATGCTTCGACGGCTTCTACCTGCAGGGTGGTCAATTCAACCTTGGTGCAGTTTTCTGCAATATACTCGTGATACCCATTCCTCACATTTCGGTTCTGATTGACCTTGACCATTCCTCGTGCCATTCCCACTCGAACCATCTCGTCTGACAGCGGGTGAGTGCCATGTAACACGAGTGGTGTCGCATCACCCAAAGCCGCATGAATCTTCTCCAACCTGTCCAATCTCCAGTGCTTCTCTGCGCCACCAGCAGGATATGGCCCATGGACATTTCCAAAGCTAGGGGCTAGGAAATGAACGCCGGTCTTCTTAACAAAGTCGGCGGCCATATCTGGGTCGGTAAAGACACTCTCAAGATCAATCGTCGGCAGTCCGTCCTCCCCTCCCTCCATTCTCCCAAGCTCAGCCTCAACGGTGATGCCCTTGTCTTTGGCTCTATCCACGACGGATTTGACATACTTGATGTTGCCTTCCTCATCATACATGGACCCGTCAACCATGATGGAGTCGAATGCGCACTCCAAAGCCAGATCCGCATCACTGGGCTTCAAACAGTGGTCAAGGTGAATGGATATAGGCACTGAAGCCGCATGGGCAACCTCGGCTGCGTACTTGATAAATGCAGGGCCGTGGAAGTGCAAGGTCCATGGGAAGAATTGAATCATTGCCGGGGAACGGCATCGCTCCGCCGCCTTGATCACTGCGAGAACGCCTTCCGCATTGTATCTGTTATTGTATAATATCAGTCTACTGCCCTTCACGTTGCATAATTCGGATAATGGGCATATGGGCACGCAGCAGATGCTTGGCCTAGACTTACACGCAGAACCCGCCAACGGCATACCCACCCTTCCGGGCGTTATGGATAATCTGCCACGTTAGGTTGTTCTCGGGATACGCAGCCATTCTGGACAATAATGAGTATTTCTGTCTGTCTGACGGTGTGCTGGAACTGTGACCGGCAAAACGTCTCCTACCCTGGCCTTTTCAATCACGCGCCGGTTATTAGAAGCTATCCTAAGATGGCCCCGGATAATAAAATCGGATATGGTGACTTTAGCTCGAGGCCAGAGTAAAAGCCGACTTGCATTTGCTGGACGAGCCCCACCAGACCCATTTCCGACCCTGACGATGAATTCCGATGACAGAATTCCGACACCATCATCTTACTTATTCCGATCTAGCAGTAGCCAAGCATCAGACTGGCACCGGCTCCAATTCGATTCTGCAGCAACCCCCTCGGTCTTCGGCGGATAACTCTTATCCGATGGAAAAGCGCCAGTCCCACCAACACGCCGGATCCGGTGATGGCTTCAAGATGCGGAGGCGAGGATCCATGAAATACCCCAGATATTGCCAGTCCCGCGGCATTTAGAGATTTCGATGGCAGATAACAACAGGTGAAGATGACAGCCAAACACTTTGTCGGTGGCAGCCCTGCCGAGCTGGTGGTAGATGCTCTGGAGAGTCTTGCTCAGCTGCGACCAGGAATCCAATTTGATAAGCAACACAAAAGTATGAACAAGTCTCGAGCACCAATCCCAACCTACTTCAAAGTGTAGAACTTATTGACGGTTGAATTGCAGTCGTCTACTCAACGCTCCATGACCCCTCCAAGCATGTCGCACTCGTCTCCGGCGGCGGCGCAGGCCACGAGCCTGCACACGCTATGTACGTCGGCCCAGGAATGCTGAGCGCCGCCGTCTCGGGCAACATCTTTGCCTCGCCGAGCGTGAACCAGATCTACAGCTGCATCCGCAACGCCAACGGGGATGCCGGGACCGTCCTCATCGTGAAGAACTACACGGGGGACATCTTCCACTTCCACCAGGCGGCGCAGAAACTCCGCGCCGAGCTGGGGATAAAGGTCGAGGTTGTTGTCGTCGGTGACGATGTCGCTCTTCAGAGGAGTAAGGCTGGGAAGGTCGGGAGGAGAGGGCTGGCTGGTACCGTGTTGATGCACAAGATCTTGGGCGCTGCCTCGGCGGCTGGCAAGTCTATTGAGGCCTTGGTTGAATTGTCGAAGAAGGTGAACGCTGGTTTGGCCACGGTCGGTGCCTCACTTGACCATGTCGATATTCCTGGCCAGAATACAGATGCTCAAATTCACCTCGCGGCAGATGAGCTTGAGCTAGGCATGGGAATTCATAACGAGCCCGGGGCTGAGTTGCTAAAGCCGAAGCCGGAACTCGACGACTTGCTTGACAAAATGCTCGGCTATCTCCTGGATACTAGTGATTCAGAGCGAGCGTATGTCAATGTTGCTCCATCTGATGATGTTGTTTTGATGGTCAATAATCTGGGGTCGCTGTCCGTTCTGGAGCTTGGCGCCATTACAATCAATGTCACACGGCGACTAGGTATGTCCCATCAAACATGGCTTGAAGCCCGTGGTTAAGATTATTAACAGTTTGTAGGAAACCGTGGGATCAAGCCCGTAAGAACCTACAGCGGAACCTTTATGACAAGCTTGAATGGGCCGGGCTTTAGCATCACTTTGCTCAAAGCGGATTCAGAACTTCTACAGTATCTGGACGCTCCTACTTCAGCGGTTGGCTGGTCCGTCCCTTATATTTCCCCAGAGGAGAGAAACACAACCGGGAGAGTCATTGCGACTCATTCGAGTGAGAGCAAGGCGGAAACCGTGACCAAGAGCACATCAAGCGCAAAGGGTAAGTAACCTCTTCAATGGAAAGGAATCAGCAACGTATTTGCTAACAGTGCCCTGGCTCAAGTTGATGGAAAGCTGGTGCGTTCAGTTATTGGCAGCGCCTGCCGTGCTGCAATTGCTGCTGAACCTTCTATCACTGAGGCTGACACTATTGTTGGGGATGGCGATTGTGGCCTAACACTAAAGCGTGGCAGCGAGGCGGTGTTGAAACTGGTAGAAGACCCCTCATCCTCGGAGGACAATATCCTTGATCTTATGATCAAGATCGCTCATGAAGTCGAAGAAAACATGGATGGTACCTCTGGGGCTATTTACGCTTTGTTCTTCAGCGGCCTTGCTGCTAAGCTGAGAGATTTCGATAGTTCGGTGACAATGGGCCTGCAGGAATGGGCTCTAGTTGCGCTCGGAGGACTGGAGACTGTCCAACAGGTCACACCCGCTCGGTCTGGTGACCGGACTTTGATGGACGCTCTGGAACCATTTGTCAATTCACTCAAATCCGGAATTGATCAGGGAGTGGAAGCAGCAAGAAAGGGATCGGAATCAACCAAGGGGATGAAACCGGCGTTTGGAAGGGCCGTTTATGTCAATGAACAGGGCTGGGAGCAGGTCCCAGATCCCGGAGCTATGAGTATACTTGCGATCGTAGAGGGTATTTCGAAGGCCTCGGCTGGTAGTCAGTAGCTCCTAGACATAGTTTGTTTGTCTATGCAAGAGTCGGCCTTGTTACCAATACGGTATACCAGTTGAGAAAGAACAAAATATCAAAACACTCAGGGACGGTAAGCGTCAAAATTTTCAAGGCCGTTATGAGCCAGCACGTGGCTGAACAGATTCTATTTAAGCACATATTGCCATCTCCGCTAGTTCAATTCAGCCACCAAAGATCACAATATGTAACAGTAGTTACTAGATCTTACCCGGCCCCAAAACGAGATTATGCTTCATATCGAGAGTATCAGCCTCTCAAACTGAGCTATAGCGATATTAGCTACGGAGAGAAAGACTGAATTACATTAGATTAATATCTTTTATCCTCGTCGGCCTCCCGCAAAGCACCCTCTATGTCTATCTCATCGAGAGACAAGAACCTGGTTTTCTTGTAGAACTTCCAAAAGAGGAACGCCGCGAGCACCAGCGGGAAATCCCTGCTTTAAGTCAGTATGCAATTTCAACTAGACCGCTTATTTTCATTACTCACAAGTAAGATGATACAAAGGAACTAGGGTCCCAGTTTCCTTTCGTGAAAACTGTGAATCCGCTCGTGAGAATGATGATGAAACACATTCCCAAGGCGGCGATTGAGCTATGCACTAAAACGATCAATCAGTTACATTTCATTCTATTCTGTGAGCTACTCAGGCCTCTCTGCTCTCACTTACAAGTGAAACGATTTGCCCATGGGAGCCGCGTATAAGGGATGTTTTGCTTCTTCAGGGCCAGTCGCAGACGGATGTGGTTGAATAGAATGGTTGACCAAGACACGAGCGTCCCGGCTGAGGTTAAGCTAACCAACCACCAGAAGACAGTGATCGCGCCACTCGAGAGACTCATAAAGCTGAGGAACATGACGGCGGTGTATAGAGAGACACAGACATACGGGACACCCCAGCTCGTGGTACGCAAGAAGATACGAGGCGCATGGCCCTTGAGAGCGAGGCCGTAAAGGACACGGGTTCCAGACAGAAGACTCTGGTTCGACGCGGACCAGGCGGAGGTGATCACAATAGCGTTTACGACACTTGGAATAGCAGGAATTCCAGCTGCCGAAGCTGCAATAACAAAGGGCGAAGCAGTTGCGTCACTGCCGTCGTTGTTGAGGCGTTCGTCATCGCTTGGGACCAACATGCCGACAATCAAGATTGCCAGCAGATAAAAGACAAGGACTCGGATGAACACATTTTTGCAAGCCCTTGGGATGGCCTTGCGCGGGTTGCGTGTCTCCGCGGCTGCCATTGCGATCGACTCGGTGCCAGCAAAAGAAAACACGGCGCCCGTCATGACAGACCAGTATCCCAGAAACTCACCCCAGTGGCCTGTTCCAATATACTCCGCCCATGGGCCGGGCGAATACCAGTACTTGAAACCGATTCGTGGTGTTCCAGGCACGCCGCCCAGGTTGATAACGAGGCCGAGAATGATGAGAAAGATGACGAGGAGAATCTTGAGCCAGCCAAAGATGTACTCCACCTCACCAAAAACCCGGATAAGAGAAAAGCCAACGGCGACCGTGAGGACCATGAAGATGACAATGAACACGGCAGGGCTGAGGTCCGTCCAATACTGAAACAGCACGCAGATGGCCGTGATCTCCGCTGGGATGGACAAAGTCGTCCCGTAAACCAGATTCCAACCCACTGCAAATCCAAGCGCAGGATCCACGAGAAACTCGGCGTGGCGGACAAACGCACCGGTCACGGGCATGAGGGCGGCGACCTCTCCCAGCGCAAACTGCACAGCGCACACGACCAGGCCGACTGTCGCATACGCGAGCAGCGCACCAGCTGGGCCGGCTTTTTGCACTGAAGACCCGAGGCCGAGGAAGAGACCAGTGCCGATGGCTCCGGCAATACCCAGCATGGCGACATGGCGCTCGGAGAGACCACGCTTCAGGTCGCGTTCCTCGTTGGTGGTGGCGATGTTGGCATGGTGCCCGTTGTTGTGGACTTCGGCAGTCTCTGTCACCTCCTCGTCCTTGGTGGGGTAGGACTGATGCAGCCAGGGTGAGTGATTGGCAGCCATGGCTTCCCTCGGATGGTGGTCGAGTCTTGTGAGGCAGGAAATGCCGTTGAGTTTGAGGCTCAGTTGGTTCGAGAGCACTTTAAGGGTCGGTGTCGTGTGCTGACATCGAGAAATCAAGACCAGGATGGATGAGATAGCGCCATCGCCATGACAGGCAAGGATGGTGCCATCATTCCTGCAGCATCCTCACCAATGGCCTCGACCTCTGCGGGGGTTCGAGCTGATCTACGTTGGTCGCACGGTCCTCTGTTCTGTTCACCTGGACTGGGATAGAACCTTGACTTTTTCTTCAGAGTTACCCATAGATAGAAATAGCGACTTTAGACCTACCGCTAGCATAATTCCTTAATCTCTCCATCCCCGTACCAAGATTTGTTGCATGTTTGCTCCCGTCTAGAAGGACCAGAACATCCGCCATTTCAACGTTTGCTCTGGCTTCATTAATGGAGTGGCAAAATCTTTTCGTACATCAGAAAAATTCAGACACACCCAACGACGAACCGGATTGATCTCTCATTTCCGAGCCGCGTGGAGCAGGGATGTCATTAGCCCCGTCCAACAATAGCTCCCTCGGCCCAAACGAGAAGGTAAAACTTCACATCCTTTGGATATCCTCTGGCAGAGATCGCGAACCCCGATTTGACTTGGCAGATACTTCTCATCTAGTAGCTCGGATCCCGCTGTGAGAGGAATTATGAATATCTGGACAAAGGCCGGCCGTGATCGAGGCGCTGTCAAGAGCTTATCCCACGACTGACAAAGCCAATTTTCGCTACAAAAGGTCCTGCGAATGGAGCCTCTCTATCGGCCCGTTGAGGGTTTTGCTCACCAGCGCTTGATAACAATGTCCTGATTTTGTTACCACCATTGAACAAGGGTCTTGTATTCGCTCATAGCCACTTTTCAAATATAGATGGAATATTGTAAACACATGAGCAGTGGCATGCACTAGAAAAGCGTCGTGTATGGGCGTGAGTCAAGACTCGGCACTAGGTAGCGATGCCATCAGCTAGCCAATAACTACCAATGGAGAATATGACCACAATTATTAGTCAAGGCTTGTCGGTTAGGAATTGTGTAGAATTATGCTGCCTGTCTTACACAATGAGTGGTTACCCTATACCTGTATGTCTAACCACCCATTATATTTGCATTCTCCGTCATGCGAAAACCGCGCCTTCAAAAACTTGGATTGTATAGAAATTCGGTCGGCGTCTAGCGAATGAGCGCATTACACGTAGATGTGAGTTAAGGAGGGTGCTGCCTTAATACAGAAAATGTAAACCCTCTGTAGCCTAATTTTGGGATACTGGTTGCTCATGGTAGGATTTTGCTTGCACTATTACCCTCCCTTCTATTATTTATTATCATAGACATGACTATTATAGCTTAGGCGTGTTCGATTACCACTTAGCCTAGCTTTTAAAATATAGAAACCGTATACACCACTCTCGGAGCCGACCCTGTTTCTACTAATTATATACACTTCCCCTAACAGGATTCTGGCAACCGTCGGTCCATTATGTGATTCTTAAGCCCAACGTGCGGGATCCATTAAGTTGCCAACGATTCATTCGAAATACTGGTTCGGTCGACCATACGTTCAAACTACCCTGAACCAGCTTATCGTCTTCTTGAGCCTAGCAACGTTGGCCAAGGGAGAACATCTTGGATTTGATATTTAAATCGGGTACTGGAATGGGGTGTATAGTAATACATGTGAGCCAAAAATGGGATAACAGAATACTAAATCCAAGATCTAGGAAGGAAAGTCTCCCACCACACTGTTCAACAGCCCGTTGATGTATCCTTCCGATATGCCAGCATCAGATATAAGAGCCATCCACTGCGCGAGCCCATCCCCTGGAGAAGTTTGAGGCTCTAGTGAAGCGTCAGACAGAGCACTCGCTCCGCCAGGCTTATCATCCATCATCGTGATGGTACGTTTGGCTAGCGTTTCGAATGTGTCACGGTAGGGAGCAGCGGCCTTCCACCGCTCCGCCATGAGAACTAACATAATCGTACAGTCCGTGCAAACGCTACTCACCCGACCTTGCCGATACGTGTCTCGGACAGTAGGCGAAGTCCACAAGCAATGTAGAAAAGTCAGCCCTGCGAGGAAGAGTTCGTGAAGTCCAGTCCAGGTGTAGCTAGTTGGCTTCCCGAGATATTGAGACCGGTAGCTGTGGCATATGGACTCTGCGGCGCGCATGCAATCCAGGAACACACTCTCGACGGTCCCAGAGTGGTGTATTATTTGAGACCTGTACAGTTGAAGTATGGTATAGTTGTACTCCATCTCAAACCAATCTGATGTCTGGAACAGTGCAAGGGCGTCGGTGCAGGGTGGCGGAGGTGGGATTCCGGCGCGCCAATTCTCAATCTCGGCCCGGAATTTCTGGACCTGCTCAAGATGAGAATGCTTCGGCGGGCAACAAGACTTGGAATTGGAATACAGAGTGGTGTGTAGGTGGGCCAAAATGTGTCGGATCCGGAATGTGTGAATCGCTCTCGTCATGCTTGTTGGCGGATCAGTCGGCGACTGCCGTGACGAGTAACACGGTCCACTGCCTGGGATGTCGGCGTCGTCAATATCAGTTGGATACTGGTTTTCCATGTTAGATATGATTGAAGATGATCCTCCAAAGTAAGCAACAGTAAATGAAGGCATTGAAAAATCTTACTTCCGCGTCAACCTCATGATAAGGTATCCCTTGTGGTCGCCCAAGCATGATTGCTGCCTGTGACTCCATTGAATACGTGCACCAGAATACTCTTCTGTGCAATTCCAGTTGCAGCGGATCGTCAGTTGAACCGAAGGTTTTGGAGTTGCGGTGATAACCGCGGTCGATACACTGACGCAGGGCCAGCCCGGCCAATTTCCTGGCCTATGTGAGCGTTACTCTCTTCCAGAAGACCCAGCTAATCATGTCTTACCAGTGGGATGCACCAATAGAGGAGCGTAGAGAATATACGGCGCAGCACAGGATGGCCTGGATCGACTCTATATTATCCAGCGCCAGGACTTGATCGCTGTATGCCTGCGCAGAGACATACAGTCCCTGTTGTAAGGTTGGTTATGCTGTGATCGATATTTGGGCACGAATACACCTTAGGAGCATACCTCAGCTGAGTACCCGTAGGTTGGCAATATTAAAGCCCCGACGGCATACACCTGCCAACGGGAATCAGTCATTTCGCTCTCAACAAAATCATAAGCGGGAGCAGTACCATATGGAGGAAGAAGAGCGCGACAGGGTCAGAGGTAACGGCGTCAAATTCAACTAGCCCACTGACGATGGAGAGCTCCCATTCTCTGAACGTTGGCTCGTGAAGGAACGGGTATTGGGGGTGGATATTTTGGAAATACGCGTCGCTCAGTGTTACCGCAGTGTCGTAGTCGGGGAGGAGGCATGGAATAGGGTGTGTGGGTGAATTATTCGAATGTTGATCCAAGCCGGAACCTGAACCTGAATGTCTCTCCGCGACAAGGCCGCGCAACGATGAGTTGAGAAGTCGGGAGAAGGCAAACGTGGATGACGAGCCCAGGTAATGAGGCTCGGCACCAGCGGCGCTGAGACTCAAAAGACCGACTTTGGACGACAGCTCATCAAGCCCAGTCTCCCCGCGTTGGTCCTCGTCCTTGTACCTGCGTGTGTGAGTAGAGTAGGAATCTTCAGTGGGCAGGGAAGTGACGGGGTCATTGAACTGGGAATCCGACTCAGAAGGCGCGCTATGGAAAAGATGATCATCCGCAAGATCTGGGCGATGCTGTTTGAGAGTCTCTTCGAGGAATGCAACTCGCTGTTCCAGGAGCTCGAGATAGTTCCGGGGCCGATGCTTTCTCGTTGCTGGGTCTTCTACCAGGCAGGCTGTCCGGCGTCGTTAGTAAGAAAGGCCAGTATGAGCCAGGGACTAATTGAATAGGTAGGTGAGGATGCACTGACAGATCTCGGAGCGGCGACAGTTTTCACAGCCAGATATGTTGTTGTCACACTGGAGGCGCGCTCTGTCAGTAGAATGTACTGTGAAGCCAGGGTCCATGTCTCACTTTTAGTTTCTTCTCTTTGCAGTTGACGCAGGCCATCAACGTCCTGTTTGCCGATCGGACTCGTTTGGGGCTCCGATAAGCCCGAAAATTTGCTTCTCTTGCATTCGGAAACATGGTGCGGATGGAGGTGTGAGTGAACTTGACAAGTTCGTTCAATGAGGTGCCGACCAGCCCATTTATTTACGTCCTTATCAGTGGAGGCGCCAGTGCACCGGATCTGAATTTAGGGTGCACTAGATTTGAATTTTAGGGCGCTGGTACACTGGAAGCGGATCTAAGGTCGGATCAAGCATGCGAGACATCCTCTACAAACAACCACAAGTATCGTTATCATCTGGGGTAAAGTACGGGGTAGTCACAAGACTATGCCATATCTCTCATACGTCGGAAATTCAGCAGCGGATTTATATTACGCTTTTCGGTTTAAGGTTGAACAAGGTCTACACTGGAGGCTGTGAATTATCTACAAGCGTGATCGCACTACTCCTTCTTTCTCCAAGCCCTTTAGCTTTTCCACTCTTGCCGGAGTAATCTCGAAGGCCTCGGGCAGTTTTGTGTCAGCCCAGGATAAGCCGGCCATCAGCTTGACGAGCCCAGGCGCCGCAGTGAATATTCGTGCCATTCCGCTGCAGTGCGAGTATATTAGCTTGCTTTCTGGCGAAGGGCGAAGGATATTTGATAGAGCTTACTGTCCGTTATGGCCGGCACAGATCCATTGACCTGGAAGTCCAGGGAGTTGTCCCACGAAAGGTAGACCGTCAGAGCTCTGATTCTCCCTGTTAGTTCGTCCCCAATACTCCTATATTAGAACCAAAAGAATACTTGCCATTGCAATGATTCCGCTCCATTCTCTCCTGTAATCCTCTGCCACAACTCCGGGCCACCCTGTTAGCTGAGCGTCTGTAAAGTCTTTCACAGCCTCTGTCACCGATGGGAAGCCGGCAATGTTGTCGTCGGTGGCCCTCTCCGAGTTATTCTCGAGCCATCTGTAAAATTCAGCCTGCCCAGGATTGGAGCCTCCAAAAAGAACAGGGCCGTGGGTAGGTATTCTTGGGTTGATTGTGATTAGATCTCCCCCAGGCAATAGGATACCATACGAGTTTTGAAGGGCCTTGGACCCCATGAAGCTCACAGGCGGAGCGATCAAGTTACACATGTGAGGCGTGGGTTTGATAAGACCACGCAAGGACGGCTCAAGGGCAGGACTGTAGGCATTGGTCGCGTGGACTACCTGGGCGCACTCGATATCGCCGCGCCCGGTTTTGACTGTCCAATTTCCCAATTGTTTGTGAGATTTGACAACCTGTGTGGCTGCGGTGCGTGTCTGGAGATTCACACCTCTCTTTAGATTCTCGCTCATAACATGGGCAGCCAGCTTCCAAGGATGCACTGTCGATGCAGGCCAAGCATAGCATGCCTTTGCATCTTTGATTCGCGATACCTGCACCGTTGTAAGCGATTTTAAAATTAAACCGCAAGGAAGTTTCTTTGACTGACCTCTCTTGCCTTCACCGGGTCATTTGTGACTTTGATGTGATCAATATTGCCCCCTGCTGCTTTGTAACGCTCAAAGGTCTCTTTGGCATCATCTGCCGACTCCCAGGTGATTGGTACATCTAGAGTATCACCGACCCAAAGCTCACAGTCGACGTTGTCAGAACGAACATAATCAACTACACTCGACCATGTCTGCTGCTCATTTTTGAGGATCTAGATTATCTGGTTAGACATTCTTGTGACGATGACAGCAAGCAAAAATTTAATCTAAACCAACCTTCAAAGCCTGCTCGGTCCCAAAGTCATCCTCGTACTCCTTGAAACCGCGCCACTGGTCAGGTTTGCAATGTCCTGCATTCCTGCCAGTGGCACCAGAGCAGAACTCCCGGGCCTCGAGAACAACGACCTTCCTTTCAGGCCATGTCTCTACGCAATGCTTCGCCACTGTTGTTCCTGTCAACTATCACATTTATGTCAGTGTCTGGTAAACTTGGTATTATCCTTAAGTGTGGAAGACATACACCAGAACCAATGATTACTATGTCTGCTGTTGCGGGTAGTCCGGCCGTGGTGCGGTGGTTCATTAGATGGTGGCCCTGCATGTCTTGAAGCCATATTGACAGAGGGCGACTGTCCTTTGGAAAGCTGTAAAATCCAGGTGCCATGGCCAAGGAGAATAGGAGATAATTGCAAATTGGGTGGCATACACTTGCGTTATCAACATTCGGGAACCTTATTCTGCGTTTTGGAACGACGCGCAGTTTTAAGATCAGACAATGACGAGGTAGTGGCAGTGAAAAGTGAAAGCATCCGATCTCGGCTACTCCAAGACTTCCGATTGGCGGAAACTGCCACTATTGCCAATGTCCAGATTATCTTCCCTCGTCACTGCTTACCTGAGAATCATTCAAGTCCAAGTGTGGAGGTGTTCCTCAAGCCGAACGACACATGCATAACACATAGATAACGACCAAGTCTGGGGTTTGATTCGGGAGCCATGATTGGCTGCGGTAATGTCTTACCGGAACCTTCCGCCAATCAGAACTGGCTTCGGCTCAAGTGGGGCCGGCAACTCTGGTGCTTTTGGGAAGCTCGAGCTCGAGTCAGAGATGCAAATGGATATAATAAACAGACCATTTTCCCCAGTTTACATGTCTTCGATATGGATCCTCCTTAACATAACCACATAGAAGCTCCTTTCTTATTCTACTTATAATAGTCACCATGTCCTCGCCGCAGGTCGAAAACGGTAGCAATCAGCTGTGGCCTCCCGGGACAGTGCGTCTCGAGGCCAACAAAGACAGCAAAGCCCTCATCCTACAACCTCAACCTACCGATGACCCAAATGACCCACTCAATTGGCCGCAATGGCGTAAATACTTGAACATGGGCCTCGTCTGCTTCTATGTCGCCATGGTCGCCGAGTTCATTAACGCCCCGACTCCCACATGGGGCCCCATGAATAAGGAGCTTGGCTACAGTTTCGAGATATTGAATGATAGCTATGCCGCTGGCTGTGCTGCCTTGGGTGTTGGATCTTTGCTTCTGATCCCCTTCGCCCTCAAATTCGGCCGCCGGCCTATCTACCTCTTCAGCACTATAATTCAGTTTGGCTTAAGCATCTGGTCGGCTAAGATGCAGACAGTTGCTGATCTGATGCTCATCAACGTCATCCAGTGTCTTTTCAGCAGTCTGGCAGAATCAATTGTGCAGATGACTATCGCCGATGTCTTCTTTATCCACGAGCGTGGTAGAATGAACTCTCTTTACGTTTGGGTGTGGCTTCTCTCTAGCTACATGGGCATGCTTATTGCAGGCTTCGTCGCTAAAGGGTTGGGTTGGCGATGGGTCTGGTGGCTGAACGTTATCATCTTTGGTATCACCATTTTCCTTGTCGCCTTCGCCTACGAGGAGACCAAGTATTGCCCACCTCCCGAGGCTACTGTACCAGGGCGGCTACCTGCTGTTGATGAGCATAAGTCAGGCGATGCCGAGGTTGTTACTGAGAACAAACTCAAACGGGACCACTCGACTCAAGGAGATACTGATATTGTATCAATTCCAGCAGCTGAAACTGTGCCGGCTCAGGGTGCTACATCAATCAAGATCAACCCTAGTATCCCCAAAAAGACATACTTGCAAAAGCTGGCACTTACAACCACCACGCCAGCCTCAGGCCAATCCGATGATTCCTTCCTTCGCCACATGTATCAGCCCCTCATTCTTTTGACCACGATACCTGCCATCGCATACACGGCACTCGTATATGGTGTCTTAGTGGGACTGGGAGATGTCATGTCTGCTCTCATCTCAAACTACCTTACATTGCCGCCCTATAACTTCACATCGGACCAAGTTGGGCTCATGAGTCTTCCCAGAGTGATCGGCGTCACCATTGGTGCCGTCATCGTCGGTCCGTTGAGTGACTGGTGGATCGTTTATTACTCGCGTCGGCGTGATGGTATTTACGATCCAGAGTCTCGCCTCTGGTGCGTCGCTCCCTTCATCCTTTTTGTTCCCGTTGGCGCGCTCCTCTTTGGATTTGGTCTCAACAACCATATGCCGTGGCCCGTTGTCGCGGTTGGGCTGGTTCTCTACAACATTGGAGTCACACCAATCAACAGCTTGTCAATCACTTACTTGACCGACTCGTACACAGATGTAAGTCTGCCCTTCTGGATGTTTCTGAAGGTCTTGATTATGAATTCTAACGCTAGAATAGATTATTGGCGATGCGTTAGTGAGTGTCACACTGGTACGCAACACGTTTAGTACTGCCTTCATCTTTGCACTTGAGCCATGGATCGATCGAGTTGGGATCAAATATGTTCTTGTTACAATTCTGCTAATTGCATGTCTCATCTTGGCCGGGTTCGGGGTCTTCATTCGGTTTGGGAAGGGATTCCGAGGGCGTACTGCTTCACGATACCAGTACTATGCAGCTCGTCAGTACAAGACCAGGGCCTACTATTGATAAATTGGATAGCTCTTTACCGTAATGAATTCAAATGGAAACTGTATTATTTCCAATTCGTAGCTTAGGCAGTGTGATTGACGTTGATAGGCTCTAATGGGGATGCATCTCGCCTCGAAGCAGGGAAATCTGAGAGAGTCAGAACCTCCTTCCATTGTTGATAGAAGACTAAAAGCAAAGATGAAGTCATCATAGAAGTACTATTTACCCCTAAAATAAGTGAAAGATATCACCATGCCTAGATATATCTTCCTTCTATGCTGCGATGCTTAATTCAACTTGAGCCAGCTTTCAGATATAAAAGAGATTCGTGACCATTTCTTGAATAATTTCAATTGCGAGGACGATAAGCATAGACTTCATTTCGATTTCGTATATTCCCACCGGCTCAGGTCAGCCCAAGAAATGTTACGCCTGATCTCCTGGGCGGATATTTACAACGGCGGCCGGTTGATTAGTGGGACTCTCATCCGCCTTACATAGGTATGTACAGTGAGGTGTAGGCTCTCAGCACCTGCATCATAGCCTCAGGCTAGAATGTGATAGCCGCCTTTTGGAGTGCGCCACTAAATCCACAGCAGTCAAATACCTAATGTTCAATCGTTGGCATAGCTTCTTAGAGAACAGACTCTCAAGAAGGCTGCCTCATTTCATTCAAGAACAGCATCTCACAATCACCTGGCTGGGATACATGTACGATTTGGGAGTGGACATGGCAATAGGCTCCCAGCAGCAACAAGTGTCTCGGAATGGCGCCTATGGAGAAAGCAGGCCATTGGATGATGATTTGCCTTGGCGACGCGCACAAAAGGAACTAGCAACAGCACAGCCCTGAGCAAAGTTGTATGCAGCCAACCCTTTGAGCGGCCGGGCAAGTATTGAAATGTCTCGAAAACATGCGAGGCGGTTGCCTTGAAAAACGCCTGCTTCACCAAGCCCCGCCCGCGCCTCTTGATCACTTTGTGACACTACAAATGAGTCGCTGCTACAATTGTCGGTATAAATTGAGCAACACAGACTGCACTTCAATAACCTCGAGACTGTGAGTCTTCATTCCGAACATACTTTGACGTTTGCAGTGGCCATTGATGGTTTAATTGTCCGACTCTGAACCACGTAATAAGATTAGAACGATAAAACAGAGAATATGGCTTCAGAAGCGGATGCACGACGTTATATAGAGTCGATCCGAAATGAGTACGGATTGAACAGCAAAAATGAAGCGCTTCTATCTCAGTTTGAGACGGTTATCTCCATGCAAGTATCTGAATCAATGAAGATGGAATCGATCAGCTAACCATAAATGCCAGTCTATCGAGTCAACTGTACGACACATCAAACCATTTTCTAATGGAGCTCCTTCAGAATGCAGACGACAATACATACACGTGCTCTGTGCCAACAGTCAGATTCACATATGAACCTGGCCACTTACGCTTTGATTGCAATGAGGTCGGTTTTTCAGCCGCTAATGTAAAGGCCATTGCTGCTGTCGGTGCCAGCACCAAATCAGGCCAGAACAAAATGAATGGTTTCACCGGAGAGAAAGGAATCGGCTTCAAGAGTGTTTTCAAAGTCGCTGATGTCGTCTGGATCGCTTCGGGGCCCTACAAGTTCAAGTTCGACAAGAATCAGCGGCTGGGCATGATTGCTCCATGTTGGGCAGATTTTCCCCGCCCACTTCTTCCGGGGCATACCTCATTCTATTTCCAGCTATCGAAAGATTATGACGAGCGGGAACTCATACGAGACCTAGAATGTTTCGACCCATCGCGCATGCTCTTCCTTCGAAGGATCAGGATTATTGAGCTTAGTACCCGTCAATGGGGAAACCCACCATGGTCGCTTCAACTTGAAAAAATTGAATCAACTGAAGCCGGTCAATTCATAACCAGAATACAATGCGGTCCGCGACATTTGTTGTATCATGTGGTAAAGCATCGAGTTGGCAACTTGCCTCAGGATATCAAGCGCACAGCATTTACCACCACGGAGCTCCAACTTGCGTTTCCTATCTTGAATCTCCCGATAGGTTATTGGCCGAGCCAGGAGCGGAAGGATGTATTTGCATACTTACCTATTGGTGACTATGGACTGAAGGTGCGAAATATGTCGAGTACGTTGCGAAATTCAACTAACATGGGGGCCAGTTCATCCTACAGGGAGATTTTTTGCTTACAGCAAATCGACTTCAAATCGACATGTCTTCGACGTGGAATAAATTCATTAGAGACGCGTTGACAGAAGCTTTCTTGAATGCAGTCGAGGGGTTTGCCCAAGGGGAGCTCAAGTACCATTGGCCTTATTACGTACCAGATCATAACACAAACCCATTTTTCAAGCCAGCCCAGGAGCGACTATTGAATCAGTTAGCCTCCAGGTGCATCTTAGAATCATTCGGCAACACTTTACGATGCCCCCACGATCTTGTCCATGTACCCTCGAACTTTTTGGACCAATATGGTCTTCCATTCTGTTTGACTAAGGAGAACAAAAATCGGTTCCTCTCCCCGCAATATCCTGCTTGGACAATTAGTTCCTTAAACACCCTGGGTGTAGCATCAATGTCAGACGAACAATTTGTCGAGGATTTGAAGCGTCAGGTTCAGAAAAACCCAGAGTCGTTCTACCTTCGCTCAGATGCTTGGCATGCCGATCTGGCCAGAGCGTTGATCCCGTTGGCCTCAGTCAGAACCTGTCAATCCATCCTCCTGGGCATCCCATTGATTCCCCTTAAAAGCAAATACTGGGTAGCAGCAAATGATGACCCGCGTTTCTTTTTCAGAGATCTTGAGCTCGACGATTTTCCTGTAGGGGACGCATTCTCAATCATTGATCCTCGCGTCACAGCACATCCAAGCTGGCGCGATCTGTTCACAGCCCTAGGCATCAAATACTTAGAAAAGAATCAGCTTTGTTTAAATATATGCCAGGCGCATTCTGCGCCGGAATTTCGACCAGAGGAGTGGACAATTGGTCAGTTAGTGGCACAGGCAAAACTCCTATATCACTCGGCATTTAGACCACCAGAAGGTACAGATTTATGGTTTGCCACTGGAAGACAAACGATGCAGAGGGTCCCAAATTTATTATCGAGACCACAAAGAGCATTCATACGCCAGCCGAGTATTCTTGCATCTTGAAAAGAGGTTCCACGTCATCCATTCGGCTTATGGCGCTTGAAATCCCAGCGATAGGTCCTGGGCTTTATTTCTCTCAGAGAGTCTTGAAATCTGGAAGATTCCGCGTCTCGTACGCCCTAAGCGAGACGACTGCAGGTTTTACGAGCTTTCAGATGAGTATAGACACCTATTCCAGACATGCCATCACACTGACCTGCTCGGGCTCTTAAGCGAACACTGGCGATCATATTCGAAGTGGCTTGAGGCTGACGACAATGAGCAAGAAGACTCCAGCGACGTACTTCTCCAAACCATAGGAGACATGACAGTACAAACGCACGCAGGACCGGCGTTGCTTCGAGAAACTTTCCTTCCGGGGCTTGACCAGAAGGTACAGGACGATCTTCTGCCCAGTCTTGAATTTGACAAGCCCGTGAGTGAACGACAAAGAGAAAAGTTGAGAAAGCTAGGCATCATCGTGCATGATAATATAGAGTACTATCTGGCCTGCTTGCGGTTTCTCTGTAACCGGATAAATCCGAATTTACATATAGACATGGCCTCTCATATATATGAGCGAGTTCAGGAGCTATATGACGGCAACGAAGAATCTGTAGCGTACGTTTAATGCTAAAACGAGGCTTTAACTTTTTATCTAACATCAGCAGATCGTCTTTTAAAGCGCAAAGGCTTATCTACGTACCATCCAACGGGGAAAATTTTGAACAACCAGTTGGATGGATTGACATCGCAGAGTGCGCAAAACGGGCAATCGACCCGGCAACGATATATCCACAGAGCAGCGAGCTCTTCAAGTTTCTCCTCGCCGACACTGTGGATGAAGTGGAAGGACTAATCTTAAAAGCAACCTCAATTGATAAATCCCACAGCCTAGAGGCCATCGGTCAACGCTTCACTAGCATCAATGCAGCCCTGGCGAGCCTCAGTAAGGGAAGAATCAAACAGGTCATGAATCAGGTCCAGAATAGCTCCATCTTCCCGATTACACTGAACAGAGAGGAGAATTCGTACGGCAACCTGCAGTCAGCGTCGGCCCTGAATTGGGTTGTTGCGGATCGGCCGCATTTGAGAGATAGCTTCGCTGGCAAGGTTCCTCTGCTAGCATTCTCACCAAAAGAGATCCATTCCCTATCAAACCTATTGAAGGCGTTTAACCTGGACTCTAGGCGGCTTTCGAAACTCACAACGAGCAACGACTCTCACATAGGGCCCGTAAGGCTCTCTGACACACATACAAAGTTCTTACGCTCAAGAGCTGAATTCTTTATCGCGTTCGTGGATAGTATGCTCTCTAGGCCATACTCAACACTGACATAGTCGCTTAGATTACTACCTCAGTCAGGAGAGGATTATCCCAGGCTCTGTGACGAGTTGAAGAACATCCGTATCTACCAAGCCAGTAAAATCATACAGGTACCCATGGCGAAATATCGCAACTCCGAGTATGTCGGAAGTCCGTCGGACGGGGAAGTTTCTTTGTCCGTAGAGGACAACGCGATCCATATGTTTTTCACCAGAGAGGGGTTGAGCTCATATACACTCCCCACGGAGGCTTCCCGAATGATCGCGAAACATCGCGGGATAGACGATTCTATTCATTTTGGCCTCCTACAGGCAATTCTGAGCGAAGAAGTCACTTTGAAGCTCCAAAGTACATTCGCCCGCGAGGGTTTCTTCGTAGAAGTCGACGCAAAAGGTATGTTAATAATGTCATTAAAAGAAGGGGGGGGGGGGGGGGGGGGGGCGGGTTGCTAACGTCGCAAAAGCCATCCAGGACGATTCTTCTCCCAACGAGGTAATGCAAGTAACCGATGGCGTGTATTTCGGTCTGTCTGGTGATATATTCACCATGCCATCTCCTTCCGGATTTCCTAAAGACGAGACGAACGCAGAGGAATGTTTCAAACGGTTTGAAACCGAAGGCCGGCCCGGCGAGGGCAAAAGGCAGAGGGGAGTGGACCGCCCGGACCGAAGGATTCCACTAATTAATTTCACTCAGATGATACAGGGCGCGGTCCTTGTCGACGATGAGCTAGACCCGCATCAAGATCTGCAGTATCTGGGAGAAGCCATGGTGGGTACAACTGGTACTTTGAACAGATATTCTACGGAACTGATTATTGTTTCTCTGCAGGTTTCAACGTTTCTAGAATCTGTTTTGCCGGGAATATACGACCCAACATGTTGTTGGACCAGTCCACTAAAGGTACGAAGCGGATTCAAGATTTTCAACAACTGCTATGGTTCTTCTTCTTTCACATTTAGGAGTCCCAAGGAAAGCTTTGCAATTACGGAATTCCTCGTTAGAAGTGGACATCCGGACGTAGGGAGTTGGAAACAAATGAAGCCAAGATATCATATTGAGGTTATGGCTTCGAGCAGTGATTCCGATGGGATTTCCACGTGGAGTCTAGCCAAGTTTGAGAGAGTACGTCGATTCAAGAATCGTGTTATTCTTCGTCTTATATGCTAACAATCTTACAGGCAAGACGATTCCATTTTCAGGACCGACCAAACCGCGCTGTTGAGGATATAATGGTTCTATTTCGGATCAGTAACATCTACACGAAGCCAAAGTTTCACCTCATCGTCGACCCTTGGCAACTTGTCACATCAAAGCAAATAGCTTTTGAAGGTGATCAGATGTTGGGGACAGCAATCACCGTTGAGGCGATCCGGCCCCTGTTCAATATCAATAAACCACGTATTGGTATGACGTGGCATAACGGAATCACCGACAATAATCGGCCACACCAATCGGAGATGAAGTCGCAGGAAATAGCACAGCCAAGGCTGCTACCTTCTGGAGCGCCGCGTTGGTCTCGGGCCAACTGGAGAGACGTAGATTCTGTTGACTCAAAAGTGCCGGAGAGAAATCAAACTTCAAATCCGGGACAGAATAGGCTCACGGAACTTTCAGAGCCTAATCAAATCCAGACCGATCAGGGCAAGCCACAAACCCAACCCGGGAAGCATGTGTCCAAAGTAGAAGGCAGTTCGATATTCGATCAACTGCCCCCACGAAGCCTCCCACAGAAAAATGCTTCAGCCCATGGCATGCATGGGATGCGACCGTTCCAAGTCAATCATCCACCCGCGAATCTGCCGGCAATGGCAGAACTGGCCTCTCCTACGATGCTTTCTTCAACTGAATATAGATACCGCAAGCTTCCCCGCGATCATTTGCGATTGTTTATGCTATTCCCTGGAGAGAAAGATGATGCGCTCCAAGGAGCCGTATATTCCGTCTCCTTTGAGGATGCGGGAATATATAGGACTCTGTCATATGTATGGGGAGACACTGCTTCAACACATACATTGACCACGCCGCAGGGTTCCATAGGCATTACCACGGCGTTGATGACTGCGTTGAAGACGATCCGGTTGACGATTCATTCCGTGACTCTGTGGGTTGACGCTCTCTGCATAAATCAAGCCGATGAAGTTGAGAAGGGCTTCCAGATCCGCCTGCTGCCGGAAATCTTCCAAGGGGCGGTCTGTACGCTGGCGTTTCTGGGTGCTGGCGAAGATGGTGCAGCTGCAATTGAACTCCTGCTTCAGATTCGGGCAAAGGATGTAATCAAAGATAGGCCAAAGGAGGAGTGGCCCAGAGATCTCCCTCCCATCGACGCCTCGTGGCAAAAACAAAGAGTGCCTCCATCAGATGCAAATGTATGGGCTGATGTCCGGAGGCTATTCTCACGCGCCTGGTTTAGAAGGTCTTGGATCATACAGGAGGTTGTAGTTGCGCCTACAGTGAAAGTCATATGTGGAAATTGGATGACTGAGTGGCATGATTTATTCGCCGCCATAGAGATTGTGGATCAAGAGCATCAAGGATTGAACGACGATCTTCGGCCATGGTCGCCATTTCTTAGACTTGGGAGACATAGGGAATGGGAGTCCCGTCTCAAGCGCTTGTCACTACACCGTCTTTTGGAGAGTTACCGTGACGTTGACTCTTCATTGAAACGTGATAGGTTCTTTGCACTGGTCGGCCTGGCAAACGACGGCAACCGCGAGGAATTTCTCCCTGACTACAATGAAAACTTTGAGACTGTGGCCCTGAGGTTCGCTGGAGGCTTCATATCTCAGGGCTTAGGCATGAAGTTGTTGTACAGGGCGGGCCTTACCGACCAGTCAGATCGATTCCCGTCGTGGCTTCCAGACTGGACCGCCCCCAGGGCTGGAAGTTTATCGGACTCTTTGGATCGCGGCGCCGAGTTTGATGCATGTGCTAGTTCTAGCGCGTCAATCAAGTACACCCCAGGCTCTGATGAGATTATGGTTCACGGCAGCAATGTCGATGTGATAATACATATCACCACGATCTTTAATGAACCCTCCAAAAGAGACCAGTTCTTCCTCGAGATCGACAAAATCGTCAACTCCATCAGGCAGAATTCTTCAAACGAAGACTTAGAAGAGACGGTATGGAAGACTGCAGCTGCAGGTGCTGAGCGGGCCAGCTACAACAGCAACCAACCCGGGAATATTTCACTCGCGGAATCGTATAGAGCCCTCAGAAGCTCTCAAAGGAAGTCTAAATCCAGCGTGGCAGAGAAGGCTATGGCCTATGTCTCACTGTTGGATGACAAAGTCCTGGGGTGGCGTTTCGCCCTAACAAGGGGACACCGCTGCGCGATGATACCGCCACAAGCGGAAACCGGCGACAAAGTTTGTATTTTGCAGGGCGGGGTAGTTCCATTTGTCCTGAGGGAAAGTGATAGGATAGGGGCTCATCGCTTGATTGGCGAATGCTACGTACACGGCATAATGCATGGTGAACTCCGAGAATTACTGTCTGACTCATTGGCGAGGATGAGAATACACTAAAGAGGAGAAGTCAATTTTACCAGATAGTCAGTAGAAGCGGTCATCTTTCAACCGAGTAGAGATAGACTATAGCAAATATAAGCTCTACGTGCCTTGCTTCCCTCTTCCATTTCCTAACATTTTGTACGACATGTTTCACTTAAAGCAGTCCTATACGGTGGGTAGTATGAATCTATTGGTCGTCAGTCTGGTGACAAAGTCTTCCCTCGTCCTCTCCGGAAGACGGTGCAGTGACAATCTTCCCCTTATAGTATAGCATCGCCCCTAATGGCGGATGCGCTGATTTAGGTCTCGCAATACAACCTATGAAACCACAAGACCGCACCTGTGGCTGCTTCGCCCTCCCAGAAGACAAATTCTATCTAGCAGCACACATGCGGTTTTTAGACCAACTAGCCCAAAAGTCAGGCGGCGGGTTCGACTACATTGCGCAAGGAAAGTGCAGGCTTGGCGAAGGCCTCATTTGGAAAACAGAATGCCTCCAGTGGGCGAACTGCACGGTGAACAACAGGCATGTGCCCGTCTGGGGTGAGAGTCGCGAAACCAGTATCTTGCAGCAAGTATCCGGAAATCATAACGACACCGAGTTACGATGTTTACCAGGCACTGTATGCAACGGCTCGATTAAGAAAGAGGGAGTAGTTGTGTTTGGAGACGAAGAGCAGCCCAAGCGCTTAGAAAGGATCAAGGCACTGGCTGCTGCGAAACTGGATGCATTGCTGGATATGTGACATGTCAGGCAACGGGAGGCTGTTCGATGCTTAGGAGTAGTTAGTGGCCTCGTAAATCGGCTTTTTAGAGTGAAATAAAAGCTCTAATCTGCAGGTGTAATAGGCAAATGTATTTGCCACCTTAATTTAATATTGCATTTTACTCATGTTTAATTAAATTGCCAAGACTTGTGGTCTGACACGTCCAACTTCATCAACCTTGCCATCGCCCCTAGTCCGAGACGCGTCGACGAACAACAGCGAGAGGCATATCACCCCAAGAAACACCGCGATACTGAGATTGAAATGATGGTGAGCGTTCGGTATATGCTGGGGCTCAGCGGCACATTTCTACTCGCAATCGCGCCAATTGCCTTGGCAGACGCGACTATCTACGATGAGCTCGACAAGCTGACGCCAAATTTTACGCGCGTCATCAATACGCCTGGCTACAACGTTACCGAAGAATTCCCCGGGAGCCAACTTGACTGGGAGCTGTCACTTCGCCTCTATTCCGACGTGCCTGGCCAGGTTGACGGCGAGGATGATAAATACATCTCTGCAACCCAGTTTTTCTGGGATCCCCCCGGTAGCGTTCCCAGAGGGAGCGGCGGGAGTGTGGATGCAGATTCACGGTTTTATTACTGCATCAGCCCATTGAAGTATGATGAACCCGAGGTCAAGGATAGTGACGAGGTAGACCCCAGATGCAATGGTGTGGTTTCAGACGCATGTCTTCAAGATCTGCAGAGCATGACCAGCACCCAGTCCTGGTGCGCGATCCTCGATTGGCCCGATTCATGTATGGATCATTCCAAGGATAACTCGCAGTTGCACAGTAAGTAAATTCCTGACTTAACACTGGAGCTCGGGTGCTCTCAGAGTTCCTCATGAATGCAGGCCTAACTCTGTGCCCAGTGTACGGCCGAGTCAATATCACAAAAACTCCAAACTCATTTGTCGCATTCCAAAGCAACAGAGATGGGCATAAGAAAGGAGATACGGAAGACTTACGAGACGCGTTAAAAACCGTCTGGATTGTCATGACGGGGTTTGGAGAATCCACTCTGGGTGGGAAGTTGTCAGAAACCTCCAATGTTAACCTCACGAGCGGAATATCCTGCATTCGCGCTCTAAGTGCCAAGGGAGCATCTTCGATGGGTAGTAGCAAGACGGGTTCTATTCCTGCGGTGTCTTCTCTTATAGCGGGTCTTCTTGTCACTGCAGTCTGGCTTCTATACTCGGAATAATTGGAACTTGTTCTAAACAATAGGCACCAGCCAGTTTGACTGGAATAGCAAGCTATGACACCTTTACGTCCGGAGCATCACTGTGGGTTCGTGAAAGTTGGAAAAGATAGTGGTCAGCCGAGCCAGGTCATCTAAGTTCCTTGTTCATTTCATTTAACTCACGATTCAATAGATGCTACCATGAGACCAGGGAGCACAGCTTCTACCCTACTATACATAGTGTTCGGAATGTCTGTTCTATGGTCTGAATGTAAAACTGTATTGTACACTGATAAATCTAGTCGCGATAGTAATCTGAGCTCTCGCTACTCCTGTCCCGCCTCCTGTCGTTGGCCTTGTCCTTCTTCATATCGCCAAACAGCGCTACCGCAGCAAACGTCGCTATTGCGATCGGGACATTATCGATCACCGCCTGAGCCAGCTTGTCAAGTAAAAAAGAGACTCGTGACCATTTCTTCGAAGGCGGGACTCTCAACAACTTGGGAGGTGCCCCAAGCCATCGCTTTGGATCCCATGCTTCCCTCCGGCGCTGAGGATCACCCCATCCTTGATCCACGATATTGTCGAGCATGTAAACGGCCCAGTCTTGACAATTTCTCGACAGAACACTATACAGGCCGCCACTGTCTCCGTTGCCAAACTTATCTATATGTTTGTTGAAAGCTCGCTTGCTTTTAGCCAACGCTTTGTGCCATTCTCGAGAGTAATGGTGGTCCAAGAACTCCTCCAACACTATTTGAGCTGCGCAGTTGTGAGAAAATGAGAACCAGGTATTATTTTGGGTTGGCATTTACTGACCGGTTGCAAGGAACTCCTCGAGGCTGAAATAGAGGATATACTCTTTGTATCGCCTAACCTTGAGAATCTCGTCCTCGTACATTTTGCGTCGCCAGCGCCTTGTGGGAGTGCACCACACGGTCTGTACCGCCAGTTCTTTCATGCTCTCGTCCTTGAAGTCCATGCTGCATACTCGATAATTAGGCTACAAAACTCATCTTGTTAGTCTGCCATATGGAAGAGAGTATGACTTAGGTGTTCGTACCTCGGGTGCATCCAGCTCACATAGATAAACGCCCCAATGCGCGCATAATTCATTTAGGGGATCATCCCTATACGCCACGTATTTCATTGGCCTGAAAGGCTTGTATGCAATACCGACCTTCCAAGCCTTTCGCGGCTGGGGCGAGCTAACTTGGATGCCGTCCTTAGACACTATCCTTTTATTTCCAGACCTGCTCGTGCTGATATGGAAATCAGGGTCACGATCCACATCACGCCAGCCTGGCCCTGCAAGACCTGTAGTGATAGTGATGCTTGTCAGCTCTATAGCCCGATCTCTAGTCGTTTCTGAGCGACTTTTTGATTGCGTATCGGATCGCCTATTCTGGCCGCGGCCGGTGAGATCTCTCCACCGATCAGGATGCGAGTGTTCGCCGAGAGCTATCGATGATTCAGAGCATGGGCTTGACACGCAGATAGGCCAATGGTTCATATGGTGTGCACTCTCCTCATTATATTCGGAATCTCCCAGGTTTGTCATTCTCCAATTGGGGCATCTAAGGTTGTCGTCCCTATCTGTAGAACATATTTGGGACGTTGACTCATCTTGGCTCAATGCAATCCGTGAGCTGAACCTGGACGAGGACTCGTGAAGAGTCAAGGCCTGGTTTGATCGTACTTCGGTGTTATTTGGCGATTGGTATGGGTATGGAACAGTATGACGGTATTTGAGACCGGGCCTCTCATCGTCCTCCACTTCATCGGGAGGATATGTCTGATGTAACCAACTGTGTATCGCGTCGGTGCGTGCGGAGTCACGTGGAGAATATGACTCTCTCCGACGAGTTCCTCCCATTCCTTCAACGTATCCAAAATGATAAGAATAGATACTAATACGATTAGGAGCCGTCGGGCGAAAATGATGCAAAGTAGTTTTGCCACACAAGCAGTAGAGGAGGAAAGATGGAGTCTATATTAAATCATTATCAACGACACTCTGTTCTCATCGCCACCATTGGATGAACCCACAATGTGCATTCTCCCAATATATCCTTCCCCATTCTTACAAGTGCTGAAAGCCTGCGGCAGTTCACACTATAGTGACGGACCGGAACCTCCCCCAGCCACCCTTCCTCTATTCCTACTCGCCATATAGGTCAGATATTCTTAGCTCGTATTCTGTCAATAAGGGTGTCAGCGTGCCGACCCGCGCTGCAGGCTGTGAGCTCTGCCTGAAAATTAGGGGCAGCTGGCAGTCCGAATGTGGGAGTGATCTGTCTATTGCTTGCCAGCTAAGGCACTGCTACTGGCTACTCTATTGTAATCTTCTGCTGCCGGTGGACCTACTCTACCGAGTGTCATACGATGCCTCTGCAATGTCAGTGACAATGTGACTGACTCCTGCAGCTTTGGCTTTTTCCGCAGCAGGACCCGCTAATGAGTGTGCCCAAGCGAGGTATCTCACAAATGTGATCCATCTCTAGCTCGGCCGAACTCTGGCTTTTCGTTCGTTTGCCGGTCCTCCCCCTGCAACGTTAGGTGGCTCGTATGGTTCCATTGCATGTCGTCCAGTCTCGGGGGCTTCAGGTAGCATGGCGCAGCTGAGGGACTTTGGGGATTGATTGCGGCCTAATTCTGTCAGACGCAGCACGCGAGCAGCATCCGATGTGAGCTGAGTCCATCACTTCCGTTGGATTTCTTCGACTCACTTCTCTTTGAAATCCAAACTTCGTGCAAACGACATAATGCTGAATACCTTGAGGCGAGCACCAGGTGTGCTTTTCCGCGTGTTGATGCCCATCCATTGGATCAGCTGGGAGGTCAGCGTCGTGCCGTTCAAGGCAATTGGAAATGCGGACAGCGTGCAGAGGCGTAACGGATTGGTCGAGGCATGGGTGAAGACAATGACTCATCAGCTTTCGAATGTCATGGTTACTGTGAGGCGGATTAACTCCCAAGATCTATTTCTGGAAATAATACTCACGAGGTCCAGGGCACAATCTTGTCTGGCGTCATTGTTGGTAGCTTCACGTGGACAATCTTCGACCAAATGCTTCCTACTGCCATGACTATTATCCGGACCTTGTGGTTCTCAAGCTTGATTTTCTCCATGACTGCTGTAGGCGTGGCCCTGCACCAAAGCGTTTTTCTAACAAGAATGGCCAACGTTCCTGAGTTCCACGCTGTTATGGCTGACATCCTTTGCTTCGAAACTCCGATGGGGCAGATGAAACCTCGCCAGGAACAAGCTTTCATTTGGCTTCTCGCTGTTGGGCTCCTGGAGTGGAGCCTTGGCCTATGGTTTGGGGGCTTTGTGGTGTTCTTATGGAAGTTGACGAAGATCGGCCAGCCAGACCAAACCTTTTCTGACAGAATGGTATGTAGTTTATTAGACGCAGTGTTGATTCTTACTGACGACTTGGCTAGGTTGCTGGGTTTGTGGGTTTAGCCGTGTTCATGTCTGTGTTCATATATTTTTTCAGTATTCTCGGATTATGGCGAAGAGCTATCAAGTCAAGGCATATTATGAATATTAAATAAACCATATAGATTCACGTGAGATGCGGGAACTTTCTGTTTATGTATCCAAGGCCAGCAGTATGTGAATCAGTTTATAGTTTAATCTTGTGATGATGCCCAACTCGACCTAGCTTTATTCACCTTCATCGACACACATCCACTTTATAAACTTTTGTAGGAAACAGAGGGGCAGGAATGATACTTGGTAATTATCTGAGATGATTCAGGACATGGTGGTGTACAATGTGGAGTGGTAGGTGTACGAATGGCTTGAACAATTCAGAGCTCTCTGGCTGCGGTAGTTATTATGAGTGAAGAAACGTGTTGCTGACGCTCAAGCGCTAAACAGAGGCTCTCTAATTTGACAAATTGAAAAGGTAGTTTAATTAGTTATATTACTTGAGGATAATTTAACTAATTATATCAAAAGTACTCCGTAGAAGGAGAAAAAAGTTATGCATCCGGCTCTGGGTATAGGGTATCCTAGTCAACATGCCCACCCACAGGCATTTAATTAGATGCCATCACGCTCAGACGCTAAACGCGCCCCTGGTCAGAAGACGCGTTCCGAATGTTTACAACATGAAACTATTCGAGTAATCTCAATTTCCGGCTGGCCTATGGGCAAAAGAACAGCCAACTCCTAGAGTTTGTAAACTCGACACTGTCCCTTCAGCATGATGTCCTCTACAACTACTGCCGGAGTAAAACGTCGGGCTGCGTGGGACGAGCCGCGCAGGCTGCCCCCGAAAATGCGAGTCCCTGAGCCTCAAGTCGCCGTCAGCCACTTCGCCACGACTCAACCCGCATCTCCCCAGCCTGCTCACATTATCATGCCTCCTACTCCCGGCTCATCACCCTCGCAGCCGGCTGCTTGGGACTTTGAGAGCGCGGGAGACCTGGGTGATACTCACCTTCGGAGGGCGCTCTCTAAGTGGACACAAGAGGAGGCTGTTGAGCTCCTGATGTCTCTTGCAAGGAAAGACATGCGGGCGAGGTTGGCGATCGAGAACGAGAACCGCAGGATGACCAAGACTAGGAAGAAAAACGGGAATAAAGCTCGGGCATTGGATTTCGACCATATTCTTAAGCGTGTAGAACAAGACCTGTACGAAGAAAAGCCCCGATCCTGGTGCTATGAGAGAGCGTTGGATGAAGCCATGGACGTCACCGCCCGCATCGCACTTATCTTCCGCCGGTTTTCAGAACACCTCTTGAAAGACGACCCCTCAGACGTCAAGTGTGGTGCAATGGTGACGGTGGCGACAATTTGGGATCTCGTGATATTTGCCCCGTCCTCCGAGGCACGCAAACAATGTCTCGCGTCGAGCCTGGAGTGGGAGGGAGCTACGCTGAGCCTTTGGAAGCGGATGAGCGAACTGGAAAAGAAATCGTTCGCTTCACATGCCGGAGTGGTGAAAACGCTTATCAAGACGGCAATGGAATGGGAGAAACATGGTAAGAGGGAGGACATGTTCAAGCGCTGGTTACGAAAAATGAAGAAGGCATCCGATGGAACACTGAGTGCTGAATATGCGGAATGGGATACACGAACACGTCCTTCGAAGCCCCAAAACCAACTGGTCGAATTCGGACCAAGTTCGCCTCCTCTTGCGAACTTAACCTTGGAGTAGTTGTCACCATAATCAAGACTATTGTGACAACGCTATTTGACCACTAGGTTGGGATTACCCGCTAGGTAAGCCCAACACAAGGCTTGCCTGCTGGCACAGAGTGCTTGAGAGTATTTGTGCGTTCAGTTCCTCAGGACCTGCCAGGCCGCTTGTTAAGAGGCTGTGTGGATAAAAATCAACACTGTGCGACAATTTCATTGTTGCGTCCTTGTCAAAGGTTCACAGTTGACGCTCAGTATTTAAACGCGAAATATTGATACGTGAGAGTTACAATCTCATATGCTGTCGGCGGCTTCGACAAGGATCTCTATATCTACTCAGCTAGTTCTGGGTGTTAATGAACGGCATTTATGAAACCACTCTGGGAGAAGGGTTTTGAGGCTGGGGTTCAAATTCACCAAGTTCGGTGGCTAAGCTTCACTACCGATAGCACGAAAGAAAGCACCATTCTGCTTTCCCATGCTCCGCTCCGGACCCAAGCCGAAAGCCGAATGGGACCCGAAGTTTCTCCAATGTTATACTGGTGTGTTTGAAGATGACACGGAGTGGATGGGAAGGAAAACTAGCATCTTGTAATTAGTGGATGATGTCAAAGACGAGAAACATGGCAGAGAGGACTTCGCAACACGTACGCCTTACTTTCGCTGGAGCATATAGCTGCTGATGTATTTGCCATTATTAGGAAATGCCACAGTATAACATGGCCCAAGGCTGTGAATACTGCAACAGTTGATTGGAGTTGGTGGTAGAGAATTACAATGACATGCATCTGTTACTCCACGACAACTTCGAGAACCGCCCGGGTAATGTACTATGTAATCTACTAGGAAGATAAGAGCTTGCTCTGTGAGGCCGATGGATCTCATTTTTTTGCTCAAGCCCGGCTTCTGCTCCGCCGAGCTCGCCTCCCGAAGCCCCTCATCATACCGAGACTCGGCGGAGCAATGGTTAGCCTCCGGCCCCTCCCTAGTCCACTTGCTACATTTCCCGGGTTCAAGAGCAGGGTGCTACTGAGATCTTCCAATTACAATCTCCTATTTGCCCGAGGTTATTTATCTATTACTTTCTGCGGGCTCTAAATCAAAATGGCGCTCGCTTCTAGCCTTGCCTAGGCCCCACCTCCTGAGACCCAGTGAGTTGTCGTTTGACACTCCTACGCATCGACATTCGCCCCGGTACATGAGACATAAACTAAAGCAAAGCTATCCCCGATTAGATCCACGGTGATTGCGGAATTATGACTTAATTCCTGAGAATCCGGACAGGAAAGGCGGTAAATAAAAGGACCTTGGAACCGCCCGTTTAGCTGAGCGTCCCCCAAAGTTCCTCATATGCCTACCTACCTGAACATGAAGCCAATCCAAGTCTACAATGGGCCACCTGGCACGGGGCCAAATCCTTGGAAAGTCATCATCATCATCATCGAGCTCGATCTCCCTTGGGAAACTCTCTGGATCCCATACAAAGAGATCAAGGAGGCCCCATACACGGACCTCAACCCCAATGGCCGTCTGCCAGTAATGATCGATCCCAACACCGAGGTCACGCTTTTCGAATCTGGCGCGATCATTCAATATTTAATCTCTCTTTATGATACGAAACACACCATCAGCTACGGCGACGACAAAGTTGAGGAGAAATGGCTACTCAGCAGCTGGCTCATGTTCCAGATGAGTGGCCAAGGTCCCATGCTGGGCCAGAAGATGTGGTTCACTCACTTCCACCAGAAGAGGAATGTCACGACAGCCATTGATCGCTACGCAAACGAGACGAAAAGAATTGTTGGTGTCATTGATTCGCATCTCGGGAAGCAGAGGGAAGCGCGCAAAATTCCCGACGCTGAAGCTGTCTGGCTGGTGGGAGATAAATGCACCTACGCGGACCTGTCGTTCGTGCCCTGGGATATCCTGCTGCTATCAAGCTTGTTTCCCGATGGAGGTTTTGATCCTGAGGAGTTTCCCGAGTTCTACAAGTGGCACAAGAACGCAATCGACCGTCCTGCGGTACGTGAGGCGCTCCGGCAAAAGGAGCATGCCAACGAGACTATGGAGAATACCGCTACGGCCGTGCTGCCTGAACGTGAAGACTGAGAACTGCAGTCGCTCGTATGGACTCCATAGATTTTACTCTTCACAAAAAATAGAGCTTATTTATATTCATTGTGTTGAGATGTCGGGTGTGGCATCTTCTATTGCTGTTTTTTACTTTATACTCAAAGTCTCACCAGGATAAAGCTTACTTATCTATTTTTGAGTGTTTAATACCCGGATACGAAAGAATAATGAGCAGTATCACCCAACTAAATGTGAGCAGGAGTGCCCGAGTGGTGTTCAACAGAGGACCAGTCGCCGTTTTTGCTACCCTGACGACATAGAGTTACAATTAAATGTTCATTGAAACCCGCGTAGTTGAATGATAAATCTTGTGGATGGGACAAGGCAAACTGTGTTAAAGATGCCTATCTGCTTTGTTGTACTTCCCAAGGCGGAACTACATGATAGAAAACAGCGTGAAAGATGCAGGCTACTATATCTGCGACCCTAAATAAAATATTAGCATGTTTCATTTCAAAGCTTAGAATAAGATTGAGGCAAGCTGATTTCACCATCATGCACATACCAGTGTATCCAGTGGAAGTCAGGGAAAGAGCTTCCAACGTATGAGCCGAAGCATCGGGCCGGGTTCAGACTGGCCCCTCCGTAACCATATCGCGTGTAGCCTGTTCCAAACGAAAGGCTAGCAAGTGCAAGGCCTACTAGGAATGGTCCAAGGGTAGGTCCTACGATGTTCTTCTGTCGCGGATCAAGACCGACGCCGAAAGCGAAGAAGAGTAAAATGGTGCAAGCCATGAACTCTACCGTAAATGCGTCTCGGATGGGCACAACATCAGTGTAGATCCAGCACCCTCCAACCTGGAAGTCTCTGGTACCATAGCTCGCGCGAGCAAGCAAGCCCCCGAGTGCCGCGCCACCAACCTGAAAGGAAACGTATAGTATCGCCCGAGGCAGTGAACATAGACGTGCGAAAAATGTTGCAATCGTGATTGTTGGGTTCAGATGGGCCCCTGATACAGCACCAAAGCAGAAGGTAAACATGGTAATGTAGAAAAAGTTGAGTATGCCGCCGATGAGAGGTCCGATGAATGATGCGTTGTCGAAATTGCCCCAACGCTGTGTAGGCGTTGCCGGGATGACGGCGGGGGACAGATTGGCGTAGATGGTTATCCAGACAAGCATCAAGGATCCTGCAATGCAATTCAGCCCAAGACTCTCATAGAGTAATACCGTTCTTCTTACCGACGCCCTCCATTAATGCTGACTTCCATAGTGGAACCGTCAGAAAAGGTTTACAATTAGCAATCTCCCTCAGACTCATCAAAGGTGCCGCATCAGGAACGTTCTCCAGGAAAGCCACATTAGAGCGGGAGCGGGACAAGGCGACTCCATTTCCTCCAAGCCTGCCAACGAACGGGGGTATGTTGATCTCAAAATCCCGATCGCTTGAATTATCGGATGCCGCGGATGCTGCCAGACCTTCCAGATCGTGTCTATTGGTTTGGGGCGCTGAGTGCTTTTGATTCCCAGCCATGTTGAAGTTTCGTGGGTAAGATGTTGCCCGAATTTATTTGTCGTGCCTTGTTTTAACGATGAGGAGGATATTAGGCTCTACCATCGCAGGCTTTAGTATTTAGGTTGGAAGATTGCTGATGATGAATGAAAGACGTCTGTATAAGCTCGATCAAGCTTTCCAACAGAAATAAAAAGAAATAGAGTTTCCTAGCCAAAGGGCTACAATTAGTGCTTCGGAGGCGGGATGGGCTCTTGGCAAATACCGCAACAATCAGCACGCTGTAGGTACCAAATCATTTCTCTGTAAATTAGTCTATGCTCAGCTTTTAATAATCGCCGGATCTCTCGGTTAGTATCCAGCCGCTTCATAGAGGTCCACCTCTTGAATGCCGGCTTTAGGTTGTGCGTCTTTAGTAAGCATCGTCAAAGCTTACCAGTGCTTATAAGGAAAGCTTGTAAGCAAAAGTAAATTACTTGCTCCACAAAAGCTTACGAGCTTTTACAAAATCTTGTAAAAGTTTTTTGACGATGCCTAGTCCTTAGGTAGGTATGACGAAGGTATCACTCGATAGCTAGTCCATGACATTGTATGCACCACCCGTATCACAAACAGGTTCACCTCTGCTACAAAACTATTTGTCGACACTTCCCATTGCCATCAAAGCGCCTCTTTCGACTCTAGTTACATATCTGCTTTATTCATGTGCTGTCGGAACTAACAGTTAGCTACCATGGCAGCCTCTCTCATCCCGAATGTGCAGACATTATGTTTCTTTTTATTACACCATAAATGGCTATTTGAAATGCTCTTTCTATCTGATTGTAAAGTGTCTTCGACAATACTAAGGGCAAAGTATGCTAGCTGATATCATCCGTCCTTGGATATATTGGGCAGTCAGCCAATAACCCTCCATCGTTCCCAAGTTGAGACACAGGGTATGGAGGCTCCCCCAAGACCCAATTATAGTAATTTTCTGGATTACAATCAGGCCACGCCATGGCAGAAATACTCGGGTTGGTTACGAAGTCGAGATCAATAGACTCCCAGTTTAAAACTTCAAGGCTATCGGCATCCGGAGTCGACCTCGAGAGTGGATGGTTTTTTGATGCGCTTGTGCTTTCATTACTACCATCTTCATTCTGAGACGTGGAATGCTCGTAGTGATTGGCTCTTGCTGAGCGAGCCCTCTTCAATAGTCTACCGAAGGGCCTGCAGAGGCCACAGCTGTGTACATCCGAATCTGACAGAGGGCACGTATCAGCATCTCCCTGGCAAGAAGAAGAGAAAGAATGAATCTGGTGGCCAAGGCGAAGAGCGCTATCGACTGCATCCCATGCTCTGTCCACTGGTCCGCCGTGGGTCCGCTCGCAGAGTTCCAAGAGCAGAAATGTTAAAGCGTACCACTGGAAATATGTCTCACAAAGCCATCTCCAACGATGTGTGCTTTCCTCTTGGTTCAAACGCACCCAGCTTTCGATAACTTCGGTTGACTCAACAAATAGGCGGTCTTTTGTATCGGAGGAGAAGCCAGCAGAACTACTCCTTTTTAGGTAGGGATGATACGCGACAAGCCGCATTTTGGTGAATACTATGGCGCAGATAGTGGATGTGAACCAGGCTAGGGGATTCGAGAAATCTAGGTGCTTCAGGTACAGTTCATGGAGCCGATTCTCGATACCGCATATCGTATCTGTCTTGTCCTTGAGATACTGTGCTGCAGAGGGCCTCGCACTCTTGCCCATGGAATCCGATGATATATGCTGTAGATTTTGGAAAACTTGTACTGACTCAAAACGAACGACGCTGAAAGTCATCTCTGTAAGGCCGACCCGAGGCTGTGGAAGATGTTCCATGTTTGCGTAAAGGTCTGAGTCGTTGACGTTGAGCGGTAACTGGGTATCAACCTTTCCGAAAGGAATCATGGTATCATAACCAGTGTCCTCAGACGCCCGTGAATCGAGAACGCATATGCTCCACCACAGCCTCCTCCGCATTTCTACCATGAACGGAGGCAGTTTGAAGTGAGTTCCATCGCGGTGAATGCCGGCATTATTTGCAAGTCGCACCAAGAGCGACGTCAGGGTTGACATGGCACGCGCACTGCTGTGAATCCTTAGCCCGGTGAGATAGATGGCCAGGGCTTGCAAGGTAATGATCTCGTCAGTCTCAAGAAGCCCTGCCTGGACCAAGGCTTGGTCGGTACCCAACCTGAACACGTGGGCAAGAGTCGCCTTTTCGCTGCCCAGGAGTTCCAGGCATTCACTGGGCGACAGACTTACCACGACAGTATAGTAAACGGCCATCATTAAAGCTTCGAGTCCTCTAGGTATGTGACCAAGTTGATGTGACGCCCGAAGGATGAGTGGTTCCACTGTCGGTACGTGCAGAACCTTGATGAGTATATCGCAGTTTTGCTTGAAAAGCCCCCAGTAAACTGGTATTTTCTGCGTGGGAGGGTGCATTTGCGAGAGGTTCTGGAACGGAGAACCAAAGCCTAGAATGCGAGCATGAGTGCTTATGCAATTGTCTGGTATGATGTCTGGATACCATTGTTCTGCTTTCTCTGGAGGGCTTTGTAAGAGGCTCTTGAGATCTTGGACCTTGGCACCAGGGTCAGTAAGGGGCAACCTGTAAGTAAAATGAGACATTAACATACCTCATCGTCTAGGCTGGCCCAAGAACTACCAATAATGTATCTACTCCTCCCATCTTCCAGAGCCAATCTCCCGAGGTCAGTACCCAAACCGGCCACGTCGTCGACAGGTAGGATCGGACCAGACTGCGACGTAGAATCTGCGTCATCCCATGTCTGATTATGGGGAGGCGACTCATCAGAAGCTAGCCGCTGAGCTAGTTCAGGGCTCATATGTTTCTGCATGCGGTTGATGGTACCTTCAAGTCGTCGCAGTCTCTCCATAATGACAAGTGACGGAGGCTGCCGGGCTGATTGGCGCCTGGGAACATACAGGCATTCTGTCCCTAGCCTTTGACAATTTAGGCAAGGGGAAGCCCTGTCGCACTTTTTCTTCTTTCCCCGGCATGGCAGGCATGAATAAGGGTTCAGTATGCGTGGTGTTGGGGGCGACAACGAAGATGGCTGAACACAGTCATCTGGTCTCGAGCTGACGTCTGGTTCTTGGAACATGATGCCTACAGATTGGAATGGTTGTCCAGCACAAGTCCGCGTGCCCCTGAGAAGCGGTGTTTACCGGACACCGCTCTCTTGGCAACTTCGCTGTTCCTTGAGATGGGGATAGAGTTGACAAAATATGACATGGTGGATTACAAAACCAGTGTCCTTGCCACCACAGATTAGCCTGTCGCCGGTATAACCGAGCGGAGTCTTGGCAAAGGCCGCCCCTACTGGAACCTACGCCAATCAACATTTCCCCTCGTATTGTGCAAATTCCAAATATGTCCCCTTAGTGGGTGGGGCAAGCATTCACAGGCGTGTAAGTTGTCACGGCAGCTTCTAACCTTTTCAGTCAAGCCCTGGACTGAAATCCAGCACTCAATCGTGAGTTCCAGGCTTTGCATTGGTCTGTGCGGGAGTATTCATGCAAGGGTGGCCGCAGCTAGATTACACTGCATCACAAGTCTTACTCAGTCGGCCGACATCACCGCTCTGTTCACCGTGGTGTATGTTGGTTACAAGGTCATCACCAAGACCACGTGAGCGTATTTAAATAGCTACAAGTTGCGATTGAACAGAACTCACCTCTCCTTCTTGCACATAAATCCTAGAATCAGCGAGTACCTATCACAATGGCTTCAAAGGGTGGCGCTGACAAGCTTCTGCAGCTGGTGAAGCTCAGGCGCACATACTACGCACTAAACAAGTATTTGACCATTCCCCGTCCTCGTGTTGAGCAAATAGTCAAAGAGTCGCTTCTTTATGTGCCAAGCAGCTTCAATTCGCAGTCGACTCGAGTTGTGGTTTGTTTGGAACAGACCATGACAAGTTGTGGGACATAGTTACGGATGTTCTTAGAAAAAAGGTTGCCGAAGCAAAATGGGAACCGACAAGTCGCAAAATGGCCATGTTTAAGAGGGCTGTAGGAACTGTAAGATCGAGACTTTGCCTAACCTTGATGGATATCCGAGTTGCAACTGACAGGAGGAAATCTTAGATCATGTTCTTTGAAGACCAGGCAATCGTAGACGAAAGCATTGTCCAGTTCCCGTCGTATGCCCAACACTTTGGCACATGGGCAACGCAGTCGGATGCCATGTTGCAGCACACCATCTGGCTTGGGCTCGAGGCAGAGGGGCTTGGTGTCAATCTACAGCATTACAATCCAATCATAGATGACAGAGTGGCTGAAGAGTGGAAACTTCCTGCAAGTTGGAGATTGAATGCCCAAATGGTCTTTGGTGGTTATGAAGACACCCCGACCGAAAAGAGCTTTATGCCGCTTGAAGAGAGATACAAAGTGTTTCAAGGCGATGGAGAGTAATCTATGAATATATATAACGAGGAGGTGAGGCTTTGGGGGCTACCAACTTAGCTTAGAAATCATGTTGGCTGGTTTACAGGCAGAACTGGATTGTCATACGCATGGTACAGATTCGTCGGTAAGCACTGTTGTTGAATAGCTCTTTACTAAAACCCAATTATACTATATATTGAATATAATATTAGTTACTTCAACACTGGTTACTTGTTATTTGCTCCAGAGTTTAATCAAGAGGGTGAGGACCAGTTGAGACGATGTTTGAACTGCTTTCCACACCAGTATACAAGGCACACTGGGCCACAACTCCACAGTTGGTCTCTTAAAGGGGCCCAATCCCTATAACCTCACAGGGAGATTATGTTCTTGTATCGGTCATCCTTGCCTTGGAGCACGAGTGATTGGAAGAGAGACGACTGGATTTTGCGGAGTGCACCTGACGCAACCGCGGGGGCCGTTACAACTTATAACCCAAGTTTTAATAAACTACTTTTAACCCTCTTCACTTTATCCACACGTGACGGGCTACTATAAGACTAAATTAAAGTCTAATGCAACACCCGTAAATGACTTATAACGATCTATTCATCTCGTTCCAAAAGTCACATCTTGTCACTTGAGCCTCTGTTATAGGCTCCATTCTAAGTTCTCCCAGCCTGACTAAAAGCTTGGAGCGGCTGTTTCCATGTCCCCAACGTTCCCAGATAGGTGCCCTAGGATCCTTTTGCGAATTCGGCGACAGAGTACGCACAAATGATATCCAGTAGCTCATAATTACAGAGACCAAAGGAGCATTATAGGTCGAGAAACTGGCTGGCGGCTGGTATCTTTTTGGGATCTTAGTGCCAGAAGGCCCGAAAATGAGTCCTTCTTCGTAACCATGAGGACAGCCCAGTCCCATAGAGACGTATTCTTCATCATATACATTCATATGATAGGACCATAGCCGAACAGCCTCAGAAGAAATGGGCTGCTGACTGTTGGTAAACTTCTCTGCGGCGTCTAGAATGGCCAGAGCTGGACATGTACAGGTAGATTCGCCATACGCTTGGTCGGCGGATGGGAACCATTCGGCGTGCTGTGGAACTGACTTTGTCTGCGGGTAGTACCTGGTGATCTCGCTGATCTTTGTCTTTGATAATTGAGGATAGTTGCTGCTTATGAACAGACGCACTTCTTCCTCGGTTGACGCATTTGCAGCGAAGTAAGCTCCCTCTGTAAGATACATATCAGCTAGGCGAAGGACTTTGGGTTCCGTTCATTACGACTGACCATTTTCGTTATTCCCGATAATCATTGGGACTTTGATAAATTCTCCTCTCTTATACATGTCCAGAGGCTTATCCGGAATGAGGTCTCCATCAATGCAAGGTGTCCACGGCCAGACCGGCAGCGGTTGAGATGGCCCGCCGGGAAACGGAGTCGCGACATTACCCTTTTGAAGTTCTTCAGTCGTCTTCTCGCGCCAGCACTGCATTTGCAGCTCAGCAGCACCTTCAGTACACCCGACATCTTTAATAAAACGGTCGTACTGCCACTCCAGTTCTGATGCGAGCGGCTGTGTAGGCATGAAGGTGGACTCCATTATAGCACCAGCGAAGAGTCGAGTATTGGCAGGATTCAAGAGGTGAAGAGCCACGGAACCGGCGCCCGCGGAGCTACCGTGAACGGCTACATGATCTGGGTTGCCACCAAACTATTTCAACCTCGGTTAGTGGTCGACACCGCAAGGACGATATACTACACATCTGGTGAATGTGATCTTGGACCCATTGCAGAAGCGCTAATTGATCTAAGAGGCCGGCATTCAAATCGCCAAATTTCTTCACAGGTTGGCCAGCTAAGAATCCATAAACGCCCACGCGCCAGTTGAAGTTAACAAGAACAACGTTATTGTTAGACTTTTCAACGACTTCCGAACCGTTGTAGTTGGGACTGTAGTTGAGATTGAAGCCTTTCAATCAATTAATTAAAGTAAAATGACGAAAAGAGTCTATACGTACCTCCACCTTGGATGAACACCCAGACTGGGAGCTTAGATTCCCGTGTTGCGTTTGATGAGCGCCAAATGTTGACGAAGAGGCAATCTTCTGAGACGCCATCATCTACCGTCTCATTCGTTCCAATGCAGTAATCTCCAAACTAGTCCTCGATACTTGTATCAGCAAAGTGATTGCTAACATCCCATTGCCGGCATAAGTCACAACTTACTGAAGTAGCTCGTTGTATGTCTGATTGTTGTTTAGGTGGCTGTGGAGCACGAAATCTGAGATCTCCCAAAGGCGCTTCGGCATAACGTATTCCAATGAACTCATCAACTCCATTTGAGAGTTTTGTGCCGACATATGTAGCATAACCTAGCTCCACCTTTGCGGAAAAGGTGTTGGCTGCGTGACATCCGGAGCTTATCACGGCGGCGATGGCTATGATTAGCCAGATCATGGTGTCACCAGAATGATTCATACATGAAAAGTAAACGAACATAGCCTTCTCAGTAGTGAATTGCCCTGGAGATCGCCTTTTATGATACTCTATAGATCACCTAGAAACTAGGCCACTACGTTGCTACCCGGTCTTTCGAACCCTGTCCATTAAGTCGATCTTTTGGCTGAGTCAAGTGGGACCGGTCGGAGTCTTGGCAAACACCACTTCTTCATCTAAACATTCTAGGACCTTGCGCGTCAAAAGTTCCGCGCCACCAACTCCAACCCTACCATGTAAGGTTACGATTATCCCCCACATGGGTGTAGCGGCGACCGCGATCAGAGCTATTTATCATACGGATAAGCTGTCTCTAAGCGTCTATACTGAATGGATTATTTATATATAAAAATAGAAGTAGCGAGCATGTATATATATCAACCGCTCCTTAGCAATTATAATACCGAAACAAAGCTCTTCTCAAACCCTTTACCATCAGCTTCTTTTATTTCAATTACCATTATTCATCCCAACACCTATTTACCATGTCTTACCACAGCCGTTTAACCAGAGAGAACGCAGCGCTCCTCATCGTCGATCATCAAGTCGGTTTATACACTGGCGTCCGAGATATCGATACTTTGAGTCTCAAGCACAACATCGTAGGATTAGCCAAAGCCGCGGCGGCGCTGGAAGTCCCCGTTGTTGTGACAACAACCACAGAAGGACTTTGGGGTCCTATGATCCCTGAGCTTCAGGAAGCACTCCCCGGTATTGACCGTATCGAACGAACTACCGTCAATGCCTGGGATGATCCCCGAGTGGTGGCTGCTGTGGAGGCGACTGGAAGGAAGAACCTGATTGTGACGGGCATTTCCACAGATGTCTGCCTAGCGTTGCCCGCATTGTCGGCATTGGCTACTGGCTATACAACATATGCCGCTATTGACGCATCCGGTGCCTTCACCAAACAACAAGCGGATGCGGGAGTTATGAGGATGGTGCAGGCCGGCGTGGTCCCTGTCTGTTACTCGAACGTTATTGTTGAGATACTTGCGGATAATGCAGCTGCTGAAGCCAATGCTGTCTACGCTGCATTGGACATGCCGTTTGCGAGGCTTGTGGGTGGCCTCAACCAGTACTTCTCAAACAAAAAGTAAAGTACCCGTCATGTTGCTTGAATTTTGAAATGCTCTCCGCAGCGAGGGTTTCCAATTCGTTGTTGTTATCTAGCCTCATGAGCCTGGACTTGGTGGTCTTGTTGGGAGGTTGGGTGCAGTGGGGGACTTCTCCTTGGGTTGGATCCGGATGCTGGTTACTTGTGTTTGTTTCCTTTTGCAAGCTCCGTGCTCAATGTACAGAGCGGGGTGACTAGGCAAAGTGTCTGTTAACAGGGGAAGGAAAAGGTACCATATTTCCATGCATCTCTTTAGACAACAAAGGGTTACTTATTTCACTCTAGTTACGTGACAAAGATGTGGTAATCTCAATTCAAAGATTCTCTGTCCACCTTAATTTCACAGGGTAAATATTATCTTCACGACCTACGGAAACTATTGTCTTAGTAAACTAGCTACATGCCTCAAGTAACTCTGTAGGACAGAGTCCCCCGCAGAAGAGACAACTACATAATAATCAATCAACATATTATGAACCATCTGAGCACGCTTAGTGGAACACCTAGCCAAGACACATATTGGCCATATTGGCTGAAAGGGAATAGAGGCGGTGTTTGCCAAGACCCCGCCTCAACACTCATACATCTACTAATTCAAGCCGTGCATGCGATAGAATCATATCTGAGATGAGGCACTAGCTGCTGGAAAATCGGACCTCTTCCCTCATATAGCAATGCTTACAGTCAGAAGCCCCAGAGCCCCCTCCCCTGAGGCTTTCAACCTACATAGTTAGCCCACTTTGCCAGCTGTGTGCAATCCGCACTTCAACTGACAAATCCAAGGCTGAATATCTCAAGTAAGTTACCTTATTCACACCCCCTCAATCTATTACTATGAGAGCTCTGGTAAGATCGCCGTCTAGTGTGTGGTCGTACCTGATATTCATTTGTTACTGAAATGCTGATTAGATTACAGACCATCGGGATACCATTTCTCAGCTCTTACCGAGTGCATTGTCCGCGGTGCCTGAAAGAGTCTGTCAACACTACTTATCTGGAGCAAAGCCTTTTAGTTCATTCAGTTTCAGACAACGGCAACCAACAAGGATGGGTTCCCAACCCATTGATAACCTTGAAAATCTTAAGGAGCATCTCACGTATGATAAACTTGAAGCGCTACGAACGTTTTGGTTTGGGCATCTGCCACAAGGTGCTAGCCGTATTGTTGTCGCGCCCGAACACCACAAGATGTGGTGCGGATTTATCACCCCTACTGTAGGGTAAGACATTCAACATTTCAGTTAAGCGCGGAGGTTAATAGCTCGATTTATGTCATATAACACCTCGCAACAAACGCATCATGCAATACCGTCAAGCCCAGTTCCTCGGATGGAGTAAAAGGCGAAAACGACTACGGATCTGAAACGGCCTTTAAAGTATTTGACACATCGCCGTCTCCGAAGCCATCTCTGTGCTAAAAGGATTCGTCGGTCCACTCCTCAAAGTCCGCGCCCGTGTCCGTGTCCGTGTCCGTAGGAAAAGAAGGCTCGGTAAAGGATCAACCATGCATGATATAAAAGATGTTCTTCCCCCTGTGTGAACTAGGTAATCGCAGAAAATGGATAAGGCCTAAGAGAATGAACCCACTACACCCAACATCTCAAAACAAAGTCAAATACTACACTGCAAAATGTTTCTGATCTTCCTTGCAGGGATGGTTCTCTCCACGATCGCCGCAGGAGCACCGGCTGCTGAGATTGGACATTATGTGAAAATTTTCGAGAGACAAAACTGTGTTGGCAGCTTTTCGCATAGGACAGTGTTTCCTGGCGAATGCGTGGACGCTCCCGCCGGGAAATCGATCATGGTGGCTCATCCTGGAGGCACAAACTTGGTTGGCTGGTTAGAATCGGGCTGTTCGGGGGAGAAAGTCCATCAAGTATCCCTGGGAATGGCTTGCTACAATTTCAACGAAGTTCATACGGGAAGCTGGTCAGTTCTAGCTTGACCGACAAGCTGCAGGGCTAGCCCCGGGCACGCCCTTGTCATATACACATCCACTACAGCCCTCTGAGTAGCTCATCCAGGCAACATAAACCAGAAACGGCAGCCAAACCATCACATACGACCATACCTACTAGACCGCACTGGATCCCGTCTGCTCTCCGCACGTTAAGCTAGTAAGGGGTCGATTAGTAGTTGGGTCGGTGACGACCAGCGAATACCGGCTGTTGTATGTTCGTTTTTTGCTGCTGGCAGCCTCGTTTGGAGCTGAGAGACGTCTTGAGAGCTCCCGCGTATCATAACGCAGGCGATGGATATTACGCTCTAAACGAGATGTTAGGAAGTTGGTGTCTGACATGCAAATCGACCTTCAAGTAGGTGCAATAAGCTGAAACTAGCTGGCATCCATTCACATATGACCACGCCTATCTGTCTTGTCTGACAGGCCCTTACATCCTTTTCGGATTGCTGGTTGTCTATTTTTGCCTGCCAATATCTCCATCAATGGAGCTGATTACTACTGCGTCAGGAGGATGTGGCCCCAAACATGGTTCCCTTCTGGCTGTTTGGGTTGTCCCATTTCTGTCATAAACCACGCAATGGAGCCGAATTATTTGTGTACCTTTAATAAGAACCTCATCTATGTATAGTAAATTTGGAAAACAAAACTCTATTCTCAGGATGCTCTCGGGCACTGATATTTCTACCTAAATTCCAGCTGATTCAACTGGGTGCTAAAGTATGAGTTTCCCTTGTTTTCTGAAATTCTACTCGTGCGAAATGTACACCATGGTGAAACCATCATATAAGCGCACAAGAAGACGGGATTTCCTTGCTCAAGACAACGCCTTTGTAGCAAATCTTATTCCTGTCTTGCACGATACGTCGCCCACATATTCCTTGTTCTTAGGCCCTGTCCAGGAGTGAATTTGTTCCAGCACGATTGCCACGCACTACTCATAAAATTGTCCGTTGGGTCGAGTCCAGGGAGGTCAGGACATGTGTCTCGGCCAGGCGGGCAATTCAGATCTGGCCCGGTTTCAGTTATGAAAAGCATGTGTACAGGTGTGTCATCAACCTATTGGCCAATGAGTCAGTAAATTGGTTTCTTTTCTCCAAGGTTTAACAACTCACAAAGTCATTGTCTCCATTTGCGCATGAAAGGGGATAGGGGGCTCTTTCGATATACCTAGAACTAATCAGTGATCGCCACCTGGAGAAAGAGTTATACAGACTCACGTGTGAAAGAGGCCCATCCAATGTCCCACTTCATGATTGGCGAGATCGCCCTCAGTGTATCTCTCTGGATATGGCACAAATGATGGGCCGATGCCACCAGGCAGTGTGTTCGCTTGTATAACAACACCATCCAGCATGAAGTCCTCAGATCCTTCCTCATAGTCACTAGGCGGGGTTCCAATCTAAGATTTCGATGTCAATACTTGGCCAGCCTCCTATATCGACGAAGGATGGGATTGTTATCTGTCCTCAACTTGAAGAAGCATTATTTAGGTGAAGGAAAAACTTACGCCGAGAAGACCGAATCCATCAGTCAATAAGACGGTATACAAGTTTAAGGTACTGTATCCACCCTGGCGTAGGGCCTTTTTCATATCAGGCCAGCGATCGAAGTTGACGCTTGTCCAGGTTGCATTTTGCGTATAGGTGGTGTTGATCAGATCGAATGAAAACCCATGCGGAGTCCATGCTTTGTTGAGCACGTCAATTTGGGCATCAATTTGACTCTTCTATATAGGCATCTAAAGGTTAGTAATCAAAACCGCACGGAGTGTATAAGTCCCGATTTTCAATACATACAGGAACATAGCCTCCTTGCTCGGTCTGATTGGCATATACGACGTGGACGATAGTGGGAATAATAGTCGAGTCAATTTCTCGGACTTGGTGTACTTGAAGTTGCTCCTTGACTCTCATTTCGCGCGCCATAGCACGAAGAGACTCGGATGGCGCTGAGGTGCCGCATCGGGGATCATTCACAGCAGGGATGCGTGTGGATAACTCAGCAACAGCACACGACATCAGCGCTGACCAGATGCTAATAGAGCGCATGATGGCGGTTGTTGGTTATTAGAATCAAGTTTCTGGGGGATTGTCCTCGATTCGGGTAGATGATAACTAGAAAGCTTGTGAAGAACTGACTTGAATAGGTGCCTCATGTACGGAGATATATAGATAAATAAGTGTTGATAATTTCTGCATTAGGTAGTGATACTCGGTTCTATACGCTTACTCCCCGAAGAACACGAGCTATTGCTAAACCTTAGGAACAAGGACATGGCTAAGTTGCTGATTTTTACCTACCTATTTGGACATTTTCAGTAAGCGCCAAGAGGGGGATAGTCGTCAAGTCATGCTCAATACGAGATGTTGAAGATGCCAAGGCACCTCTATACTAGTTAGTGTACTGCCTGGCGTAAAGGATACGTCCGGGTTCAATAACATGGCATACGTATTTAGCATTGATCTTCCTAGAGAGGTAAGAAAATAGTTTACAGTATATAAGGATATAAGTAGACGTATTTTAGAATTCTCAGAGGGACAATTTGCCGCTTAGTCACTTACCTACACCGATATATCTGTCTATAATACGAGCTCTTCAACTTCTTGCTACGTAAAGAGTTGCCGTTTCACGCTAACATAGTGGACAAGGACATGGTTCCTGGATAGAAGCGGTAAGATTCTGGCGATGGTAATAAGCCGGAACCAGCTGGCATCCTTTCACATACGACCACACCTACCAGAGAAAACTGGATCCCGTCCGCTCTCCGTGCGTCAAGCTGGTAAGGGGCCGATTAGTAGTTGGGTCGGTGACGACCAGCGAATACCGGCTGTTGGATGTTTCTTTTTTTTTTTTTCTTCTTTTACTCTATCGGATAAAGAGCGGTGAACTCTTGTTGAGATATTGTCTGGCGGAATATGTGAACAGAGTAAGTGGGACATTGGACATTGGACTTGCACGAGCCCGGGTCCTTCCACTGCTGTCACGGTTCTATATACTTGCTCACTCGACCGCTGTATAAGTTCTAACAACACCTTAGCTATGAATGTACACTCAATTTGCATTAGGGTAGTTATAGTTTTATCTGGACAGGGGGCAATATATATGCATCATTCTTTGAGTTGGAAATGGACCATGAGATCTCCCGCCATAACCCCCTGCCCAATCACCCTCTGTCTGTCCTCGTAGAGACCCTTCTTTTTTAAGCTGATCAACTGGGAAACGTAAGCACCAGCAAAGGTACCACTTGTGCCTGTTGTGCCTCTAGCCCTTTGACTGTTGGAATGCACCGCTTGACATAGGACTCAACCGACACATGATCGTTCGGCTTAGCGACTGCCGCAGCACTCTTCTCGCTGATGGTGGTAGGGGCGCACCTAGAGCCTTTTCTGATAGAATTCTTGCCTGTTTCTATGACATGTACAAGTTTGTTCCACAACACCTTTCTTGGTTGAGTTTCACTCATTGGCTAGAGATCTCCACTAGGAAATAGACGGAACACGAATTCACTAACAAGTCGTCTACCGCTTGAAAAGGTTTGAGGGAAATTCATTTTCTCTGCACAGTTGAGGCTGGTATGTGAGGCTAAGGATCTTGGGCTGGGTAGATTAGGTTCATGATGGGCGCTTCTGGTGTCTCTATTTGTCCCGGAATCTTTTTTAGCTTGGCATCCCGCTTGGACCGAAGATCTTGAAGATCAGACACGAGGGGTTGGCATTTTCCTCCCCTCTCATTAATTGGCATTGGAATTATGTAAATAATAGATTGCGTCACGGTGATAGAAGGAATGAATAAATAAGAGGTCGGAACTTTGTGTTATGTCAACTGCATAGGACGAACCTAAACTTAGGTAGTGTAACTTTTCCCACCATCCGTTGAAGGCTAATCACATGCCGGTATCTTCTCAATGCGCAAATAGTATGCAACCAAAGGACGAGAAAAACTCTGGAGGTTGGTTGGAATGCGAATGTAAACATTCCGATCGGCTCCCCGTCGATGACGAAGAGTCCAGCCATTGCATTTGTCGTGACCTACCTACACATAAATAACCCGTCCTTACCCCCTTAGAATGAAAACCATTGGAATCAGCAATCGGATCATCTTTGTTACCATCTATTCTTGGCCACGTCTTTCGTATTCATTTCCAGAACTCCCACACGATGATGTTTGGGTTCCGAACACCGCCGACTGCGGCGTTAATGCTCCTACTCGCCGCTGCTGCCAACTCTCTACCATCTCCAAGTGACTGCCCGGTTACACACACTGTCCTCTTTGGGTATAAGGCTAGCCTAGACCCCGCGGTCGTGAAAGCGGTATGTTACTTTCCCACAGATTAACTTAATGCTTCACAGAAACCTGTCCAGGCAAGCAGGACAAGTCTAGCTAACACATGTCAGTCTGTCGCACAATTCTTGAGCCTCAAAGAGGCCTGTCTGAGCCCCGACACCAACAAACCCTACATTATTTCTCTGAAGGGTGGTAAAGACAACTCTCCCGAGATGTCAGAGGTAAGTTGACTACCTTCGTTACATACAAGTTCTCCTCAACACAGCTGGATTTTATCTAACGCGGTGACGAATGACAGGACGGCGCTACACACGGGTTCGTAGTAGAGTTGCCCTCCGAGGAAGCTCGTGACTATTACGTCTTCAAGGATCCTGCGCATCAGAAGTTCAAGGCGGATGTCAAGGATCTCATTGACAAATCTATCATTGTCGACTTTTTCGATGGTGTATACTAAGACGGTTAATTGATTACTGATGCAATACAAGTTGGAGCTTCGGTTACTGTCTAGTTACTTACTACCGCTAAATCAACATATCTGTTACTACTACAATCTACTGGATAAACGCTTACTGCCGCTATGGTAGGATAAGAAAGAGCAAACGGGTAAACAGGGTTTAATCAATAAAGACGTGCTCTGTTGGCAGGCTTAATAAGTCATCTTCTATTCAGAATGGATTTTGTTCCATTTCAAATGTGTATCTACCAAGGGATTTTCTTCTCGCTCTTCACCTTTCTCTACGGGTGAGCTCGTGGAAGCTAGTACATCCGCAGAACCTCTTTCGCTTACCTTATTGTGTATCATGGGCTCACACCTTAACGCATGAGTTAAGGATCTGCAGCATGGTGGCGTTCCTTTTCTATTGTGAATTGTGCGTGATTGATTAGTACAAGCATAGCGCTATTGATGAATGCTGTGAGATTCAAACTAATGTACAGGTCGCGACGCTACGGTCTTGGCTATAGGCCAAATAGTCCGTGATCAATAGCCAACTGTGGACTGAGCAATGAGCTAAGGATGCAATTAGATAGTTTCTATCCACTACTGCTAGCTATCGCATTGGGCCCCGGACGACAATTGTTTCTTGCAGGGCTATAAGCTCCAGCATGTCTATGATCGACCAACGGCCATACCCCTTGTGGGAAACTTCGAGCGCGCTGTATTTCCCATTACAGTAGGTCTTGAAAAGTCGAAACATCCCTCGTCTGACACCTCGAAAAGAGGAGTAAAAGTGGAGCTTTCATCAGGTGAATATCAGCATGGGTTTCGTGGCAACTGGAAATGTGACGTGGTGCTTTGACTTCTTGTCCTCTTTGACCCTCGACGGCACGCGCGCTCAGCATCTTTTGGTCTCTGCTTGCCACATCCAGAATAAGCAAAGCCATGTCTGACACCAAGGCCAATCCGCCAGCGGCCGAGGCTGCCCCGGAACAGCTTTTGACCGCCGAAATCTTGCCAGACGATGACCCGGTACGACGGCTCTCACGCCACGGCTGCTTCCTCCCCCTTCTCATATTTGCGGCACATAACCACAGTCTAACACACTGCAGGATGTCACCGACGACGATTTGTCTACCAATGCGACGGAGTCTCTCAGTTCTAGTGTTCTAGCCTACCGAACAATCCAAGGCAGGACGTATCATAGCGAGCGGGGCAATGCTCACTACTGGTAATATATCTCTCAATCTCTGCTTACTTCTGCCAACGCTCTTATTACGCATGTCGCAAGCTGCGTCCGAGCAAGTGAACTAATACGCGTACATCCACAGGGGTTCAAATGATGCGCTGCAAAATGAGTCCATGGACATCAAGTAGGCCGACACTAGCTCCTAAAAAGCTGTTGATATTGACCTCGACAGCCACCATCTTCTCACACTCGCTATTGATGGAAAACTCCACATGGCGCCAATCGAAAAAGACATCGAGGTTTGTATAGTTGACTGCGGACTCCATGCCATTCCAATCTAACAAAAGCCGTTTCGTAGAAAGCCGTTGATATCGGAACTGGAACCGGAATATGGGCGATGTATGCATATTCATCTATTCCCTTTCACATATCCAGCTCAGCTAATAAGTAAATAGAGACTTTGCGGATGAACATCCTGCTTGTAAAGTCATCGGCACAGACATCTCTAGGATCCAGCCTGACTGGGTACCACCTAACTTGGAATTGTAAAATACCTTACTCAGTTCCCCAAGTCGACCTCTTAACTAACAAGGCCAATTAGCATCATTGATGACTGTACGCAAGAGTGGACCTTCCCGCCTAATTCGATTGATTTCGTCCATATGCGATACCTGACAGGCAGCTTACCGGACTGGGATGCCTTGTTTAAGTCGGCCTTTACCTGCTGCAAGCCGGGGGGCTACGTGGAGAGTTTCGAAGGAGCGCCGTGGCTGGAGAGCGACGACGGTACTGTTTTGGAATCGAGTGCACTGGCAACGTGGGGTAAACTCTTTGTCAAGGGCGGGGAGAAGCTGGGGCGGACCTTCACCGTTGTAGACGAGCAGCTCCAGAGGAAGGGCATGGAGGCCGCGGGCTTTGTTGACGTTCAAGAGTTCACCAGAAAGGTAGTGTTCTTCTTCACCTTGTTAGATTCAAGCGTTAATGGATGACTGACTGAAACCTACCGAGCAGTTGCCCTTGGGCACATGGGCGAGAGACCCCAAGCTGAAGGAAATCGGCCGGTTTGCACAGGCGGCCTTGGAGAAGGATATTGAAGGCTATGTGCTATATGTGGCCAACCTGCAGGGCTGGTCTAAGGAAGAGCTTGCCTCCTATTATGAGAGGTTCTACCGGGAGATGAAGGACAATAAAATACACTCCTACTTCCGGATAAAGGTGGTTTGGGCCAAGAAACCGAGTGCCTAAAAGTCTACTTGGTTTCGCTGAAGAGGGGGGTGGTGAGAAAGTCTGGTTGGAAGTGGCTTAGGGACGCAGAGCAAGCCGAAGGGGGATCAGCATGGTTAGGCCAATTGTATGGAAAGGAAATGAATAAAATCAAGCACGCCTGAACAAGATATCGTTCCCCAGAAACTCCTCTAAGATGAGCCCTCAGATCCCAGAAACCCTACGGACATTTTTGATTCAAAGGGATGAAGGCTCACATTTCCCTCAGCAAGCTTCTGACAGATATGTTATGTATACTGCCCCCATGAGGGGTCTGATAGTCGTGTCCAAATTTCCTCGACACCCTTTGCCCCTGCAGAGATTGTTAAGCCATCACCTTGAGGACCAGGGTCATTCAGCTCCTCCACCTTTCTCACTTTGTTCTTCCCTACTTCCAAGACACTACCACCCTTATAATCGTCCTTCTGAATGAGGTCTAGCATGAGATCGGCGACCTCCTCGGGAGTAACCCATTGATCTTTTTCCGAACGCAGCCATTGGATCTTCTCGCTCTCAAGCCATATGGGTGTCTTGACAATACCAGGTGCAACAGCAGTCACACGAATCGGAGGCACGTTCGGGCTTGGTGGTCGCTCGAGCGCAGCGAGAGACCGAACAAAGCCAGAGATCGCATGCTTGGAAGCAGTATACAAGGGACATCCAATATATGGGAATTGTGCTGCAATGCTAGATATGAGGACGACTGATCCCGGGGTCTGGTGCTTGATGAAATGACTGATTGCCAACTGCGTACATCGAATAGGGTGTGAAAGATTAATATCAAACGACGCATAGCGGTTCTGCTGCGGCAAATCGGCACTAGAACCAGTGCCGGGCGGAATCCAGAAGTTTGAAAATGGCTGGCATCAAACGTTAGCACGTTACTAGTTTATACGATCTGGTGCCTCATTGTACGCACAGGCTCAAAAACACCAGCTCTGGGGCATATGATGTCCGCATGTCCAAATTCCTTTTCAGCCATGCCAAACATTTCTTCCAACTGGTTCCAGTCGGTGACATCTATTCGCATGTAGATAGCTCTAGGCGTAGCACTTCTATCACTGTAGGATGAAACAAGGTCGGCTGCTTCTGGCCGGAGGGTAAGATCTGCGAATATGACATTGCATTTGTTTTTGAGAAGTAGCTTGGCGAAGGAGAAGTTAATTCCAGATCCAGCACCTGTTATAATCGCGACTTTCGAGGTTACGTCGAGTGCCATTTTCTTATGCTCTGCTCACTTTATAGTATATTAGTGAAGAGTCAGATGGATAAAGAAAGGAGAGAAGATGAGGGGTAGGTGAGCCCGACGGATTCGATGCTACCAATATGTACATGCACGTTCTTATCTTGATGAGGGGTTGACACATAACCAAAGGTTAGATGCTTGCAACCATCAGGATGCTCACATTCGGCGGAATAACCATCCGTCTCGTATCCCCAAAAGGTTCATCATCTCAGTGCTTATTATTCCTCGTGGAGATATTAGGCTAAATTATACTAACCTATCGATCGATTACCCTTCACACCAACTGGCAAATTCGATGCCATTCTCGTACGCATCGATTGAATTCTAACAATACTACCGTACCCGGACAACACTCTGTTCTTTCATAAGCTGGATGGGACGCTTGATGCCCACTCACGCCCTCATCTAGATTGTAATGGAACCCGCTACGGCCGCGAAGCTAACATCTATCTACACAATAATGAGATGAAAAAAATCCGCGATGCTTGAAAGGCGCTCATGTTGGAATGGTTGTCAAAGGCCCAATATATTTCTTGATACTAATTTGCAATTTCCTCAGTTCGAGGACCTTGCCAGAGCTCGCTTTGAATATTCTGCAGTGGCAGCCACAGCAGAGCAAGGTAGATTGGCTTGATATCGTCCGTCAAGTATTCCAATCACAGCTGGGATAGCAAATAAACAAGGAGATGGATTGAGAATCAGAAAAAGGGAATGTTATATATTATCTATGGCCACCTTATAGCCAGATTAAGAGTGGTATTATGCAGGATTGGGATGCGGCCCCTTCGAGGGTTGATGACAATAAATTGATAAATACACATCTGGTGCGCGATCAGCTAATGAAGCCATATCCTATAATAGTGAACAAGGACGGGCCCGAACCAAGCCTGGAGAGAAGTGGAAACAACTCCGGTGAGGCAAAAGAGCCAGAAATACAATTCTCGATCATCCAAAGACGGTGCAGAGCGAACCGAAACTTTGCTGCATGGCTCACTGAGACGGAAAGAAACCGAAGAAGCTGGTACCGTCTAAGTTCTGTCGAGGGAGCTTTAAAGCAGCGTCATAACCCACACTTGACTGTAAGAACAAATAATGTTATTCACAAATAAACCTTGAAGCTCAAAATCGTTGACATGTCTAATAAATCATTCAAGTGAAAATGGTAGCTCGAGGGCGGTGATTTTAAAGAGCAATAATGATGGAGCATATAGCGAAAGAAGAGGAACATCCAACGACATAAACTAAAGAACGCCAAAGAAAGTAAAGATCATTCATCCACATTAAGAGTTCCAATTATATGTTAATCCTAGAATTTTCCGTGTGTGCCGGATCCTAATACCACTTGATTTGGGCCATGCGCTCATCGCTATAATCAATAAACTTGCTCCCTTCCACAAATTGATAGATGGTAACATCCGTTTCCATCATAACCTGAGCCATGCAGTCCACCTCGGAGACCTTGCCCTCCGCATGGAGTTTCTTCAGCAACTCTAGCAAGGCGTACTCTGCCCCTTTCATTTCCTTGGACTCGAGCCAGTTTTTCTTCCCTTTGACCATGAAGGTATCTTTACCACCAGCAGGGTAAGGGACTATGTGCAGTGCTGCTACAATGCTCTTGGGCTCCTGCTTAGGATCTTTGGCCAGCATTAACCTTGCGTCTGCGATCTTCATTTCTGTTCCATCAGGGAGGGTCACAGGAAACTCTCCTTCATCTACCACCTCACACCCTGGGAAATTGGTAGAGAGAAAGTGCTTTGCCGACATGACTGCAACTTGCGGCACTATGGCGTTAAAGAATTCGGGATTTTCCTGTGCACGGACGCGCATGTGCTGCTTGATGGCTTGAAAATGGCTCTCTGACTCAAAGAGCTCATGATTTGGCTGTTCCTTTAAACTGAGCAGGAATCCGCTGAGATCAGTGTATTCTCGCCTGTTTGGTCCGGGAGCAGTTTGGGAATCTGGGCCCATAGCCTCCAGCACAATAGCGGCTACATCACCGACAAATTTGGAGTTCTTCATATCAGTTCCAATGCAGATTCTCAGCGCGCAGGCTCGAACTTTGCCATTCTTGTGGAGTGTCTTGACGTGCTCATGTAGCGCTTTCTCGGCTGCAGCGATGGCTGAGCTGTCAGTGTAATCTCCACACCTCGGCCAGATCACCTCGGGATCGATCCCGAGAATCAGGGTCATACAGACTACGCCTCCTGGGTCTTTATCCGGGTCCGAATTCCTGATGAGAAAAGCTTCGGAGCTGTCGTTTGAGTCCTTGGAGGTCTCGACTTTGAAGAAGCTTGAGTCAACTCTCTCGGTCATTTTGTTGAAGTCCCTCGCCACCAGTAGCCGCGTTGGATATGGGTAAGGCACGCCATCAACAGTGAATGGGAATTCCCCTTCGTCCCAGGTGGTGCAACCTGGATATTCGCGCTCGGCTCGTTGATATGCCGTAGTGAACATTAATGATGGAAACTGCACGGGCATATTTTCCGGATCAGCAAGAGCGGCCTGACGCAGGTTTTCATTCCCAGACACGAACTGCTCGTTGGGCTTGTCCTGGTGCGGGAGCATGGTTATCGTGGGCTCATTAGTTGCGGTGCTGAATTTGCAGCTGACCAAATCCGCGCCCATGAACACATGGATCAGGCCATGCTTGATATTGACATTTTGCTCACGCATCAGAGTGAACATGGTCAGCATGTGTCTTTTGGCTTCCCTCATCTCTTCCGTCTGTAGTGCTGCACCCGCCTTCATCCAGGGTTCGTCCACCCCCTTGCCTTTCAGCGGCGGGGCGATGATCATAGTCGCCGAGTAGATAACACCCGTGAAGTCGTCATCCAGTGTGAGGACAACTTTGGCAGGATACTTGCTTTTGCGACCACCTACGCAAAGCGTAGTCTCCCCCATGTCCTCAATCGTACCGGCCTTTGCGCACGCGGGCTCCGCGTTGTTAAGCCACTTGCGCACAGTGAAGTCCAGAAAAGGCTGGAACGAGGCGCGAAACTTTTTTCCATTTCCACTTTCGAAAGCGTTCTTCCATTCGGCCTCCATTGTTTCCGACCAGTCTTTGTTGATCTCCCATTGAACATCTGGAAGTTCGACCTGCCGCGTTTGCTCCACAGCAGTGTTCTGGGCCGGCCTGGCTCCAGCGCCGTCGCCAGGGGTTGAGTTGGTGCAACCCATGGTATCGTCAACGACGAACTCGTGAGCTACTAAAAGAAGTGACTTCGCGATATAGGAATGAGAATTAGGTGGCCAAAACAAGTGAGCGGGCCGGTGCACAGAGAAACCGAGCACAAACGTGGATTTGTGACTAGATTTTATGTTCAAAAGATTGTCCAGTACTCATGAGTCATGCCGACATTTTTTTACCGTCTGGGACTCTAGCGACCTAGACAGGGATTTGGGTAATGAGGATACGAAGGATGCAACGTTGTTCGGTGGTTTCCAGTCTGGTGCGCCTTACATGGGGGTCAGTTATTCCCGGGTCAGGCCTATATTTAGACCTCCTGTAGTCAATATAATCTAGGTATAGAAGGTGCAACGAACTTGGGAGAGGTAAGCCTATGAGTCACGAAGAACAACATACGAATCAGACTACAGCCCACAAACCGGGCTGTTGAGGAGGCATATAGTTGCCTCTTGTCGTCATAGACGAGAGTGATCGAAGCAGAACTTTACTCTTGAGTAGCTTCCGTCAATAGATGCTGAGGGAAATTTAATTATTGGTAATTTTCACAGTTAAACTGGTCGATATTTCCCGATATTTTCGACTAAGGACAATATGGTTGTGTAGGCCAAGAAGAGTGCAGACAGCCTCCCCCGGCTGAGTGTCCTTGGGGGCGAGCATATAGTATTCCTCCTTGGTTGTGGCAGACTCCGTCCCTTCCCAGCAAGGTAGAATTCGCCGATTAAACAACGGTCAGCGGATTCATTTCTGTCGTAGGACTGATCACTATCAATTTCAAGTAGTTTTGATAAAGAGCGCTCTGCACTGCTTGAGGTCTACTGTTCGAATGGATCAAGAACAGTCTCGTACCCATATTCACCATTCATGTATCGAGGATTCATCCTTCGTTTCAAGTAAAAGTCTCGGTAATTTTGGGCATAAATTCGAGACATTATATTACTTGGCCGATCGGAAGACTCTCGGAAAGTTGATAACAAGTCGTGGTGGTATCCAGTGATGGTCTGCTTACCAATATCCACCTCTACACACTTTTGAATTTCAATGATTTGTAGGTCTTTCTCAAAGTCCGGGAATTCTGCCAAGTAATCGGTAACCTCATCAAAGTCGGATCTCCAGTCGTGGAAGATCATTCCTAGATAGCGCAGGTTATTGAGCCGATGGCCTTGTGCCATGGCATGAACCAACTCCTGGATCTGGTCGATGATTGGCTTCCCTCCACATGAATGTATCATCAGATACTCCAGGCCATCAGGCAGACTATCAACAATCCTAGGAGCTCCTTCAACCTTGAGTGGGACTTGGTGGGTGACTTCGATCTGATCGTGGTTCCAAGGCTTAGATGCAAGCATTCCGGTAAGTTCTTGCATTCCAATTGTAAGTCTTTTCAATGCATGCATATGACGTAGCCCTGTCCCCATATATAACCTCTCAGGTTGGCGAGTCCAATCCCATTGCTTATCGTAATAATCCTCTAAATTCAGGTAGAGCTCCTCAAGTGTATTTACATGGGGTGAGATTGCATCGAGAATGTCTCGAGGCATCATCATATTGGCTGATGAACTTGTCGAGCGATGAGAGAATTCGAGCTTCTTGAGTGCTCTGCAAGCCCCTAGCATATTCTGAAGCAAGTCCGCTGTAGACCAAGACCAATGCAAAATTATCTCTTCGACAGAGGAAGATCTCGGTGGCAGCTCCATAAATCTCGCAGCTGCACGAGAAGTTCCTTGAGTCCCGACGCATTCGTAAAAACGAAGTTTAGGAAAGCCAAAGAGACTCGGGGTTTCATTATAGAAAGAGTGATACCCCTCTTCATCTAATGTCTCATGGTAGACATCTTGAAGATTTCGGAGCGGAATAGTCTTCTCCGGATATTCTTTATTAATCCACCCAGACGCGAAGTAGAAAGAGGTATTGGACATGAGCCGTGTGAAATTTAATAAACGACCTAGGTGATATGACATTCTGGGCATTTCATAGAGGAGCGTTCGGATATTCGGGCAGACTAGCAAAATCAAGGCCACCTGTGCATCACAACTACCAACCTGAAGGTCATACGACCACTGATTAGACCATTCAAGAGTAGTAGGCAGCTGGCCTAGGATGTACTCAATGTGGTGTTGGAAGATGCCAAGCTCAAGATCAGAGACTGGACACGCCTCGTTTTCCCAATTTTCGGCGTACTTCATTTGTCCTTCAAGGGATGAAAATCTGCCAAAAATGACGGTGTCGACATGCTTAGCCAGCCAGGGCTTATTAATAAGAATGAGGCGCAAGAACTTGATGTTACGAGCGCGAGAACACGGGCCTTGATCCTTGGGATATGACGGTGTATTCCGGAAAACGCTCACAGACACTGGAAGTGCCACCTCATGGAGCTGTCGGCAGGTTCGTAGAACTGCTTGGATGCTGCTAGTTGGGCCAAATGACGTGACAAGATGTGAAAATATCTTCATTTGGATCTCGATTGGTATATTTAAGAGCGTGGCAGGTTCCATTGCGGGCGTTGATGTGTTTTTGGCACCACGTTGTGTATTCGATCATCAGCTGAGCAGTCAAGGACCAAGGAGATAGATCTGAAGAATGCGGGCGGGGTGAATCAGGTTCCTGGCTCTCATTATTAAGCGCCGTGACAACGGGACATGTCAGACTTTTCATAGGAAGCTAATTACTTATGACCCGGACAAAACTTGTTGGTTGCCATCATTTCAAAAGTGCTACTAAAATAGCCCCTTGCATGCCTCCAAATGTAGTTGGAAGTACCTACGAGGCGGGCCCTGTTGCTCAACATGACTAGGTTGACAATGTTCCCTCACGCCAAAAAGCCATGGCGTTATTCTTGGGGCACCATCGACGTATACACAGAATCAAAACGAGAATGACAGAGAAAAACTCCACAAGAAACCTTCAGAACCGTATCCAACCCAGAGAGGGCCCAGAGGAATCCAGATCGCCCAGCTACTTTTCTGTGTAATAGCCTGGGTTCCCAGGTTATTAGTTGCCTTCCCTCCACTAAAATTGCCCCAGACATAGCTGCCAAAGACTATAACGAGAACAAAAACGAAGAAACAGAAGAAAATTGCAAAATCTCGATCTACCGTCTTCTTTAATCTATTTTCAGCCTCTGCGTGAACCGTATGATGCCTTTCCCTAAATTCAGAAGGCGACTCGTTGTAGGTTGTGGATGTTGACTCTGTACGCCACGATGTACGTGCAGTGTCCCCCAAAGCACTTCCTAGTTGATCGCGGAAGCCAAGATCATGCTGATGTCGCTGTTGTAGGGAGCTGAGCGGAGGTGTGCCTGTTCCGACTCCCATGGTGAATGATCTGGAAGACGTTGTCCCAGAGGTGTAGGTAGTCGTGTACTCGGTAGATTGCTCATTGGTACGCGAATCATAGTAAGGATGTTCCTTCTTGTTATCATCGGCGCTGAAGCTGTGGCTCTCCATTGGAAATCCTGTTTGATGTAAGACGTTTGATTTTTGAAAAGACTGATCTGATGTGGCAGGTTGTTGGAAAAGATGAGAAGGTTTAGAAAATGAGGCATCCCTCGAACAGAGACGATTGCTCATCATAGTGGTAAATCGCACCACCGCGAGGCTGATTTCACCTCGCTTACCCAATAACCCTACAACCAGCTAGTATGGGATGGCGTGCATTGGTCATCAGGCGCATCGCCGTATAGCTAACCGAACGCGAGACATTAGATTGAGCCTTTCCATTCCCATGAAAACCATTTTCCAAGTAAGAAATCGTTGTTTCGTTCGGCCGGGACTCGTTACGTCCATTTATCCCCTATGTAGCAAGGGTAGAACGTTCTAAGCCCGCCATGAAGAGGCATGACTTGGCGATGTTAGCGCGCGCGCATAAAAGAATTGAAGGTCTGGGGTTTGAAAGTGACTTGAGAGTTACTCAGATTAAAGCGGCTTGGATTTCCCTGCCAAAAAAAATGTGTTCCATCACAAACGAGCCCAGATTTTGGCGAGATGAAGAAATTGGTATAGAGACCGCGGTAGTTCAGCGCAGCTCAAATTATGTCACTAGAAATCGCTTTTCGGGGCAAATTACACCCTACTATGGTCGGTCTATATGCTAGTGTTTAACTGTAGACTTAGGTTTGTAGCATAGCGGTCTTGACTGATTTTGACCTCGGCCGTCTCCTCGTACTGGTCGTGGCACGTCTTGGTATCGAGACCTAACTCATCACATTTCTTCATATTCCATAAATTCGATATCTCGTGGTATTTCGGTCTTTCTCAGATGGCCTAAACCAGATATTATGCTTCTTATATTGGCTCCCCTAAGAGTTACGCCTCACTCTGACCAAGAAAGCAACGATCGATTGGAATTCTATGTAAACTACAGAATTGGCTTGGATGTATGTACTTCTGAAAATGCATGCCTATGCCACCAAGAGTCTCCCCTCATCCGCTCCTTTGGCCCACAGCAGGCATCTTTTTATCCCATTCACTCTGCCCGCTCTCAGCAAGACCAACCACCCACCGTGCAATCGCATTGCGATTGCTCCAACCAGCGATTTTGGAGTCTCCAACATATCCAGCGTGAATGACGCCTTCCCGATCCTTTTTGAAACTTTCTTCATCCGTCTTGCCCACGATGTTTTGAAAGCGGAACAAAGTCCATTCAAAGTCTGTCGCTTCCTCTTGGAAAGCTTTTGCGACTGCCTGGATAGATGGTATGGCACCAGGGGCGACCACCCTAACGAGAAGTTTAAGTAAAGTGATTCGCAAGACGAAGGAATCTTTAGGGTCTGGTGCAGAGACGGTCGAGGAGGCGATAATACGCTTGACGTTGTTGTCGCGCATGGCAGGAAATACCACATCCCGGTAGTAATCTTCAAAGGGGGATATGGGAGCTCCAAATGTCGGCCCAAGTAAAGAAAGAACGATATCGACACCGGACAGCGCTTTCGTCAAAGCCTCTCTATCATTCATGTCTCCCTTGATGACCTGTTGATGTTCTTCTTAGAAAAGTGTTCTTTAGTGAAATTTACCATTTGGACTTAGGCAGCTTACAGTGAGTAGAGGATTCGACGAAATGTCTTCGGGTATCTTGGAGGGACTGCGAACATAAGCAACGGTGCTATGCTCGCGGTAGAGCAGCTCTCGGAGGAGACTGATGCCTGAAGGGCCGGTGGCACCTAGCACGAGGACTTTACTGGTAGTCATTGTCGAATCTGTTTCCTAGACTTATATTCAGCTATGTTCAAGTCATATGAAGCGTCTCGTGTCGGTCGAAAAGGCGTATCTTGCCTCATTTATACTACTCCAGTCTCATTATACTGCCTGGCCTGGTATGAGGAGCTCCACGACGCCGCTCCGCAGAAAGTAGCGGATTTCGGTGCCACTTCTTCGTAAAACCGGACCAAAAAGGAATAGCTCAGATTTGATTACAAAACTTTAGATGATGCCCCATATTTAGTTGCCCTTCAGAAGCCCCTTGGACCCCCTCCCTCCTTCGTAAAACCAAACATAAACAGTCCAGGTTCGGATCATCAGGGAAAACGCTTATATTTGTATTGCACGGAGCTATCAAGACTGCGGAGCCTGCGGAGATTTCGGAGACTCCGATTGATTCTCCTGTACCGCGATGCGGACGCAGGCTCGAAGTAGTGCGCCCAAGTCCCGGACTGGGTGTGGGACATGTAAGTTCAAAGACATGCGCACCAGCCCCTAATGTTTGATACTAACAATCGAAAGGCAAGTAAGAATAAGCGTATATGTACCTTGGTATCCATACCCGGCTAAATGAATGTAGGGAACGGCATGTTAGGTGTGACGAGGCGAAACCATGCTGCCAAAACTGTACCAAGTCTGGCCGGATCTGTGCCGGTTACCAAATCAAACCCAGGAAGAATCGATCCGTAAGATATGCAGCAGGGTTCGAAGCCAATGACTCCTCCGGCTTCATCCTGTCTTGTGGTCCAGACATAAACTCCCTTTATTTCAAGAACGATCTTGAGGCCCAGTATTTCGATCAATGGAGCCATATCTCGCGATCATTCCTCGGCGGCTACTCCTCGAGTAAGCTATGGGCCGTATTCATGCCTCAAATCACACGCCAAGACCCTGTCTTACGCGACGCAGCGATAGCAATTGGGGCAATGAGTCGAGCCATGTCCATCAGTTGTGCAGGAGGGCATGTCGAGAAGACCCTTCATCATACGAACGCAGTCGACCATTATTGCAAAGCACTACGGCTCCAGGCACAAACGAGCCTTGAATCCTTAGACATGCAGAGCCTAATGCTAGGCTCTATTCTCTTCATCTGCTTTGAGGCTTTTCGCTCCAACCCAAAAGCGGCGTTGCAGCACATTGCTCGGGGAACTCCCTTACTTCAGCAACTGTTCACCCACGACAGGTCGAGTTCTCATATCCGCAAAATAGCCCCCGACCCTTGGGAACTCCTCCACGAGATCTCAAGGGTATATGTGTATCTAGGTGTTCAAACCCAGACTGTGATGAGCGGACGACTAGACAGCAGCCAGTCCGCAATTCGGACACTGGCTCAAGACTTGCAAACCAAAGGCTGCAACGTGGAAAGGGTTGACGCAAACTTTGATTACTTTTTAAATCCTCGGCGGGAAATCGATTTAGATTGTTTCCCTGACAGCTTCTCCACGTTGGCAGAAGCTTCCGAGCATTGGACCCTTACCGAACGCAAAATTCAGAAATACTTTCCTCAAGTTATGGCGTCCATGCCAAGCCTGATCAAACTCAAGGACACATTTCAAGATGTTGACAGCTTTTTCGATCAGCTCGAGCGTCAGGCTGAGATGGACATCTTCGTGCGCCGCGCTCATCACTATCTTGAGAGCTGGTACCGGCCATTCAAACCGCTGTGCTTTAGCGCATCTCGCAATCACTCGTCCAATCCGGACCTGTACCACCAGACCACATATCTTCACCTCCAGTATCTCGAACTTTATGTCTTCATCCTGTTCCCAAAGCAAGGCAACTATAATACAGTCAACGCTCTCACGCCTACATTTCGCCAGATGAATGGGCTCTGTGAGCAGTTGGCTAAGAGCTGTAGACGAGAGCTCGGCGCAGATGAAGGAGTATTTTCTATGCAGTCAACCGTGCTGTGGCGTTTGATGTTCATTGCCATGAATTGTCGCGACGCAGACACCCGCAACGAGGCGATTCGGATTATGGACAAGTATCCCCACCGGGACGGGATATGGAACAACCACGCCTTTCTAGCTATAGCAGAACAGAATCGTAAGCTCGAAGTTGAGAATGCAAAGGAGGGCTCGGAACATGAGCAATGGCGGAGGCTCTGTTGGAGGGTATTCCGTTTCGAAGATGCTGGGACCCGTGTTGTCTTCCGATCCATGCGCAAGACAGATAGTTGGTCGCTAGTCGAGGAGATCGCAGACCTTGAGCAGGTTGAACGGGATGGTTGGAAGAATGCCAGGTGGGAAAGGGTCCCGCTACATACGAAACACCTCATGCTCCAGTGGGGAAGGACGACAGGCATGGAGGCATTTCGAGATCCTTCACGCCTATCGACCGGCTGCGTATCTCTCAACATCACGTAGTTTACCAGCGGGATGTCAGGATATATGGAAAGAATAGCTTGGGTACCGCACATCCCTTTCGACTAATCGTATCATATCACAGAATGCCAAACATAGATGAGGGTCAAGCCATTACTAGCGAAGCTTGGTTCGTATTGCAACCTTGTAATGTGTACGATAAGATTCTAAGACTGATGTGTGTATGCTACCTTCAAATCATAAAAGATGAAACGTATTTCTTATTTACTTAAGCCTCGTTTTGGTTTTGGATAGGAATGTTCTTCAGCCGGTGTCCAGAATTTGGCAAAGAAGTCGCCAATGCTTTGCTCTTGTTGCGGCGGCGTCTCCTCCCTCTCCAAGTCACCCACAGAGTCAGAGCAGCGATGAACACTCCAACTACAGCAACGATGATCCCAATCAGCTCTGCTTTGCTTAGCTTTTCTCCGTCGCGAGATGATGAGTTGGTACTGTCGTTGTTCCCGGTGCTGGTTGTGGATGAAGATGTCTGCTCTGGCCCTTTTGTGATGGTCATTACAGATGTGACACCGTTACTAACGATCTGTGTGCTGATCGCACCCGGCGCAGTTGTTCGAGATTCTGTCGTCGCGGCAGTCACTGCTTCGGATGTTTGTGAACTAACACGAGAGTCGGAGCTAACCCTGGCTAACCATTCTGTCAGCTTCTATCCTCCATTGATGATGATTTCCAATCCCATGAAACCAAATCAGGCTGGTCGAAAAGGGCGTGCGCAAATCCTAGAGCGGCGCACCAATTTGTGAGCGTCCGTCAGTGACGTGCTGCACGTAACAGGAACAGCAGGTTCGGCGTAGCCAGACAAAGCATCACCACTTGACACCATACGATCGCCCAGTTGAGAATCTGGGGTCGTAATAATGACCCCGAGGAGACTGCGGACACAAAAACTGTCTGTGTCACAACCGACACCGTGACTGTCTCTGTCACTGTGAACGCACCTGTCGAGCTGGCTATCACGGCAGAGCCGATGCTTGTGTAGCCCTTATCAGAGCAGTAAGCTATCAAGAAGCTTGTCGCGTCTCGTTGATCATCGTAATTCGAGCAGGCAGACAGCACGGAGTCAGATACCTTCTTGAGTGTCTGGCCCAACGTGCTGGCCCGGCACATGCAGGCATTTGTGTTGCAGCCAATGTCCCCCTGGAGGCTACCTGGCCAGTTGCAAAAGACGTAATCAAATTTGCACCGGGCACATTTCTTCATATCATTCCAACCGGACTGTGTCGTCCAAACGACCTCATCGTTATTCACGGCCTGCGCTCCACAGTCATTCACCAGAAAGCTCAGTAACAACAAGGCAAGAAGAGGAAGCATGTGTTGTCTGGACATCATGACGCATTTGATAAATGAAAGATTGAAGCTGATAGAGCCCAAAAGTCTGCGTGATTTATTATCCGGCGCGTTAGATCAAGTGGCAACAGTGAAGATAAGAACAACACAAATGTGCAGAGAGGTTGGGCTGACAAGCTGAGGGCGAGACCTCGTTGGATTTGAAATACCCCGCCCAAGAGAAGCTGCGCTACTGCACAATGTCTTAATAATGTCTTCTTTTGTGATCAGTCTACTGGGTCATCTCACTTCTCACCAATTACACCAAGGTGGCTTGTGTACATCTGGGTAGTTCATTGGGCGAAGATTTCAGCTCTCCGTAGCCCGCATACCTAGTGGGATTTACAGGATGCACTCATTCTCCAATAGTACCGCTCTACTCCCATAGCCCTGTCTCAAGCAGACACAAAAGTAGGAATTCCAGCCCATTTTTCAGTCAAACGAACATAATCCGAAGCTAGCTTCTGTCTTGTAATATGCGGGTGCGATAATGAAGAAGCATCTCTTCCCGTGATAAAAACGATGATTTAGCGTAGGAAGAACGTATGCCTCACTTCATAGCTTCAATTATGAAAGTCATTTTATGGATCAATATGGCGGGATTAGCTGTGATAAATAACGATGACTTACTGCTAAGAATAGGCAGCTCATCAAGTCTTGTTATTCGTTACTGAGTTTTTCCGGAACAGTTGAGATTCATTCACAGAAGCATCGAACCCGGTGTCACCTTCGAAAGGTTTTGAATCAAATAATAGTATATTCTGATCATGTATCCAGTCTCACCGAATCACGTAGCATTATCATTATATATATTTGACAACTGGAGCCTTTTTCTTATCTTTCAATCTCCCCTCTCAAGCTTTTTAGAGAGTCATTTGCGGTATCTTCTCTTCAGCATCCCGAGCTCTATTGAACTATTGTTCTTCGATTCTGCCCATTAGCTCCGCATTGTTCAGTTATCCCGGACTGCAACATGGCCAAAAGAAAATCAGGCTTGCTCCAGGCATTTGCCAAGGTTCTAGGCCAGAAGCCTCCCAAGAAGTCTCGCAAGAAGCCCCACAAGAAACCCAAGCCAGCATCGGATACCGAAGAAGGTGAATCACCAGATGAGGCGTCTGCGAAGTCGAAGGGAAAGGCGCCAGCAAAAGCGGAAGCCGGCGAGCCATCCACAGCGCCACCACCGCCAAAGCCAAAGCAGAAATCCGAGAAAGAGAAGAAAATGGACGCGCTAAAAGCCAAAAAGAAAGACTTGAAAAGCCAACTTGAAACGACCGAGGGAAAAATCCGTCAAACCGAGAAGCAGTATTGCGATAATGAAATGAAATTCATAAACTGGTGGCAAAAACGTACAGATATAGGCACGCAAGCAGCAAGTGAACTTGCACAGTTACGTATGGATGCCTACAATGAGCGAAAAGACCAGCTTTTAACAGAGATCGACAGGCTGGAACGTGAAGGCGACAAACTATGGAAGAAGATTGGCCATGCTAAAGTTGATATCCGGATGGAAATGTACGAGTCATCAGACTCCTCAGGTTTCTCGGATTCATCGAATTCCTCATCAGATTTTTCGGATTCTTCAGACTCGTCTTAATGGCCGGGATATGCTCTATTCTTGGCAGTGGCATGTGATCATGAAAGCGTCGAATGGTATCCTCTGTGCGGGAAGGTTAGGACAGAAATCATCTCAAGCTATTGCAGCCTCATCATATCCCTCTATAGGAATATAAAAGCTGCTCAGTTGACTCGGATTCTCAGATAATGACCCAATTCTATATCCTTTTACTTCATACTAACCGGTTACCTTTGCCACACGCCCAGTGGTTTAGTGAGATCACAGGCATAATAATCATCTAAAGACTTTTCCTTTTCTCAGTTAGTTGTAAATGAACTATCACTTCCCGAAGTTCGTGATATTCCACCTATACTGATGCACGTTATAGGAGGATTGAAAAGGAATCGCAGATGGCTTCTATGGAAATATGAGACGTTGAAGTGGAGATTATGGTCGATGAACAAACCAACTCGCAGCTTGAGGCTATTAAGTAACGTGGTAATTGCAGGCAGGGAGATTGGTCAACCTCATAGCATGTGTACTTCTGGCAAAAAGTTCCTTCAAAGTCTATCTAAATGTGGATTTGCACGCTTATAACCATTCAATTTAAGTTTGTAATTCGCACAATATCAACGCAAAGATGCCCTGTCATTTACACATGAAGCATTATTCCAACTAATGAGAAATCATCGATAATGTCGACACTTAAATGTAGCAGCTATATTCCATCTCAGAAGACCAGGGTAGAACCAAGTCCAACGGCAAGTCATTTTCATGCCTTCTCAAAAACCTTTTGATGCTTCTTGAGTCTTTTTCTGAGGTCTTTCATGTAATATCTGACGGGCATACTTCGTACCCATAGGGGAAGAGGTCGATAAACGGACTTCACGCCAAACTCGACAAGTTTGTATGCCTTGGGGTGGCGATTGACTCCAAACTCTTGGCGCATTCTCTCGGGAAGCAGTTCTGCCGTGACAACACGAACAGTGGGCATGAACATGCGGAAATAGAACGGAGCCTTCCGTAAATACAACAAATCATCTCCAACTTCCCTCGCGTGCTGCGTAATTTCCAGAGTGGCAATTTTCTCGTCCCAGTACTCCCAGAATTCGGCCCTGGTCTTTGGCCACATCTCCGGTGGCACCCGCAAAGAGCAAGCAAGGATGGAATACTCCTGGAAGATCTTCTCGTGAAGTTCTTCGTCATCGATTTTTCCATATATTCTTGCGTATATATCGATTCCGATGGCATATAACGTGGCGGCAACCCACATCTGGAGGTCGGGATCGTTGGCATCATAGCGCTTTCCCTTGTCTTTTCCTTCGTCAAGCTTTCCGTATACCTGGTCATGGATTTTGCCCACCAAGTCTACAATCGTTCGCTTCTCTTCGGGTGTACCGTAGCTCATTGCGTAAACGAATGTCATGGTGGTGCGAAGCCGGTCGGCAACACGATACGCGAAGTTGCTGTGCTGGTTAACACCCTGAGCAACGCCGGGGCTGGCCACTTGAAGCAGAATAGCGGCCGCGCCTCCTCCAAGTATGATGCCCTCTTGGACGACAAGATTGATGTGCTGGGGATTGAAGCTGTCTGAGAGGAAATCTTCCTTGCTGAACTGGAAGCCCCCCTTGGGCTTTTCGCTAATAGGCGACGTGTCGGTGCCATTGGTGAATGTGTCACTCCCCATCTTGAGGGTATTTTCAGAGTTTATGTACGAAGATTGGTAATTTGTTGCCTCCGGTCGGCCAAGATATTGGAAGTCCTTTGTGACTTAGATTATCCAGGTATTTCTCTGTCTTTTCTCAGCTAGAGTATGAACACTTATATACTCCAACGCCAAATTTCTTTGAAAGGCCCTCTAATCAGATACCAAAGCACCAATCTGATGGAGGTACGGAGGTGGCCATCGTTACTGACTCGAAATATGCCAGTCATCTATCAAGTTGGCTCCCGCTGAGTCGCTTGGTGACTGACGACGAGTCATCTCACACATCCATCAGAGGCTATGGACGTTCCAAACCTCGGTAAGCCTAATGAGCAGATTGAATTCAAGCACCAAGCCGAGGCCAGTCAGAGCCAGTCAGTTAGTGAGCAGCTTCGAGGGTTTAGGTTGATCATGCCAGCAGGGAAACCACTTCGTTGCGAGAATGGTGCTCCACTCGCATCCCTCACCTCTGCACGCTGGGAGATGAAATTTGGGCACTTAAAGAGCACCTCTCTCTGCTGGATGACATATTACAACACCTGTCCAAAGGTGCGTGGGACAAGTTACCTCCCAATGTTACTTCTCAATGTACTGTTGCAGGGGGGTTGGGATTCGCCGCTATTGGCGGACTTCTCTCACGTGTGCATGCCAATGGGCCATCAGATAATAATTACAGGGTTACAGGCCAAGCCTTGTCCCTCCATATTCTATTTGGTTTCCTCGGCCGGAGATCTCTCCCCGCCTTTATTGCCGTGCATCATGGATAATCTCCCTGTCTAAACCTCCGCTCTACCATCGAGTGGGAGGTCCAGGCAATGGTGGCTGTATCCCGGCCTGTGCTCCCCTATTCCATTATACTTAGTACCACCTTCCCCGCATTCAATTCAATACCTAATCGAGATCGTAGACCGAGGTGGCAGGGCTCTTGCCGTCTATGTAGGCGAATTCTGTGAATTATCATCTGGGGAATCCTAGTAGAGCTCTGGTATACCGTTGTTGGCTAGCTGAGCACACCCTCATCTTGATCGATCCTCGGAATAGACGACTAGATGCTACTAAAATTGATATGGGTGCTCATCGACCACCTGATTTGAACCAACATGGCCGTGAATCAAAGCGTCAACCATAGAGACAGGACGTCCACACACCTATTTGGGCGGGCAAATCACGGCCGCTTCGAGACTACCCTCTCTGCGACTCCCAAACCCCACCTTGAACAATCCGATGCATCACATACTCCTCTTCGCAAAATAAAACTATATGAGGACGGCAGCAGTGACACGCTTGCTGTGCCTTGGCAGCTAGCATAACAATCTGGTGGTGACGCAGCCCTGCTTGGATCTCACAGTTCTCTTGTTCTGCATCAAACACATATCATGGGCTTAAAGAAGGGCGGAAAGGAGAAGAAGACGGCTCTTGATGAGTATGAGGAGGCTTCGGGTGGTAGGTCATCATTCCCAGCAGGCCTCTGGATTATTTGTTCGCGCTAATATAAGAACAGCACTTGAGGTTCAATCGATGGATTCCAACATCAAGCCAGGGAAGATCAATCTTGTGCACATAGAAGATATCCAAAATCCAGATGAGAAAAGGAAGAAGGAGAAGAAAAAGACGAAGAAGAGAAAGAACAGAAAAAATGCATTCACTCGACTCCGCAAACACATGACTAGGTATTGGCTGTGCTATGCCATCTTGATCATAGTTCTGTTGGCAATTGGATTGCCAGTGCTGTAAGTCTGATGCCTCTAGGCAAACCGCATTGCACTTCTTGTCACTAACCATTCATTAATTAATAGATTCCTCAAAATCATCCCGGCTCTGGCACAGCGCATCATTGACGACACAGATCTACCCATTTATTCTGCGACGCTCAAGGCTCTGACCAATGATAGCGTGTTGATTGGTCTTGAGACTGCTTTGGATGTCCCCCTCGGCTTGACTGTTGGTCTGGATCCTGTAGAGTTATGGCTCTACAATGCGGACTCTGAGGGATTCAACCCATACACCATGGTCCGTCTGGATGAACAAAAAGTCAAAGGACACACCGAGATTACTGTACATGACAATACGGTCGGTGTGGGTGACCGCGACGAACTGGACAAGTGGCTGACAGGCATGCTGAACAATAAGGAGGCTGAGATCAGCGTCAAGGGGAACACTACCGCCCATCTAGGCGAGCTTCACTTTGGCGTGAATCTCAAGAAGACGGTCAAGGTCAAAGCGTTGAACCGTCTAGACGGGTTCGGTCTTGTTAGTGCCCGTATAAAAATTCCTCCCGCTGAAGACGGCTCCAACCTCCTTGGGGACATGATCCTTCCCAACTGGTCCGACCTCACCATTGGCCTCGGAAATCTAACATTCAATGTTTGGGCTGGTCAACTCCTCATTGGCCAGGTCTCCGCGTTTGATGTTCTGCTCCCACCCGGCAACTCCACACTGCCCTTCCGAGGCCAGGTCTTCCTTGAGACATTCTTGAAAAACCTTCCTGCAGTTATTGGCAGCCAGGCTACTTCTCTTGGGAGTGGAGCAATCGAGCTTGGTCTCAACGGAAACTCAACTGTAGTCAATGGTAATCACATCGGATATCTGGAAAAGGTTTTGAATGCTGCGAGGTTCACAAGCCAGGTTCCTCTCTTGCAGCTTCTCACCGACATGATGCAGAGTGTAGCGTCAGGAGACACTGACCTAGGCGGCTTACTCGATCTCATCGGAGAAGGCTTGGACTCCTTATTGAATGGTCTTCGGGGCGGCAACAGCACCAGTGATAGTGGCGGAGGAGCCTTCTCAGATATTCTCAAGGGCCTCAACGAAACATGGTTTGGGGATGGAAATTCGAAGAGAGATTTGAGAGAAACAGTCGTAGCAAAGCTCCAACGCTAAAGGATAATCTCAGCTATACTGAACATTAGTGAACACTATTTCCTTCTACCTGCACTTTAGCCCGAAAACCCTTTTAAAAAAAGGCATAATCTGGGAATTGGAAGTCAGCAGAACCCTCTATTGGATACTATCGTCTTACCGGTCAGATGGTACGACAGTAGGAGGGGCTGATCCTTTCCGTATCATCCCCGTCACTAGCGAAGATGTGCCTCGGCATGGCATAATCCGTCTATTATACATTTATTAACCGACAACTGTGTTTCTCAGTAACTTACGTAGTTCCCAGTACACAAACCCAAATTCCATACGAGGCGGTCTCATACCGCAACGTGTTATATTTACGGCTATGGCACAGCCATTGATCCTTTCACCGGAGCTGCAGCTTCCCGGTGTGGCGATTGTCGAGAAGGTCACAGTGGAACATTTCGAGCACCAAACAGAAAGTCTTTGTTCAGAAAAGAACGGACTTCTACTCGCCGAGACAAAAGATAAGATCGATAACAATCTTCTGTCAAAGGGTTCTATAGGAACAGTTGATGAAGTCCTTAATAAAAGCAACGAATCAGCCAGCGAAGATGTACCAGCGGATTTTCACAAGACACCTCAGAAAGCTACAGAAAATGGAGAAAATTTCATGGCCAAGGATCCTCCCAAGTACACGATGGACGAAATTGCAGGACACAACACCATCGCAGACTTATGGGTTGTTATTGATAATGATGTTTATGATATGACCGAGTTTCAGCACAAGCATCCCGGTGGCTACAAAGGTAAAAGCTAGCACTTCCGGTAATAAATGCATTCTAACAAGTGATACAGTCATGAGAGGAGTTGCAGGAAAAGATGCCACCAAGAAGTTCGATAAACACCATAGAAGGGCGGTTCTTGCACCGAAAAAGGAGACCCTCCTTATCGGAACGGTGAATGAGAGTGGTCCGTTGAGTCAGTCAAAACATAAGGAAGGTTTACTTCGGAGGCTCGGTTTCGGGGTTGGGTTTGGATCACATAGGTGAAGGCATTTAGACAGTCAATCAAGCATCTAGCTGCTTCAGCTACACATCGCGTGTTTTCAAACGCACAATTTGCGCCATAGCATGCCACTAGGTCTTAAGTCAGCGGCGGCAGTCCATCAACACCCTCAGTCATGGTCAGATAACGCCAACATACTTGTGACCCAGGTCTGTCATGTGCCATCCAACATGTAGTAAGATGCAGGCCGCGGGGCTTTTTCCCCCGCAATGAGAATGAGGGTGGGCGACGGTACCCCGAGGCAGATCGCCTCCATACATACATGGATGCGGGGGCACAACGGATTCCAAATCCGGTTTACAATTCGCCGTTGATCAGTCACGCATAGATACGTCAGAAATCGCTGTCATCTGTCATCAACAAGGCTACAGCCAAAGTGCCGAGGCTCCTAGGCGCAACGAATTTGTTATCTAGGAGTCAAATCGTAGCCAAGAGCAAGACGAGAGGTCATTCTTCATTGAAAGATACCCCTGGCTGTTGCCAATAAGCTTCCATATCACTAAGATCTATTTTCGACAACATTTGCCGTGCAGTACAGATACCTCTCGCGTGCTCGCGCCATGGCTTGCCCGGCAGGATTTGGAAATGGGACGCCCACAAAGCCTGGGGCTGCGTTCACCAAACCTCACATGTTTGAAACGATCCAAGAGCCACGAGAGCTCCGGAGCTTGACCCAAGATTGCATTTTCCTCCTTGGTGGACATTTTGCAATCCTCTGCCAGTTTGCCCATCCTGGGCTAGCTGAAGGCTCATTCAAACACTCCAACTTTGCGTACCGTATAATGAATCGACTCAAAACGACCGCGAGGTTCTTGAACGCCGCTGTGTTGGGCACTCAAGAAGAAAAAGAGGCCATATTCAGTGTCATTCATGCTGCACATGCAGATGTCAAGGGCCCAAACTATTACGCCGATGACCCTGAGCTACATAAGTGGACAGCTGCTACGCTTTTCGTATCCCTCATTATCGTTCATGAGGCTTTCTTTGGAAAAGTGTCCAAGGCTCGCCAAGAAGTCATGTACAAAGAGTCAGCAGTGTATGCAACATCCCTACGCATGCCGCCCGAGATGTGGCCAGAGACATTAGATGACTTCTGGGTATATTGGAACCATAACATTGACACCTTGGAGGTGACTGATTGGGCGAAGAGTCTGGCGAAGGATCTCATGTATCCCAGACATGTACCCTTATGGTTCCATCCAGCCGCGCCAGTCGCGCGGCTGCTCACAACTCATTGGCTTCCCGAGAGGTTTCAAGCAGCATATGACCTGAAGCCCACGCCTATCAACACACTCATGTATCATTTTGTTGTTGGGAATACGGCTCTGATCTGGCCTTTTCTCCCTAAGATGATCAAGCAAGGGCCAAGCAGATACTATATTAGTGACATGAAGAAGTCGGTGAAGCGCATTGAAGAGACGGGCAGTTGGCACGGAATCAAATCCTGAGCAGGCAATGAGCTGGATATCTACATTCCATCGGCTTGAGGCGTTCCACTGCTCATTTATGATAGATTAGGGTCTGGCCGTCTGTAAGATTGCTCTTTCAATTGAAATTAAATATCTCTAGGTTAAATCTATAACACTGCTCGGTGATGCGTTTTCAAGTTTCGGTGGATTCCATAATTCGTCGAAACTACTCAATAAGTCCCTCTTCTCCTCTACTGCCTCATCTAATATTTCTAAATTTTCGCCCATTGGTGTTGGAGCGAAGCTGGAGGTTGGAGTTGTTGCCACGGTGCTGAGCTCGGGAAGATGATATGGTGTGCTGTCGCCGTCGATGAATGCCCCTTCTGTCCAGAGTTCATCGCTAGCCGCTGTACACGTTCGTAGGAGAATGTCGAGCTGAGATTTGATGTGGGAGCGGCCCCTAGAAGAGCGGGATTTTGACAAGTAGAGGAATGCCCTGGTTGCACATATCACGGCTCTCAGAGGCAGAACGGAGGCTGTGCGGTGGAGTGCATTGATATTGACTTGGTGCAAGGCGCCTGTTGCCCCCTGAATAATTTTCCTCGTCATATCTCTGACAATGTTATCCCTCACGATGTTCCATACATGAATCTGTCTGGTTGGGACCCCAGACGTATTCATGGGTACCCGGGCCATTGCCAGCAAGGCTCGAGCGAAGAGCAAGTATGTGTTGAGCCGCAGCGTTTCCAGCGCCCAGTTGCCGCTGCTCATCAAATCATTCCCATCCGGTCTACCTTGCCCTTCTCGGTAAAGCCGGAAGAATTCGCCGAGCGATTGTAATGTGGCGAAATAGATATCATATTTGAAAAATGCCACGGAGGACACAACCGCCGAGATCTTTGTTGCTGTGTCCGGCGTGGTCCCCTCTGGTGGGTTTAACAGTGTTGAGCTCCAGACTATCTTATCGATTTGCTCGCAGATAAGCTTTCTTTGAAGAAAACAAGATGTCTGCTGTATTCGGCACCAATACTCGTTTGTCGTCTCTCCGACCATAAAATAGTATTGAGATCCCAAGTCCTCCATTGTCAGTGGCATAGCTGTTTGCCGACTGAGTTCAAACGACGGGTTCAGATTCTCTTTCTGTTCCTCGAGCGCATAACGCAAGTAGTGAAGACGCTCAGCGATAAAAGCTGACCACCATATCCGTCGCCTCAGAGAAGAACATGTCGCCCTTCTCGATTTGGTCTTTCTTGAGAGATCCTGTTTGAGGTGGTCGGCGACCCGCTGGAGCCATTCTCTAGATTGAACTCTCCCAGATCGAATACCTGAGTGGGATAAAGAATATATGGCCAAAAGAAGAGCCTGCACCTCGATTAAGGGCTCGGTGGTATGTGCTATGCAATTCTAGAGTCATACTTAGAAATCTTCCTCAAACTTATTTTCCAAGGAAGCATCCATACCTTCAACTTATTCAAATGGACATCAAATGCTTCCTCGCGACTCGTAAACCCGTGACGAATCAGAGTAGACTTATCCAGCCACGAAACAGTTGCAAGAATCAAAGCATGGTGAAGCGGGCTTTCGGGCAGGAATGGCGCCTTGTGGTTTTGCCAAGATGTGCATAGCGCGCCTATATCCAAAACTGGGACCTCGAAGTAAACATTTTCAATGTAACTTTTAGCACACGTGGATCCTAGGTTGTCATGCTGCACTGCCCAGCAAGTCTCGTTCTCCAATTCGTCGACGGTTTTCAAAGTCGGGCTCGCTAGTGCAAAAGGAGTCGACATCCTCGTGTGCAAAGCAAGCAAAGTTGGGTTGCTGCAAGGATGCTGCTGCAAAGAAACGAATGTTTAAATGTCTATATTCGATCCGTTTAACCTTGGAGAATAGATAGTTTGTTATCATGTTCTTGTCTTGACTGTGTTTCAAAGAAGACAAGCTTTGGTTACCGAGGCCCGAGGGCAAGTCATTGGGATATAGGTAGTCAAAATTGTCTCTCGGGGATGCATGCACAATTTGATTCGAGGTACTATCAATGTACTATATAATTCCGGCAGTGCTATCAAGGGCCTGCACGGCCGAGGCAGCGAGGTCCCCAAGAGGCGATTGCTAGGCGCGTCGGGTATGACGGGCGCGTCGGTTATCAGAACCTCGTAAGCTCAAAAGTCCGCCGATGGTCGGCCGGTCAGTGATGGTTAGTGGGGACGGGTCATTTAACCGTACCCACAACGTCTGTTCCCATTGGAGGATCTGTGTGACTGCCTGATCCTAATTCGGAGCAAGATTCTCGGTATCAACAAACACGTCTGGAGAGCAAGAAGAGAAGCACCAGCAGGACCGCATCAGTTCGTTATTTAAAAAGGTGGTAATTACCCGAAATTAAATGATTGTGTAAAAAAGCACGAAAACATAATGTGTACGTATACAATAGCGACGAACTTTAGAGCGGCCCACTCCCATAAGTCATCTCGTCCAACGAGTCGCTCAAGAACGCATGCATTTTGTAGGAATAATACGTAGGATATGCCTAATGGTCATCAATATAACATCAATTATTTCGAGATCAAACACCCAAGAAATGAATTTCAAAGCTTACTTGAATTGTATACGCCTTGCTGAGGAGCTGGCCGCAGGAAGCTGATGTTGAATAGCTCTGGCTTTAGGGTAGCTAGATGCTGGCGTGATCTGGGGAAGTCTCCACAGTGCCCCACATGTCGTTCGTTTCCCCGCATTCCCCATTTCTTGCTCCTGCTAATCGCCAGCGAGTTACTGGCCGCACAATTATAGCAGTCGGGGTGCTGTATTACCGGGGCGATGCGCCCGAATAGCGGCCGTAGTTAGGGCATTAGTGATGCATCCATTCTTCTGGTGGGGTGCTGCATTGGCTTGTTGGCTTGCCACTTGCCAGCACTTCTGTTGCCGGCAATCTGCTCCCTCATCTTCCCCGACAATTTCTCCTGCCCCCAATTCATCAGTGCCTGTCCCTTCACATTCACGGAGCTATCGGATTCGACTATGTCCCGCCAATAACCCCTCATGTCCACCTTATTTGATTACTCAACATATAGCGTTTGCAGGCGGTAGGCTTGTCGGCACCTACTGGGCTTCGGATGTGATGTCTGAGTCTGCGGGGGACTCGGATGGAGAGAACAGCCGGAGGAAGCGCATCAGGCAGGCTTGTCTCAATTGCAGGTACATGACGACCACTAGAGCGAGGAGAACAAACACCGCCCGTTCCATGATCACATACACATTGTTAACGCGACTTTGATAGGCGGAAGAAGGTCAAATGTGGCGGCGAGAAGCCCGTCTGTACTTTCTGCAGCCGCCTGTCTCAAACCTGCGTGTACACAGAAGATGGCCGTAGCAATAGGCGAGCCTCGTTTCATCTACCCCCGGACGAGGAGTCGCTCGAGTTCCTCAAGGTGAGGAAGATCCCATTTTGATAAGCACTAATTGGTACTCATTGTATATGGACTGACCCGGAGTAGAATGAAATGCAGTTGAAATTCGCAAGCCTAGACGATCGCCTAGGGAATATTGAAAATGCCATTGCAGGGTACGAATAATTTGCCTCTCCCCTTTCTTCTTATTATACGTTGAGTTTCTGATGATCCAAACTGATTCGTCTATCCATCGCGTCTAGAATCAAACCATTGTTGGCATCGTTGGCATCTATAGTCGAAATGAGACCCCAAACCTCTGCACTGGTTCCCCAGTCAAAAAGCCCACAGCCAGAATCTCGATGTGCAAGTAGTATCATGACCAACATCTCGCCCCAGCTACAAAGCATGACTCCGCAGAGAATATTCCCTCCCGTCCACACTCTGCTATTTGCAGCTGATGTGTACTTCCGCTTCTGTCACAACCAACCATATTCTCTATTCCACGAAGCAACACTCAGGCACAGGCTGGCATCGGGACAAGTTCCTACCTACCTTGCATGGGCGATATTGGCCGCTGCACGGAGGTTTTCAAGTCTACCAGATCTTCACGAAAGCATTTCTGACGACCCCTTACCCCTTACCAAGCTGGCATGGGATTCCCTCGATTTACCCTGGGAAGGCGCTAGAAACGATCAAGAGGCAGTCGCTGTGATACAAACCATCGTCTTGCTTGTTAACATAGAGCATCCAGGTAAAATGCCCCTTTTATACCTCCACTATCCCTTAAAATATCGAACCTAATATCTTTGTAGCTGGGAACTGTGCCGGCTCCTATATGAAGCTTGGATTTGCTCTCCGGATTGCTTTACATTCTCGATTAAACCTGGACCCAGAAGATGATCTGTCCCTCGTGTTTCGAGAAGAGCGCAAAAGAGCGTTCTGGTCTGCTTATCTCCAGGATAAACTGATTTCCCTCTCCCGCGAGCGTTCCCCAGTCTTACAAGACGAAGTCTGCCGCATCTCGCTTCCCTGCTCCGAGGTCGCATTTCGAGACAGCCTTGAAGAGGAATGCCCAACGCTTGATTGTTTCAATGGGGAACGTGTGGATGAAAAGGCGGCAGAGCAATGCTGCCCTCTCGCTCTGATATTTGTCATTGGGTCTGCTCTGAATCGCGTGTCGAACTATGCCTTGCACGAAAATCGATTCTCTGAGCTTGGACTTCCCTGGTCTCCCTCTTCGCCCTATACTTCCATCTCGGCTTCCCTCCTGCAGTTGGAAGTCAACTTTGGATTGAATGACCCCACAGAGGAGGCACTCGGAAGGTTGGTCAATGGGTCGGCGGATCAACAAATGAAAGGCTCTTTTATCTATGCCAAGGCCATGTTTCATCTCTCGCACTGCCTCCTCCATCACCCCTTTCTCCTACATCAACGACTTCAGCGCTTGCAGCAAAGAGCCCCTGCAAGTTTTGCAAAGGCGGCGTGGGATACATGCAGAATGCACGCCAAGAGTATCACGGGGCTCAAGGATCTGAGGAGCCAAAACGTCCTGATCCTTCCCTCGCTGTACGCATATTGCACCATGATTGCGGGTACCATCCACGCGTTGTGCTTGAGTGACGGTGACCTGGCGATCAGCAGTGAAGCCAACTTCCACTTCAAATATGCCGTCGACTTTCTTCACGACCTTGCTCGCTACTGGGCTCATGCGGGGTTGATGGTATTCTTGTTCTTCCCTACCGCTTTATATGATTTGGACTAATGAATGGCAGGCTACCCGGTTGGAGCGATTCCGGAGGTCTGTTGAAGGAAAGCCGCTCCTGAGTTACACGCGAAAGGAACATGGTGAGTTGCTTCCCGTAGATGCAAAGACCTTGTGGCAAAGCGTGGATTATGCGCTTCTTTCCACCCCTACGCGCCCAGGGAGCCCGAGTATCCAAGTGGAAGCAATGCAGACTTCCGAGTTCGATTTCTCCCCCAGTCAGCTCTTCGACTTTCCAGTACCAGATTTTGGAGGCATGCAAAATGTGGACATGGGAGACTTTGAGGGATTGATAAGTCTGGACGAAGGAGATATGGTTGCTTGATTTGATTTTAGAAATGTCTAGACTTGAGATTGATACCTCATCTATACCTCTTCTATAGCTTCGATACTAGCGCTGCGCTTGGAGAAATCATCTTATTTCCAATCTCCCTCAGGACCTCCTTCCGAATCTTCCCACTCCCCGTGACCGGATATTGCGTTATGCTCTCACCATTGCCGACCCAGAAGACTCTAACGGGGGCCTTGTGACGGCCCAGCGTCTCGCGAACCCAGGCTTTGACTTCTTCAAGTGTAGGTTTTGTTTGGTCCGGGCGCAGTTCGAGAAATGCATTGACGGACTCGCCGTAACGAGGGTCTTGCAGCCCAACAATGCTGGCGTGACTAAGAGCTGGATGATGTAGTAGCCTCTCTTCGATTTCGACGGGATAAATGTTCTCGCCACCTATCAGAAAGGTCAGTAATCGATAATGTGTTTTAAAAAAAGAAATGTTGACTCGGATACGACAGTGGAACTCCTCACCCCTGATAATGATATCTTTGATACGTCCCGTGATGCTTAGGTAGCCATGTTCATCGATGACTCCCTCGTCTCCAGTGTGCATCCACACAGTGCCGTCTTCGTCCTTTATCATGACTTCGGCGGTCTTCTCAGGGTTCTTGAAGTAGCCTTGCTGCAAGTGCCAGCCAGCAACGCAAACCTCACCCCTTGTTCCGCGTGGGACAATCTTATTTTGAGGATTCACAATCTTTGCTGAAACGTGAGGCAGAGGTGTACCCACAGTCTCCAATTTCCTCTCGAGGCTATCCTCAACTCTGACGATAAAACTCGTTGGTGCAGTCTCCGTCATCCCTACTAGGCTGTCAACACTTCATGATCTCATATGTGGGAAAAGAATCTGTGATCTATAGAATTACCGTATGGGCTAGCGATATGACGGAACCCTAGTTTCTCACCCATTTCCAACAACATTGCGCGTGGAACTTTTGTTCCAGCGGCGAAACCCTTCCGGATAGTATTGACAGACCGTCCAGTCTTCTCGAGCTCCTTGATGACTGCAGTAAACATGGTTGGAACACCGTGCAAAACGGTACAGCGCTCTTTAAGAACCATCCTCACCACTGCTGCTGCGTCAAAATCCGGTGCAGAGTAAATGATTGATGAGCCGTGAGTGAAGGCGGCCAGGAGACCTGCGACGAGGCCGAAACAGTGGAAAAGCGGTGGGCCACAGCACACAACGTCTTCTGGGACTAGCTGGAGGTAGTGTCCCATGTAGAAGCCATTGTTGGCGATGTTGCTAGATACCCAAACTGTGAGATTTGCTTAGTGTGAAAGAATACGTGGCCTCCGACTTACAAGTGAGTAAGCATTGACGCTTTTGGGGAGCCTGTTGTACCACTGGTGAATTGGATGTTGACGGTAGAGTGTTTGTCAACCAGAGCTTGACGCTTGTCCAGTTCCGAATCGCTGATGGAATCTGCGGCACTCAGGATGCTATCCCACGTAGATGGTGGGTTGTTGGCGCGGAGTGTATCCCATCTGGTCATCACGATATGTTTGACTCTATTGTGATCCTGTCTGAGCTTTTCGAGGATAGGAAAAGTCGGCCGGCGATCCACGACATTAGATACGAAAAGAATCACAGGTTCTGGGTTGCGGAATTAGCACGGTGAGTTGGGTATGAATAGATTTTAGTCTGGCAGTGCCTCACCTGTGTGCTTGAGAGCTCGCAGGCACTCTGGGACTGTGTATGTCTTATTGATAATAACCAGACAAGCGCCAATGCGTGCAGCCGCGAAGAATAGCTGTATGAAGCGTTCATCGTCACCAGACAAGATAGCGATACGGTCACCATTTTGCACTCCAAGGGCTAGCAATCCACGAGCAATGACCTTGCTGCTGTCGCTCAGCTCCCGGTAGCTAAGACGCGTGTTATTCCACCCGATGATTATACAATCCTTGTCTCCATATTTGGCTGATTGTTGGTCTGCCAGTTGGCCAATCGTCAGATCGGACAGGGCTGGCTCATTCGGTCCGTGGACGAGAGATATGGCCGGGTTGGACATCTTGTTGTAGAAGGAGGGTGTGCTGACAAAACGACGGAAAGGGTTTCTTTTTCAGAAAGAACAATGACTTGGATGAATGCACTACTATTAGGTTCACTCAATGATTTAAGCAATAGATCGATGTAAGCTGATGAGCCTCTCCCCACGGGGTCACATCCCGACTCTTCGCACGGCAACGATATGCCGTGTGGCCCGGCTATGACTCCGGTGCCACCCACTGAGGATTGAGCTTTTGACGAATGTAATAATCCACAAATGGGCAAGAAAACATCCCTAGCATATCTCATACTCTACTTGATTGTGTTTATTCTGTCGAAATCTTTCTATCAAAGACGAAAAGCTGTTGTACCTACACCATCATGTCTCCTTCTGCTCTGCAAAGTGCACCCACTGGCTTGAATAGCGTCAAGATCTCAATTCCAGAGCCGGGTATCCTTTTGGTACTGATCAATAGGCCCCGGCAGCTGAATAGCCTAAGTGTTGAAGCCGGGTATGAGCTTGACTCTGCCTTCAAGTGGTTCGATAAAGAGGCTAGCCTGAGAGTCGCAATCTTGTCTGGAGTGGGCAAAGCATTTTGTGTCGGCGCTGATCTGAAAGGTAAGGCCATTATCTTGCTTGCAGGGGCGTCAATTCCACGGTAGCTGACAACAGTTCAAGAATGGATGGAAAACAACAAGAAAGGGGTGTCGATGAACCTGCCGGAGACTGGGTTTGGTGGTGTTTCCTTTCGCCATGGTAAAAAGCCAATCATTGCAGCAGTCAATGGCCCTGCACTTGGAGGTGGCTGTGAGATGGCTGTCAACTGCGACTTGGTGGTCGCATCAGCTCATGCCACCTTTGGCTTGCCCGAGGTCAAGCGCGGCGTCACACCGTTTGGGGGCGCGCTTCCACGAATCATGAGAACTGCTGGCCGCCAAAGAGCGACGGAACTGGCCTTGACGGGACGTGCTGTAACAGCGCAAGAGTTCAAGGAGTGGGGAGTGTGCAATCGAGTCTGCGAGAAGGGGGCTGATGTAATAGCAGAGGCTCTTGAACTGGCCAAGATGATTGTCAAGAATAGTCCGGATGCTGTTATTGTCACAAGAGAAGGGCTTAAGATGGGATGGGAGTCACTTGGTGTCGCTGACGCGAGTAGATTATTCCTTGATGGGTGGTCTAGAAAGATCTATGATACTGAGAACATGCAAGAGGGATTGAATGCATTCACAGAAAAGCGAGCCCCGCGATGGAAGGACAGTAAGTTGTAAGAAAGCTAATACAGAGTATGGTAGCTGGATAGAACAACCAATTGCAACGATAGCACATTAGAGAAGGCGGCCTGGTGAACCTTGACCATTTCTCATGTTTTAAGATTATACTGTGTGAAAACAAGGATATCTTTATGTCTGTCATCTCAGGTATCCCTTTGTTTCGTAGAATGAGTACATAATTCTATTCATCGTGTCGGGTCTGGCATCTTCCCTTGCTGTTTTATAACTTCATACACGAACTCTCATCCGAGTACATAATTCAACGAGAGCAATGTGAGAATCAAACAGGTGCTGAGCTCAGTCTAGTGGACATGAGCAGTTTCTAGCCACAGCAGTATCGGCCTCTCGGGCTCGGTACACAGGTAGGTCAGTGGGCACGGTAGTATATAGCCGGCCATCAATCTGCATGGTCCAGGAATTGATTAGCCCCAAAAGGCCATTTGAGCAACATATTCAATTAGAGGTTGCATAGTAAGGAGAATGACAGAATAATCCCTAATTACATCTTAGCCAATATGAGCGAGCCGTGGAAAGATTTCGAGTTTCCCGCGAGAAAAGTGGCGTGGCTACAACGAGACACACTGTTGTTCAATTTCAGTATCGGATGCCGAGCTGATGAACCGCAGTTTGTTTATGTAAGCTTCCAACGCCAAAGCCACGTACTCAAGATGATGTGAGCACTAATTCTTTTACAGGAGGGTGACCCGAGGTTTTCAACCTTTCCGACATACCCGTTAGGCTTAGGTGCTGTTACTCTCGCTGGTGTAGTCTAGAGCGATGCGTTAACCAACTGAACAGTTTTCAAATTAGATCACAGCGAAGTGATTGACTTCTATGGAACCTTGGGATCAACAGAGATTCCGGGAGTACCCAAGCTTGACCCTAGACGATTGGTGGATGGGGATAGAGCGGTCGAGATCTACAAGCCCTTACCAACAACATCACTTGGCCATGAGTTTGAGTTCCGCTCCAAGGTGATTGGGGTGTATGACAAAGGAAACTCAGGAACTGTAGTCCGGTCCGAAGACTGCTTGATAGATGCTAAATCTGGGGAGCAGTATGCAAAGATTATCGGCAGTTTGTTTTACGTTGGACAAGGAAACTGGGGTGGACCAAGAGGGCCAAGGTCTAACAAAAAGGCTGTGCCTGATCGACATGCCGATCTGACTTTTGAGGTGGAAATTGGACAAGAAAGCTCCCACTTGTATAGGTAAGGGAAGAAACACGGCCAATTAATATCGCCTGTCGTCGGTGCTGACTTGAGTAGACTGAATGGGGACTACAACCCACTCCATGCAGCCCCTGATGTGGGAAAGGAGCTTGGCTACGGTGGCATCATAAACCACGGAGTATTCGCGTTTAATAAGATTGCGCATGCAATGGTTCGGCGGCTAGGGAATGGCGATTCTTCTAGCATGCTCAGAATCTCGGCTAGATTTGCTGGCCCTGTGCGGCCTGGAGACACACTGGTCGTTTACTTATGGAAGAAGGGTTTACGAGCGGATGGATTGGAAGAAGTCCAATGGTATGCGCAGGTCGCGGGAACTGGAAAAGAATGTCTATGCGACGGTACAGCTGTGATAAAACCCACACAGGGATTGAGCAAGATTTGAAAGTCGCATTAGTAGTTTCGTCTGAGCATGCCTACATTGAATTCTAACCCCGATATCCTAAACAAAGCTCATCACTGGAATAGAGTAGAAGAGGTAAACCGTATGTAGGTTGTTTATCGTTGATAGTACCTAAGATAGCAACATTCTTTGCCACCATTTCATGAAATCCCAGAGACTGAGAGACCCCTTTGGTGCTCCCCAGCCCAATATTTCTTATCGCTAGGCCACTTCACCGTCCGCGCGGGTATGGAATAGCCGTGCTAGGGTCCCAGTAGTGTGGTTCAGGTTGTGGCTTGGCGCGGGGAAACAGTGTTCGCGGGGCCCCAGACTGGGAAACCGGGCTCTTGCCAGGCACTGGTTCCTCAGATCGAAATTTGCTCTGTCGTTGTTCAGTAGATTGCATGGGCATTCGGACGGGGTATATAAGGTGAATGAAACTCAGCCCTGCTGCACATGTTTTGGCCCTCCACAAACACTCACACATTGCAAGATCAGCACTCAAGTCATCATACGAAAACCGATCAATCCTTCACAATGGCAGAGAAACCCGGTGCTGCTGATCACGCAGCTTCAGATCATGTAGAGAAAATGTCTGGCGATGTTGAAATCACACAGAGAGAGACCCTTCAAGTCGATTCCGTGGAAATCAAAAGGCTGCTTCGAAAGATCGACCTCCGGCTGCTGCCACTCTTGACTGTTCTTTATGTTCTCTCATTTATGGGTACTTTGTTCACACCCGCAGTCATTCTCACTCTCTAAGACTTTGGGACTAATTCGAGTAGATCGCTCTAATATTGGGAATGCCCGGGTGGCAGGTATGAACGCAGACCTCGCTCTCACCGGGCCTCAGTACAACATGGCCCTCACAGTTTTCTTCTTTCCCTACGCCCTTTTTGAAGTACCGAGCAATGTGGTCCTCAAGATAATGAGGCCTTCACGATGGATGTGTATTCTCGTCATTACCTGGGGCACTGTAAGCCATCGAGCAACTCAATAGATAGGACGGTATGAGCTGACTGATGACTATCACAGGTCCTCACTCTCCAAGGGATCGTCAAGACCTATGAACAGTTATTAGTTACTAGAATCTTCCTTGGGGTTTCTGAAGCTGGCTTTTTCCCAGCTGCCACATACTTACTGACGACTTGGTACTGCCGCTGGGAATACCAGACCCGGGTTGCTATCTTTTTCTCAGCGGCTTCCCTTGCTGGAAGCTTCTCGGGCCTTCTTGCTTTTGGAATCCAACATATGGAAGGTGTTGCTGGCCTTGGAGGATGGCGTTGGATCTTTATTCTGGAGGGCATCTTGACAGTGCTTATTGGTGTCATGATTCCCTGGGTGCTACCGGATTCTCCCGAGACAGCTTCGTTCCTTACACAAGAGGAGAAAACTATAATCATCCATCGGCTGCGGCAAGACGCCGGGACCATGACAGGGGAAGACTCATCGGAAAAATTCCAATGGAAGCACTTTCGTGCTGCTTTCACGGATTATCGAATCTATCTTGGTGTTATCATGTATTGGGGCAACAGGTGAGCGCATACACGCCGAAGCATAAGAGAATTGCTGAGACTGACGATTAAACTAGTATCTGTATCTATGCATTCAGTTTCGCGGCCCCGACCATCATTCGTCAGCTGGGATACTCTGCGGCCAATGCTCAACTTCTCACGATTCCTATCTATCTGGTGGGAGCCATCGCAACTTATGGCCTTGCCAAGTTCTCAGACCGACGGAAGGCTCGCTGGCCGTTCGTTATCATACCATTCTGCATCTCTAGTGTAGGGTTTATCGCCTTGTTGTCTATTCCACACCCTCGCTTGCCAGGTTTGACCTATGCCTTCTTATTTTGTATTCCCGCTGGTCTCTATCCGGCTGTTATTGGTTGCATTTCGTGGGTTAGCAACAACCTTGCGCCTTCCTGGAAGCGAGCCATTGGAATGGCCTTTTTGATGACGTTGGGCAATCTGGGTGGAGCGGTTGGAGCAAACATATTCTTGGACGAGCAGGCACCCCGCTACCCGCTTGGCTACGGCCTCTCTTTTGGCGTTGTAGTTGCTGGCATGTGTGCAGCCATGGTCTTACGCTTCGCTGTCGACCGGACCAATGCGAAGAGAGATGCGATTCCCGAGTCTGAAATCAGGGCCAAGTACACAGAGGGTAAGTTGTTGACTTCACCACATGCCCGTCATTTTTTGACTTGCTAACAGCTCTCAACAGAGGAACTACATGAAATGGGAGACAGCTCCCCATTATTCAGATATGTTAAGTAATCAGGTGTTAGGAGTTTCAATGTGACCTTGAGGTTTGTGAATGACTCACCTACCATAAATTACCCGAACTCCGTGTATACCCTACTCTCGTATATTATAAATATTATCACTTTTAACTCTTTATATTTAACCTGATGATAAATTATTATTAAATATTATCACTTTTAACTCTTACATTTAACCTGATGATAAATTAATAAATAAAGAAAATATATTTTTTGTTCGAGCCTTCTTCTCCATGACTACAGACCAGGCGGTCCAGTCGCTCAGTCCGTTGGACTTGATGCTTTCGGAAGTCATCGCGGTCACTTTGTCGCGTGCAAATGTTTCGCGTTTCGCGTTTCGCGTTTCGCGTCAGGCGTCAGGATCGTTTTTACGTTTGGTTTCGATGCTGAAGCAGCTGTGTGGGCCAACTGTACAGTATAATGCATTAATGCCGTCTATGTACTAGCTACAATGATAGAGTGAGACCCCGAATTGTCAAACGTCGCAGGCTGCAGATGGATGGTTCAATGTGTTTGATTGCATGATGTCTGTTCTTCGCTGCCTGCCTCCACTCAAGTTAAGATTATACCTACAGGGGTAGAGGTCATCTGACTGAGTATGCAAGATCTGACGCTGCCTAACGTTAGTCCCCGGTGCCCTGACCACTGCCTTCCTTCCCCTTCTTCTTGTTTTTCCATCCCAGCCAGTCAATACTTTCTGACGAGATCCGGGTTCACAACTACATTGCAGCTGAGGGTGACCTCTAGGGCGCAAATATCATATTTACATTCCTTGCCCGGACACTAACTCTAGCTTTGGCATTTGGGGATTATCCTGGCCGTGGATTTTGGGAAAGGCGGTGGAGCAGTTTTGGAAGCTCGACTATACCCGGCGAACAAGACAGCTTCTGGAGCATCCCGATATCAATCTGAAGACGCTACTTTTGTGGTACAGAGATAGCAGAGAGAATCGCTTATTTCAGCTTCGCCTAGTATGTCGGACAGCGAAGACTACAGCGAGCCTGATGCCATGATCATCGATGGCGACGACGTGAGCAACTACAACCCTGACAACATCCTGCCAAAGTCGGCCGAGGAGATTAGAAGTATCCGAAAATGGCTTGAGCCGACATCGTACACCATCTCTGGCGGTGAATTCCGCAAACACCTTGCTTCCCACGCGCAGGGGACCGGGCAATGGCTAACCTCCACGGAGGAATACGAGCAGTGGCTTCGGGGGGATGAATGTGGCCTGCTCTGGATCAAAGGCATCCCAGGATCTGGAAAGTCCGTCCACGTTGCCAAGTTGATAGACGACTTGGGAAAGACAAATCCTAGTTGCCCGGTGCTGTTCTTCTTTTTCCGACAGATTATTGCTGCCAACCACAGCCCGCAGGCTCTCGTTCGGGACTGGATGGATCAGATCTTGAAGTACAGTCCGCCGCTACAGCATCAGCTCTTGACGTACGTGAACAATGAAGTGCCGCTGAGTTCTTTGTCGACCAGCGATCTGCTGAAGGATCTGCAGATGGCTTTCCGAGCTCTGCCTGACAAGGTCTTCTGCATTGCCGACGCGCTCGATGAGATGGATACGGGGAATGATGCCTTCATTCAGGCCATCGGGTCACTTGGCCAGTGGCGACCTGCCAAGGTCAAGGTCCTAATCACGAGCAGGCCTGTTCCGCGAGTCGAGGCGCCCCTCCACCATACACCGGCCCTCCATATCCGGCTCGAGGAGCGACTTGTTGATGTTGACATATCGACCTACGTGCATTCCGTTCTGTCAGAATCACATATTCCTCGGAGTGAATGGGGTGTCATTATAAATGCTGTACCCGGCCGAGCGAACGGTCTCTTTCTGTACGCAAAGCTGGCGATGGAGGCTTTTCTTGAGTCAGGCGGCGATGTTGAGACCGTGCTGGCACGCCTCCCTGCAGATCTCAATACGCTCTACACCGACCTGCTGCAGGAACATGCCAGGCGATCTGGTATAACGCCGAGCGTCCAGAACCTCATTCTCCAGTCCGTCACGCATGCAACGAAGCCGCTCCGACTGCTCGAGCTCGCCGAGATGTGCCGGGTTATCGACCCCGCCGGTTCGGGCAAGGACTTGAGGGTTATGAAGAACCTTGTTAGGGCGGCCTGTGGACCGCTGCTGGAGATCCTGCCGGACGAGACTGTATCTGTTGTTCACCACTCCTTCACCGAGTATCTCAAAGGCGCGACGCGATATGAAGATGAGGGCGGCTACCCGGTGCTGCGGCCGGGTCCGTCCCACGCCCAGCTTGCTCTATCGTGCCTGCAGTATTTACTCTCGACTCGCTGCCTTGATGAAGTTGAGATCAGCATTGATGAAAATGACGAAACGGAAGGCATTGGTGACGAGCCCACCAGTAAGCTGTCTAGGATCCCGGAGGATATACTCCAGCTCCGTATGAAATACCCATTCTTTGCGTATGCCACTCGCAACTGGTACGTTCATATCCAAAACTCCGAGGCAGCTTCCCACGCGCAAAACGAGATCAACGAGGTTCTCGACCAGTTCTTCAGCGTCGATAAGACGGTCAAGGCGTGGCTCGAGGTGATCTGGCCAGGATACACATCAGACGCACGCAGGTTCTCGGGCCTGCACGTCGCGGGAAGATATGGGCTTGTGGCATACACGAAGAGGCTCGCGGCGGAAAGGACTGGCGGCGTGGACGCATGTGATATTTGCGGAAAGACACCACTGTGAGTTTTGCGAATGCGAATTGAGGTCTCGAGGCTGAGACTGAGCTGAAAAGCGCATGCTAACCCATGGACCTGCACAGATGGTGGGCTGCTTCGGAAGGGCATGCTGCCACGGTTAGCGAGCTGATCGCGGCAGGGGCTGACCCGGGCCATGAGCGAAAGTATAACGGACGGCAGCCAGTGCACGAAGCTGCTAGTAAGAATCATCACGCGGTTGTCAAGGTCCTGCTGGAGGCTGGCGTCGACCCCCTGACACGCATTGGTCTTACCGAACATGAGAAGGCCATGGATTATACCCCCGGCAGCCAGAGACCAGCTCTCACACTTGCATGCGAGCACGGACATATGGAGGCCGTGGATGCGTTCCTGCCGTTTCTCGATCTCGACGCGATGCACCGTGGCCTGTCTTGGGCTGCACAGAATGGACAGGCAGCAGTGGTCAGGCTCATGTTGTCGCAGCCTGGCGTGGAGGTCGACACTGTGGTCCGAGGCAGCACGGCCCTGTTCAAGGCTTGCTCGAAGAGAGATTTGACTACCGTGAAGGCATTGCTCGAAGCTGGAGCCGACCCAACATTGTTGAATGAGGTTTGGCAAGGTGAGTTCGGGTCGCTCAGGAGAAAAGACATATTGAAGTCGGACGGCTCCCACGCCCTATTTACTTGTCTCCATGCGCTTTGCGGCGGCGTGCCGGATCAGCCCATCTCCAGCTATGACTGGGATGACGAAGATTGCTGCGAGATGACCACGCTTCTCATCGAGGCTGGCGCTGACATTCACCGCCAGACGGAGAATGGAAAGACTGTGCTGCATTCTATCGTCGAGGGATCCTATTACGTAGCGCGGGTGCTTATCGATGCCGGAGCGTCGACTAATGCTGTGGACGCAAAGCTTCAGACACCGCTCTACTACTCTCGAGTCCCGGCTTGCATCCCTTTGCTAGTGGAAGAAGGCGGCGCCGACATCGATGCGCGGGACTTGTATGGAAACACACCCCTTCTCGCGGCTCTCGTTGAGCACAGCACTGAGGACAAGATCCTGCTACTCTTGCAGTGCGGCGCGAATGCCCAGGCTCTCAATCGAGCCGGCGACAGTGCCCTCCACGTAGCGCTCAAGTCCTACTACGCGACACCGGTAAGGCTATATGTATACTCATTTGGGTATATCAAAGTATTTTGACCCCTGCTCCAACCGCTGACCGAAAAAAAACCAATAGAGAGTTATCCAAGCGCTGCTTGAAAGTGGTGTTGAGCCAGACGCACGGAATTCCCAGGACGAGACAGCCCTGATGTGTTCGTTCAGATCCCAAGATGCTGAGAAGATTTGGGGCCTGTTGTTAGTGGCAGGCGCAGACATCAACGCGCGAGATCGGACCGGTCACACCATCTTCTGGCATCAGATCGCACAGACACCGCGGTCGAATGACGGCCAAGGTGGCAGCCCGCGCGACGATGTTCAGTTCCTTCTTGATCACGGAGCCTCCCCTCACATGCGGGACCTGAGAGGGAGGACGTGTCTGCATGAGGCTATCAAGAAGCAGCCAATGACTTTATCGGATGGCAAGGATACTCCGCGTCTTAACTTCCTGCTAGAAATCGGCCTCGACTGTACTCTCTCCGATCACGACGGGAACTCGTTACTCCACGAGCTCGCTGCCAGAGAGAGAGAAAGGGTTAGACATGGAGGCAAATGGGTGCTGCCCCTTTGGGAGCGTCTTGTCTGCACTCTTGGGCTGGATGTTGACCAGCAGAATGTAAGTTCCATCCATTGCGCGGGTTTGACTGTTTTCCCTGTAAACGAGGGCGTAGTGGGAGCATTGCTGATGCAGAGACAAATACCCTACTTCTATAGCATATGGGCCGCACACCGCTTCACATCATCTGTGATGTGTTCCCTGAAGACGCTGAACGATGGAATGACGACCCTGGGCCTATTGACTTCCTCCTCACACGGATGAAGAACATCCATGTCCCAGACCACGCTGGTCTAACGGCCCTGCACATTGCCTCGACCCGGACAGAATATTGCACATGGAAACTCCTGGGAGCCGGCCTCAATCCTCGCGCCATCACCCACGAAGGCCTGGCCCCGCTGCATCTTGCCGCTCGCGCAGAAAAGAGCAATATTGTCGGTATGCTCGCGCGTTCTCTGCGCAAGTCACCAAAATGCCGAGGCTTAACCCCCACCACGAGGACCAACACCTTCAACGACAAACACCAGAGCCAAGGTATCAATGCAGTTGATGCAGACGGACTCACACCGCTCTATTACGCTGTCAGAAGCGGTAGACCTGAGACTGTGATGATTCTCCTCAGAGCAGGCGCGGAGTCTAACGCAGGCTGCGATCTGTTCGAAGCCTGCGGTGAATTCGAGCAAGAGAATGCCCTCCTTGATGCGAAGAGCCATGTCTACTACGACCCGCTGACTCTGCGGGAAGCCAAGAGAGAACCCTTAGAAGAACGAGTGGTGTTGTCTCCCGCTAAACCCTCCAATAACGCGCTGTCTACTCAAGACGTCAGGAGGTTGGAGGAGATTGTGCAGTTGCTGGTGAGCTTTGGGGCTGATCCGTCCAGGCTCGGACCGACGCGCCAGCCCTCCCCTAGTGCTGGGATCGTAGGTGACTGCGTATGGCAAGGCAAGGCGTATACAGCCAGCTGCCTCATCGACAATGTTCCCAAATCTCTCTGGGTCAAGCCAGGCGAAGTGACCCCTTACTCGGGCTTCCTTTCCATCAGCGCTGCTTCGTACGACCCTTCACTCGCCTCGTCGAAGAGCTTTCCTCAAGTTATGGCCGGAAGCCAGAGCCCCTGTAACTTTCAACTATTCATGAAGCAAGTGAAACATCAAAATTTTCCTCTTTCCCCCTTCTTCTTTTTTAATCGTTGAAAGGATATAGCTAACATTTGGCAGACAAAGACAGTATACACTCGTCAAGGAGCTTGCCAAGCGTGGGGCGAGATTTCTCCCCAATCCCCGGGATGAGTTCCATTTTAGCCATTTTGCGCTCTTAATCCAACACGGTTTTTTCCATCTAGTCAAGAGGATTGGTAAGATCGAGGCGGAGCGCGCACTTGGCCAGGGTGACTGGCACGCCTTTGGCGATAGCTCCAAAGCAGGGTTGTGGTGCGCCCACCGGCCGGCGGACGAAGCGCAATCGGAGGGAAAGGCCATGCGTGGATACAAGTCAGGCTTTGAGAGCATGCCGAAGCCTTTCCTCCTAGAGGCGGTTCAGCGTGAGCTTCCCAACATAGCAATCGTCCGGCTGTTGGTGGAAGATTTCCGCGTCGACGTGAACGAGAGGACCTGGGGCCATGATTACACCGAGCACGAAACGCATCTCGCATATGATCAATCGGCGCTTCATTACGTCGCGGAAGGCTTCCATTGGTGGCATGTTCACCTTGCTATGAAGTATCTTCTGAAGGTGCCGGAAATCGACATCAACTTTCGTGTCAAGGGCGGCCTTACACCTCTCCACGTGGCGGTTGGGGGTATGACGGTCTTTGGCAAGCTTCGACCCCATGCTTGCGACGCGGCGAAGCGCCTGCTCAAGGCTGGGGCAGATATTCAAGCTGTGACTAGGATTGGGAGAGGCTGTCTCAGCTTGGCTATACACGACGTTCAGATGGTTCGATTGCTGATCAAGCATGGGGCCATCATCTCGCCTGACGATGTTGTCTCGGCCATCGAAGCTGGTCAAGTCGATGCTCTCAACGAGCTGTTGAACGCAAGATATGCCAACGATGGAGAGGGTTTGGACTTGGACCTCGACCCAGCGCTGCGCACAGCGGGCATGCTATTTATGAAGCCGAATCCAGACGACCAGGATGATATCTGGAGACCGACGGTTGACAATGAGATTGCCATTGAGATGATCAAGATCCTCATCGAACATGGCGCAAACCCCCTCTCTAACTACATGTACTGTTCAGGAGAAGGGTTCGACATCCCAAGACCAAGATGGCGCCCGCACCTCCACTTCAAGAGGGGCGCGCCGCACACCTGCGCGAATCCTAGCCATCGCGAGGTGACCTTACTGCACGAGCTGATCCGAGTAGTCAGAGATTTTCAGATCCAACCGTTCCTCATTCCCGGGCTTGATGTCAACTACAGAGATCCACAAGGACGCACGATTCTGCATGTTGCCTGCGGAAGTGTTGACTTGATTGAGAAACCCCTCGACCTCCCCACGGACTCTGCTACTGCTGGTGACGAGGGAGGGCGAGAAGGACAAACTCTCTTTCAACATCTAGTAGGCCTTGGAGCTGATGTTAATGTACGCGATCAGCTTGGTCAAAACATACTCGTCTCTATGATCAAATCTACTAGTTGGTCCAAGCCCTCGCCAAGGTGGAGAGACACGTTGGAGGCCATTCTCTGCCTGGCTCCTGAGCTGGTACATGACGCCGACGCACAAGGGGATACCCCGTTGATTCATGCCGTGCGTATGGCTATTGGTCCGGCGGCCGACACGGAGACGGCCCGGTGCCTTCTATCGGCGGGTGCATCCCCTCTCGTGACAGATAGCCGCGGCGAGGGTGTGTTGCATATCCTGGCAGAGGATCTTGGCACGGCAGGGCTCCGTGACCTCTTCCGCGACCTCGTCAGCCGCGGAGCCGACATCAACGGACGCAACACGATAGGCGAGACGCCGCTCTTCAAATTCGCCCGCCGAAGCCCGCAGGACTCCGACTATGCTTTAGACCCGGATTATGGCAAGCGAAAAGTCAGGGGCGACGAGTACGAGGACCCGCGGGAGCAGGGGGCCGTAGCGCTACTGCAGGAGCTGGGGGCCGACTTCTTCGCCAGGGACAACGAGGGAAGGGGGCTGCTACACATCGCAGCGGCGAAGGGCGGTGACGTGGTTCGGTTCCAGGAGCTGATGGCCGTAGGGCTGGATCCGATGATGGAGAACGATGTGCAGCAGACGGCGATTGATGCGGCGGCGGCTTTCTCGAACAATGCTGTCCTAGAGATATTTAAAAAGAAGGCAAGGAGGTAGAGCCGCACGAATCAAGAGAGTGAGAAGCATTGATGCAGACATAGCGGATGTAAAGGATGGGTCACGTTTCCGTAGGTCTCGATGCGAGCTCAGCGAGAGAAGCAGTTTATACACCTAGTAGGCGCTGACCCCTAGAAGCTTTGGCTCTCGTTTCAGTGGACGCTTAGGCATGTGCAGGCATGCAAAATAATATAAGCAGTGCTGAACTTCTAATGTCGCCAACTCACTCACATACGTATAGACTAAAGTGCAGTCACGGACTGTTGCAGGCAACGCGCGGCCTAAGCTAGCGTCAAATGGGAGGAATGAGTCAAGGCGCTTTGTGACGAACGGGGACCCGACTAAGGTTGAGGGTAGGCGGATCGGGTTCGAACAGATTTAAGTGCTCAGGACACTGGGATGTCTTGACGAAGCGTTGTTGGAGTCATAGCTGTGAGCAGCGAACATCAGTAAGGCTAAGAGGAACTGGTGTCCGCAAAGGATGCTCCGGCTCGGTATGCTTATTAGCTGATAGTGTTTCTAAACAAGGTGCTTTATTAATAGCTGGTGAACTATCAAATCTAGGTAATGACTGTGATACATATATCCGCGAGAGTGAATGATGTTCAGTGACTGTTCGGAGCGTGTTCATGACTGCGACCTGAACACCCCTAGGGTAGTTGGTCCTTCGTGACCGTATTATTAACAAACTTTAAGTTATCAAATTTAGGGTATTATATGTTTGGTTTTTCAATCAACGTTTTTCAATCGAATTCTTTTACAATGAGGATCAAATAAGTGTTATTTTTAGGAGGTCAAACTATTAAAAAAATTTAGACAGAAAGTATAGAACACATGGGACCTTATAGAATTTCAATGGTTTTAAACAGAGTAAGTAAAACTATTTCTAGTTTAAATAAAGGAGTTGTAATATAATAGGCTCTTTATATTTTAATAGGTGTATGTTTTTATTTATCTATATTTCTGAGGAATGGATTTGCGATATCCTCTGTGCACTTCTACACGGGGAGACCAGATAGGCACGGGTATTAAGGGTTGCCATGATCCGTCCCCACACCGCAGGCGTGACAGAAAAGCCGAGGTATTGACCCCTAGATTCCGTATATAATTGTATATTGCAAGCCTTTTCCCCCTACTCTAGCTTGTGTGTCAAATATCAAGACTCTCATCGATAGCTCCCATCATTTGTGTCGTCAGCAAAGATTCTCAAGATGGGTGTCCCGTACGCTGATCCTCTCTGGGTATCAAGGGGCCAGAGTCCATACTACCAAGACAAGCATGTTGCTTTGAGGAAAAAAATCAGGTCTTTTGTTGATGAGAATATACTCCCGTGCTGTGAGGAATGGGAGGCGAGTGGTTCAATTCCTCAAGAGGTAGGTGTCCGAACTACGTCTCGACCCCTTAAGATGGACTGATTTTTACCTGGCTAGGTCATCGCGAAATTTGCAGAAAACGGGCTCATGGCCGCCTCAATATTCCCTCTGCCATCTGAGTATATGGATGGTATCCAGCTCCCTGGGGGAATTAGCCCCTCAGAATGGGATGAATTTTGCGATCTAATTGTGATGGATGAGATTGCACGGTGCGGCTATCTTGGAGTTATATTCGGGCTCGCGTGTGGAAACATCATCGGCCTGCCTCCTGTGATTCGATTCGGAACGCCCGAACAGAAGCGAAAGTTTATTCCTGATGTCTTGAAAGGAAAGACCAGGTTCTGTCTCGGGGTGACTGAGCCGGACGCTGGTTCCGATGTCGCCGGCATCACCACTACAGCTACTCGGCGAGGAAACAAATACGTGATCAACGGTGCGAAGAAATGGATTACAAATGCCATATGGGCGGACTACTGCACCGCGGCTGTGAGGACCGGAGGTCCAGGACAAAAGGGAATCTCTGCAATCGTCATTCCGCTGGCCTCCCCCGGGATAACTCGCAAGAAGCTGTTCAACTCGGGAGTCTCTTCTAGTGGTAAGCGGATACGCGTGACTTTCTGGAGTCGGCATAGAGGATACTAAAGCTATGACAGGGTCGACTTACATTGAATTTGACAATGTTGAAGTCCCAATCGAGAATCTGATTGGAGAAGAGAACCAAGGTTTCCGAATCATCATGTCAAGTATAACTTCTCACACTATTATCCTGCATGGGCGTGAGCTAATACTTGAATTCTCTAGATTTCAACCACGAACGAATCTGGCTATCTTGCATGGCTTTGCGTCTCGCAAGAGTATGCGTTGAGGACTCCTTCATTTACGCGTCAAGGCGCGAGACGTTTGGCAAGAAGCTTCTTTCGAACCAAATTATCAGGGCCAAAGTGGCAACTGTAGGGCGTGAGCTGGAGGCGGGCCAGGCGTATCTTGAGCAATTGGTCTATATGCTGGCCCAGTCTCTGAGAACAACCGGAGTAGAACCTACGGGCATTGGCGGCCTCCTGGCAAGCTCAAAAGTGCTTTCGTGCAGAGTACTAGAGCACGCTGTTCGCGAAGCCCAGCAGATAATGGGAGGTGTCGGTTACTCTAGGGGCGGTAGGGGTGGACGGGTTGAGCAAATCAGCCGCGATGTTCGTGTCATGGTAGTTGGCGGTGGGAGCGAAGAGATTTTGACGGAGCTTTCTCTAAACCAGGAAATGAAAGCTTTGGGTAGTAAGCTGTAATTGATAGATTGGTGGATGCTAGTATTACCTACCTTGATAATGAACGATCGTCTAGCAGTGAGGTAACATACCACACTGCTAAAGCCTGGAATCATATAAAAGAATAAACATTGAGAAATGTTTGAGAGCATTCTTCAACGAGTGTGGAATTGATGTTGGTTCAATATCCTAACCTAGCTCCTTTCCAAAGCTGTCAGCATGCATAGAAGCATCGATTCTGTGAACAGTGTCGAGCGTCTAACATATGATTTCTATACATATTGGGATTGAAATGAATTGGAGATGAAATCAAAGTTTCTTAATGCATATAAGAGTACTTCTCTAAACAAAGTGAACATGGTTTCTGATTTACAGCCTGGCCAGGCCCTTCTGTGTCTGAGCCCCTTCAATAGGATCCAAATGAACAACGTTCAGGCAGATACCCAACACCTCTCTTGTGTCTCTTGGATCAATTATCCCATCATCCAGAAGGTTAGCACTGGTGTAGTATGCCTGGCTCTCCTTCTCCACCTTTTGCCTAAACTTTCCAATGCCAGCCTTGTATGATGAAGAAGGGACCTTGGCCGCCTTCCCTCGGTTCTTCTTTGCTGCGCTTCCGGACTGCACAATATCCATAACCCCTGCGAGCTGGTCCGGTCCCATCACACTGCACCTTCCAGATGGCCAGGTAAACATGAACCGAGGCTGATAGGCTCTGCCACACATGGCGTAGTTTCCGGCACCATACGAAGATCCCAGAATGACGGAAATCTGAGGTACTTGGGAGCAACTCACAGCCGCCACGAACTGGGCGCCTTTCTTGATGATAGCTTCTCTTTCTGCTTTGGACCCCACCATAAATCCGGTCACGTTGTGTAGATAGATGATTGGGATATTTCTGGATTAGAAATCAGTTGGAGGGAACTCATTCATACGAGAATATCGTTAGGTCCGCATACCCTTGATTACATAGCCGGATGAACTGAGCGCCCTTTGAAGCTTCATCTGGGTGGATCACAGGGGTTTGATTCCCAATTATACCCACTCGAAAGCCTATTTTCAATCAATAATTACTCGCTCAGATATTCGAGGCGTTCTGGGATTCATGGGAAAGTGCACTCACCATGGATTTCGGCCCAGCAAGTGAGAAGGTTTCTCCCGTATGATGGTTTGAATACTGACACGCGTGAATCGTCAACTATGCGAAGGACAACCTCTGCCATGTCAAATGGCTTGCGGATGTCGGTGTTGACAAGAGAAAGAAGGTCTTCGGCTGGATACCTCGGCTCGAGAGGCTGCGCATACAAAGAAGAATACAAATTCTGTGGCTTCAAAGACTGAACCCATAGTCGAGCCTTACGGATAGCGTCAAACCTAGCAAGTTCGTCAATGGATGGTATTCAATCTCAAGAAGTATTTTCTCCCCACGACTTCCTGGAATGGACTTACTCGTCAAAGGCTATCTGATCTGCAAGACCGGTGACAGTGGCATGCATATCGGCTCCGCCAAGTGTCTCCGCATCGATAACCTCTCCAGTAGCCATCTTGACTAATGGTGGCCCACCAAGAAATACTTGAGCCTGATTTTTGACAAATATTGTGTAGTCGGAGAGACCAGGAAGGTAAGCACCGCCAGCCGTAGAGGAACCAAAGACAACGCTGCAAGACGGAATGCCCCTCTGGCTTCTCCTCGAGAGATCTCGGAACATCTCTCCTGCTCTATGGAAAACACGGAACTGCTGAGGGAGATATGCACCAGCCTATGGTTTTAGTGTAAGAAGGTGATGTCCCGAAGCACTCAGAACATTTTTGCAATGCTACTCACTGCTTGGGCCAGCCCGATAATTGGTAACTTGTTCTCCGTTGCAATTTGTGTAACTCGGTTATGCTTGAGAACTGAATTTTGGTCAGTATTGTAAATTGTGTCTCATACACCACCCTGTGCGCGTGTGTCCGTAGAGTGAACTTACTGGTGAACTCGTTCCAGGATCCTCCCTTGATTGATGGGATATGAGACAGGATCATGCACACTTGCCCACTGATTTGAAAATTAACAATAAATCTTTTGAAACGAGAAGAAAAACAAGACTAGATTACCTGACCTTTCCTATCCCAGCTATCAGACTGGCACAGGGTGTGGAATCAAGTTCAAAGCCTGCGAACGAGGCTAGCTCCAGGAATGGGGAGTCATGATCCAGGAGCAGGGAAATCCGATCACGAGCTGAAAGAGATTGTTTAGCAATTGGAATTCGTCTTGTATCATTGTTCCACTGCAAGGTTGGATGGCAATTTACTGACCAAGAAGCTGTCCGCGCTCATGGTGGATCCGCTGCGACCGTTCATCACCCTCTGAGGTAACATCTTGTAGAGCTTTCTCGAACCTCTCAAGCACAGGCTCCCAGGATCTCCCGTTTTCGTTGAACAGAGGCTGCTTCAGGTCAAGCTTGGCCATAACAACCGGTAGGGGGGTTGTAGATGCCATTGTGGGGAGGAAAAGTGATATTTGGATCTGACACACTCCTCTTGGCTGTTCAGTCGTGGGAGACAAGTGGTTAACTCAACAAAATAAATGCGAGAGGAGGATCACCTATTCCAAACCATGTCACGGTCTATCGGATGCCTTCTTGGGTAATATCCAATGGGCTTTATTTGAGACCGAGGTATAAAGGCTACAGGATGGTGTGTTATGACTAGCTTCTTTGCATGGTTGTTTGTAACCCGGCTAATGAAACCGGGTTTGCCGTGCTGTCTCCATGGTCCCCAGAGCACTCGCATACCCGGCTCTACCTTGTTGGTGGTCGATGGCATGACTAAACCCTTCTACAGCTTGGATTCTATTGCCCGATGATTGAAACTGTCCCAATCTGTGGACCGCTTCCCCGACTGAAAGTTGCGGAGCCCGACGGCAGACTCCGAATCTGGGCCCATCATATTGTTGAACACCTTGTAGATTGCAGCATCCTGCTCAGCCGTGCCGCCTCGCAGCCAGGCTTCCTGGGCCAGCTCTTTGCACATCTTGGATGCACCGGGGGCGCAGTTGCTCAAGTTGACTAGATACTCGTCTAAGAGCACATTCAGTCCAACTTCATCGTCTGCAAGATCGTGCACGGCACCGATTTGCTTTAACTCGGCCATGGAAATCTTCCTGCCTGACAGCATGGCCTCTCGCGTGAATGCAAGACCCCATTCTCGCACCAGATACTTGGAGATAATTGCTGGGCACAGGCCAAGTCTGACCTCGCTCAGGGCCATGGTGGCATTGGCAGTGGCCAGGCGAATGTCGCTAGAAAATGCCAGCCCAATTCCTCCGGCGTAACACATCCCGTTTATGGCTGCAATTGTGACCTTGGGTGAATCTTGGATAGTCTGAAAAAGTGTAGTGAATTGTTCAAATGCTCCAGAGGCCGCACCTTCGCCCCTGCCAACTGCCGTAGTCGATTTTCCAAGATCCATTCCCGTACAGAAGAATTTCCCCTCGGCAGTCAGAACAATCCGAGAGATATTGTCATCGTTGGCCGCTTTTTGATAACACTCCTTGATTTGAGCGAGCATGGATGCGTTGAGAGCATTTCCGTTCTTGGGTCGCCTGAGGACAATCTTAAGATTTTTGCCCGACTTATAAATCGCGATGTCGCCTTCGCTTTGCACTGGCGCCCAGACGAGCTTAAGGGATGTTTGAGGCATGTTGTAGAACTTGATTGGATTCAGATTCCACTACAAGCTGTATATTTGGTTGGAACAATGCCGTAAAGGGAGACTTCAAATAACTCGTGAGTTTATCTGTGCTTCAGATGCTGGAATGAAATAAGAGGTACGTAGATTCATCCTAATTGCCATGGCTGTCCGCCGCTGGCAAGATGAGCGAGCTGAGACTCTGAGGTAGTACCCGGCAAAGGTCGGTTGTTGTGGGGACGGATGAGACGGTAATTGAGTAACTCGGCTGTTTCTAGCATGTGCTGTGACCTATTTGATTTAACAAGATTGGTCATATACAATCTTTCGGATTCCCTGGCAATAAGTCCGGGATCGCGTTGATTCTGGTTACTTTACTTTCAACCAGCGTTGTCAATTTGTTCTGTTCACCTCCTCAACCTCGCCCTTGGTTGTCACTGCGCGAAAAGCTGCGGAAACCAAGAATCGGACAATGGCGATGGATGGAAGCTCCCCTAGGCCGCCCCTTTGGACGGCGCAATTGCCAGTCTCAGATGAGGGCATCCATAAAATCACCCGAATTCTGATCGCTAATCGTGGAGAAATTGCTTGCCGCATCATCAAAACATGTCGTTTGATGGGGATCACCAGTATCGCCATCTACACAAAAGAGTAAGTACATGAACTCAAAGGGCTGCTGAGAGGGAAGGCACAATCATTGGCCTAGACTGACCATAATGATAGAGATGCGACATCCAGACATGTGTCCGATGCTGATGAAGCCATCAATCTTGGCTCTGTCGAACACTCTCAGGTCAATCCTTTTCTTGACATCCCCTACCTGATTCAAACCGCCAAGCAGGCTCGAGCGGACGCCATTCATCCAGGATATGGCTACCTCAGCGAGAACTCGCAATTCGCAGATGCTGTTCGTGAATCCGGAATGATCTTCATTGGCCCTAGCTCGACTGCAATGTCGACTCTTGGGGATAAGAGACAGGCCAAGGTATACCTGAGCAAGAATGAACCTAGGATCCCTCTTATCCCCGGCTGGAATGGTTCTGGTGAAGAGATGGACATTGAACAGCTGGAGAAGGAAGCGGAGGCTATTGGCTACCCGATTATGATTAAGGCATCAGCCGGAGGAGGCGGAAAGGGCATGCGGATCGTCCACAGCAGTTCTTTGCTGAAGAGCGAATTAGAACGCGCCCAGTCCGAGGCTAAGCGTTCCTTTGGATCTAGCGAGTGCATTTTGGAAAAGTATATCGAGGCCGGTAAACACGTTGAAGTACAGATAATGGGGGACAAGACAGGAAAGGTTCTCTCTCTCTGGGAACGCGACTGTTCTGTCCAACGTCGACATCAGAAAGTTATCGAAGAGAGCCCCTGTGCATGGCTGAATCCCGAACTTCGCAAGAAAATGTGCGACACAGCAGTAAGGATTGGCGAACTCATCAAGTATGAGGGCGCAGGAACAGTCGAATTCATCTTGGATATTGTCACAGGAAATTTCTACTTTCTTGAAGTCAATGCTCGACTTCAGGTCGAACACCCCATCACGGAGGAGTGCACCGGCCTTGATCTAGTATCCCTTCAGATCTACGTGGCATCGGGGGGTGAGTTGGGCAAGTTGCCACAGCTTAATGCCATTCCTCAGACTGGTCATGCCATCGAGTGTCGATTATGTGCGGAAGATCCTATCCGCGATTTCGCACCCCAACATGGCCTTGTACGATTCTGGGAACCTACTACTCAGGACACTCCAAGAGATGTTCGATTCGAGACTGCCATCGAAACTGGAACCAGGGTCTCGATATTCTTTGACTCTATGATTGCCAAAATTGTTGTCTGGGCTCCCACTAGGGACTTGGCGATCAAGAAGATGGTTCGAACGCTCTCAGAAACCGCTTGCATCGGGCCCTCTACAAACCAGTGCTTTTTGCAGGCTTGTCTCATGCATGAAAAATTCCACAGCGTCGACTACACAACGGCATTCATCCCCTCAAACCTTGACCGTCTTCTTGAGAACCCGCACTTGAAAAATTTCGGCCTCTCACTGCAGGAATTCTCTGCCATTACGAGCATGTTTATTCGTGAACTAAAATCTCAGAGCGAACTCAAACAAACCAGAAAGGTCTTTGGGAGTATCCGAAGGGGCTTTCGCAATCAGTCCTTGGACAGGGTTAATGTGCCATCGGACATCATCACACGCCATGACGCAAAGGCCGGATCTCCTGTTGACCCTACTGTATGCCGTTGGCCTCAAGAGTCGCGAATTCCTCCTTCTGATGGATTGCGCGTTCAAGTGGCCCCCGTACCGCCCACAAAGTCTAGAGATGAAGCCGCGGAGGCCACTGAACCGGAGGAAGCCACTATTGCGTACAACACGTTGAGTGCTGCACTTCGAAGAGGCCCGTTGCCTGCCTCGAAGCAGCTTGATCTACAGCTTCATGAGCTACGCCTTTTCTCAGCTGGACTAAATACGCCGCACACTTGGAAGGTTGGCAGGCTGCGACTATCGGCCTCGGGGCAGAAATATACCGTCACCCTCGTATCGGTAGATGACCGAGCGCTTCATTTCGAGTCTGACATGGGCACTCCTAACAAGGTACTGGCGCACATTCCTGCTCTGGGGGCACAATTTGAGTTTCATTGTTATTCTCCCCTATCGTATTTTGAAAGCCTTAGAGCTTCTGCTGGTGGAGGGCGAGAGGCAAGTTCCAAGACTATTCTTGCACCGATGCCTTGCAAAGTGTTGCGTGTGGAAAAGAAGAACGGCGATGAGGTTAAGACGGGCGAAGTAGTCATGGTTGTGGAGAGCATGAAGATGGAGATCACAATAGCTGCTGGGAGGGATGGTGCCTTCCACACAACTCTGAAGGAGGGAGATTCAGTTGATGAGGGTTGTCTACTTTGTAACTTAGAATAGTTATGCATTTTACATACTAAGAATATGATGGTGTGTTCTAGCTGCATTAATTCCATCGGGACAATGCATAATCTTGCGCCCCTTACGTCTACCGTTTCTCTTGATCAAATTTTTAATATTGCCTAAACTAAGGATTGAAAACAATCAAATTCAATAATCAATCGTATGGTATATTCAACCGATGTATCGAATTTTAATACCAACTGAAAAAAGCAGCAGTAAGGTTAGATCATGCACAAGCGTGAGCTATGGATCTGGCAATAGCATCTTTTCTAGGCGTTCTGAAAACTTCAACAAAATGGAAAATACTATACTAAGCATAACTGGACTAGAACGACGCGCAGGACCTCGGATGCGGACAAAAACATACCAAGGTGTATTGGAGGCGGCTTGTTGTGGCCGAGGCGGAAACGGTTCTGTATTGCCGTCCCCACCCACCACCGGCTCAACGAAACAATGAATACAGCTTGTGGTCGTACGTACTGACGTGATAAAAGAAGTTGGGATATGGTAATGTCGCCACATTCTTGAGGTCAATATCCCAGAATCCATCGTATATTGTCTTTTTGAGGCTCGTTGAAATGAAACAAGTCAAGATTGGATGCTATAGGTACGGTATGAAAGCAGCCCTTTCATCCATGCGAAGCTGACACAAAAATAGTGCCTTTTGGGGCGATTCTGCCTCAGCCGTGAAGCAGTTCCTTGAAAATGAAGAACCGAAACTTGACTACCTCGTTGCCGACTACCTAGCGGGTGAGTACTCGGCAACATGATTGTGGAATAAATACTAATTACACTTGTCGTTGCAGAGTTGACGATGGGTTTGCTGGCACGTTCGGTTGCCGCATCCAAGAAAGGCTACATAGCGGAATTCTTGGAGTTGGTTCTGGCACCGTACCTTGATTTCATCTTGAAGAAAGGCGTCAAGATTGTCACCAACGCCGGGGGATTAGACCCAGTCGGCTTAAAACAAGCGATTGATGAGCATTTCAAATCGAGAGGACTGGAATCACAAATCAAAGTCGCAGCTGTATATGGTGACAATATTCTCTCTGATTTCAGCAAGTTGGCAGAACAAGATGCGTTTACACAGTTCGACCCTCTCAGTGGAGCGAGCTCACCTGAAGCTGGGCTTGATAGGGCCGATAATCTATTGAGCTTGAATGCTTACATTGGCGCTGAGCCAATAACCGAAGCACTAAAGCAGGGAGCAACTATCGTTGTGACGGGAAGATGTGTTGATAGTGCACTTGTTCTCGGACCCCTGGCATTCGAGTACGGATGGCAGTACGAGATGACTCAGACCAACCTGGATCATCTAGCGAGCGCATCCCTCGCAGGGCATGTGATTGAATGCGGAGCTCAAGCCACTGGCGGGAATTTTACAGATTGGAGGCTCTCAGCATTCAGTCCCAATGGCGGATGGTCCAACATGGGTTATCCAGTCCTCACTTTCAACCAGGACAACACGTTCACCATCACGAAACCGGAGAAAACCGGAGGGGTAGTCTCTCGGACTAGCGTGATCGAACAAATGCTATATGAAGTTCTTGACCCGGAGAACTACGTTCTACCTGATGTCGTCGTGGATATGAGCCGCGTCCAGGTGGACCTGATTGAGCCAGGCAATGTTTTAGTGCGTGGCGCCAAAGGAAAGCCACCAAGCCCCTGGCTGAAGTGTACGGCAGTACAACAGAGAGGGCACCGTGTCGCCGTCGACTTTTTGGTGTGCGGTGAGGAAGCCGAAGACAAAGCCAGATGCCTGGGGGCTGCCCTCATTGACAGAACCAACATGATCGCTGCCCAACAATTACCCGGCACAGTGAACCCAATCAGCTCTTCAGACTCAGCTATTGCACTTATTGGCAACGAGTCGAGCCTGGGTCCTGCGGCAAGTCAGGAGAAGCGAAGGGAAGTTGTACTAAGGGTATCAGCCAGACACTCCAACCGGAAGGTCCTGGATATCCTCAGCAAAGAGGCCGCTTCATTTCTTACAAACAGCTGCCCCGGTGTCTGTCTTCTCACATCCGGCCGAGCGAGAAGCAGCCCCAACTTCGTCGCCAGCAGTATACTTATCGACAGATGCAAAGTAATCCCTCAAGTTCATGTTGATACTCCGAACCCTGTCCCGGTGTCGTTCAGAACTGAAGGGTGCCGGCTCATCGAGGCTGCAAAAGCTCGCATACACGCCAGTTCTCGGTCCAAGACTCTTCCACGGAACGGTCGCAAACTGGTGCAATTGCATCAACTGGCGATTGCAAGGTCCGGCGATAAAGGCGATACTGCAAACATAGCCATCATTGCCCGAGATCCAAATCACTACCAGCATTTAGTGCAGCATTTGAGTCCTGAGTTGGTCTTTGCTCAGTTTGGTCACTTTATTGCTGCCGGGGGACAAGTGACACGGTTCGAAGTGCCTGGAGTTTCAGCGCTCAACTTTGTGCTCACTCGATCCCTGGGCGGTGGCGGCCTTTCAAGCCTTCGACTAGATAGGTATGTTTCTTTTTTCTCTGCATGCCTAAGAGAAAATATGGGAATCACAATGTTAACATTTCGCAGACAAGCCAAGACATATGGGCAGCTTCTTCTTGCCGGAGTAACTCTTGAGGCACCCTCTGCATCCAGAATAATGTCAAACCTATGAGTATTTGAGTTTGGCAGGATAATCAAAAAAGTTCAGATATCATATTCTCTCCAATTATAAGCTTTGCCGTGAAGTTATTTATGGTGGGATGTTGTAAGCAATTCAATTTGGGTTTCGATGTTTTCGTGAGGGCTTGACGCTATCAAATTTGCACAGCGTGACTACGGAGAGATTAAGACAACTCTGTCGCTTTGAAAAGAAAATTCTTCAATAGCTATAGCGGGCTTGATTAATCTCATTAACGATTTCATCTTTTCAGCGAACTTAAATAATCCCAGCGTATCTATACTAGGGAATCTGGGGAAAGGCTAGAAAGGGGAAACTGATGAGGTCTAAAGAATCAACCTCTAGGTATATCTAGAGCACGGGCTAAGGGCCGCGGCTGTGCCGGCATCCTTGGGGATGACACCCGCTTCAACCGCCTTCTTGTAGCACCAACGCCAGTCCTCAACACCATCGCACTTCCAGGTCCAGAAGATCCAGCCGTTGGAGCGCTCAAACGACTCGGCCTGTGCCGCCCAGTAAGCGCGATACCAGGTCTCCTGACCCTCGTATTTGAATTCGGGCGTGTTCTTCAGTGTGCTATTTACCGAGAGCGACCACTCGCCCACCGTCACGTTGGTGCCCATGTTGTCCTTGCAGGCCTGCGTGATGTAGGCTTTCTTTGTACCCTCGATGCGGTTGTCAAAGCTTAGGTAGCGGTGGGCGTCGAAGAAAGCCATCTCCGTGCTTGGCAGGAACTCTCTTGGATTGCCAGATCCCCAACTCGTGCCCTGCGATTCCGTTAGTTAAAATAGACCAACAGGTAGTAGGACTAAGGGTGGAGGAACTCACCATGAACTGAATGTGGAGGCGGTCTGCCTTGGCAACGTTGAGCTTAGCCTCGGCGGCCTGGATACGCTCGTATGCCTTTGGATAGAAATTCTTGCGCATATCGGTGGCATTGTCTCCGCCTCTGACAGGTTCGTTCAGAACCTGCAGCATACCAACAGTGGTATAGTTGCCATTCGTATGGATACGGTTGGCCATCCACTCGAGGAACTTCAGTGCTCGCTCATAGTTGGCAGAAGTGTAGAACTGTGGGGGATTAACGCCCTGGTAATGAGTAAATTAGCGAGAGGTACACAATCAACAAAGGGTAGGGGTTTCTTACATGGCCGGTGAACTCTTCATTGGGCGACTGTGATCCAGGGGCGCCGTGGAGATCAATGATGGCATAGACACCATACTTCTTGCACCACCCGACAATACGGTCAAGATAGGGGAGGCCGCCGCGGGGGTAATACTCGTTTGCATAAACAAGGCTCTCTCGCATCCAGAAGCCGACTGGAATGCGCACGGTATTGAGGCCAATATCCTTGATCTGCTTGATGTCGGCCTCGGTAATCCACGTGTTCCAGTGATTTTTCCAGACCTCGTCAGCCTTGGCCTGACCAAGGGCCTTGACGCAATTCCACTCGTCGTACCAGCCGTAGCAGCCCATGTTCTTCCAGCTATCCTTCGTAAACCACTCCTCGATAATGAACTGGGAGCCGAGGTTTACACCGCGGACCTTACTCGCTTTGGGCAGCCGGCGCTCTGTCAGGGAGCTTTCATCCTCGGGGACAAGCTCTAAATCGCATTATCAGCATCCACGCAATAAATACCTGCGCAGGATGAGGGAACGACTGGCATATACCTCTACTATCCAAGGTCCAGGCTTGGGCCATGGCCACAAGCAAAGACAAAGCGACTTTAGTCAGAATCATGATGACGGAAACAAGTCTATGGCAGAACGAAGAAGTCGGTTCGGTCCGTTGAAGAATCTGAAGCCGCAAGATGGACGATTGGCGAGGTAATATATAAAGAATTGGCAACAGCCCAGAAGATCTGGCTCGGAGCAATAGATCCATGCTCACATAGTGTCTATCATGCCCAGATACGTCGAACGGTTCCACACATGCTCGTTCTGGAAATACGTCAAAGGCTATGCATGATGCTCAATCCTGCGCCTGGGATGGGGCCAACTTGAAACGCGGAACGTCCAACCTGGACGGGCGGCCTACTTTCCGTCCCTGGTGGCGTGTTCTAAATTAAATTCCGTTGCGATCACCGCGATTTAAGGTTGTCAGCTGTTCCGTAGCCATGAGGGTTGCCTGTAATTAAACATGTCGCACTTTACATGAGACGATCTATGAGGTTATTATGCAACTCCTGTGTCCAGTCTCGCAGAATTAACAATAGGAGTACAACGAAATGCATCATCTTTGTGTCTGGAGTCTGTGACTACAATAAATCTTCATGAATCTGGTGGATCTTGCGATGAAGATCTTGGATCACACAGCCATCGAGGGCGAGCTGTGACACTGTCTGCTAAAACCGGCTGCGCCCGTCGTGCCGCATTTTGTGGGGTTGCAATCTCATTCCATGGCCAGCATCGACAACAAGATAAAAACGGGTTGTTCGTAAGACGACCCGAGTGCTGGTGAAACGTAGCGTTATGCAAGGAGATCACGGCTGACTCTAGTCACTGGTTGCCGGATCGGTCTTGTCTTGCCGCCTCACACATACCACAATAATCACTTGCGGGATTCCACCCCGATCAAGACATGCGATAATACCGTTGCATCGACATGCAGGAAAAAAAAACTGAACGCCGCTCGGCCCCGCCTATTTTCACGGTTTGCCTTTGACAGCTCCCATGACGATGCACTGATGAGTTGTCATGCTAGTATAAACTTGGCATATCCCTCCCTCCACTTGGGAAAGAAAGAGTGGGTGCAGTGGGACTGGCTAGAATATTCTAAGAAGCTTACTTGAATGTTATTGGCGTTCCAGAGTTGTATACAATACTTTTGTTCGTCTCACATAGAGGCTCATCTACCCACATTACAGTCATTGCTCCACCCATTTTCTACCGCAAGCAGGATATCTCTCACACCGCTTACCCAAGTTCCCAACGGATATCACAAGGATAGAACCATATGTCACGTACCAAATCGTCTTATTCCCTATAAACGACCGCAAATCCATCTACTACCTCACGAGTACTTGAAATTAATTCCACTTTAGCCCCCTTTCCCCTCCTATAGACTCATTCTGAAAAGCCAGCGCTCAAAGGCCTCATTATCAGCTCCTCCATGTTTCTCCTTCTTCGTGGTTTTCCACTTGGAGGAATATGCCATGAAGCTGCGATGGGCTGAAGGATTCGCCGCAAGCATCTTGACCTTCTTCGCCTCGGGCGTATCGCCGCCCTCGCACATGAGCCTCACATCATACGATCTCTCCGCAAAAACACTTGCCCTCGCTTTATCACCGTGCGTGATACAAATTTGAAAAGCATCGTAATATAGCCGTGCCGCGAGAGCCCCAGGATACCCCCCATATTCAGCCTTTAGGAGCTGCAGCAGCGAATGGCAATCTTTGAGGCTTTCCCCTGGACTTTTCCACGTACGGATGGGGTCCCCAATCTGACCATCGAGTTGTTGTATTCGCGAACGGCGAATGTCACTTTCTCGAAGCAGGGCTGGTGGCTGCGAACAGACGACACAGCTGCACTGGAAGCCAAACGACTGCTTCAAGGAAGCTCGCCGGACCGCAGATGGCCCTCCCTGATCATATGTGATTGTGATCTCTTCTCCGCAGTTGATTGGCCTAATGGCGAAAATAGTCTCGATTTTGGTGTCACTATTCCATGTATTTTGGCTGTTGGGGAGGCAGCTGTGATTGATGCGGCATATCGTAGGATAAACAGCCCCAATCTCAGACCTAGAACCACACGGCAGAGCATTCGTCTTCATAATGCCAGCAAAAGGATGCTTTCCGGGAAAGTTGTTATGAAGAGACAAAAATTGGCGCTGACTGGATTTGTCCAGTTTTTTGAGCTCTGACGACAAGAAAGCCTCGAGTGTACCGGGTGCTCCAGGCCGAGCTACCAATAGCGGCTTCTCTTGGATAATCAGAGTCCCTTGAGGTATGTCCTGGAGGGCTACCAGGCCTATCCCTTTCAGCGGAATAGTCTTGGCTTCGAACAGAGGTGGCTCATCGGGCTTCTATATCTTCTTAGTTACAATGCAAGAAACACTAGAGGGTGCAAGCAGCAGACCTGTTCAAGGACGCTGTTCTGATCCTTCGAGGCAGTATCAGAGTCCATGCTGCCGGGTGTTTGCAAATCGACGTCAAGAATCGGTCAATACAACAACGTTGATCAATTCTTCAAGAGCTTTGTCAATGGTCAAGTTTTTGTTTGTCGGAGATTACATATAAATAAGTCAAGTCAATGATGCAAGTAGAACCAAGTTCTGCGATCAAGATCGTGGGAATCACAACAATTAAGTAGGTCAGCGTAAGGAGACTTGTTCCGACACCAGCAGTGTAGGCGCGAGTCGTCATGTTATTTTCCAAATGTTCCCTCTCCTCACTGCACGTGGCTGTGTTTGATTCGATCAATTTGGTGGGTGTGATGGTTGGCCTCCTGCATGATGACTGCGTCAGACTCTCTTGATGTCTCAAATACTAGTGTAGCACTGACATTCAAATCCTGCTTCGAGTCTACGCAGCATATACATATTATAGGACGACAATGTGTCTAGCTTTTCGCAAGGCCTCACTCCAAGTCTGATAGTGTGAATTTATCAGCGTATACCTGGTTCTTCGACCGTGAAGCTTCTGACCGAGCTTTGGCAGCAACGAGGCGCTTGAACAACACTTTTGCGGCTCACCGAGACATATTCTTACTCCCGACAGATTTTCTCTCTCGAACAGTAAGATCTTTTTTATTAATGATCCGGCCAAGTATATGTAAAGACTCATTCGCAAAGCTTACTGTGTATGGTAGCAAAGCATGCATGAAATCGTGTCGTGAAGACAAAAAAGAGGATTGGGTGCCAACGGAAAGAATATCTGACTTATCATACTCATCTCAAGGGCCCTCATATAGCCGTATTAACTACCTAGTGCCTGATGGATTGAGTTTGGATAAAATCTACGTAGCGATAGAGGTGTTATTGTATTGGATTTTTATGGGCTACGTGGGAAGATAATACCAGCGACTTCTATCAAGGGGAGGAAGCGTCGTCGTACTAGCTTCTGATATTGATTCCGATTATCGTAGATCGCCACCAGGTAGCAAAAGATTGCTAAACAACCTAAAAAATCGATGTACATCCTTTGGTCTTGGCTATTCATGAAACTGAGCGCTCCTTGGAAGAATTTCTTGCTCCCTGTAAACTCGAAATTTCTGAGACCATCTCTGGAAACGATCACTTCTGTTCATTGCGATGCTCCACCTGTTCCGCTTCTAAGGTGTCCGCCAACTTCGCTTGGGTCTTGTCAAGATCCGCGACAACAACCTCGTCTCCAAAGATCTCGGCAATCTCTTCAAGCGACTTGCCCTTGGTCTCAGGGAAGAGCAAGTAGACAACGATGGCGCCTAAAAGGTTGGTGCAGATGAAAAGCGAATAGTACTTGTAGCCAACCTGCTTGAAGGCAATCGGGGAGACTTGGTTGAACACGATGTTGATGAGGACGTTGGATACGACGGAGATAGCAGAGCCCTTTAGGAAACACAATTATCAGCTGATGCTCACTCATGCAGCTTTCGGTCAAGTACTTACCTTGGCACGGACTGCCATTGTCATGATTTCAGGAACGTAAATGTAATGGATCGAGTTGTAACCCAGAGAGTAGCTGAAAGTCCGCTGTTAGTACATGGGGACAAACTATACGTGGGGTCAGAATCTTACATTGCAGTGAAGCAGAAGATGAACGCGATCGTAAAGCCTTTCGCGACCATGTTTTGAGAAGATCCATAGCCACCAGATAGACCCATGACGAGACCCATGTCAAGAGCCATGATAAGACCGGTGATCCAAAGCGTCTTGCGGCGTCCCCAGGTATCAACATAGTAAAGACAAATCACATTGGCAATAGGGCCAACTAAGCCGTAAATTCTGGAAAGAGAATACCAGTTAGGTCAACAAATACCACAGACAATCGACAAAGTAAACCGACTTACCCTGCCAGAAGTGTGGGCATGTGACCCGTCATTCCCAGGCCCTTGTACAGATCTGTCTGGAAGTAGTTGACGACATTGATACCACTCATCTGCGTGAAAACCTGCACAAGCACGGCAAGCATGACTCTCTTCCTGTTTCCAGCAGTGCTGAAAACCTCGCGCCAACCGGTCTTGGTAACTGTCTTCTCGTAGCGAATCTGCTCCCGCATCTGGTTGTACTCAGCGAGGAAGAAGCTGTCGTCATGGCCGATGTTGCCGTGCAGGCGTCGGATAACAACCAGGGCCTCATCGTCGCGGTCATGCTCGAGTAGCCACCGTGGGGAGTAAGGGAGGAAGTAGATGCCGAACATAACAATAAGGGCCGGGAGACACTGGAAAGCTAACGGGAAGCGCCATTGGAGCTGACCGGAGGCATACGAGCATCCGAACCCAATCCACTATAAACACCATGTCAGCTCAGAAGCTCGTACTTAGGGAGAGAGGAAGAGAGGTGGCATCCGACTGACATTGGCAGCAGCAAAACCAAACCCAACAAACTGAGCGTGTAGACCTGCGATCATACCACGTTTCTCGGGGGGTGAAATCTCAGAATTGTAAATCGGGATCGTCATGTTCATCATACCGACGGCAAAACCTCCCACGATACGCCCAGCAATCAGCATACCAATGTGGACGGAGGCGGCCTGGATAATACCGGCAATCAGGGCAATGACGGCTGCGATGGCGATGGTCTTCTTACGGCCGAGGTAGTCTGCGCTCCATCCTGCAAAGAAGACACCAAAGACTGCGCCGCCATTGAATGTGCTCACGACAGCACCCTTGATATCGGCCGTGAAGGGATGGAAATACTCGCTAAAATGCTCCTGTGCAATTACAGTAGTAATGACACCAGAGTCGATACCGTATCTATGTGAAGAGTTTGGGTGAGTCATAAGAAAAAGGCGGAGGTTTGAGACGAGGTTTCACGTACAACAATGATCCGACCTATTGAATGTTTTGAGATAAGCCGATGTTCAAGGATGGTCACAATCATTGGAGTGGGAGCTACTTACCGCCGCAAAAAGGGCGCATCCCCAAGTGTACCAATTCACTGATTGTTTCGCCGCCATTGCGAACAATGTCTCCGATGCTCCAAACCGGAATATAGGTGAAGGGTTGAAGTAGTCTATCGACTGTGGGATCCGTGACCTGGAGAAACGAGGATCACCAGGTGTCGTGGTCGTCTCCTTTTTATTGTGTGAACGTCGATACCAAGCTACTGGGGGAAACTTTACCCCGTGGTTGAAATCAGAGAGGAACTCCGATGACTCGGATTACCTCCGGACGTAACCGTAGGCAATGCCAGGCTTACTTCCTGGGGAATACCCGGACAGGCTCTGACTACCATCTGACCTCCGTTCTTGTTACAAATCGAACGCTAACACTCAGGCTAAATTCCCAGCACATGGATATGAATAACTTAAAGCTTCTTACCTAGTCCCACCAGAACGGTCATTGGGATCCAGCATCGGGAAGCGATCGATGCCCCGGCTGTTGTGGCAGGGCCTTCCCACAAAACGCTTTTCCGAGGTGGGGATTCTGCTCGATATTTGGGGATCAGGAGAGTTTCGTTATTTAGCCTAAATGGCCCAGACAATTTCCATATTCCCTACTGGTCAGCCTCTGTGTGTACTGGGTCGGCAAGTCAGGAAACATGGGAGGTAGGCGAGCTTCTCACCGTTGACCGCCAAGAGGTCGTATCGGGAATAAACGTGTATAAGAAGAGGCTGAAGGTGGAGCTGGCGGAGTTTGAAACTCCTGTTGCTAGTCCCTTTCAACTCCTCTCCAAAAGCCCCCAACAAACAACTGAATCATCGCTTCAGGTTTCTGTTTGCTCGCGTTTGCGTTCACTTCAAAGATCTGGGGGAAGAGCTCGTTCAATATCCACTTAGGAGTAACTTGCCCCGACGAACCCCAAGCATCTCACCGTCACCCCTGAGCAAGTGTCCACAAGCGGGGTTTTGATCCTGACTGTCATGGATGAGTGATTGCCACTAGTGTAGTCGTTCGATTCGTGTCTCGCGCGCGCAACCACCGACTTTACCCTCGGATATAACGGAAGTTTAGCTTGGCTGAAGTTCTTCTCCACCGCAGTGCCCACAAGTCTGTCAGACAGCCTCAAGTTGAAGCATTGGGTGGGGGTCAATACATGTGGATCTGAGTCCTTGCGATATATTATCTTGCGGCTTCAAAACGTTGCTGGCCGCTCGTGTTTCTGGGAGCCTCAGGGGCAGTGAGAATATCGAGATAGATAGACATCTTCATAGCCAACATGGTCAAGTTCTCACACGGCTGCTGGCACCCAGCGCCAGATACTATTATCGACTGGGCCGTCGAGGTAGTCAAGGGTGTTGCAAACGAGGATAATTTACATTTCGTCACAGTGAGTATTCTCTCTGCATCGTTGAAAACATGGATTTCAAATAGCGATGTATGTGTGATATCTTTGGATGGCTAACGATCTATGCAGTGCTCCAAGCCAATCAACCATCGGGGCGATACCCTGAACAACCCCACGTTGACACACCATGTCAGCTCCCCCATTGATGACGTTCTGTACCTGTCTTCAACCCACTGGAAGGGTCAGAAGAGCGTTACCGCCGGCCCTCACTTTGAGCTTTACCCAGAAGGACAGCCCGGCCATACTCAGGCTATCAAATCATCCAAAACTGATGAAGAGCTAAAGTTCTCTGTCGGAGATCTCTCGGCGTCCGTCAACACGACCCAAAAGAGCTTCAACCTGGACTTCAAGAATGGTTCGAGGAAGTTGACATCTCTTGGATGGCGTTCAATTGGCTATGTCAAGCAGAACACCACTGCCCTGCACCCAAAGGCAAACTACACCAACCCCAACAAGGGAGAGAGGTGGACGACCTACCAGCTTTCCCTGGGCGTTGGAGAAAAGATTTACGGGCTGGGAGAACGATTCGGCCCGTTCATCAAGAATGGCCAAACTGTCGACCTCTGGAATGATGACGGCGGCACTGGCTCTGAGCTCACCTACAAGAACATTCCATTCTTCCTCAGCTCTGCTGGATACGGTGTGTTTATCCCCACATCCAGCCTTGTCTCGCTGGAAGTTCAGTCTGAGCGCACGACTCGCGTCAACATTGCTGTTCCGGGCGAATCCCTTTCCATATACCTGATTTACGGACCTAGTCCTAAGGACATTATCAACAAATACGGCATTCTTACTGGCCGCCCGGCTCTTCCGCCAGCGTGGACCTTTGGTCTCTGGCTCACAACCAGTTTCACGACCAACTATGACGAGAACACGGTCAATACTTTCTTAGATGGCATGAAGGAGAGAGATGTCCCCGTCACCGTGTTCCACTACGACTGTTTTTGGATGAAGGGTTTCCAGTGGTGCGATTTCGAGTTCGATCAGGACTTTTTCCCTGATGCTGCCGGACAGCTGAAGCGAATGAAGGACCGCGGCCAACACGTAAGCAGAAGCCCCAAAATCTGGAAGAGAGTGATCCTAGAGCAGCTACTAACATCTGATGACTAGATTTGCGTTTGGATCAACCCATACATTGCTCAGGAGAGCAAACTGTTTGATGAAGGTGCCGAGAAGGGATATTTTGTCAAGCGAGGAGATGGAAGCGTTTGGCAGTATGATTTCTGGGTATGATGATTCATCTGACTTAAACCCTGGGTTCCATTGACCTTTATGGAGGCTAATCCGAATCATTTTTACAGCAAGCCGGAATGGCATTCGTAGATTTCACCAACCCCGATGCCTGCAAATGGTACCAGGACAAACTCCAAGCACTTGTTGACATGGGAGTAGAGTCTTTCAAGACAGATTTCGGCGAGCGCATTCCCACAGGTGATACCGTCTATTTCGACGGATCCGACCCAAAGAAAATGCACAATTACTACGCCTATCTTTACAACAAGGTTACCTTTGAGGTTCTTGAGAAGTCGTTGGGCAAGAACAACGCTGCACTTTTTGCCCGCTCCGCAACTGCTGGATGCCAGGTACTTTCCCTCTTCTTAGTCTTCATTAATTGACTGATGAACTAACTATTTCCCCGAACAGAGATTCCCAGTTCACTGGGGAGGCGACCCTTACTCGACGTTTCCTGCCATGGCCGAGACGCTGCGCGGGGGTCTATCTCTTGCCCTGAGCGGCTTCGGCTACTGGGCACACGACATCGGTGGATTTGAGGGAAACCCAGACCCGGCGCTCTTCAAGCGCTGGATCGCATTCGGCCTTTTCTCATCCCACTCCCGACTACACGGAAGTGGATCATTCCGCGTTCCCTGGCTTGTCGACCCAACGGAGGAGGCATCGCGCGTGCTCGCTCATTTCGTGTCATGGAAGCACAGGCTGATGCCGTACCTCTACTCCCAGGCTATAGCGACCCATCAATCGGGCATCTCGATGCTCCGCAGCATGCTTGTTGAGTTCCCAGAGGACCCTATCGCATGGCATCTCGACACGCAGTACCTCCTTGGGTCTTCTCTCCTGGTTGCACCCGTTTTCAATGAAGAGAACGACGTGACGTACTATCTTCCAAAGGGCAAGTGGTACGGACTTCTTGACGGCAAGATCAGGGAAGGGCCAGGGTATGTCACAGAGCAGCATGACTTTTTCAGCCTACCAGTCCTTCTACGGCCAGGAAAGGCTGTTGTTCTGGGTAGCTCAGAGCTGGCGAAAGAGAAGGTCGTCTACGATTGGTCTGACAATGTTACCATTGTTGTCAACCCAGTTGAGGGTATGGCTGAGGTAGTGGAGGTTCCCGACCATGAGAACTTTGGTCAGATCAAGGCAAAGATCTCAATCACATCTCAAGGGGGTGCCGTGAAACTCTCAATCGTGGAGGGCCAGCTCAATTCAAGCGCCAAGGTGCAGGTTGCGGGGGGTCAGATTAGCGGAGTGAAGCTCTCTGAGCAAGAGACCGTCATCGGCGCATAGGTACAAATTGCTGCTATAGAACGTATCATTATTCAATCTGATCACAAGCAAGGCTGTTTCCTAGTTCTGGGAAGCACATTACGGGCCTGTACACAATAGTCCTTCGTTAGTTGCCACAGTGTCTCGTCTGCATTCAATTGTTAGTTTTCCCGTAATATAGGCCGTGTTTTGCTGTGCCCTAATATCTACCACCATGCCTAATAGAGAGTACTGATGCTGTCTAAAACTTGTTAAATGGGCCTTTGCCGACTTTTTCAAACTGTTCTACTTTAGATTTGCCGTAGAGTATTCATAAAAGTCACGCTACAAGCAGCTGTGGATCTTTGTATAGGAACCCAGTATACAAACTCTGAATTTGATAATAAAACTGAGTTCTTGTCTAATTACCATGGCTTTTTTAGTACGATGATTTGAGGGTCTTGATTCTTTAAAAAGTTTGGTCCTGTCCGTGGTCAATTTACGACCAGAAGTATTGGAATCCTATTTATCCGTTACTTGTTAAGGTACATGTAGCAAGGTGTTGATTAGCAGTTTGGTCTGTGAGGGACAAAGAATACCCGCTGTTGAAGGCTACTTTGCTTTTGTTTGTAAATTAAACGAGCAGAGATAAGAAGCTAAAAAGTGATGGCAAACGCAGGTGAGAAAAGGTCTAGGGTAGGTAACAAGGAGAGCCAGCACACCAGGAGCATCGATTGAGCAGCTGGAATGGCGGGAATGGCGTGAAATTGATTATAATTGACTCAAATCTGGCTGCAGATTATCAGTTTTCCCATAAGTGACAAAATCTAAGGACTATAACGATCTTCCTACTGCTCTCAGGTGGCCTACCATGAGACTATGATACTTTCCATGGAAATGCAGGGTAGGTGAAGTGAGATGGTAGGCTAAGTTTGGTAGAGGGTTCGAGTATAAATAAACAACAATAGAAGATATCAGAACCGACATGTCAACACAATGAATACTAAAGTTTTATTTGGGAGAAGCCTTTGCTGGCTCAAAGCTGCAGTCATGCGGAAGGAAAAGCCTGTAAACCTTGATACCGATGACTCACTCCTGGGCCAAGTTCAAGGAGCGCACATCCGTTCCTTCCTTTCCACCTCCATCATCAAAACATTGGATCACCACAACATTGTGACAGCATCATCATCACAACATCATCACAATATTGTCACCGAGTATCTGGTCGCGCATCCATTGTTATCCATCCAACGAGGTACGTTTGGTGTTGCATTTCAGGCGTGACCTTGCTGCGCAGTGTCTTCTGTGCCCCATCGCGGAGCATCCTCTGGTATCTCGCGGATCTCTCTTGTTTACGGGAATCTTTCATCGCCATCCGAGCCGGCCGAAAGCATGTCCGTGGGGCTCCAGAGTCTGCCGACGGAGCTTTTGGTTGAAATTGCGGAATTATGCACCTTCGATCTCGACCCTCCTGTTTCATACTATGCCAACCCATCCAACTACCTGAGAAACCACAGCGCGCTCGCCCGGACATCCCCCGGCCTATACCACGCACTCAATGGAGAGCTCTACAAGAAGAACCTCACCAGAGATCCGCCGGCTCACTCATGCGTCCTCTGGGCAGTAAACCAAGGGAGGCTTGAGACACTTGTTCGCGCTGTAGCCTATGGAGCAGCCCTCAATACGACAATTGAAGTGGACGAATTCGCCGAGTAGTGTCCGCCGTGGGGAAGAGGAGTCCAGGAATTGGATTTCGACTATCCCCGCGAGTTCTCACTGCTTCATCTTGCCGTGGGGCGCCGGCATCCACATATTGTTGCGTATCTGCTTGATCATGGCGCCGATGTCCACGCGCCGGCGCGGAACGTCTGTTGTGATAATGACGCAGATGGATACTATGGCTCGCCTTTGTATCCATTGCACTTTTGCCTCGATCACACCCTCGAGGGAATGTTCCAGCTGGTATGGGGGCACCTGTCAGCGTCCTCCATAGAGTCCGCTACTGATTACGGCGATTATCATCACTTCGAAGACCCTGCACACTTTTTCACTTTCAACGACCACCTAGGGTCTGACCATGATTCGAGGGCTGAAATTGCGGCGCTCCTTGTCAGCAGAGGGGCTTTCATGGTTGCGCAGAACGTGTCTGCAATCCCCAGCCTTGAAAGAGAAGGTCAACCTCACCTCGTCGCCCAACTTTTCCCCCGTTCAGACCAATTGTCGCTTGCGGCAAGCCTGCATGTTGCAGCCATGAGAAACAATCTCAGCCTTGCACGACACCTGATACAGCGCGGTGCCGATGCCGCAATCACCAACTTTGAGGAAGTGACGGCTTTACATTTCGCCGTGAAATCATGCAAGGACGACCTTGAGCTGGTTCAGATGATTTTGCGGCAGCCACAAGTCAATCCCGGGGCCCAGGATCGCTATCATAGAACCGCTCTTCATCATGCATGCCAGAATGGGAACGTCCAGCTTGTTCGGTTGCTCTTAGCACAACCGGGCCTGTCGGTCGCTCAAGCCGATGAATGGGGAGCCACGGCTCTCCACTATGCTTGTCGTTGCGAGAGCCAGGAGAAAGCCACGGAGACCGCAAGGTTTCTGGTCGCCATGGGGGCTCAAATGGACTCAGACGTCCCCGATCAGGGGGACACTCCTCTAGCTACAGCGCTCCAGCACGACAACTTCAGGACCGCCGCAATGCTTGTGGAGTCAGGCTGCGATCCGTCGAGTTGGTGCTTGCCTGTCGATGATCCTACATTCAACACATGGGTCTCTCTAAGCTATGACAAGCAAGTCGAGTTAATTTGGAACCTCACTGACACTAGAGTCAACCTCGAGGTCTCGTCTGACCCTGGAAGGATGGAATTGAAGGCAACGCTATTGTACTTTGCTGCTTCTACACTGAGTATCGATTGCATGAAAATCCTGCTTGCAGCTGGGTTGCGGGTTGATTCGATCGTCGTTGATTCGAGAGCCATTGGAGCGATGGGAGAATTCCGCCCCAGAGATACTGAAATGACACTTCTTGTGGCCGTACTGTATCGGATATGGGGCAGCCCGAACCGCCCTCACACAAGGAAGAAAACACTAGTGATAGCAAGGGAAGTGGTCATGGTGCTTCTGGAACATGGAGCACCGCTCGGCCAAGCGCCCCGTTCGGACAACCCAACCTACATGTCTGCACTGGATTATGCCCTTTCGCTAGCGAGGTTTGGAGATGCTTCCCTTTTGCAGCTGCTCTTGGACTGGTCGACAGCGGAAAATGTCGAGCAAGAGTTCCTGCAGCGCTTTATGCGTAGGAGGAGGTTTCCGTCAACCAGGCTGCGAGATCGGGTAAGAGACTTTCATAATCGCATATTCCCCCAACATGCAATTGGAATGCCGGGAGGGGGTGCAAATTGATTCTCTCAGAATGGGAACAACTCAGAAAGAGATAACGCTTAACCTGGAAAGCTCTCAATGGCGTCACTGCCAGCCAAAGGAAGTTCGTCATGGGGGGAGGGGGCTTCTCTCATTAATCACCCGGTTGAACATCATGTTGAAAATCGCAAGCTAGGCAAGCTAGCCGGATATCCCAATGGCCCTGGAGCTTCAATTACCAAAAACATAACTCTGTAATCACAGGTTCTGAACTTGACCTCGAACATGTCCAGGCCGATAGATTACCTTAAGTATAGCTAATGCAATTCAATGAGTATGGCGGTTTAATAGTTAAATTAGTAGATGTTCATGATCCCTCAGCCTAAATCCTCTCAGACGTGCTCTCTCCGCTCCTAGATCAATGCGGCCACTATACAGACCTCCGCGGTTCGTAAAACTGTTATAAGTCCAACACCGCCCAAAGCCAAGCTTGCTACCAGCTCCGGGTGAATTATCATCAATTTCAAGCCATTGCCGTTATTGCGCTAGCTGGATATTCCTAGTCCTGAAGCTTCAATTACCAAAAGTATAACCCTGTAGTCTCAGGTTCTAGGCTTGACCTTGGATATCTTAAGGCTGATAGATTACTTTAATAGTATAGCTAATATAATCCAATGAGCATAATAATTCAAGAGTTAACTTGGTCTGATGTTCATAGTCCCGCAGCCTACATTTCAATTGAAATTCTCGTGGGCTCTTATTGTTTTATATCCTCTTTCATGTCGCTGTAGATCCACGTAGGATTAACGTGGATTGGCCCTTCTCTGGCTACGCTGATAACACAGCCCAGCGTTATCCTTTCTCGTACTAATTGGCTCTTTTGTTCGACAAGTAGCTTGCATGCCATGTTCTAGAACACATCTCCACCGTGTCCGCGTTCGTTCGCTCGCTTCGGTTACATTCCGTGCCAGTCGTGAGGTCCACAAAACTCCGTGACTCCGTGATTCCGCCCAGTGACAAGGATCACCACCGGAATCCTGCCCCAGTGACGCCATAGAATGTCATCGCAGGAAAACCTCATTTTGATAGCTTGGGTATTTAATGGAATGAGGGGACGCTGATTGAACATTGAAGTTCAAAGTCAACAACCTCAACCGCCTGTCCCTCCACCAGCCTCTTCTCAACCCACATCAATATTTGCCAAAAAAACATCCCAATCTGACAAAATGGCGGCACCCAAGATCCTTGTTGTCCTCACCAGCGTGAGCCAGATCGAGTCAATCAACAAACCAACTGGCTGGTTCCTCGTTCGTCGCAATCCCCCCAGATACTAGAAATTTACAGGCACTGACCAGAATTTGAAATAGCCCGAGTTCTCCCACCCCTACGATGTTCTTGCTCCCAAGGCCGAGATCGTCGTCGCCTCGCCAAAGGGAGGTGTTGCCCCTCTCGACCCCGCCTCAATCGAATTCTCCAAGTCCGACGACGGTGCCCAGAGCTTCTACAAGAACAAGTCCGAGGTCTGGGAGAATACCAGACCCATCAAGGAGTTCCTCGGCAAGGCGGACGAGTACGCCGCCCTCTTCTACCCCGGCGGCCACGGCCCCGTGTTCGACCTCGCCACCGACATCGAGTCGATCCAGCTCATCATCCAGTTCCTCGACGCAGGCAAGCCCGTCGCCGCTGTCTGCCATGGTCCCGCCGCCTTCGCCAACGTCGTCGGCAAGGACGGTAGCCACGTCCTCAAGGGCAAGACCGTGACGGGCTTCACCAATGCCGAGGAGGACATCATGCAGCTGTCGAGCGCGATGCCCTTCCTGCTTGAGGATGCGCTCATCAAGGCTGGGGCCAACTTTGTCAAGGCCGATGAGCCTTGGGGCGAGAAGGTTGTGACTGATGGGCTCATCATTACTGGCCAGAACCCGGCCTCTGCAGCTGGTGTTGGCAAGGCTCTTGCTACGGCTCTCGGTGAGTAGTTTTTTGCTTCTTTCGTAAGCTTATTCAATTGAGCTAACATTTTCCATACAGGTCTGTGAAAGGAGGTTTAGTTTGATATTAGAAGCGTGCGGTTTGTTCTGGGGAAAATGGTTATAATGAAGGAAAGGAAGACCAGACTGGAACAAGATATGAAAATCAATGGATTGCATTGCATACCCTTCTCACCTGAATCCTAGTGATGCGCATGTTCTATGACGTAGATTAGACCCAGACGGTTGGCGATTTTGTTTCTCAAAGTTTCAAATTTGCGTGTTGATCTACTTAGAAAAGGTCCCCAACCAAACATCCATTGTCAAGACTGCTTTCAACCCCCCATGCAGAGACGTTGCTGCTATGACAGCATCTCTCGAAGACTTTAGGTAGGCATTAAGCCTTGGATCCTGGACATGAGCTTCAACGTCTGCAAGAAAACTATCACTGTGCACGGTGCCCACTTCCCAGAACCCGTCTTGTAGCCCAGGCTGAGGAACGAGGACGCCTTCATGCTCAAGCTTCCAGCCAGAAGCCTCCCCGACAGTCTTGATGGCGCCGGGAGTGAGAATATTCTGGACATTTTCGTCACTCTCCGGTCTCTGGCTCTCAAGTGCAGCTCGGGCCAGGGCCGCAAGAACATGCGGCACAGCGGCTGGCGCAGTAGCTGTCAGAGCATACTCGGCGATGCAGATCTTCTTCACACGCCTAGATAAACCTCGAAAGATCTTCCCAAGCTCCTCGGGGGACTTGAAATACCAGATGCAGTGGGCTAATACTGCCACGTCCCAGGACAGGCCCTCGCCCGCTGTACGGCTGAGGTACTGCTCTGGTGTGGCCGAATGCCAATTTATGCGGCTGCCGACCTCACTATCTGTAATCCATTCATATGCCTGGCCCAAGGTGACTGGCGCGCCATAGTCGAGGGATCCAGGGTCGACGGCGTCGACAGTCCCGGACGGCCCAACGGCTTCAGCTAGAACAGTCGTGCAGATTCCTTGGCCGCAGCCGATTTCAAGGACTCGGCCGCCATTGGGAATCGCGGCCCATCCATTGACCATATTGATGCGATGTGTGGCTTGCGTGACATCGGGATTCTCTGGTGGATTGGCACGGTCCTTGGGGTTATAGGTGTAGGATGTGATCCGATGTGCCGCTGAGGCTGGAATTGCTACTGGGTTAGACATTGTAAGAGGGCTGTCGGTCGACTGTTTCTCGCGGGATATCCTAATCTTCATATGCAATATACGATCAAAGGCATCGTCAACTCAAATTATTATCTAAGACAGCTTCATTTTATAATTCTTGAAAGACGAGAAGGATTTTTTCCATCCTATATGACTCTAAGGCTGGATGAGTCACCACGACTCACCAATTGAATGCAACACCAAGCTTACTCCTCCTTCCATTCCGGTAATGGCGGCATCTTGATGAAAATCCTAGTTGTGCTCTCGCGAAACAAGCCACAAATTCAATGAACCTTTCTCCCAGAGGTGCAGGTTCAACGATGTAGTGGAAAAGGCACCCGCCAATATCATGGCATATTGCTCTGTCCATGGATTTTATGTCAAGCTGTCTGTGAATAACTCCGATGGAAGGCTGAAGCGTAGACGCAGCGTGCTACTCTAAGCTGGAATGGCCGATGACTCACAATTAGATTGAGATCTCTCTGGCTTAGGTGGTAAGCGGTGATGTGCTTGCAATCATGTGTTCCATATATAGCCTGGGAAAACGTTGTGGTCAAATAGGGCGTCAGTTAACTCGATCAACGCTACCCAGTAAATTTTGTAAATTCCACCACTTTACTTACATAAAACCCGTAGGCCGCTTGCCTAGCGAGAAGTATGATCTTAGCTTGACGTGATTAGCACCGTGTCGACAGATCTATCAGTTGGTGACAATGCAGTTGACTGCCATCGGAAGCCGGAAGGAGTGTATCCCGGGCCCGGAGTTGCTTCCACCTACACATGTTACAAAACCTTTCACTAAAACCTGCGTTAGGCTGCGAGAAACATGGGAACAAGTGAATGCTTTAAACAATTACCAGATGGGTTACGGTATAGATTCTGCGACGTGGCCTGAGGGGGTGAACATCCCGGAGGAAGTGAAAAGCCTGATTGAACGCTTTTTCGAGACTGTTGACACCAACCGCGATGATGCTGGTGATATTTTAGCAGATGAACTATTTGCTGAAGATGGCGTGGCTTACTTTGGCGCCCATCCCTTTCGAGGACCAGAAGGTACGATATGATCAGGAGGCCTCACCAAGAAAATCATCTAACTCGCTCGGAGCAGAAATTCGGAAGTCTCGGATCCATGCATGGGATGCGATAGAAACGCGGAAGCACAAGGTTTTGAGAGTTTATACTCGGGCGCCCAATTGTAACGACTTCCTGTTTGTTGCGCATGTGGCCATGGGTCTCAAAAACGGCAAGAATGTCGATGGAGAATTCGTTGGGCGTTTTACCGTCTCCCACTCTCAGTCCAAGAGTCCGAAGCTTTCACTTTATCAAGTCTGGGGCGTGTGTTATAATCCTACTTCCTCTTCTCCCCCTTTAGCCAATGCAGCAAACCTAATGAGACCCAGGATACATCCGCGCTCAGGACGGCTCTCCAGGAAAGTTAGAGCTCGAAATTTAGAAAAGGCTCTTGAATATATTCTTTTCGCCTCAAGTTCTTTTATGTTCTGCAAATAACTTCCACTGCAAAGGTTGGTGAGAGAATTTACATGATCAAGTAAGATCTAGAGGAACTCAACCATCTATTTGGCAAATGGGCTTTGGATTGTACGTGCTGAATGACTGAAATCTGCGTGCTATCTGATTCTAGACGAAACAAAACCGATGCGTATTGAAATTTGTGTGTCATTGCCTTCGTTCCGGTCGGGACCCGGAAGACGGAGGTTACTTTCGGCTAATCAAAACCTGAGCCTGTCCGGCTTCTTGTATTGAGGAGAAGTCACCCATAATGCCATTGAGCAGTCCAGATATCTTTTCTACGGCTCAAGTCACTTCAGAACTGATATTTCAGCATTGGAAATCGCAGCATTCTGTTCGACTTATCGATCTCGCAACGGGAAAACATGCCAAACCAAAGTCAGCAGGACAGCAAAGTGCTCTCGCCGAAGGCTTTAGCGCATGTCGTTCTTCGAACTTCGAATTTTAAACCCATGGTAGCATTCTACAAGGCTTTTCTTGGTGCACATGCGACATTTGAGAATGAATTTCTCTCATTTCTAACTTACGATGACGAGCATCATCGAATCGCAATTGGGAACGTCCCAGGAACGTCGGAGAAGGTCCTGACTGCCGCAGGGCTGGAGCATCTTGCGTTTTCCTTTGGTAGCCTGCAAGATCTTCTTTCCGCATATACACAGCGGAAAGCTCGAGGAATCCTCCCAATCTGGTCTATAAATCACGGACCGACAACCAGCATCTACTATCAGGATCCCGACGGCAATCAGATCGAGACGCAGGTAGACAACTTCGACACGGTTGAAGAGGCCAATCAGTTTATGGCATCCCCGGAATACGCAGAGAACCCTATTGGGGTCGATTTTGATCCGGAAAATCTCATTGAGCAGCTGGGGGCTGGAGATGAGAAGCTCCTTAAGAAGAGAGCAAACATTGGTCCTCGGGGTCTGGATACTATTCCAAAACCTCCCCCTAGAGATGTTAGAGAGTCTTATGACCTCATATAATTCACTGGCTTTGTATTTGCTCCATTCTTGAGCAAATAATGTATGAACGTCACTATTTTGCTGTTAATGTTCGCTTTTTGTTGAGGAGGCTCAAAATAAGGGTATTACGTCTCCCGAGTATTAATCGTTCTTTTCCTGGACTGTCTTTGTTTAATCTGAAACAATCACGCCGAGTCTTGGTGTTGTGAGATAAATCCTACGTCATCTTCTGATCTTGCCGTATTACGTGTTTTCATAATATCTGGTGGTGATCTGGTATCAACTGTGATGAATTCCATCGGATCTCCCCGGGCCGTGAGTGAATCGTTATGCCGGACGCGACAAGGTCGGGTTTAAGACCTCATAGCGGAATATGACTATAGATACGGCCACACTTACTGCCCATTGCGACATTGTGGGGAGAATACATACGATTTAAACGACATAAACACAACATTACACAATGGCAAATTGGAAGAAAGAGGCGAGCCGCTCAGCCCATATCCTAAACGAGTACCCCCACTAACAAAGTTGTAGACAGATTTCACTACCGTGGATGCTCTGCACAAAGATCTGAGTAGTCCTCCAAGCAAAGTGAGTAGTATGCGCAGAGATATGTTTTACACTGAATTGACTAAACGAGACAAGTATCATGACCCGGAACTAGCCGCTACCGAGGAAGAAATCCTGGAGTTTTACAAGCGATTTGGCAACTTTCTCAATCATGTCAGCCATACAGATGTGCCAGCAGGCAAAAGTTTCTTTGAATTGAAGGACTACTCCATTTTCGACCTGATGGGTACTGTATCTCGGCCAAGTCTCGAACCTCACTATGATCATATCACGCCATACCTTGGAAAAACCAATCAGCAATTTCGCGAAGTTGAGATTACAGCAGTTACAAAGGACTTTGGATACATCACAGCTGTGCAGCGTGTAGATGGAAAAGCTGCTGATGGCGAACCCTATGATTTCTCGTTCCGCTCCACGTCACTTCTACGAAAGGTTGATGGAGGCGAATGGAAATATGTTCATGAGCATTACTCCTTTCCAGTTGACATGGCGACGAAGATAGCGGACTTCACTGGGAGGCAGAAGGCTACCGAGTCTGTTGAATTCAAGAAGAAAGAAGAGCTTTGAGAAGGGCTTCATGGTAGAGACGAGGAATAGTTCCCAATACTTCTGGTCTAAATCTACTCTAAGTTTTATAGCACACATGTGATGTAATAAATTTCATTTCAAACACGAGATGACCCACGAAACGGCTCAACGACTTTGATTCAAGGAGAATGGTTTCTAAGTTTTGATACCTACCTAAGAGAAAGAAAATAAAGTTTAACAGCAATGGAAGCTGCCAGAGCCCGACAACTCAACACAATGAACACGTTAAGTTTCGATAAGCCTCCTTATTCCGCTCGGTGTAGGAATAGTTTCAATAGATTATGGAAGACAGCTGTATCTACGATCCGAGTATGAGCCAGGTTTATTGCCTATGCTCAAAAGAACAAAACTATGCATGCCGATCAATCCCTGTCCCCGCACATAAATCCCCTCGGTAGTTACGGAAGACTGGTGCGGGTCATTATAGGTGCTCAATCCCGGTTTCCGGCCACTTTCTGTTCCGCGGAGGAAATGCTGCGGTTGTGCCGCGGATATCCAATATCAGCAATCCCCTATCGAAAAAAACAGGCCACGAGCGAAATTGATACACTCGAACTGTAGCAAGTTCAATCTGGAATCTCCGGGCAATTTCCAGAATAACCAAGAGAAAAATGCACGCATATTGGAAGTGATAACGGTGGAGACTCTCAATCGCGTGATGGATGGATAGAGTAGCTAACCGGAATGAAAGTAACAAGACCTTCCGTGAATCGTGAATTGGACTTTATCGCTGGCGTGATGTTTTCGCCAATCTGTCTGTGAATTAGAAAGTGGATGGTACAGACTTCATTCTGGCTCAGGTTCATCAACACCATCCTCGAAGTAGCAAACCTCAATAAGCCACTTAAATTTCTACCAAGGACAACTGAGTAACGATGATGCAACAGCGGATTCTAGAGTATTTTTCTCAGGTGAATCTATCTTGGATATTGGAGAAATCCTTGTCTCTGATCTTCATCTCATTGGTAAGTTCGCTTGGCTCGACTTTCGAAAGATGTTGCTGACCGCGATAGGCTATCCTGGGAATATCAGTTGTTGTTACATACGACAAGCGACGAAAGCACCTGCCCCCAGGGCCCAAAGGTTTACCATTCATTGGGAACCTTAAATCGCTTTCAAATCCCGACGAAATTCCGAACATAACGAGAGACTGGGCTCGAGAGTATGGCCCTATAGTCTACACCAAGATGGGTGGCGGCGATTGGATCTGGGTCAACTCAGCATCAGTGGCCAAGGAGCTGTTTGACAGGCGAGGTTCAAAGTACTCATCTCGTCCACGAATGCCTATGGCATTTGAGGCCACGTCGAATCAAAACCGCGAAATATTTATGCCATACGGGGAGCGGTGGAGAAAGTTGAGGAAACTCAGTCACGCAGCCCTTAACCTCAACACCAGTGCGACATACAAGCCAATCCAAGATTTTGAGTCCAAACAAGTCATGTACGAGTTCCTGCATGCCAAAGATGACATGGCATTCTACGACATCAACCGGCGATATTCAGCCAGTGTGATCATGACAGTCACTTATGGACATCGCGTTGCGGACTGGAATGACCGCTATATCAAAAAGATCTACGAACTTCTTGAGCATTTTACTTTAATGTCTGAGCCCGGAGCTTGGTTAGTCGATGCCTTGCCATCGCTTGCAAGTCTACCCTCGTGGATGGTCCAGAATTGGTGGAAGATTGGACGCGAGTGGTTTGAGTACGACCGCCAAGTGTACCTCGAATTTTATTTGGATTTGGTGAAGCAAATTCAGAACGGAACAGCACCCGACTGTGTAATTCGAGACTTCTATGAAAGTGGACTAGAGAAAAAGGGTATCAATGATGAGCAAGCCGCGTATGCTGCGGGCGGCATGGTGGAAGCTGGAAGCGAGTCGACCTCAACAGTCATCAATGCCTGGATATTAGCCTGTCAAATTTATCCTCACATCGTCAAATCTGCGCAAGAAGAGCTAGACCGCGTCGTTGGTAGCGATAGAATGCCTGGGTTTGAAGACGAGGACAACCTGCCCTATATCCGAGCGATGGTGAAGGAAACACTTCGATTCTGGCCCATTACAAAGCCCGGGATGAACCATGCGACAACAGAAGATGATTGGTATGATGGTTATTTCATCCCAAAAGGGAGTGTTGTAATGCTCAATTGGTGGTATGTCGCGCATCTTTATTCTCAAACCGCGGACCATATTAACATTCTGGATAGGGCTATTCATTACGACGAGAAGCGTTGGGATAACCCGGATGAATTTGACCCAACCCGGTACCTTGATGATAAGTACACGACTGCTGAATCTGTGAATCTGGCTGATGGAAACGCGCGAGACCATTTTGCATATGGCGCCGGTCGTCGGATCTGTAGTGGGATGCATCTCGCTCAAAACTCGCTCTATATCAACATGGCGCGCACCCTTTGGGGATTCAACATCAAGTGTGGAAATGATGAGAATGGGGTACCAATTAAGCCTGTATTGAAGACAGAGCCTGGATTTTTGATGGTTCCTGCTCGGTTTCACGCGGTTCTTGAACCAAGAAGCCAGAAGCACGCTGATATTATTGACAAAGCATGGAAGGAAGCAGAGCCTCTGGGTGTTATGATCCAGCGAAAGAAAGCACATTAGTCAGTCAATTATGCTTTCACAATATATAAAGCATAAATCATTACCACATTATGCCTTTGCTTTCTGGCTCTTTTAAACAATAGGAAGCAGCGCAACAATTCTGATGGCCTTAGAGGAGAGGTCCATCGTTTCTTTTTCATTATGATGCGGCTAACAATGCGAAAATTACGATCGGATTGTTGGAATACCCCTTAGCATGTACAAAAGAAAATAGCCAGAGAAATTTGTTTAACTCTTAACAATGATAGCCAAGAACGGTTTCAAAAATGCTGCTCGCCTGTGATAGGGTGTCTACATGATCCCCCCTCCAAGCAACGTGTCCATCCGGCCTCACTAGTACGAGAGGTCGCTCCCAAATCTTTGCAGCTAAAGCTTCTCCTCGCAGCTGAGTAAGCTTAAGTGGTATGTTGAGTGCCTGTGCTGCAGTGATGAGCCATCTGCTTCTGCTCTGTTCAGCTTCCTTATCTTGAAACTCCACCAGTGTAAAGAATGGGCCAAGGTGGTCGAATATTGATGACTTGTCACTCAAGATGACATGGGGCGCACGACTGCCAGGCCAAGTAGTTGGTAGATACCCCCTAGGTTCCCACTCTGGTTTTTTTTCTGTCAGATCAGGAAGGCATACTGGAGAGTCGTAGCGGTAGCCCATTTCGATGCCCATATCCTTATTCTCTCCATCGTTTTCTTCGTAATGCTGCGAAAGAGTTTGCCGGAGGCTGATACCCTCTGGAGACGAGCTTTCGATTAACTCGGGTCTATCTCCCAGAAGCTGCACAGCTTTCAAGTGAACACCCATGTGTACGCCCGATCGTTGAACATTCTGGTACGCAATGGGTTTGCGCTCTGTTTCGTAAGTCCTCAACAAGCCATTCTGAGCATGTCCGTTGATCACTGCGGCAAGTTTCCAGCCGATGTCAAAGGCATCACCCAAACCCGTGTTCATGCCATAGCCACCCGTCGGAATATTTTGGTGCGCTGCGTTCCCAGCTAAGAAGATACGGAGGTCTGGACTGGCGAAAGACTTGGCTACAGCAATACTTGGCCGAAAAGTTGACCTCACTAGTACTTCATCGATCTTGATTTTGTACGGCTCGTGTAATCCACCAAGCACTGTATATATAGCGTCCTCGGAGGAAATAGAAGATTCATCGATGTCATTCAAGAGGGGATAATGGATAGTGAAGATGTCCTGCATAGACTTGGTTTAGTAAAATAGGCCGTGATTGCTAGATACTGTTGCATACCTTCTCATCCTGCGATATCACGGCACCTCCAAAGGTGCCGTTAGCAAACATGAACAAGTGCCAAAATCTTCCCTGCTTATGAAGATGTTCTAGATCGCGCGACTTGAAGTGAACGAGTAGGAATGACGCTTCGCTGTAGTCCTGTCGATTAGCTCGCCTCTCACCACGCTCTTGCATGTAATGAAACTCACGTTGGACCGCCATCGAGGTCTATGTCGAGGGATTTTCTACATCGGCTTGAAGCACCATCGCAAGCAATGACATAACTTGAAATGTACTCGCGTTGCCCTTGGCCTAGTTCCGTAACTGTGCAGCAGGCTTCTTGTTCAAGTTCATGGGTAGATTCCAGCTTGTAGCCATACTTGAGATCAATAAGGGGATTTTCCTGACACACGTCTCTCATCCATGTCTCAAATATATTCTGAGATACTCTCAAGTACGGCTCGGCTGGTTGACTGCCGTCGTTGGTAGATTCAATCTTCTTTCTGTACTGATCGACGGATATATGATCCCAACTTGCAAAAGCAGAACCTTGGCTTAAGCCCGTCGACATAAGAACAGTATAGGGGATATCACTTGGGACACCTGATTTAAGTTTAGCCAATAAAAGCATACAAGAATTTGACCCAGTAATAGATAACATACCCAGCTCACGTAGCTGATCTGCCAGCCCAATCTTCCTCAGCAGCTCCATAGATCTTGCGTTTGTTAAGTCCATTTTGGGCCATCTTCAACTTCGAATTTAATTCATCTTTTTCTGTCATGTGGAATGCGGGCATCTCACCTCGTAGGCTCAGCGTTGCGCTCTAAAACAATGCTTCGTACACCAAAATATGCAAGCACCGAGGCCACCATTAGCCCCACGGGCCCACCACCAATAACAAGGACAGTATCATCTGGAACTTTATGCGGCTCAGGCGTAGGCCGGGATTCGATGGTAGAGGCATCTGATTTCATGGTTAAGGCTGTGATCGGTGTGTTCGCGTTTCGATGCGCCAAACAGACCTACTGAGGGCACAGTTACTTGAAATTAAGCATTAGATTGCCCAAAAGGCTAAGGATGCCTCGGCTTGCGGTGTAGTCCAAGCCAAAGCTGATGAGGGGTTACGGAGTCCCGAAGGCCCGGTGCGTAAGGGGTGACTGTCCGGGCCGAAACGTATTGTTTTACCGGCAGCTTAGCGGAAAGCAGTAGAGGTAAACAAGTAGCAGTACGGTACAGACGCCTATGGTAAGGTTATGAAATTTGAATCCGTCAAATTTGGCATAACTAATCTGTTTGTATTTGACAATGGGCTCTAATTGAATAAAGAGCGAACTAGTGATTCGTGGCGATACATGTTATTAGGCCATATTGCCCCTCTCCCTCTTTGTGACGTTCATGATGGGCTCTAGAGACTTGATAATCATATGTTCCGGAACATCAGTTCCCTCTGGCATTTTACCATCAACCATACCCGGTGGGTGGATAAACCACTCTGGCACGACCCTGGTCCCTAATTTAGAAACCTCAAGGATTGTTCCACCGGGATACTCAGGAGACTCGATTCCATCGCTTATTGTCTTTGCAACCACTTCCGGCGTGATGGAAATATCTTCTCCAATACCAAATCTTTCCCCAGAGCCTGGTGTGCTTGTTGTCCAAATAGGAGTACTCACAATTCTACCAAATCAATCAGATGTTAGGCCGGGCTGCAGGATGGCGGATATCCTTTGGCTGTTCGACTTACCCTGGACAGACACCGATGACCTTGACGCCCTGGAACCTCTGTGCATCGCCCAGACTCCTAGTAAACCCAACCACGGCGTGTTTCGTTGCGCTATAGATAGGAGCCGGATACTGCTTGCTATATCCAGCAATGGAGGAAACAAGAGCCACGACGCCGTGTTTCTGTTTCCCAAGAAGCGCTCTTATTGCGAGCCTCGTAAACTTTATCTGTGAACTGAAGTATCAAAACATGCTATGAAGTCTCTTGTTGCTTCCTGGTTATAAACTCACCGGGTGGTTGACATTAATGTCGACATGCTTGTAACCATTGCTCTCAAGTGGCTCAGGATCTTCCCAGAAGTTGGAATACGGCTGTAGTTTAACAGTGGAAATTTAGCAAATACATCTTTCAACAGAATACCGAGAGATTGATCGTCTCACTGGCTCAAAAACACCCGCAGATGCCACGTAAATATCTGGAACGTTACCGAATTTGGTTATGCAAACATCAATCAAACGCTGTAAGTCGGCCCACTGAGTGACATCACAGTGTTGGAATGTTAGGTTTGTTGTTTCGGTCACAATCTTCTGGGCTTCATCTGTCAGTGCTATGTCTCCAATAACCACTGCTTTAGCTCCATTAGCCACAGCGAGGGTAGCATAAGAAAGTCCAATGCCTGATTTTTTGACATTAGTGATGCCTGAGTTGGTGGACGTATGAAGCCTCACCTGATCCTCCTCCTGTCACTACCACAATTTTATTCGAAGTCGAAAATGGCCAAGACATGTTGGTGTGACTGATGCGTTGAGTTGATAGAGATCCGCCGTTTCAGTTTGTATACCCAGGTGGGACGTTGGGACGCGAGGGCTGTCCAGTTTTCTGAGGCAGATGGATTCGATGTCCCGCCACGGGCCTGCCTACATGACTCCCGGAACCGCGGCATCTCTTGAAACACATCCCGACGTCTGGAAGTTCTTGTGGCACACGATGAAATAGCACCCGGATCCGGAAGCAAGGGCCCGCTCCTAGATCACGAGTCATTACCAAGAGATTTTCTTACATCAAAGCCGCATCTATGAGCAGAAGCTCTGGTATGGGAATAGAGTCTCACCATAAGTTTTGTGTTACAATACTATTGAAACGATCATGGCAATTATTTCCATCGCCCAAGAGCACGCTACTTTAATTTGCTGCACTATAGCGTTACTTGGCAGCTTTTATGTTTTGCCAAGGATTTTGAGATATGGCCGTCGGCCAAAGGACTTTCCCCCTGGTATGTATCAATTTGACAAATTTGAGGACTGAAGAAATGATCACTGGATCTGAACGTTTACCCAAGGACCTCCGACGTTACCTATTCTTGGCAACTTGCATCAGATGCCAACTAAGAACTTCCATCTTGAGTTTCAAAAGTTGGCCCATCAATGTACGAGCTTTGCCCTTATTCATAGAAATCTTTCATTAACTAGGATCCAGATGGGCCTATAGTGAGGATGAAGTTGGGTGGCTTAAACATGTTCCTCCTCAATGATCCTGCTGTGATTCGCGATTTGCTGGAGAAAAGAAGCAATAATTATTCATGTCGCCCAGACCTATATGCTCGACAGTTTGGGGATAATCTCAATATAGCGCTGAGAGAGTATGTCATCGAATCCAACTTGTTCGTAGAGAAGTACTGACCATGTGCCAGTAATGACGAGATATGGCGTCGCCAGAGGAAGATGTACCACGTCCGCTTAAACGTGAAGTCCGCCGATAGATACCTTCCTTATCAGGTGAGTTCCTGTTTCCGCTTTCGATTTGACCAAGATGACCAACTCATATGATTTTTGAACAGCATTGCGATAGTCTGCAGCTTCTAGATGATATTGTCGACCGCCCAGATGCTTGGCTAGAACATATCCAGAGATACACTGCCAGTATCTCAACCACTTTGCTATACGGGTGGAGAACACCTCACACCAACACAGGTTACGTCAAAGACCTTCTTGAAGTATATAATATGAATGCCCATTTTGGGTTTCTTCTATTATTGATCGTCTAGAAAACTAATAGAGTCATTGATAGTGGATGGATGTCACCTCCGAAGCTCTGAACTTCCAGCTTGTTGACTTTTATCCTTCGCTGCGCATTCTCTATAAACTCCTCCCTGGCTGGGTGCTTCCAAATAAAAGAAAACTCCAAAACCTTCAGAAACTGGAAAACCGAGTATTTTACGATCTATTGGGAAAAGCAAAGGAGAAGTTGGAAGCTGGACAGGCTCATCCCAGTTTGTGCCCTGCTAACATCGTCATTGTTGCTTCCTAACCTCAACACAGGCTTTATCCGCGATATGCTGACGGACCAAGACCAAGACCGGCTAGATGACCGCCAAATTGCGAACAATGCGGCACATGGCTTCGGGGCCGCAATGTGAGGTTAACCCTGGAATATATTATCTACCTCACGCTAACAACCCGAAGGGACACTTCGGCGAATACCCTTGTGGGATTTATAAAGGTCAGAAAGAATATCTGCCTCTGTGATCATATAACCTAACTCTAGAATAGGCCATGGTCATGTTTCCTGATGTTCAAGCAAAAGGGCAAGAAGAAATCGACGCCGTCATCGGAAGCGATCGGTTACCGCAATGGGACGATCGCGACCGCCTCCCCTACATTCGTGGAATAGTGGAAGAGACTTTCAGATGTGAGTAGTATCACTCCAGTCTTTCTCATGTAGTGCGAATGTGCTGAATACATCAGGGGCTCCGAGTCCTCTTAGTGCGGCGGTCCCACACGCAGCTAAAGAAGACGACGTGTATAATGGTATGGTTATCCCGAAGGGATCAATGATGATGATAAACGTAAGATTTACTTCACTTGAATTTATGCCAAAGGGCAACAAGCGTCGGTGAGGCTGAATGTGTTAATGTATAGGTTTGGACTCTGAATCATGATCGTTTCCCCAATGCTCGCGATTTTGATCCCACGAGGTATACACCTGAATCAACTTTGGTGGAAAATAACTCCATCAGCCAAGATTCTCCGCGTCGAATGCATTTCACGTTTGGGGCTGGGAGGCGAGTTTGCCCGGGATTCCATGTGGCCGAAAGGAACATATTTATAGCGGTATCTCGCTTGCTCTGGGGCTTTAATTTCCACCGAGCCCTGGACGCAAGTGGCAAAATAATTCCGATTAATCGAGACGCGGTAACTCCTGGCCTTATTGTGCGACCGGAAGATTTTGAGTAAGTATGAAACATAGAATTGGTCTAACTAAAGTTTTCTAACCATCTTCAGGTGTGCGATCAAGGTTCGTAGCAAGAGCCGTGAAGAGTTTATTCGAAAGAGCTGGAGTGACGCCCAAGAGAATCTTGACAGCGAAGGAAACTTCACGTCGGAGTTTATCAAAGCCTCATTCACATAAGTGCCCCAACTAGCTACGTTATAGCCCAGAATATGAAATGGAGTACTTCAATAACTAGGCGGTGGTGAATCGTTACAAGGGTTACAAGTCCAAGTTAAAGTACTCACATTCGAGCGACCGCAAAAGTTTGCCGACTATGAGCAAGCCACTAATAGACCCTTAATAACACACAGGACTCATTGTGCTAAGTTGTCGGGCTCTGGCAGCTTTCATTACTGTTGAACTTTATTCTCTTTCTCTTACTTACGTATAACACACAGGACGGCATATTCGATGATTCATATTGAAGTTCAAAGTTTAGTATCAACATTATGTAAATTCATGAATGTTTAAAGATATAACAAATGTTCTTGCCAATTGCTAATGAGGGTATTTTACTCATCGTGGTAGGAGGAGAACCATGGACCTGTGTTGGATAAATCAACTCCCTACTCTCTGGTTTTGTAAAAGTCCTCATCGACTTTCTTGCCTTCGTGAGATAGCATCATTTCAATATTCCAATCTTCATGAACGTGTCAGGGTGGCACATTTTTTGACTGAAACGGCGCTCCATCCAGCAAATGAGATTTCACCGCTTCGATGTTCTCCTCGGCGTAGTCAACTGCATCCACACCAAGCAGCCAGGCTGGCTGAGGAAGCTTCAGAAATTCAGGGTTTGAGGCAACAGCATTCCAGTCAGTCTGGTGCCAGACGTGGCGAGTCTCCCATCCCATCCGCTGGGTGAGGCTTGTCCGTTCGTAACTTAATGTTGGTTAGTAAAATCGCTTAAGAAAAGAACTTGTCTCGCTTACCGTAGTTTCTCATAAGATCTGAGAGCAAGTGGGATGTTTTGTTTCCCAAATTTTTCAAGGACGACTGCGATCGTAGCGGCATCCTCAATCGCCTGCGCTGCTCCAGTGCCAGAAGTGGCGAGGTGTGGGTGTGCCGCATCGCCCAGTAAACAAACACGGCCGCCGTCTGATACCCATTTCGAGACGGGATCTCTCCAAAGAAGTTTGTAATCAATGAGGCATTCAGGAGGAATGTGTTGGATAACGTGCCTAAGAACCGGATCCCACCCTTCTACACAAGTCAACATGTCCTCGACATCTCCAGGGAGATTCCAGTCCTCTACAACATCCGAGAGATCCTATTTAATGACAACTTAGTATTCAACAGGGTTTAGAACGGAAGGCGAATTTATTCCTACTTTGTGAGTGACGAAGCATGTCGCAGTTTGAAGTGCGCGATTTGTCGTTAGAATGGCATGCGTATTTTCTCCTATCCAGATTTGGAATAAGTCTTTCTTAGACTCGTAGATTGATCTTGTAACAGGGTCGTTCTTCAACTGGACGAGGGGAAACCAAGATCGATATACAGCGAAGCCACTCTTCTTTGGCCTTTCTGCAGCGCCAGTGACGTAGCCTCTGGTCCGGCTATGAACTCCATCAGATGCAAGCACAACATCGGCGGTATACTTAACACCACCAACAATGACACCGGTAGAATCCCCCTCTTCAAAAACCTCGGTCACGGTTGCTCCAAAGTCTACTCGGACCCCATGCTTCACGGCCTCGTCGAACAATCTCTTTTGGATTCTGCCCCTATGACTATAAATGTTGGGGAAGCCACCAAACTCAGTATGGAGTTGTTGATCAAAGAGGAGTTTTCCGTCCTTATTCTGAATCGCAAGAACTGTTGGTAGCGCTGACTCCTTAACAGTCTCGCTCAACACATCACCCCATCGGCTCATAAGCCTGGTTGCGTTTGCCGGTACTTGAATCACGTCCCCTGCTATGGTTCAGCGTCCTTATCTTGTGAGAATACGCTTTCACTTGTACCTTGTTTGGTCATGTCGGGATAAGATTCAAAGACTTGAACATCAGCACCCTTTAGGGCTAGTTCAATACTTGCGGAGAGTCCTCCATAACCTGCGCCAATTACGATCGCAGTTATGCCACTTAGGGATGTCTTCTGGGCCATGTTATCGTCGCCTAAAATGTGTGGTGTGGTGCTGAAAGTTTGAAACTTGACAGATGGCAATCTCGTTCAAATTGTGCGGGAGCAAACAGTTGATAATTTTATGGAATTTGAATCATTCAAATCTTGTAAAATATCCCGGTCTCTTAATATCATCCATCGATGGTTTGCGCGGCACATTGCTACTCCCGGCTGTACGATCTAGCCTATACGACTTTTACCAGAGTTCATCTCGGGTCGGTTTACATGGATCCTTCCCGGCTCATCTTGTCAGTGATTAGATGTCTATAATCACATATCACCTTTTCATGCGAATTTGAATCATTCCCGTTATTATTCCTGAATTCTCTGCCCTCAGTTTCATCAGCTTGTTTCTGTTTGGCGGAAGCCGGAACTCTTTGGACCCGGACACCCGGACCAATGACGAACCTAGTCCCGCTGACCAAGAGAAAGCATTTGATTGTATGCTTGAAGTGACCCACGAGTAATAGACCTGCCCAGCTGTGGATATGGCCTGACTGGCCGTGGAACCCTGTTTCCCTGTTTTGGGTTACATTTTCCCCGCTCTCAAGGAGCAGGCATGCTTCCCCAGATTCTCGCCTCCCGAGCTTAGTCTTCTCGGTCTTTTCTCTAAGTACACACTTTGCTATAGGTTTGATTGTGTTGAGTAATACTTCACCTGCACAAGGGGATGCAAGCTAGGAGGTCACTTTTGGGACCACAAGTCGGTCGTGCATGGATAAGCTGGTTTTCCGACTGTGGAGGGGCATCGCTGCTTTGTATGCGTCAATGCTATGTTTCTATGGCACCAAACGCACGGTGACATGTCAATGTAATGCCTTCCCCGCATTGAATGGTGGTGTGCAGGATTAGCAACAACAGACCTACAACCCTCGGTAATCCGACCTGCGTCGCCACCCCGAGCCCCTGAGAACCAACATAGTCCGGATACACGACCAGGCAGAGGAACAGTAGCAAATCATCAAAAAAAAATTGACGCCTTCGGCAGGAGACCAGAACCTCGATTTTCTCTGCCCGGGGGCATCACTTAGGAGGCGCGCGTAAAAATGCCTCCTCAGCGCGAATCCACCAAATGTCCGCTCGCCTGCGAATATTGTAGGGTGAAAAAAGCAAAATGCAAGTCACCAAAATGATGTTCTAGATCTGTTTCACACTGACGGGTCATCTCACCATAGGTAGTGGGATATTTCCTTGTGGTAATTGTACAGTCAGTGATACTCATCAGGGGTCTGGAATCTCCAGGTGCTCACACATCTCAGGATCATCATGAGCCATGTGTCTTTCCAGAGAAGCGAAAAAGGACAAGAAAACGCAAGGAACGCGAGATAGATATGGAAGATAGGTTGGCGCGAATGGAAGAATTACTCCGTGCCTCGGCTGCTCAGAACTCTATCAGCGAGAGTCAGTCAAGTGGCAGGATCAACTCCCCAGATCTGTCGCAGGAACCATGGATGAGAAACACCGAGCAGAGTGTACAAAACAACTGCAACGGTGGGACCGCGGGACAGACGCCTCCGCAATTGACCCCATCGGCGCAGGAAGTCTCCAGCGCGACTATCGTGGCCTCACCATATCCTGCCATGTCTCTGATTTTCCCAGATGAAACAGATTACAGCCAGCCGCTGGACCAGGACACCATCACTATTGATGCAAGCTGTTCTCAGATGCCGGCCGTTCAAACCACGAATACCATATGCGCAGCATCAAACTTTCGTGTGCCAGTCTCGCCACCAAGCACAACTGCAGCAGAACACACTGCGTCAATCGAGGCTGGGGTAACATACGCTTCTCCTGTTAGACCTTCAAAAGACCATTCATAGCTAACTTTCTCTGCTAGGACCAGACTGAGAACCAAGGTAAGCAGTAGTGAATTTATATATGATAAACAACAGAACTGGAATTCACCTAAAGTTGACTTCATTCCAGAATGTGCCTCCTACCTATCGATATGCACATTCCCAGCAATCAAGTGGGTATCTAGCCAGGCAGGAATGTCCGATTTCCTCGTTAGTGCTAGGCGGTTATCAAAGACAGTCATGCAGGGAGAGAGCCTTGGCCAAGTAGTTGGCTCGGCGAGGACGGCAGAACCCAGTTACCAGGTGGCCATGGAGTGGTCAAAAGGTATTCATGAAAGTTCGGTCCTAATGAGAGGCTTTCAAATTGCTGATAAGCTTGACTAGCATACTTTGACAGCTGCCTTGACTCAATCTTCGGTATCATTCACCGAGAAGATTTCGAAAACCGCCTTCGAGACCATTTTCAAACAAATCCGGATTCCCGCTCAGATGCATCCTGGTACGCATTGAGAAACACAATATATGCTTCAGGCTGCCGGGTCTCTCTTTGTGCGGACTCGGGCCCAGAGTCTTTTTCCAGATCGAGGGAACAATCTTGGAAGTATTTTGAAAATGCACTCTCTGTCCATACAGAGTTGTTATATGTCAGTACAGATATAATGTCAATCCAAGCCTTGATTTTGATGGTAAGTTGGAACTGGTTGACTATACAATGTTGAGTCGAATTAGGGACTGATTTCACATCGCAAAGGCATTCCATGCAGAGGCTCTAGGAACACCTGCTCTTGAGTTTATGTTAGTGTCAAGCGCGACTAGGTTAGCACAAGCCAAAGGACTACATATGCGATACTCTCGATCTAGTAAAGACAATCAGACCGATACTCTCTCAAAACAGTGTCTTTGGTGGATTATCTACGCGTACGAAAAACATCTCGCTTATCGATCAGGGTTACCATCGGTAAGATCAACTGGATGAAAGCAATTGGCAGATTTCTAAACCAAATAACAGGCCATTGATGATGACTCTATGACATGCTTAGTTCCTACAGAGCTGAGGCTCGGATCCGGTACCACTATGGAGTTCGTCAAGCAAACTATCTCTCTCGCCCGGTTATCGTCATCTATCACAAAGAGACTAAGTGCTGTTAAAGCCATGACAGATCCTCCAGATGTACTACTTACGACAGTTCACGATCTTGATCAAAAACTCAAGATGTGGCGAGAGGGGCTAGATCCAACATTCCAAAAGCAGCCCCCGTTTCGAACACATTGCATGCCTCAGAGTACTCAGGTAGCGCATATGCTCTACCTCCACTACAGCTACCATGCTTTGTTGATAGCAGTACATGGAGTCTTCTGCTATCCATGGAACAGGCCTGATCTCCAAAACAACGAAAAGCCCGAGATCAAGGCCCAAGTGCAGAGAAGCACTGAGGCAGTAGCGGAGTCTTCGCGACAGATCATAATTGCTGTGCAACATGTCGAGATCACTGCAGCCTTGCCTGTCTGGTAATCTACTAAATTTTACTCTTCAAGTTATTTTAAATCATATGCTAATTAACTTTTAGGCTCACCTTTTACTTTCCTCTTGTGGGGTTGATCAACATGTTTGTTTGCGTTCTCAAGAACCCACTCAATCCTTCTACTATGTCGAACCTCGCTTTAATGGATATCGTGGTCGGCCATTTTGGCTACGTTGAGTTCTTGTCCTCGTCAAAACTAGATCTTTCATTCCCGAGAGAGGTTGCGTCATATGCAAGAAACCTCGTAAAGAATGTGAGGGAGGAGAACGATCATAGCAACTCAACCAGTCAGTCATTAAATGTGCAGTCATCGGTCCCTGCCCAGGATCCAATTGGAACAGTAGATGTTCGTACCTCCCCCCCTAGCCTTGAAATCCCAAACTTACATAAATTCATTTTTCAGATGTCAGTGTTCGACCCTGTGCTAGGACTAGAAGATTGGTGCACATTCCTGCCTTCGATTCCATCACTCGATATATTTGAAGAGCCCTTTCTCGGAGACCGAGGCTAAGCGTTGAGTAACGCCTTGTAAGTTGTCCATGACTCAGTTAGCGCATAATTATCTGGAAATACAACAAAGCGATGGCGAAAACATCAGGAGGACTGCTAATCAAATAACTTTACGTGTAAACAATAATCAAGAAAATGGTGTTCCAAAGGCGAAGGAATTCATTCAATAAAACCTGCTATCATCTCATATGCCAGGAGCAGAAAGATTCGTATTATAGGCTCTACTAAATTGACGGTATAAGAATATGCCTAACATCCGTTATTAGAGAATGTCCGAGATGCCGGCACACCGGAACGAAGGGCTAATGTGGTCGACAATCATCCGGATGTATCTTATTTTGGCTCGGGATGCCAGTCCCTATGTCCGGCTGCAAACAAACAGCTAAGTATAACCTAGACCCAACACGCTACTTCTTGATGCAACTTTTCGCTGGGAAGCTTCTTTGTAGTTTTTAATCATTGAACCATTGAAATTCAACACCTCGATCATGATGCCCAACTTCAACCGCCTGGTTCGTTTCAAAGATACTGATGAAAATATCAGATATGGCGAGGCCCCTTCTTCAGGAAAATTGATAGGCTCTGAGGTAGAGGTCTACAGTGGAACCGAACCCTGGAATCTAAGTCCGACAAAGGAGAGAGCAGTAATTTCCGAGGTATGCCCTTCATATTATTCCAACGCATATACGCCTTGAACTCACGCCAGACCAATTTTCAGGTTCTTGCTCCGTTGAATCACACTCCGATTATTTATGGAATTGGTTTGAATTATAAGACGCACATAGCTGAGGCAGGCTGGCCAACTCCTCCATATCCCACCGTGTTTACGAAGCCCCCTGGAGCTCTCAATGGCCCATTCTCGACGGTTCCCGTTCATCCACAATGCACTTTGATGGACTATGAAGGGGAGTTGGCTGTTATTATTGGGAAAGATTGTAAGGACGTCGGTGATCCCGCAGACGCTCTCGAGTTCGTATTGGGATACACTGCGGCAAATGATGTGAGTAGTCGATACTGGCAGGCACCGGAGATCAGCGGTCAGCAGCATGGATATGCGAAGAGCTTCGATGGGTTTGCTCCTATTGGACCTGTGCTCGTCTCTACGACAGCCGCTGGGCCTGTTGGTGACATGGTCCTCGTGACCCGAGTTAATGATCAGGAACGGCAACGAGCCAAACTAGACGATCTTCTGTTTGGCGTTGGTGATTTGATTGTTCACTTAAGCCGCGGCACAACTTTAAAGGCAGGCACTATCATATTAACTGGAACCCCGGGCGGAGTTGCAGCCTTCATGAAGCCGCCTGCCTGGCTCAAGACAGGTGACACAGTGGAGGTAGAGATATCGGGCATCGGAAGCATTTTGAACGAGTACGTATATCAATGAAACGCTGTCCTAGCTATAGTATCAACTGAAACGAGTCACACATAACATTTCAACATGTCCTATATTCTTCCATCGCAGGCTTCGTGCTGTCATAATCCCCCCACGTGTCTCACCGATACTCTCAATCCTTTCTGAGAAGATAGTCGTCTTTCTGAACAAGGCTTCCTGCTACTCTACTGGGCCCGGCTTCATGTAGCTTGGCATATCAGCGTGACAATCACCAATCACACCAAGCCAGTTGAGTGGCAGATGATAGAACATGACCACCGCACCAGCAGAGAATCCGATGACAGCAAATGTCCTCACCGCATTTTGTAAACGCGGATGCCAGTGTTCATAGCCTGCTTCAACCGGGGAACGGCCAGTTTCAAAGGCTTTGAGCCTCATGGCAGTGAATATACAACCGAGACTTGCGACAAAGATGGACTCGTAGATTGGGAACTGGTAAACCTTTTCCGGGAAAAGGGTCAAGGGTCGGTATGTTTTCGCAAACCCATATCCATGAGTGATGCGGATAGCCAGGTTCTCAATGACAAAGTCCAATATGAATTCGATGCACCAGACAATCGTGAGAATACCGGCATTGCTCAGCTGTGGAAATCGAGCTTTGAGTGGTTTTGCCATCTTGGAACCAACGATTCCAAAACCAGCACAAAAGTATACGTACATAGGAGGTCCCCAAAGAAGGCTCTCGGCATATCTGCTGGATGATGCATGGTTGTGAAAGGGCAAGAACTTGGCCCAGACCCCGATGTTAATGCTGTGGGAATTCCACATGAAGATGTACTGATAGCAGTTCAGAAATCCGTCGGCGCAGAGGGCCACCAAGCCGCCAATAACATGCCGGCCGTCGAGTGTAAATTCCGGTGTCTTGTCTGTTCTCTTGAAATGTTTCAAGTACGGGAAAGCCGGCACAAGGATGCAGAACCAGATATGAACAAGAAGGACACCGACGCTTAACGCCTCAAAGATTCGCAAGCATACAAGGCGCCATGTCTCAATTTCATCCGGCCCCAAGACCGGTGCTGGTCGGAATTCGGTCGGAGAAGAGATCCAACGTATGAGGGCTTGTATCCACATAATAGTAAAAACAAGACCAAAGGTGGCCATGGTTGAAGCTGTTCCATCGCGTGGCTTTTCTGTCGCTTTCCCACCGTGGCCATTGTTGATCAGCGGGCTACTTTCGTCCACTTCATCATCGTCATATCTAGATCCATTGCGATGGCGGGGAAGAATAGTGCTCATAGTGTCAGGGCAAGCGCTTTCAATGATTTGTATGATTTCTAGTGTAATGAGTTACAAGGTTAAGTTCATAGTGTTTCTCAATACATTGGCTCTCATTTTAAGAAAAAAGACTCATTGCATTTTATGGCCAAAACTCCAGTCAATCAATGCGATTCCACGGAACCGGTAGACTGTCTCCCGTCAGTTCCGGGCGCGGAAGTAACGTAGCCTGGATACGTAAAGATCAAAAGCCGTCTTGGCAGAAGTTTCCCAATCATGTGATTTCGATTCAATAAATTATTCACCAAACGGCGACCAGATGATCATGCACTTTACAAAGCCTTCCTATATCCAGCCCCTTCAATACTGGTATAGATACATCACCCTTGCGCTTCCCCGTGTCCCAATTCAGCAAGTCGGCTCCGAGGTTTGTGAGGGGTTGCCGAGGGCATCATTTCCCAAATCCCGGACAATCTTTACCCTGGAGATATGGAGGTAATACTACCCTTTGACCCGACTGACCTTGGTTTCAATCGAGAAAACTCCGTTCTCGATGACAAATCTAGCACTGCCCACAAATAGACTCGTTCCCAGTTTCTTTAGGGACTCCGATCCGGTTTCAAGAGTAACATGGGATAGTGCCTTGCCAAAGGATGTAGATTTGGCTTTTGGGTCTCCCGCCAGAATAGCAACCAGTGCCTCATCCACCTCGACCAGTCCCGTGTACTTGTAGCTCAGCAGGGCACCGTCACTGTTTCTGTCGGGAAACCAGATTAATGACACGCAGTGTGCATAGAATATTTCTATTGATAACTTACCTCAGAACCGCATTAACATCTATTTGCGTGTGAGTTTGTGTTGGCGCCGTACGTGCCATATCCGACCCCATGACCACCTCAGCATCAAGCGGGATTTCGAATCCGGGCTCGCTAGTGAGTTTACCAGATGTAACTGGCTTTGATCGAAGTAACAAGTTTAGTTTAATTGTCGGAATTTTCATTCGTTTAGCAGGAGCTTACAAAAGCACTAAGCATTTCGCCGCTGAGGATGCCTCCTAGTCCAATTATTAGAAAGGTGGTTATCAAAGCACGAGATAAGTCAGGTCTAATCACCTATGTTATAATCTTTCCCAGGGTATAAATGCACTGTGAATGCTGGCTCGAGAGAAGGGAACTGATCAGTAGCCATAATGATTGTGGCAAAATATAAATTGCAAACGAACTTATTCAATAACAAAAGCAAGCCACGTTAGGATCCGTATAGACCAGAGTATATCACGGAAATGAGCAAGTATTCAATTCACATCTTATGGGCATTGAGCGGGAAGCAATCAAGCAAGCGTCAAATCTAACGGGGTCCATCCTCCGGCCCGAGACTGTCACTCTAGGAAGTCAGTTTTCCACTTACGCTCCGGGGCATCCGGCGGAGGATACAGGTCTCGCCACCTAGAATAATCCTGGGTCATGAGAGTGAAGGCAAAAGATATCTCCGTTTTAATATAATCATCCATTTGAAGTTTCTTTCTATGCTAAAGCCGGGAGCTATTCCATTTCTGCTGCTGTTGAGCATCCGCCTGCTCGATCTGGACAAATTGCTTGTAAAATCCCAAACACTCCGGGTTGGCAACTGTAGAGCTTACTTGAGGATTCTGGCCGCTAATGATTTTCTTAACAAGGATCTCTATTTTCTTCCCATTGATTGTATGAGGTATGTCCGGAACCTCAAAGATGTAGCGTGGCACGTGTCTTGCGCTGAGCTTGGATCGCACAGCCTCACGAAGCCTGGTTACCACAGAGCTGGTGAACTTATATGCAGGATACATCTGCACAAACAGGACGACGGTCTCATCACTATCATGCTCTCGTCTTTGCCCCACGCAGAGACTATCCAAAACTTCTTTGTCGCCGTCGATAACGTTGTATATTTCCGCGGATCCGAAACGAACACCGGCTGGATTCAACACGCCATCCGACCTTCCATGAGTCAAATAACCGCCTGTAGATGGGTTTCTGGATACGAAGTCGCCCTGTGCCCACACCCGCTCGCCAAATCTCGAGAAATAAGAATTTTTGTACTTCTCTCCCGTACTGTCACCCCAAAAGGAAACCGGCTGGCTGGGGAAAGGACGTGTACAAACGAGTTCTCCCGGTGTGTCTGTCGTTCTAATCGAGACTCCCAAATCATTGTCGACATCAAATATATCAACAGCCATGCCAAGAGCTGCTGCTTGAATCTCTCCAGCATGGAGCGGCTGTGTTGCTGCTCCAGAGATCAAAGAGCAAGCCAAGTCGGTGCCTCCACATGTTGAAACGAGATGTATGTTTTGGGGAAAGGCTTCCTTATAGAACCACCTCGCAACTTTTGCGGTAAGAGTGCTACCTGTTGAAGTAATTGTTCGAAGGCTAGAGAGGTCGATCAGGTCCCTCGGCTTCACGCCGTTATCCATGAGCATGGATAGAAACTTGGCCGACGTGCCAAGTACATTGACTCTGAGTCGCTCGACCAGCCGAAGTAAAACAAGAGGGTCGGGAACAAATGGCGAGCCGTCATAGACAACAACACGGCCGCCAAAAGACAAGGAGACCAAAACCATGGCCCACATAATCCAACCCGTTGTTGTATACTGCAAAATAGCGTCTCCTGCACGGACGTCGTAGCTGAAGAAGGAATCTTTTCTGACTTGTAGCAGTAAACCCCCAGCGGAATGGACAATGCACTTTGGAGGACCACTGGTACCTGACGAGTACACAATAAATGCTGGGTGATCGAAAGGCAGTTGCTTAAATGTCAACGGCCGTCCGCTGTCCTGGTCCAAGAATTGGTCCCAGGTGGTTATCTTGTGATAATTTTCGGTAGGGACCTTCCTTTGCCCCGATATAACGACCACCTTCGTGAGCTGAGAGTCTTTGCTTAAGACCTTGGTCCACTGGCAGTGGCTAGGCAGTAGGTCTCGCAGCTTCGCGTTATAAGTCACTTCGCTCTCGCAAAACACGAGCTTGGGCCGAATCTGAGTCAACCGGCTCAACACCCCTTCCACACCCATATCCGGTGACGAGCTTGACCATATAGCCCCGATAGAGAGCGCTGCCAAGCATATCACAATAGTCTCCAGCCGGTTCGAGATAACCGCCGCGATGCGATCTCCCTCCTGTACGCCTAAAGCAAGCATAGCTCCAGCGACCTGTGCAACATCATCACGCAGTTCACGCCACGTTACGTTTCGAATATGATCTGCGCCTTCCGAAACGATATGCATGGCTGTTTCCTCCGCCTGGTAATTAGAAAAAATATTTTCTGCGAAATTCATCTTCGTCCCCGGGAAGAATTTGACAGGTGGATGCATTGCATCTAACCCCTTGGGCTAGGCAACTCCATTAGCCATGGTATGATCACAAAATGGAATGACGGAGGTGGCATTACTCTCACATGAGGTTGTATCGCTGCATGCGGTCCTTCGCTTGCCTTGATTCCGAGATACTCGAAGACTTCTATCCAGAAGACGGGGGCTGTGGATGCGTTCGTCGACCACGCCCACAGCGATTCATAGTCCGTGACAGCAGCTCCATGTTTCTCCTTTGCTATTCGTATCAGGTTTTTAATATGGAAGCCAGATGATGGCAACGGTTTCCATAGCACATCAGATGGATGCTCTGCATGAGAGTTCATGGTCATTAGCGATAGACTCTTGAGTACTCTTGATCACTGCAATTGGCAGATTGCTACGTATTTGCTGCGAGCAGAGTCCTCGAATTCTTATTTTCCCCGCATCAGTGTGTCATTATTCATCATGGGGGTGCGTGCTCCACGTCAGGACTGTTGATCTGCGAGGTTGTATTTCCCTCGGCTAATCGGGATGATTCAGAATCCGGAACGAGCTGTCATCCTTCCGGGCCGAGGGTCTTTGTATTGCAACTTGCTCAGCAAACTCAGGCGAGGGGTTGTATTGTCTGTTTCATTACCTAAGCCCTTCGCAGCGCAGCCGAACTCTACTTTCGCAGAAGCCTTGTACAGGATCCCCCAGTAGCAACCTACTCCGTCCGCAGATGATAACCTCTTATGGCCTGCGGTATTGAAGAAATGGATCCGCCGTCAGCAAGCCTCGCACCACACAGCTGCGTCATACATACTCCTCCCACAGCTTCAAGTCAGACTCGTTTTGTAACAGCGACATTACATCTAAGCACTATCCTATATAACGCTCCTATTAAAGTCTACTTCTATTCTTAAATCTGATTGATGATTTAACAATCTCAGCGAGGTGAAAGCTAGAACTAATAAACTTACTCTATAATAATAATAATATCATTTTCTTATTATAATTAAATATTTTTGTCTTTATCTTATTTAATTATATTAAGATATTTAGTTTTATTAAAGATAAAAGTAAAATTTTATTATACAGTTAAAATCATTCTAGCTAGAATATCGTTATATCAAAGATTGCATAGACCAGGTTTACTATGGTATCATGCAACTAGCAAATCCCTAAATATTGCTCACGTGACTCTAACGTTTCCCCATGGCACGGCTGATGATGATGGAAACGTGTCAAGTCCTGTCATATTCGAACGTTCCTCCCCACTGCCTTCTGATATCACAAAAATCGCCCGCCGAATTGCTAGCAAGAAATATATGTACCACTTTGTAGTCTATTACTGGAACTGTAGCCTGACTGCAGAACGACGATCAAGACCTAGATTCTAGTAGTCCAGCCACGCTCTACCCCTAAATCGGTCGCTGCTCCTCGTATTCCTACACTCGACCAGCACAGTTGTTGAACATATGCGACGGAGATCAGAGCCGCAAAGTAGCTTTCCAAGTCCGAGACATAAAGAGACAAAACCGCTACAACATCCACGACAATAGCTGCGAGCCTGCTCCTTTGTTAAACGGGAACATTATTATTACCAAATTGACCAGCACGTGCCTTGTGACCTACAATGGCAGACTTAGTCGCAGCAATACTGCAATTTGAATTAGCTGTCGCTCTGACAACCGAAGACATTAATGGCGGCGCGCAGAGGTCATTTGATGCCGGAATGAGACACCTCATGAATTATCAACAATCCGGGGCGATGAAAAGTTTTAGTATAGCTTCTCACGACCTTGGCGGAGTTATCGAATTAGCAGCCGCGGATCATCGAAGCCGGGATGAACGACATTACAAGCTTGGTGTAAGCTATCTCATTCGGTACTGTGAAAGAGAAGTAACGGCGGACCTGGAAGCGGCTATTCAGCAACTTCAAGAAGCAGTCGAGTTAACATCACAAGACGATTCTCATTTACCGGAAAGGCTTTACACTCTTGGGATAGGGTATTTCGAAAATTATCGGAGATCTGGGACCACAAATCATCTAGACAACGCCGCCCGAAGTTTCGAACGAGCCGTTGTATCAACTCCACATGATTGTCAAAAACGAGCACAGCGAGTTTATACTCTTAGTCTAGCGCACAGTGCTAATTGTTCAAACTCGATGAGCCTAATCGACCTGTCTACTGCTATTGGAATTTTGCAGGAGAAGGTTGAGTCAGCACCGAAAAATGACTCTGCCATGGCAGAAAGTCTCTATCGCCTCGGAGAGCTTCACTATGCCAAGTATACCCAGACGGAAGAAATATCTGATCTGAATATGGCCATTGAATCATTAAAAGAATCAATCAATCTTACACCCGACAGCCATACTGATCTATCTGATCGGTATCGAAAGCTTGGGTGGGCGTATTCCGACAAGTATCGCAAAACGAGAGTTCTTGAAGATCTCAAAGCGGCAGATCAACAATTTAAAAAAGCTCATGATTGTTTTCCAGGCATTTCGGTTCGCAATCATCTCCGATTTGCAGATCCTAACCACAAAACCCATACGGCTTCGGCGCCTCCAGTCACTGATTCGGAAAATGAACCTGGACAACTCCCTAAAACTCTCGAATTGATAGCAACTCATCAACCTGACCAAGTAGAGAAACTATATTCGCTTGGACTAGACCACCTTGAGCGTTATTCAGCTACACAGTCAGTCGAGGATTTGGAGACCGGTACCCAATATCTTCAATCCGCGATTGATCGAACGCCAGATGGCGATCCCAGCCGCGGCGAGCGACTTTACCAGCTTGGCGAGGGCCTCCACGCAAAGTATGCGATAACACAATGCGTGGAAGATCTAGAGACGGCTATCCAGAGGTTTAAACAATCACTTGACTTGGCCATTCCAAATGACCCTAGTCTCTCGGATAGACATGATAGCCTCGGCTCAGCATACTATCACAGGTACCAAGCCTTGGAATCAAGACCAGACCTAGGGTATGCCATTCAGCAATTTGAAAAAGCTCTAGACTTAACTCCAAAGAATCACCCTGACCAAGGAAATCGACTTATTTCTCTTGGAACAGTATATTATGCTCAGTTTTCAAACACGGAAAATATGGCGGATTTGGATTTATCTATTCATCACTTCCAAAAGGCTACCGACTATGCATTGGAAGACGAAATGAAACGAGCCGAGCTTGCTTCGAATTTCGGGCTTGCTTCGAATTTCGGGCTTGCTTCGAATTTCGGGTTTGCTTATCTTGCCAAGTTCTCCCATACAAAGAGCAATGCTCATCTGGAACGAGTAATTCAATTATTTGAAGAGGCCCTCGACCTGGAGCTTGATCTTGATATCGTATTTAATCTTGGGTCAGCGTATCGAGAGAAGTATATGAGAACAGGAGATAAGAATCATCTTTACTCTGCGATCGAATACTACGAGGAAGCCGTTGACTCCATGTCAGAGGATCATCCTGACCGGGCTGAACGACTTGGTAATCTTGGATATGGATATCTCTATCGATATTATATCACAGGGGCAATGGAAGATTTCGAAGCATGCTTTGAGAAGTACCAAGAAGCTCTCAGGGCAGCACCAGGGGAAGAGTCTACTCAGGCAACCGAGCTTTTTCAAGTTGGACTTGCTCATTCTGCCAAATTCCAAAGACTAGGAGGCAATACTGATTTGGAGCTTGCAATAGAGTACTGTCAAAAGTCTGTTGATTTTACACCGGAAGATCATCCTGAGATGTTGAACCGCCTTCATAATCTTGGCTTAAATCACCTCTTCAAATACAAGTCTACACGGCTTGTGGACGACTGGGACTCAGCTATCACACAAATCCAGAAAGCAATAAACTTAGTTACAGATAATAGTTATGACCCTGGCGATCCATTCAACAGTCTCGGATTAGCATACGATTATCGATACTTGGAATCAAATAATATAGAGCATTTAGAGAGCTCCATTCAATATTTCGAGGAGGCGGTCAATCGCACAGCAGAGACTCACCCGAGTCGCGGACAGCGACTCTGTATGTTAGGACGACAACATCTTCACAAGTATTCAGTCACAGAGTCAGAAGAGAGTCTAAACGCTTCAGTGAACATATTTGAAGAAATTCTGGGCCAATCTCAGTCCGCTCCCGAGGATCGGGCATTTGCTGGCCAGAAACTGTACCCGTTGTATGCGTGTGATGAAGATTGGCTAGCGGCGTACAAGGCTGTGTCCGCGGCCGTGTCAGCCATACCGTTACTATCACCTCACTCTCTCCAGAATATAGACAAGCAGGACGTGTCCAGTGGGTTCATAGGTCTGGCCTCAGATGCAGCATCCATCTGCTTGCATGCTGAGCAATCGCCCTACAATGCAATTCGCCTCCTTGAGCTAGGCCGCGGGGTTATCGCGGGCTCTTCCAACGAGTTGCGTGCAGATATATCTAATCTTCGACGTAAGCATCCTGTTCTGGCAGAGGAGTATCTTCAGCTCCGAGAACAACTTGACACGCCAGAAGGGTTTCAGCGGCTTAACCATCGCCATAAAATAGCAGAACTCCTGCAAGATTTCACGGAAACAATTCGAGAAGCGCCTGGTTTCAATAGATTTCTCTTGGAACCATCTGAAGATGAACTCAAAGACGCCGCAGCCCGAGGCCCGATTATCATAGTGAACGTCAGTGACTATGGATGTGACGCTTTGATCATTGAATGTACTCAAATCAAAGCGTTGCGACTTCCGCTTCTTAAGATTGAAGAGGTTCGTAGTCGGGAAGCCACTCTTGCGAGCAGAGGGTCGGTCAATTCCGAAATGCTTGAATGGATGTGGGAAGCTGTGGCAGGACCAGTATTAAATGCAATTGGGCTTACAGAGGCCCGAAGCGCCGATTGGCCTCACGTCTATTGGATCCCTACTGGACCTCTTACCAAGTTCCCAATCCATGCGGCTGGAATCTATTATGATGATTCTCAAGACACGGTCTTAGACCGAGTTGTCTCATCCTACAATTTCTCCATAAAGATGCTGCTCTTTAACCGTCAACACTTTGCCGAGCAACAACCATCTCTGGCATCTGGAGAAATATTGTTAGTGGGAATGGACAAGACCCCTGGTCACAGTAGTCTCCTCTTTGCGTCACAAGAAATCCGAGAGTTATCACAACTCTGTGGCTCTTCAAACTTACAGGTGTGCAAGCCTAAACGCTGCCGTGAAGATGTCCTCTCCTCCCTCGCAAACTGCAAAATCTTTCATTTTGCCGGCCATGGGCAATCTGACTCTAAGGACCCATGGAACAGCTCATTGCTTCTCGACGACGGCCCCCTTACGGTAGCCAATCTCGCTGAAATGAACTTGCACAAAAACAATCCCTTTCTAGCCTATTTATCAGCTTGTGGAACGGGCCAAGTCAAACACGGCGAGCTAATTGATGAAGGACTTCACCTAATCAACGCATGCCAACTTGCCGGATTCCGACATGTCATTGGAACTCTCTGGGAAGTCAACGACGAATCCTGCGTAGATGCAGCCATTTTTATGTATCAGTGGATGCTGGGTCATGGTGTAAGCGATGAATCTGTGAGTGAAGGACTTCATAACTCAAGCAAGAAGCTCCGAAGCAAATGGATCTCTGATAATAGTATGAGATCGGCTAAGCGTAGGAAACGACTTAGCATTGAAGGAACGGCAATGGAACAACAGCCTGACCGATCGGACTGCATGAGGGTTCCAAGAGATATGGAAGGATGTGATGAAAAGCCCCTTTATTGGGTTCCTTATGTGCATTTCGGTATCTAGTATTTCGCAAATCTGCTACAGTGTAGAGGCTAGTAACTCTCAGGAAATAATACTTCAAAAAGAAATAGTATTTATGGGCGTACCAGTTGTTTGGAATCCCTAGTATCAGCAATACAGAACTAACGTCAAGGTGGAGGACTTGAAGGGTAGAAGAGAGCAAATTGAAACGGCAATTAGACATGACTATGTATGCTATGATATCATTTAGTCAAATCTCAATATTCAATTAAATATTATAACCAAGACTATATCTTCAGTGTTTTATCCCGTGGATAGTCAAACAATAACATACGTGAGTCAAGTCCCAAAAGTTCTTTATAGCGGATACCTTAATATCGACACTAAGTGGACTCGACTGAGCGAGGTTTTCCCAAAGAAACTGGTGTCTTTGACTTGCTACACTGGGTTTGCTATTAGATGGTATGTGTCCCCCGGCTTTGAAACACGGTTAGTTAACCGTTGTGAAGGTTTATAGTGTGCAGTAAAGGACTTTGAAACGTTGTTTATGTTCTATTTGCATATAAGGCTAACCCTTTGGCTCTTTGTAGAGGCCTAGCGCCATCCATGCTAGGAGTCATCACTCGCAGGGTCCTGTGGCAGTTTTGGAACTGGGGTAGCCACACTGGTCTCGGTTCTTGTCACCCTTATTGTCTCAACTTGCGATATTGCCACCTCAAGATCCTATCTGAACGCTGCCGCTACAGTCGGTCGGATGCAGTATGGGAGCACCCTTAGGTGGATGAATAGTGGACCTAATTGCTCGAGATGGGAAGCTCAGCTCGGCGTCCTCTTAGCCCCAGTGTTCATGATCAACACCTTCCAAGTCCTTCTTTAGGCAAGGTCATTTTTTGTGGCAGTAATAGTGCCTTGTGCAATCATACTTAGGGTGAATGGTCGGCATCAAAATGCCGCGATTCCCAATTATTACACGTTGGTTCTTCCCTATTAGGTCAACTCGGTGAGTCTTTTGTTATGATGGCATGGCTGAAAGGGAGTAACTTTACCTGCTTACATGTGATACGTGTTGAGACACAACAGTTTCTTTGCGGATGGTACCAGCAGCGTGAGTTTGGTATAAAGGAGACCGAGTCCAAGAATCTTCCATTCTCAATATGCGCAAGTACGGTCGCAGAGAGGGCAATATTGCAATGATCAGAGCAGAATGAGAATCTGCAATATATAACGCTTCTGTCATCTGTTAGAGATCTAAGTAGGAGGCGAGTACGAGATACAATGAAAACTACTCACGAGCGGTGGCAAGGTCTTCGTCTGGCCCAATGTCTGTCTGATTGATGAACCATCTGGTGAAGGTAACGACGATGTTGATAATCCCAAGACCAAAAGTGATGCTCGTGCTGACCTTCTGGGCTCTGGACATCCGCAGCTGGCTGATCAAAACAAGGGGGAAGATGAAGACTAGGTGTTACAATTAGCAACGAAACCAATTGAATGCTCAGTTATACATACTCCAGAGATCATTGGCAACATGTAGCGCAAATGCTATATTATCCTGCATATTCAGGCATGATGCCGAGCAAAGGTTACTCACTGTCCTTCAAGGAGATTAGTTCAGTGAAATTAACCAACACAAAGCTTTGGAATAATCACCAATGGCAGCCCCAACTACACAATAGGAGGTTCAAACAGACTGTAATGATGAATGCGGAAATCGTGAAACATGATAGAACATGAAGTGATGTCCGAATTTTGCCACTCTGCGAACCGAACACATGGTAGTAAAACGCGATCAATATTCCCTTATTGAGATATTGTGCTAGATACCATGGGAAGACTGAAGCGTAGAAGACCTCCCATATAATTAGCATGTTAGCTCCAGATAATCAATCCTCTAGGCATACCTTGAGCACTACAAGCTCGTAGTTTTCTGATATTACCCAGCCAGCTATGTAGTAGTCGATACTTTCAGACCAAACACCCCGAGTGTATAGATATGTATCAGTGCATGTCAACGCTGTGTTGCATGCCAACGTGGCGAACATGAACCAGTCACTAATCACCAACCCAATTCCGATGTAATTGAACCTCAAATGGAGACGTGCAACGACAAGAACAATTGTAACTGCAATCAGCGTCCACTCGAAGGCCTGAGTCCGAGTTAGTTCAAAGGAAACAAACCAAACTTTAACCAGATGTGCCAATCGTACGTACCAAGAGTCCCTCTCCTGACAGCCCCATCTCGACCCTGAACCCAAGGTCTCAGATCGGGTGTGCAGGATGTGAAAATGAAAATGTCAAAGTCAGATAGCATTCGGGGTTGCTCTTGCTTAAATTTCACCAGGTCTCATAAATGCACTCGTCAACCATTCCAATTGCAGTAAACTGTGTTATTTGAGTTCGTCTATGATTTTACCACCAGACATTCCATGCTCTTGGTGTCTCTGAAGCTGGAATGCTGACTTTCAATTGGACCAAGCTGATCCAGTTTTGTCTCGCCCAACCGACTCTGGAATGTGCATGCACTCGCAAACTCCAATAATTGGCCCCAGATAAAGGAAGATTTTGAAACATTCAGGCCCGAAGGACAAAGGAGTTACTTAATGATATGGCAAGTTGATGCGTCACTTAGGAAACCTTCGATGGACTCGCCTGAGGTGAATCATCAAGCTGAACAAAGTCTTTCTCTTCCAAACTCAACTAAACGGTTTCAATCATAACCTATAGTAACCATGTTTACACGATCTTCTAATTAACACTCCATGACCTTTGTCTTTGAGGTTGAAATTTGTGCCCGTTTGTGGGCATTTTAATACCAAAGTAACCGGCCACTATGAATTATAGCCATTTCCAAGGTTCGAAACAATGGATTTCACCCCATGAAATTAATGCACACTCCTTGTTTTCTCTGAGCTATTTTTAGTAATTTCTTGTCTCTGTATTCTTCCTCTTCCAGGTAGGTCGCTATGACGGTTTACTTGAAGACTGCATATTTACGCGAATACTAAGTAAACTCACTATGCCTTTAAGATAGAGTATCAAAGCTTAGTCGCAATCAGGCCTACCGGAATTGCCCAGAGAATTACCGGAATTTGAACCTTCGCGTTAGACAAAACGAACCACCAACGTGAGTACTGAATTGCGAGGGATAAAGGGCACCATCAACAAGCCAAAGCCGCTGGTTCGGTCCATTAACCACGGATATTATCTACAAAGCTCCATAGAATTCTGCCTGAATCCAAACCCTGTCGACCCGCTCACCCCTCTTTGATAAACAGGACATACGCCAGTAACGTTACTCAAACATCATATCAATGACCTCAAGCAGCTGCTTGTTTTCTTGGCGCGCCTATCATATTCTGTCGTACAGGTTCGTCATTGATAAGGTGACCCATATCAGTGAATCAATTTGGCAATCACCGCCGTTAGGTATCCAACAATCCCAGTTGTAGTTCCAGGAGAGTTGGAGTTACATAGATAGTGGGGTTTCTCCTCGGGTGACGATCATTTTGTGGCATTATCAGCTTATTAAAAAGCGCTGCATGTTGTTCATCTTCTGTGCACTTTTTATTGCAACACAAATGACTAGCTCTTACCGCCATGGTCGTGAATCTATTCTCCATATTGACGTTGGCGGCGGTCACATCCGCGACGGTGCTCCCTGGATTACCTACTGTTCCGTTTGAATTGGACGGAAATGGGAAGTCATGGGAGCTGTCAGGCCTCAAATCAGTAGTAGTGGACAGTTCATATGCGGATGCGAGGAATGAAAAGGGAATGACCCTCATTCCCCCTAAGCTAACCGACTTTGCGAACACATTCGCACAAGATTTGAAGGATGTCCTCGGTCATGAAGTCACCGTTGAAGTTGGAACTGCCGGGGGCTCTAATAAGTTGTTTCTAACTTTAGGCGACGAATCTGAATACCTTGATGTCGCTGGACGCGAAACCTCAGAAGGCTACACTCTTGACGTGGGGGCAGATGGCGTTGTCATCACCGGTGCCAGTCCCCTTGGAGTTTGGTGGGGGACGCGAACATTTATCCAACAGGTACTACTTGGAGAGGGCAAAATTGCGTTCGGCTCAGGCAAAGATAGCCCAGGCTGGGGTGAGCGCGGTGTCATGGTAAGTTGGTGCTTCCCATGAAAAAGTAAGGCCAGGTTGCTGAAACGATTTGGCATCACCACAGCTTGACGTAGGGCGTCATTATTATCCACCCGATTTTCTAATCGAGCTGTGCTCTTACATGTCATTCTTCAAGCAAAATGTCTTCCACATTCATCTCAGCGACAATCTTTATAACAATGTCAAAATATACGGGTACGAGCGGCAGATGAGTCTATACTCTGCTTTCCGGCTCCTTTCAGATGACCCTGCAGTGGAAGGCCTTGCGAAACGCCAAAATGAATCTTATACGAGAGAAGTCTGGGATGATATCCAGAGTAAATGCGTCTCCAGGGGTGTCACACTGCTCCCAGAGATCGAAAGTCCAGGTCATTCCCTTCCGATCTCCCAATGGAAGCCAGAAATAGGAATGAGCTCGGATTACAGTCTGCTAAACATCTCTCATCCCGACACCATCCCAACCGTGAAAACAATTTGGAAGACGTTCCTTCCTTGGTTCCAGAGCAAGACAGTACACATTGGGGCTGATGAGTACAGGGATGAATCTCTGGATGATCTGTAAGTCGACATTGAATCAACAACGGTTACTATGGGTCAAATCGCTTACAATGGTCTTATAGAGCACTTGCTAGAGAGTACACGACTTTCTGCAATGAGATGAAAGATTTTATCAAGGAGGAATCTGGAAAGGACATGCGCCTCTGGGGCACATTTCCGCCCTCCAAAAACGGTGATGTTGACCGTAACGTCTCAGTTCAGCACTGGGCAAACTTCGAAGCCCTTGCTGGTGATTGGCTCAGCAGCGGTTACCAACTACTCAACTCATGGGACTCTATCTACATCGTGGGAAAGTGGAACCAGTGGTATGGGCAACAACTCAACCTTGATTTCATATTCCACGGAGCGCCGGATGATGAACCTTTTGCTCCGAATATCTTTGATTCAAGCAACGCCACGGCTAACCCTAACCGAGAGGATGGGAGAATATATGGTCATATCGCACCGCAATGGAACGACTACGGACCCAACGCCACCACGGTATTAGAGGCGTACTATAGCTGGCGCGATGGCCTTGCCGCTTTGGCCGACAAGCAGTGGGGAGGTGAGTTGACGGCAGATGAGTACCCAGGCTTGTTCACGGCTATTCATCCGCATGTTCCAGCCCAGAACCTAGATCGTCGAGTCAAGACGAAGACTTCAACGATCATGAACATCGACTTTTCTAGTACCCGCTATTGCAAAGGGAAATTCAAGGATTCGTCTGGCAACGGCTATGACGTGACCACAAATTGTGCCAATACCGCCGAAGGCGTTCTGCTCGAGCCAAGATGTGAGGTGACAACTCCACTCGAATCTAAAGGCAGAAACTATACCCTTTCATTTAGTGTCAAGCCCACTTCAGATGCAAAGGGGCCTATATTTACGGGCAGAGACAGTGCACTATGGTACGGCAACGGGACTGTCGATAGTGTCATGATGTTTTCCGGCGAAAGCGTCTACACCCTCAACTACACCTTCCCGGTCGGGGAATGGACCAACGCAACATTGAGAGCCCAAGGAACAAGAACGTATCTAGACGTGGGAAGTGATGCTCCAAGGGAGTTCCTAACGGTCATCGGATGGACTGGGGACAAATTTGTGTGGGACAAGATGGCCTTTGAAGCACCTATTGCCAAGATTGGAGGTGGAGAATTCCAGGGCCTGATTAGTGGTCTAAAACTGGTAGATACTGACTTCTGAGAGCAAAGCAGGGGAGCAGAAGGGTCTCATGTCAATCTCAATGATATCTCCTGACTTCTTTTCGTGCTGGTAGTTGATTCTGAACATCTCACTGCGAGCCACCATTCTCCAAGGGCTATTGGAGGATCTGTATCAGCGAGTGACTAGCAATCAATTGTTATTCGGAATCGATGATGCCAAATTTCTTCTAGGTTCAGAGTTAATAAAAGGTTTAGGTGTATACAATCAACTCGTAGAACAATTCAATACTCAAAGGAGTGAAAGACACTTCTTCTTTCGAACGTTATGCCTAATACGAATGTTGAATCTTTTCTCCTGAAAATTTCACTTGTCAAACGGCTGTTAGCGTCAGGATACCCAGCACTGACGCAATCGTTACCCTGAGTCGTGGCCAAATAAAGTTCTGACAAGGCTGCGTCCCTGGGAAAAATTTTCGTAGCCTTTCCTTCAGCACTTGGCCACTCGAGCAAGCCAAGAGCTAGCTGGTGTGACTGTCTGCTGACACAACGGCCAAAACTGGAGCCATCCCAAATGATACGACTCCTGACTCTGCAGGCAACGATCAATTTATTTATACTGGAGAGGGGGCAGGAGACTCTTTTCCAGAAAGAGACGGTGCTTTTGGGCAGGTCAGTCGGCAATTCGGCACAATCCTGCCCAGAACTGCTTTGAGTTTGATCATCCCCCGGCCGTGGCCAATGAGGTCCAGGCAAATCCGTAGCCACAAGGTGCCATCCTTGTTTGTATGACCAACGGAAACGGCGAGATCCGATGGTTACCGTGAAGCTATCACATTCCCAGCGATCACGCAATAGACCTGGTCTCAAAGGATGTCAACCAAGGTTTTCATGATGGCGTTGATAATAAAGAGCAGAATATCCTTCTTCGGGGACGGGAGAATATATGTATCCAAGCGACATCTCGCTGCCAAACTTAGTTCGGGAGCCATTGATTCCACAACAATACCTCCCTGACTAATACAGAAGGTAGCAGTGAGCGGAGACGAGGAACATAGAAGATCGGCAGCAAGATTTCTTATCTTTTGATAAGGTGACCTGAGACATCAAGATTAATACCAACTTGGCTCTGTGACGGGATCATCGAGGGAGACCTCTCGCACTCATCTTCAAGATGGCGAGATCTGTGGAGAATTTCCCGGGTGACAAGTGGCCCAATGAGAGCAATGCAGTCGTCGACGAGGAGGGTTCGCCTCGCCACATCCAGCAAGACCGCCTGCGACGTTCCCTGTCGGCGCGACAGGTGCAGATGATCGCGATTGGCGGCACGATTGGCACCGGATTGTTCCTCGGGACGGGAAAGTCGCTGGCCACGGGTGGCCCTGCGTCTATGTTGATATGCTACGCCATTACCGGTGG